CCAGCAAAGCCACCCAGCAAAGCCACCCAGCAAAGCCACCCAGCAAAGCCACCCAGCAAAGCCACCCAGCAAAGCCAACCAGGCTTACACTTCCCCCATCCTTCATTGAGGTAACAATTCTTCCAATCCCAACACGAAGTCATGCGACCGGCAGTGCACGCAGTCATCAGCCCACTCAATTCAGCCGAAGAAAAGAGAAACCATTCCCAGCCGACACGATATCAGCCTCGTTCCTCACCTCCGAGGCGCCGCTTCCGCTATCAGACTTCACTTTGCCGTCCGTGTCCGGCACTGGCATCCGAAAGTTACCGCGTATGCGCGAGCAGTATGGCCAGGTGCACCCTGGTGTGCCACACTGGGAGCCGCTTTGCGCGAGGGTTTCGGGCTCAGGAGCTGGTGCCGTGGCTGGCGTAGGTTTGAGGGTTGACTCCGTTGAGGGCGGAGAGGTTGGCGCAGAGGAAGTTACAGAGGTCTGTTGTGCCTCCTCGACAACAAGTGGGAACCTCCTGGGTTCGGCAAGTGTCTGTACGCTTCGGCTGTGCGCATTATCGTGGCAGTCATGCTGTGCGGCTTTCTCGTCTGTGCTGTAGTGAGGACCCTGGTGGGTCTCTTCGCTTTGACGTTTCCTTTTTCCTCCCTGCTCATGATCGCGGTCGACGATCGTCTTGCCCTCCAAAAAAATCTCATGGATCTTGGGAGCGAAATTTTCCTCTGCTGCCTCATCTTGAGGCGTTACAGCTAATTTGTAACTGGATTCACTCGCTTCCGCCTCCTCAGCTACCTCTATGATCTGAGGGAGTATGCCTTTGCGCTTGGCGAGCTCGACGGGAGACGGATGGATGAGCTTGACATTCCTGGCTTTAGTCCTCCGACGAACATTGGCATTGAATCGATCGCCATGGAATTGGATGTTCTCATGTGCTGCGCCAGGTAATTTTGGATCCCGATGTGTCTTCCTTTGGGCGTTGCGGCGTTGGAGTTTGGGAGACTGAGGAGGTGCTGTGCCAGCAGATGGAGATGGTGGCCCTCTGTTTCCATGGCCTGCGAAGAGCTTTCTCAGGAGCAGAGACTCCTGCCCTTGAGGTAGCAGGTCTTCTTCGCCTTCGTACGAGTCGGCCTGGAGTGGTGCGATTTCAAAGCCCTTATTCTTGCTGGAACTAGCTTTGTAGTGAAATGGCCAGTGGGGTCGTGTTGTCAAGCTCTGCTGATGCTGCAGAATAGGCTCTCTGCTGCCGTCCCAAGGGTGTGTGTCGGTCTTGCGTTGAAATATGCGAGAAAGAGTCTGTTGAAAGAAATTTGTTCGGCGTTCTGGCTGGTCCGAATCATCGTCGCCACTCGAAGCGGCGTCATCGTCCATATGAGTACCACCGAGAACCCCTGGCTGGAGAGGACCGCTAATTCCGGGGGGACTATCAATGCTGTGGATTTGTTGAGCCTTTCTTTGCAGCTCAACATAGCTTGGTTCACGGTGTCTCCGGAAAGCTCCATTGGACATAGGCTTAGGCGTTGCTGATTCAGGTATATCCGTGGACGTTGGTGTAATGTTGTTAATGTTTCCGTGCTGAAGAGATGGGTTTGTTCCAGAGTATCTCATCGCAGGCCGTCGCTGGGGTTCGTGGGCTGCGCTTTGGACAGGGGGATCATGTTGTGCGCCTGTGGTATGGCGCAGATGCGAACGCGAGCCTTGAAACTGTTCACAGGCATCTTGGACTGGGATTTGAGGCTGTTGAATCTCCATTTTCTCATTCTCCGACCGGTTCGGATGAGGACTCTGTCCATATTCACCATGTTTGACTGATGAGCACTCCATAACAATGTCGAGCGTGTTGTCAAGTCTCTCTGGAATCGTTGGCAACACAGCAAAGAACTTTCGCTCCATTGTGTCGTACGTTCTTGAGAATTCTGCTATTGCCAGTGAGTAAGAAGCCGCAAAGAGTTCAAAAATTCTCTGGACATATAGCTTGACTGGCGTTGTCTGGACCAAGTGGAATAAAGCTGGCCCTGGTTGTAAATTTGTGAAAAAGAGGGTTTCTCGCTGATGGTACTTGATCCAGAGTTTCTGTACTGAATGATCAAGAAGTGTATTGCCTGCTGTGTGTAGGATCCTGTGATTTGGCTGAGGTGGTCTATAAAGCGTACACTTGTTTTGATTTCTTGATCATTGTTAAGTCAATGCATGTTCAAGACAAGTCTGTTCAGTACATGTGATTTATATATTACGAATTTAAAATTGTAGCAACTTGTTCTGCATACTAAGTTTATACAAGCACCCTTGTGAGAAAGTAAGACACAAATTGAGAGAAAACGCTGGCACTAGAATGCTTCAGGGCGTAGAAGACTTTGTTAGACTGCTATAGACGCTTATCAAAAGAGCAATGGTTCTATAGTCATATATTGATATTTTCAGGGGCCCATACGGATGAATGCACTGTGGGTTGGGAAACTATTCCTTGTTCTCACTCAAAATGTCACCCCGCCTGTTTTTTCGATTATTAGCAGGAGCCCACAAGCTCAACGCAACCATGTCCATAGCTTTCGTGTGCACCTTTTGGGATTTCAGACATGAAAGCAGCAAGGTTCGTTTGATGTATAGTTCAAGATGTTGTTCCGCCATTACTGTGGAACCTCTGGGGCCATCATGTCCAGGCGCAGGAACGGACTCGTGAGAGACACCAAGCTAAGAGCTAGCGGGCAACAATTGAGGGCAATACAGCAGCACCTGTGTGGGTTGACACAGACCAGACCAAGAATATTTATGGGCTTCTTCGAAAGCGTGATACGGGCTATTTTAAGCTGTGAAGAAGTTCTGGGTGCAATGAAAAGACATGAAGTCGGTTACCGACCGGAAAACTGCAGTCGAGGTCGGCCCGGCCACTTACACGGAGTCGTTGGTCTCGGACGGGAGCATGGGCAGGGGCCCCCTGGCTTGTGATACCGTACCGCCGCGCCGCCCAACTGCTCGGCCCCCACCATGTGCAGATCGCGTCCTGCGTCCTCAAGTCGCGACGGGCCCACGATTAAGACTGTCTACTTGCCTGACAACCATTCCGCAGATTTTGACGTTCCTGCTTTGTTCCACGGGGATTCCACGGTTCCATAAATTTTCAGTCATGGATATAGACGATATCCTTCGCGAGGTCGACCCCGTAACCGACACTATCCCAGCCGAGACTCGCGATCTTCAAGCCTTGACGCGTGCTTGGGTTGCCGAGCGATGCGCCCCAGAGCTTCTAGAGTGCGCAAACCCCTCTCATGCACTAGTGGCTTGCGACAATATCTCGTGAGCCTTTCCTAACGCTTTGGTGTCCTTAGATGGCCTGCCGACGGCCTTTTCGAGCGTATGAACGAGCGCATCAAGGCGCAGATCGAGAAGGTGGAGGAGATGACCGGCGACATGGACCCCAAAACCAATTTCGCTCTCATCGTGATACAGACCGAGTTGGAGCGGTATAAATACATCGTGCGAAGTTTCCTACGCTCCAGGATAGCAAAGGTGAGCAAGTACTGGCACGCATTGACTTGGTCCTTGCTATTCTGCAAGGCCCAGCCGACGGTTCTGGAGACTGACATTGCATTCTGTGTTGCGAACGCAGATTGACAAGCACACTCTACACTACCTCTCCACACCCACCATGCGCGCACGCCTCTCGGAAACGGAGCTGGCCTACGCGACCCGACACCAGGCGATGCTGCACAACCACTACCTGTCCTCGTTCCTTTCGTCCTTCCCTCCGAACCTGCAGAACTTGAACGACACTGCGGGCAACATCAGCATGATCGACACGCCAGACCTGGATACAGCCGTCTTCATCCGCCTACTGAGGGACTGCCTGGTAGAAGGCCGAGGAATTGACGAAGACGGCAGCATGAATGGCAAGAATGGGGACATCCTGATATTAAGATGGTCAGACGCGAAGCCCTTGGTAGATGCTGGAGACGCGGAGCTGGTTTGAAATCGGCGCCGAATTGTCTCACCGGCATTCCGTGCGCCGACGAACTCTGGCTTCGGAAGGAGCAATTCAAAGCTCCGCTCTGTCAGGCCCTGATGATGCAGTCGCCTGGTGCCTGTGCCTCAGGTCGGGCCATGGTGCATTCTCGCCGTGGCCAAGACCATGGGGCCGCACCCTCAGCTCTGGCTGACGCCAGCCAGGCCAGAGAAGGTCAACTAAACTCGGAGATACCGGGTTCGCGTGCATGCTTCCCGGCTACTATGTGAATACAGCCTCCAGGCGGACGATTGAGTCGCTCCCAAAGACGTGACACCTAGGCAGGGACGTCAGACGGCTTCGAGCTTACGAGCTCATCGATGACGGCACGGAACGGAGTTAGCCTCGAAAGTCCGGAAGCTAAAGACGAAGACATCAACACGGGAGCAATCCTACGTGCATTGATTTCTAATGTGGCTTATTACTTGAAACCCTCATGATCATAGAGCATCTCGACTATAAGTACTCGATGCAACTCGTCTGTCTATCATCTGACTGTTGGCAATTGGCACTTCTCCAACAAATAAGAACTCATTAACAAGCAACCAGCAGCCACCACCACTTTGATCTCAACATGACTGCCGACTCTAAGACGATCGTGCTCGTGACCGGTGCCAATCAGGGCATTGGTTTCGAGATTGCGAAAAAGCTCAATGTCGAGCATGAGAACTATCATGTCATCATGGCAGGACGGAGGAAACAAGCCATCGAGGAAGCCGCGGAGAAGCTTCGAGGACAGGGGTTCTCAGTCGAGCCCCTCGTGCTCGATGTGACATCCGACGACTCCATCGACGCAGCAGCCAAAGCTGTCAGCGAGAAGCATGGTCACTTGGATGTGCTCATCAACAATGCCGCCATTTCCAACGTCTCCCACTCTGCCGATGGCAAGCCGCTCTCAACACGCGAGCAGTTTCTTCGCATCCTCGACACCAACGTCGCGGGCGTCCAAGCAGTGACGGACGCGTTCATACCGCTGCTAGAGAAGTCGACAAAGACCAAGCGCATTGTGTTTATCAGCTCGGCGTTGGGCAGCGTGAGCCTCAAGGGTGATGTGAGTCTCGGGTCTCCCGTCCGCAAGGCGGAGTATATACATTATACCACGTCCAAGTCGGCATTCAACCAACTGGCGCTGCACTATGCGGTGCGCTACGAGGACAAGAAGGACTGGAAATTCAACCTTTGCTGCCCTGGGTTCTGCGCAACGAACCTGAACGGCTACGCGGGCACGGATACACCAGAGAGCGGGGCTATCAACGCGTGTCGGCTGGCTACGCTGGGGCCTGATGGAGAGACAGGAACGTATACCAACAAGGAAGGAACCATCCCTTGGTAAATCGCAAGACGTCCTGATGTGCGAGTGGTGGGCGGCCTGTAGACAATAGAAGCCGGACAATCGGTGTCCCTGGACGAATGGACGTTGTCGGGTTAAATTGTGTCTCCAAGAAATGTACTGTGAGCGGGAGACGTAGAGAACAACTGCTGGGGCCCCGCCCCGAATGGCGAGTTGTGTAGATGTGATCGGGAGATGAAAACTCTCCAACTCTAGCTGGCTGCCCACATTCAAATTACTCTGCTCTGACCCAAGAACCACTCCGCGGCAGCGCAACGTGCACTATTATATCCACATATGCTCAGGGACAAATTAGCATGCCGTCGTGCAGGCGCATTTATCGATATGCCTTTATCGATACACTTGCTCGACGTACTTCTAATGTGGTGTGCTAAGCTTGAGAGCCAAGGGGCATCGCACACAGTAGCGCTTCCGATGCCAGCATGCTGTAAAGGGGTCTGGAGCAAGCAGCCGGCAGCCGCAGCCGGGCATCTGCATGACTGTGGCCACGTAGAAATTTAGAGCAGCCGCCCCAATATTCCTGGGCCTATAGTCGAGGCGACCAACTGCCGCCAGCTCTTTATACCTGTGACAGTCCAGACTGCTCGTATTTTCTTCGTCCGAAGTTGGGCTCGAGAAGCCAGCCAGACATCACATGTTGTCTGGTTGGCCAGTGCTAGGAGTGACGTGGTAGTGGGACAGCGACCTGTATGGGGTAAATATCCGAGAGACACTTGTGGGTGAGGATGTGGTTCGGTGCCCACCACCTACACCCAGCGCTGCCTTTCCCCGTGCCGACTCCCGTAACACCGAAATCAGCAGAAAATATCTCCAGCGACGGTGTATTCTTGACAACGATCAACAGGAGACAGGAAATTTGAACCAAGCCCTGTCACTTTTTCTCAACCCATTTTAGCTAGCGGGCGGCCGGGAGGGCGGGCATGGGACGGTTGAGCGGGTGTACGATGGGATGGGAAAAATCGACACCAAGAGCATCCACTTTACCCCGGCCCCAAGCGATCATCCGCCCCTAAAAGCTAATTCAAAGGGGCAGCGCTGAGCGGGGAAGATCCTGCCACCCATCCCAGTCGCCCATCCTTGGCCTAATTAGACGGCGAGAAGAACCCAGCAAGCAGGCGAGGTAAGCAACAGGAGGACCATGGGCATACTGGAGTCTGCACCAGAGAGCCCGCTTGCCGCCGGTCCTTCACCTAGGTCCTCGCGATGCTTTGGCTAGTCGAGCCGGTGGAAGGGTGGCAAAGCGTGGGCCTTGTGCATCCTTGGGCACGCGACGGTCCTCGTATGTGGGGCGGCGAGGCAAAGTCAAGGCCGCGTCCTAGAGGAGCAAGCCTGGTCTCGTCTGCCACCAGCCCTCGCGAACACGAAGAATGCAGATGCGAGCTCGCAGCTCATGCGCGCCTGCACCGTCCCTGATTGGCGAATCCCACCTAGGCCGCGGCCGAATCAGGTACCATCACCAAATTCTAAACGAGATTATCAGACGCATGGATGCGGCGCCTTTTTTTTCTTTTCCCTCTCTTTCTATTCTCTGCTGCCCTTGCCCTGCCTTGTTATGGATGGGGCGAGGAGGATCCCCCAAGGACTGCTTGTCTGTTCTGCATTGACGAGACCTTCAGTTAGGGGGCCCACCCACTTGGCGAATCCGATTGCTCACTGTTGTGGAATGGAAAAACGAGAGTGGGTTCTGGGGAGGGGGGCTGCCTTGGAAAACTGACATCCTGACGTCCTGACATGCCATCCCCCGGACATTCGAGTGACTTCTCGGCCAAGCCAGACATGGGCCCATGGCCATGTTCATCTCCAGATCCTCGCTCGCCTCTTGCTGTGTTGGATCCCTACCCCCCCGTCCCGTGTTTCTTTTTGCGGACCCCCCCTATGGAATGTTCTCTACGCGTGACGGGAGTTTAAATGTGCCTTCTTCCCATCTGCCCACCGTTCATACAGCTTCGTTCTCTTATTCCTACTGCCCGTTGATATTCGCGTCGGATTCATCTTCACTCGCTCAAAGTTGAACCTTCTCCAGAAGCTATACTTATAACTCTTCTACACGGTCGCTCCGATTCGGAACTATTATCATTTTTTAATTTAATTACTACCGGAAAGCCCTTCGGTCTTCCACATCATTCAAAATGCGTTTCACAAGCATCATCGTCGCCGGCGCTTTCGCCCTGTTCGCCAGTGCCCAGGACACCACTGCCACTTCCTCTGTTACGGCCACCGCCGCCACCACCGACGCCGCCCAGGCTTCTGAGCTTGCTTGCCTCAACGCGTGTGATGCTGGTGACGTGAACTGCCAGGCCAAGTGCATTTCTGTAAGTACACACATTGGTTGAAATAATCCACTATTCTCGAAAGTTGTTGCACCCTGTGCGGCAAGGAAGCACTCGCTCCTACACAGACCAGCCCTACCAGGTTTCTCTGGATCTGGGACGGGCAATGCCTCGCTCCACAAAGTGCCAACCCATTGAAGAAGCCATGGTGCTGACTCCATCTCCCATCAGGTCCCCGCCCCCAACGGCAGCCAGGTCAACGCCACAACCGAGTGTGTTGCCAACTGCGACCAGGGAGACGGTTCCCAGGCCGAGACGGACGCCTACGCATCCTGTGTCCAGAACTGCATCAACGACAACTACTTCACCTCCGGAGGCACCCCCGCCGCGACTGGCGGCTCCGGCTCCTCCGGAAGCACTGCTTCGGGCGCCTCTGCTACTGCCACCGGCACTGACTCGTCTGACTCGTCGTCATCGTCTGGCTCGGCTACCTCTGGCTCTTCGTCTTCCTCCACCAGCTCTGGGTCTTCTTCTTCCGCATCTGCCTCCGGCTCGGCTGCTGATTCCATCAAGGTTGGCATGACTGGCCTGGGCCTGCTGGGCTTCATGGCCGCTGCCATTGCCCTGTAAGATGGCTCCTGTTATCAGTACCGCACCTTTGTGTGCTGGTAGGGATGAGATCTTGACTTCTTGGATTTGACGAATTAATAATGCATATGAACCGGATTCTGGGAGGGAAAATGACGCTTGGATACTGTTGGCATGTCATGTGGTAATTAGGCAGCGAAATACGTAGGGACAAGATACCCATCCAGTCACTGGAGCTATTGAGCTCGCTTTCTTGTGATCCAATGTCGTTCGTCGTCTCTTCCCTTTTGTGTATGCGTGACCTGACGGCTTCGTCTTGTCAACTCACTGCCCCTTGATGGACTTCCTGGGCAACGTTGGCTTGATGTCTGATTCCCATGGTATGCCCAGCTTCTTCATCTCGACGGCGATCTGGAACAGGTAATCCAAACTACAGCCCACGTTAGCACTTGGTCAACATCAACCATCACGTCGGCTCGTCCCGAGCCACCTGAACCCGAACATAATCCAATCATCGTGACGACATACCTCTCGCACTGGCCCTTGGCCTGCTCCACGCTGTTCCCCCACACGTAAACCCCATGCCTCCTGACCAGCACGGCGTACGCATCCGGGTACTTCTCCATGGCCTCCTCCAGGAACTCAGTGAGGTCCTCCTCGTGGGCCGTGTTCTCGATGACGGGGATGCGGAGCGTGTCGTGGTAGCCGAGGTTGCCGACCTCGGCGTGCGGGTAGCCCCTCGCGAAGCCCTTGATCTGCTCGATGTTGTTGATGCGGAACTCGCTCGCGCCCTGCTGCTCCAGGATGAGCGTGACCAGCACCGCGTGCGCCGAGTGCGTGTGGATGCAGCAGCGGGCGCCCCGCCGCGTGAAGGCCGACAGGAACAGCGGCGTGCACTGCGAGGGCTTGAAGCGCGCCGGCGACCGCAGGTACACGCGCGACGACGGCCGGATCGGCCCCTCCGAGTCGCCGCTCTCGCCGTGCCGCGCCAGCGTCTGCGGCAGCGACAGCACGTACAGGTCCGATGGCTTCATCAGCTCCTTCTGCACGCCCGAGGGCGCTATGTAGACGTGCTCACTGGGCCATGGCGCCGTGTTAACACCGGGATCATTGACTGGTATGTCGCTTGGGACTGGGAGGAGGAAAGGAGTGGTGGGCCGGATCAGGGAGAGAGAGTCTTACTCGTCACGGATTGAGGCTCCGCCGCCGGTGCCGGTCACCCAGCCGAGGGTCCAGAATTTGGCGCAGAGGGAAGGGATGAGGTTCGCGGGGTGGTCTGGGTCGACCGACTGGACGAGCCGATCGTCGCCGGTACTCATGGCTGGAAGTTGTACAGGTCCAAGCCTGAATTTCTCGGATGAGTGGAAGCGTAGGTCAGGTATTAGAAAAAGGAAATATGTGTTGTCGAGCTTGGTGCTTGTCAATGTCTCGTCAATTGAAGGGTTTGGGAATTGCTCGAGCAGATTTGACTCGCTTGTTGAAGCTGAGTTTCGGAGCCGTGGCGGCCGAGCACGTCAATTTTTTGCCGATCATCCATCCTCGGCGGGGACAAGCTTCCCTAAGATGACCAGCTGTAGAACCAACAGCTTACTTTGCTACGGACAACCAGCTTGCTAGGATAACTTGCTGTAGCATGACCTCCTATGGCATCACGTCCTATCAAATCAGCTATGGAGTTTAAATGTTGAAGAACAACCGATAGGCAATGATTCTATTGGAGGGTGTTCACACATAGAGGCAGAGTGTAAATAACTTCAAGCTGGCTGTCCATCTGGCAAGACAACACGTTGACTCGCATTTGCAGTTGCTATTCTCTCTTATAATTCAGTTCCTGAATTTTGCGAGGCTATGTCGGCAAAGCAGTTTCATGTACCCCCTTTGGTCTCATGTATTTGCCTACCTGCTACTTATTGTGCACAAGTTCAAAATAGAGAGAGGATCTCTCGGGACTTGGATGATCAAAGCACGAGGTCACCATGCAAGAACATTCACTCAAAGCTCTAAAAAGAAAGACTGGAGCTAAAAGGTTTCCTTCCACGATGGGCAAAAGTAGTGCCGATGCCAGTGCCTGTTTGAGTTTGACGGACCGTCCTTGCAGTCCCTAGAACAGAGCATGATGGGTTTGGGAAATGAACACCTTGACACCAGAAAGTTAATGAACTATGGGGCTCAACATGCATCACATCACATCAACATGCCACGTATACCAATTCCAGCATAGTGTTGACATTGACAATGTATCCACCTGCCAAATTTAGCAATGAATATACACGGTAATATATCTGTCCATCGGTACTGCCGTGACACCCGTGTATGTCTGTGGCTGTGAATAGCAGCAGCGAAACTGAATCGACATGATCGAGGGGCGTACTTGCACCCTTAAGTTTCCGGTGGAAATTTCCAAAAGGTTCTCTGGCTGTGGGTCCAGCCTGGTGAGGAAGAGCCTGGGCCGCAGTTTCATAGATTCACAGCAATCGGTGATGGGTCTCGGCTGAGTGAAGGGGACAACCGACCCCGCATTCAATGGGTGCAGGGGCCACTGGGGCGACCGTGTCGTAGCTGCCGGGTGCTGTGCTCTAGTGGTTCTAGCACCACACCCTTGTCGCCTGGGTGAATTGATGCACAGGCGCGGCTGCTTGGATTTTGGGAGCTCCGAACCCAAGCTAAACGTGTCCTTTTTCTGAGACCAGCCGCAGATAAATCCACAACTCTTTATCATCACGCTACCTCACCTGCTCCGAGACTGATTTTCTTTCTCTCGGGCTCTGAGAGCAAATCTACCTTATTCCTTCACTGAGAATAACCCTTCTCATCTGTCTCCATCGACAGGCATCATTCCTTCTCTCTTTCCATCATCGCGAGAGGGTTACTTTTGTTCTTGACTGACTACCTCGGCTGTTGACAACAGCTTGACAAGTCTAGAGTCTCCGCCATCATGAGGTTCACACCCATTCTCGCCTGGGCCGTCCTGGCCTACGGCTCTGTTGCCGAAGATGCTCAGAAGGTCCTGAAGGACGAGAGCTCCTCTTCTGCAGCTGAGTCTGCCACATCGTCTGTGGACACCTCGCTGCCCACCTTCACTGTAAGCTCGACCCCCAAGCCCCAGTTTGTACAACAAAGGAAGCTCTCCCGGGCTTCTGAGCTTTGACTCGGAGCTCCCCGCACATTCCTTCTTGAGAGAATGCGGATGCACATGCAGACAGGTCGATTTAATTGCTTGATCAGAAGCTAATCTGGTTGTGATTTTCCAGCCCACCACCCTCAAGGCACCTTTCCTTGAGCAGTTCACCGATGACTGGGAGGCGCGATGGAAGCCTTCCCACGCAAAGAAGGACCTGAAGGGCACTGAAAAGGCGGAGGAAGAGTGGGCGTACGTCGGCGAGTGGGCCGTCGAGGAGCCCACTGTCTACAAGGGAATGGAGGGAGACAAGGGCTTGGTCGTCAAGAACAAGGCCGCTCACCACGCCATCTCTGCCAAGTTCCCCGAGAAGGTCGATAACAAGGGCAAGACCCTCGTTGTTCAATACGAGGTCAAGCTTCAGAGTACGTGTTTTGGTCCTTCTTCCCTTTGTCTGATGAGACTTTCTTGCTGACTTGATACGTTCCAGCCGGTCTCGAGTGTGGTGGTGCTTACATGAAGCTGCTCCGCGAGAACAAGGCTCTCCACCAGGACGAGTTCGCCAACACCACTCCCTATGTCATCATGTTCGGCCCCGACAAGTGCGGTCACACCAACAAGGTTCACTTCATCTTCAACCACAAGAACCCCAAGACCGGCGAGTACGAGGAGAAGCACCTCAAGTCTCCCCCACCGGCTCGCATCGTCAAGACCACTGAGCTCTACACGCTCGTTGTGCACCCCAACAACACCTTCGTGATTGAGCTCAACGGCGAGCAGGTCAAGGAGGGCAGCCTCCTCGAGGACTTTGCCCCCTCGGTCAACCCCGAGGAGGAGATTGACGACCCCAAGGACAAGAAGCCTGAGGATTGGGTCGACGAGGCCCGTATCCCTGACCCTGACGCCACCAAGCCCGATGACTGGGACGAGGACGCTCCCTTCGAGATTGTCGACGAGGAGGCCGAGCAGCCCGAGGACTGGCTTGTGGATGAGCCCCTTACCGTTCCTGACCCTGAGGCTCAGAAGCCCGAGGACTGGGATGATGAGGAGGACGGTGACTGGATCGCCCCTACTGTCCCCAACCCCAAGTGTGCCGATGTCTCTGGTTGCGGCCCCTGGACCAAGCCCAACAAGAAGAACCCCGACTACAAGGGCAAGTGGACCGCGCCTTACATCGACAACCCTGCCTACAAGGGCGTCTGGGCTCCCCGCAAGATCAAGAACCCTGACTACTTCGAGGACAAGACCCCTGCCAACTTCGAGCCCATTGGAGCTATTGGCTTCGAGATCTGGACCATGCAGAACGACATCCTCTTTGACAACATCTACATTGGCCACTCGGTTGAGGACGCCCGCAAGCTCGCCCAGGAGACCTTCTTCGAGAAGCACCCCCTCGAGCAGCTGGCTGAGCTGGCTGATAAGCCCAAGCAGGATGAGGCCAAGGCTCCTTCTGACCTGAAGTTCCTGGACGACCCCGTCACCTTCATCAAGGAGAAGGTCGACCTCTTCCTGACCATCGCCCAGAAGGACCCCATCGAGGCCATCAAGTTCGTGCCTGAGGTCGCCGGTGGCATTGGTGCCGTCCTGGTCACTGTCATCGCTGTTGTTGTCGGTATCGTCAGCTCCCTGGGTGGTGGCAACGCGCCTCCCGCTGTCAAGAAGGCCGCGGCTGATGCCAAGGACAAGGCTGCCGAGGCGAAGGACAAGGTCGCTGCGGCTGCCTCTTCTGGCGCCGAGGCCGTCAAGGACAGCACCACGAAGCGCACCACCCGTAGCCAGCAGTCGTAGGTTGACAAGGTGATGGCGAGGCGGATGGAAGGTAGTAATGAATGATTGAAGATGGTGAACAGAAAACTTTACTCAAGGAAGGAACAAAAAAATGGTACTTCGCTTTTCGCATTACGGCTCGTAGGGCTTATAGGGTTGAGCACGGCGTAGCTGGTGTATTATTTCTAGTTTGGTATCACAGGGAATAGGAATCATTCACAAGTCACAAGTCAGTCTCAGATGGGCTCGCCCGTCGGTGGAAGTGCATTCGGGTGCGGGTATGCACGAGTGGGTGACTTTAAGGGCGCCTGTCGCGTTGACATTCCTATTCTGGCCGGTCATGGAGGACGATCCGCGTGGGGAACAGGGAACAGGGAAAGCTATCACGAGCACGGCCTATCCAATTCTACCTCTGCTATTGCATGCTACTATGGATCCGCTACAAGTCCCTACTCAAATCCAGGGCGTGCTGTGAGGCTCTGGGCACTTAGAATCTAGCCGATATCGCCAGCGGGCGCAGATAGAGTCGGGTTGTCCTAATTTGTTGAGCCGGGCCGGTCTTGCTATCTCTACCGCGCACACACGAGAGACGGAAAGAGTGAAACCATGACAAATGGATACCGTGGCCTGGCGGGAAAGATTTCCGGACCACCGGCAATTGGCGGCATTGGATCTGGTGTCCTTCTGCACAAGACGCTCCGATCGTGTGGAGAAGAGCGGCAACAATAAGCTGGACGACCACTCTCACCCCCGCATTGAGCCAGCTCCCCCTGCCAGCGACCCTGATCGTCCTGCGTCATCCGCAGAGATCCGTTTCTCTTTGACATTTAAAAGGCCGACAATCCCCAATTGGGTTTCATCGGATATGTAGCTTAGGGACTGGCCCATACCAACTAATAAAAATTCCCGTTCCTAACCTGAGCCCTCATATCGTGGCCCTTGTTAGTGCTTCGAAATCCCGAGGCCCAGGTAGCTTGTCCTCCTTCAACCCCTCTCTTCATCCTCCCTTTCCTTCTCCTCACTCCTTTTTACGGCCACCATAAGTTCCAATGCGTCGACTCTTGTCGACCCGAGCAACTGCAAGCGCAGCACGCTCTACGAGAGCAGCAGCAGCAACAGCCAGTTCCAGCAGAGCAGCGCCTCTCGTGCTCTCAGCACCCTCTTCTTCCAAGATGGCCCCGTCATCATCAGCAGCCTCCATCAGGAGGTTACATGCCACGGCTGCACACCTCAACCCAGCCCTGGCTTCGACAGCAACTTCCTACCCGACGACACATGAGAAAATCGCAAAGGTGGAGGACACCCCTTACTTCATAGACAACGAGTTGCGGCCGTCAAACGCCGAGCAGTTCATCGACCTCTACGACCCGGCGACCAACAACCTCGTCACCCGCGTCCCGCAGATGACAGACGCCGAGCTTGAGGCCGCGGTGGCATCTGCGGAGAAGGCCTTCCCGGCCTGGAAGAACACGAGCGTCATCGCGAGGCAGCAGATCATGTTCAAGTTTGTCTCCCTTATCAAGGAGAACTGGGACCGCCTGGCTGCCAGCATCACGTTGGAACAGGGGAAGACGTTCGCGGACGCCAAGGGCGATGTCCTGAGAGGATTGCAGGTCGCAGAGGCGGCATGCAGTGCGCCAGAGTTCCTCAAGGGCGAGGTGCTCGAGGTTGCGAAGGACATGGAGACCAGGACGTACAGGGAGCCGTTGGGTGTCACGGCGGCGATCTGCCCCTTCAGTGAGTCTGATCTCTGCGCCATGGTAATCTTCGGTTATTTCTGGATCTAACAGAATTTGCGCCAGACTTCCCGGCCATGATTCCTCTCTGGTGTATCCCTATCGCCACCGTCACCGGCAACACCCTCGTCCTGAAGCCCTCCGAGCGCGACCCGGGCGCAGCAATGATCCTCGCTGAGCTGGTTGAGAAGGCCGGCTTCCCTCCTGGAGTTGTCAACGTCATCCACGGAGCCCACCGAACCGTCAACTTCATCCTGGACCACCCAGCCATCAAGGCCATCTCGTTCGTGGGCGGCAACAAGGCCGGAGAATATATCTTCAGCCGGGGCTCGGCGAACGGCAAGCGTGTCCAGGCCAACCTGGGCGCCAAGAACCACGCCGCCGTGCTCCCTGACTGCAACAAGAACCACTTCCTCAACGCGGTGGTCGGCGCCGCATTCGGCGCCGCAGGACAGCGGTGCATGGCGCTCTCGACGCTGGTGATGGTGGGCGAGACCAAGGAGTGGCTGCCGGAGCTGGCCGAGCGGGCCAAGGCGCTGAGCGTCAACGGCGGATTTGAGGAGGGCGCGGACCTGGGCCCGGTCATCTCGCCCGAGAGCAAGGCGCGCATCGAGGGCCTGATCGCCAGTGCCGAGGAGGAGGGCGCGACGATCCTGCTGGACGGCAGGGGCTACAAGCCAGCCAAGTACCCGAACGGCAACTGGGTGGGGCCGACCATCATCACCAATGTGACGCCGGAGATGAAGTGCTACCGCGAGGAGATCTTCGGCCCGGCGCTGGTGTGCCTCAACGTCGAGACGCTCGACGACGCCGTCGACCTCATCAACGCCAACGAGTACGGCAACGGCGTGGCCATCTTCACGCGCAGCGGGCCCACGGCCGAGACGTTCCGCCGCAACATCGAGGCTGGTCAGGTCGGTATCAACGTGCCCATCCCCGTGCCGCTGCCCATGTTCTCCTTCACCGGCAACAAGAAGTCCATCGCCGGCGGCGGCGTCAGCACCTTCTACGGCAAGCCCGGTGTCAACTTCTACACGCAGCTCAAGACGGTCACGGCGTTCTGGCAGGCTGGAGATGCGGTCAGCAAGAAGGCTGATGTGGTCATGCCTACGCATCGCTAGGTGGGAGGATGTGGTTCCGTAGTGCATGAGTCTGAGGACGGAAGTTGTAATAAAATGATTATTGCTACTTGTGTTAGTCAAGCCATTGGCCTATTGAATCAGCCTTGGTGAGGCTTTCTGTTCCAGTTACAGCCTCCCCACTGCATCATTCCCAGATTCTGTCCCGTGAAGCCTTAAGAATGATAAGAGTACAGGATTACAGAATGAATACTCGTGATACGGCTAGAGGGGCCAACTCGAGTGGGTGAGTGGGATAGTAGAACACTAGGGCGGTCTACATGTAGTTTATGCTTATGAAGATTAATGAACGCATCGAGCAAGCGATTAGATGACAATGTGAGTAGTTGTCCTGTAAATGCCGTTTTGCCAGAAATCATGAGTCTCCTTCACACGAGATCCAATCTCCAGCATAGCATGTTGCGATCCCACCCGGTGGGTGCGTCATTGCCGAGAATCGCCGCATTGAATTGGCTGGCGTCGGCAAGTTGAGTTCCGAACAAACAACCCAACACATGCAAACAAACCACTTACTCATCCTACATCTCCTTTGGCAGGACCGCTTCCCCGGCCGCCGCAACGTGGACTTGCAAAGCACACAGCCTTGCGCGATTTCTGACCCACACTGCTGCCGCCTGGCTATTCACGGGGAGAGTGCGAACGAGAACATCGGCTAAATGTCCACGAGCGAGGGGGACTGATGTTGCCGATCCGGTGGGAGAATATCACCCTTCCTGTCTATCCTTGGAGACAGCTTTCTCGAATGGACATATTCCGTCCGAGTGGCCCCATACGATTCCTCCTGCAGCTTGAGATCCAGAAAGGGAAATCGCCAACCTTCTCACCGAGGCTCCGGAAATAGACGCTATTTCCAGTTACCACGAACAAGGCGGATCTTACTGCGTGCGGTCTTTCTCTGAATTCTTGCCCGAGAATGTGCCCATCTCTCACTTTCCAAACCTACGAAGTTGCTACAAAACATTGTTAGACGATAGAATCGGCAAGCATAAACCCGCCGAAGCCTGGAAATGGACATCGTCGAACTCCCGCGGGACCTCTTCCTCTTGGTGGTGGCGCACCTGTCTGCGCGCAATGTCGTGCGCTGCCGGCGAGTCTCACGGAGTTGGCATGGCGCCTTTACGGATCCGGACCTGAATCTTCAGCTTATGAAGTGGCATTTCCCGCGATGTCGTGAGATGCGTGTGGCGTACGTGACCGGCGCACTGGGAGGGCCCGGGTCTGCCGAGTCTGAGGAAGTACACGACACCGAGGACGAGGCGGGCCATCGACGGCAAACACAAAATGGGGTATTCGGTGAGGGTGCAAATATCTCTGGATGCCTAGACTGGACCGCAACTTTTGCCAACGTGGCTAGGAGATACCACCACCTCCGGACAGCCACGGCCCGGTCCATCGATACGATCAAGCTCGGGTCCACAGAGCAGGGGCCGTCGAGGATGTTCTATCCGGTGGCTATCTGGGACCGCTTCCTCCGGCTGGACGACAAGACAGCGCCGTTCCACTACCGGGACCCGGCCTGGTCATACAGCCAAGAAGACGGACTGCTGGTGTACCATGCTGCCTCGCAAGAGGACGACCCCAACGTGGACCAGCAGAGCGCGTCCTGTCCGTGGCGCCTGCTCGACCTCGAGACTGGCCAGGAGGTGGCTGTACCCTTTCCGCAGGGCGAGGATCGCATCGTCCGGCGCGTGCGGCTCAGCGACCGGGTCTTGGTCCTGGAGTGGTGCGAGCGGGAGGCGTACCACCAGCTCAACGACCGCGAGGAATGCCACCGCCATTTCGTCACTGCGTTCGACGTCGTGCGGGCAAGGAACGCTGCACCTGGTGATAGGACTTGCAATGGAGGACAGACGGCGGTCAGCGAGACCTGGGCCGTCAAGTTCCGGTCACAATTCAAAACGCACTTCCTCGGCTTCCCACTCAACCGCCACGACCGCTTCTTCTCAACGCACACAAGCACCCACTACGCCGTCTACGTGTGGCAGCCGAACCGCTCGCTGTACAACGACGACCCGATCGAGAGCGTCATCGTCTGGGACATCTCGGAGCCGGACCGGCCGCGGACCATCCGGCGCATCACGTGGGACACGCTCGCCTTCTACGGCGTGCGCCAGGGCTCGACGCCGACGCTGCGCTCCCTGGGCATGGACGCGCGCAACCTATACATCGCCGAGGAGGAGCACCGCTGGGCCGAGGGCGGCCACAGCAGCCTCGTCCCCCCGCGGGTGCACCTGGTCCGCAGCACGGGCATCCCCATCGTGCCTGGGCCCGGGAGCACCAAGCAAGGGCAAGCCGGCGGCGGCGCGGACGGCGACGCCGAGGTCGTCGTCCAGGGCCCGCGCTGGGTCGACCAGTGCGGCACCAACACGGACGTCAACATGCCGTTCTGCATGCGCACGAACGGGGCGCGCCTCGGCGGCGCGGCCGCGCTGCAGCAGCACTACACGCCATACGAGGGAAGCAGGGAGGGCACCACCGCCAAGGGGGAGTGGAACGGCAGCGCCGCACATTCCGCGGCGTCGGCGTCGACTGGCGGCGGAAGCGGGCCTCGGGGCCTCGCCGCAGAGATCGAGTCCGGCATCGCGGCGCCAACGTCCCGCTGGCCCGGGTGGGCGCCCTGCTGGCGGCACGAGGACTTCCCCTACCTGAGCGTCGACGAGGTGGTGGACTTCCGCGCCGGGGTGCGCATCGCGGCGCGGCACTGCTTCATGCTCGAGACGCTGAGCGTGCACGTGCGGCCGTCGATCAGCGTGGTGGAGCTCGGCGGCGGCGGCGGCGGCGGGGATCCCGGCCCGGACGAGGGCGGGCCGAGCGCTGACGGCGGTGCTGCCCTGCCTGGTGATGCCGATACCTCGTCGATAGCTAGGATAGTGAGGCTGGAGGGGAACCTGAGGATGGGAGTAGCTAGGAGGAAGCAGAAGATGCGTAGGGCCAAGCTGGGGATCGGAGCGGGCTCTGCTGGGAATGGGGGTGATGATGACGATGACGAGGGAATCCATGAGGAGGTGCAGTTTGCGGACGAGATGTGGGAGAAGTTGCTTGGGAAGGGCCGCATCTGCGGTGATGAGAGGTGGTTGATTGGTGAGGATGGGAAAGGGACGCTTTCTGTGGTCCGCTTCTGAGGATCGAGGAGTGGCAGGGGACACAGCAGGTGGACAGCTTTTTGATTCTTGTTCAAAGATCCGGGCAACTACTAGACCGACATCTACTGGGAGACAGCAGGTCATCCTCAAGAAAGACAGTGGTTACAAGAGCGCTCTGGACAATAATCAAACGGATGGAGATACACGCCCAATTCCGAGCTCGAAACCTGTCCGATATCATATCTATCACGGGAGCATCCAACCTCAGCATCAGAAAGATTGACCAGAGGTTACCGGGCACCATGGCATGCCCAGCTAACAACGCACGGAGGGGGAAATGCTGCAGACCGGAGGCGTAGACACAGGCACCTAGAATCATTAGACGGCTAGCTAGACACTTACCATTTGACGCACTCGAGGCACACAACCAAGGACAACAACTCATAGCAAGCGGGTCGTGACAGTAACCGTGGTTCCAAGTCTGTTGTCTAGGAACTGACTAACTGTGTCTCTCTTGGGCACATGTCCTCGACCCACGTAATATGAGCCTAGCACAGGTAGAGGTACTCAATCGAAATTCTGCTGTCTCCGTACAAATATCGAGGATGAAGGCGCTGAACAATTTCCACCTAGGATGACTGATCGAGAGGCGTGGGAGGTGGTACGAAGTCCACCTCGAATACCAAGATGAAAAGTCACACATTACCCTCGCAGCCTTGTTTTAAATTCATCTCATTTCATCATGATAATCGTGATTAGTCGCGAGCGAACGCGCCCTGGTCTAAAGTATCCATCCAGTCCAATGAAAAGTGTGTCAGAATGAGAGTAATGTCCCCCACGCCCTTCCGCCTTGTGATGCCCTCAATTCAATACAAAGCACAGGTGTGTGAGGATCCACTCGACCTGACAGGAACGCCATGCTAGTTGCCCCAATTACCGGGCCGTGTCCCAACGCCAAAAGAGGCGCTCGTACAAAATGATAAGAGAGCGGGTGTGTGGGACTACACTCTGTGGAAACCACTCACTCCCCCTTTGAAACCAACACCAAGTTCAGTAACAACCCCTCTCCTTCAAGAAGTCCTATTCACCACCGAGGACGCAATTGCCAGCCCAGCGACCAGCATCATCGCCCTGGGGAACCGCCCAGCATCCCCCGCATCCTCCCCATTCGGCACATCAGCAGCAGGCTTGCTATTCTGCTTTCCCTTTGGCCTGGCCTTGGCCTCCTTCTTCTCCCTGGCCCGAAGCTCCTTGCTCTCCTTCTTGCTCAGCCTGGGCGGCTTGTTGGAATGCTGGTGGAGCTGGTGCCCGTGGTGCGTCCCGGGGAAGATAATGGAGCTGATGCTCTTCTTGTGCAGAAGGTGCAGCGACTTCCGGTGTGGCCGTGGCGTCTGCTCGCCGTCCTCATCCACCTTCTCACTCCTCAGCTCGGCTTTCTCTTCGGGGCGGCTGGGGTTCGGGCTCGCAATCGGGGCCGTGGAGGGCCTGTCGAACGCGTGGCTACCCGTCAGCGCACCACGGATGCCAAAGTCGGCCCATCGGGACTCGTGGAGGCCGAGAATTCCCGCCGTGGGCGTGCCCAGGCGTTTTGGTGAGCCGGGGCGCTCTTCGGAACCGGCGTCCTCGTCGGACAGGGAAGGATCCCGCTGGATCGTGTCAACCGAGTCGCTCGACTGCCTCGCCTCGGAGACGCAGTCCTCCCACTCCGAGGAGGATGACTGGAAGCTGGCCCTGCTTTCGTTGACGGTAGGGTCGAGGCTGGCGAAGACGGGCAAGGACGGGAGGAGGAAGTTGTTTTTCAGTCCGACGTGCGTAGGCGTCGGTTTTGTTTGGGCGAATGACCGAGAGGTGTCATGCTGTGTCGGGCCCGATTTTGTGATTCCGGATGCGAAATCACACTGTGTCGGCGTTCTCTCTGCGGCCACTTCCTCAGGAAACACACTATGTGATGGTGTTTTTGGAGTTGATGCAGCAAGGTGGTCTGACACCACGAGATCACTGGTTGGCTGAGGAGGCTCCTTCGGCGTGTTCAACTCCAAGCTCACGGTTCTCGGAGCGTTCTGGACTCCGCCTCGGACAACTTCGCTGTCCAAAGCCCCCGAAGTTTCTAGCGACGCCGAATTGCCCGTTCGAGAGTGCTGTATCACCGAGCAAGACAAATCCGGAAAGGTTTCGGCACCGGCCTCACCAATGGATTTTGTGGCGTGATGTTCGCTCTCGCTGTCGGGTCCTTCGACAGCTTCTGAGCCCTTCGGGATGGAATTTTCCGAATCCGAGGACGGCTCCACGCATCCGGCGTGTACTTGAGGCTCCTTGAAGGCCTCGAGAGGTTGTGAGCTGGACTCGGCGATCAGAAAGCCTCCGACGGGCCGAGAAACACCAAGTTCCTCCGAATCGGTATCTTCGTCGTCCGCTTCGAAAAAGTCCATCTTGGACCGTGACAGCTCATCCTCCGCACTCAGATCTCTCACCTGTGTCATGTCTGCGCTCGGGTTGTCCGAGCCATTTGACCAGGCTGTCTCTGGGGTCTTAGTGAGCACCGGTGGGTTTGCATCCTCTTTGGGTCCGCTCAGCGGAGCGATAGCTTCTTGACAGTCTTGTTCCAGCTGCTGCTGCGGTTCATTTTCGCTGGCGGAATTTGAACCAATGTTTGACTGCGGTTCTGGCGGATCCTGCTCGACGATGGCATCATCCAGAACCAGAATTTGCGTCCTCAAAGTATCGGACGAGCCGCATTCGGCAACGCCGGCAATGATTTGGGAATATTCGGTATCCTCTTGGGCGGTATCATCGTGGTCGACGAGGTCTTCGACGCAATGTAGTAACCATCCTTCAGCTGGAGAATCGCGTCGCACAATCTCCGACGACTCGCATTCTGAAGCATCAAAGCTGTGACCTGCTAGATCGGAATTATCGATGATGCACAAACCGGAGCCAGTCTCTTCATGACTGGCCGGCTCTTCTATTCCTTCCAATTCTTGTACGGCATCCCCTTCGTAATTTTGCTGCGGATCTTCTTGGCATGCAGTAACCGAGCCTACATCTGCATCGTCCGGGACCTCGGCAAATTCCAATGCGTCCGCCGGGGCTGGAACGCCCGTCCCCCCTCCTGACGGGGTCAGCGGGCATGCGGCTGAGATCACGGTGAATTTAGATACCGCGTCCTCCTGTTCTACCAAGGCCTTCTCTTCCGGTTGTACAGTACCTGACATGTCTGGAGTTGACATGACCAGAGGGCTGGAGGGCTCGCCATACTCGAAGTCGTTGAAGAACGGAAGACCCGCCGACTTGGGCGAGGCATGCCGCATTTGGGAGGGTGTGATGAGCAGGCTTTGCTCAGGAGTTGCCATTTCGCTCTCGGTGAGCGCTGGCATAGAAGAACAAGTTGACCTCGATGAGCTCGAGTCATCATCCTTAGCCTCCTTGCCTTTGAGTACTTCAGCTGCAGGGCTGAGTACAAACGGGGCACCGCCGCGTGTGGAAACCTCACGATGGCCATCGTTGGTGCTGGGCTGAGTCTTGCCACTAACCGACGAAGCCACACTGACAGTTCCGTCAGGGATACTTCGATCACTTTCGAAGTCGACAGCAATCGCCGAATCTGGCTCCGACGGCGTTGTGTTTCTTGAGTGATCTTCGTTGCCCCTGTATTTAGCAGGAACCAATGGGAAGACACGCATTGATGAGCTTCTGGGTGGGATACAGGGCAGCACAGGAGGCTGGGTGAAGTGGCCCGGTGACCCTGGAGGGGTGTACGAGGTTGGAGCCTGGTGGATTTCCGGGGAATCACGGCGGACTTTTGGCAGAACAAGCCAGTCGGAGAATGTAGAACGAGGCGTGAACGGGCGAGACGGTGAGTTGTGAGGGCGCTCCGAGTGTTCAGGGGACGGCCCATCCGGCACATCCTCGAGACTGCATGTGTCTTTGCAAACGAGGTCGATATCAGCCTGTATGCGAGCCTTCAGGTGCGCCACAAATAGTGCCTGCTCATCCTCGGGGGTTGCTGATGCAAACGGGCCTGGCATGGAGCGGTGTCTGCGCGCAATCAGAGCTTTGTCTAGAATGAGATGCCCTCGCTTGTGCGCGATCATGCGAATTGCAACGTCGTGCCCTCGCAAAACATCGCCTACGCCTGTGCGTATCCGATCGAGCAGAGCCTCGATGGTTCGCCGGGTGTGACTCTGTTTGCTGTCGAGCGTAAATCGAGCCGCATTCTTGATACGCCACCCGTGACCGACCAGTTCCGCAATCCGAAAGTCGAAATCGTTCAGTGAGTCGAGCTTCTCGTCCACCTTATCCCTCAGCTGGTCGAAGCTGGCCTGTACCTCACGTACAAATTCGTCGCAGTCGTTTCCACACACGTGCCTGAATAACTGTATTCTACTTTGAATGTTGCGGTGCAGATGTTCGTAGTAAGGTCCTAGGTTGTTGACGATGCTCAGCTGCACTTCAAGGGCATCCTCGTCGTAATGTTGGCAGTCGCAGTCCGGGACACCTTCGAAGCCGTCGCAGTTCGCGTGCTCAATCTCAAAGGCGGTTCTCTTCGAGTCAAGCATATCCTCAAGCGTCCTGTAAGCCTGCCATAGCAGGGTTTCGCCCTGACCAAGATTCAGCGGGGCAGTTTGATTGCTATTGACCTTGAGGTTTCGTGTGATTTGTGCTTGGCGCCTTGAGGGATTCCGGCTCTTGAACACAAGTTCTAGGGTGTACCCAGGGACAAACTCCCAAGTCTGAGTAGATTCTATGAAACGGGAACGAGGTACGCAAGAAAGATCCGGAGCACCACTGAGGGAAGGCTTGAAAGTGGTGGGTCTGTCGTGGAAGTAGTCTTGAGAGGGGTCGTTCGTCCATTTGAAGTGCTTGTCATGGTGCCTCAGAAAGACGCAAACAATGCTGTGAGTCGAGCCAGTTATGTCCTTGGCTAGAGTATTGGTGATGGTTTGTTTCTGGTAGGACTGGAAGGTCCTCTCGGCCCATGTTCCAGGATATCCATCCCGCCGAAGTTGAAAGTTGATCTCGAATCGGGGAGCCTGACGGAGTCTCGCATTTAACGCCTCCGGGTCATGGCGGGTGATTAGTTCCTTGCTGCAGTGATCAATTCTCTGCAACAAGCCTCGACATATTCGATCGGTGGGTTGGAAGTCTGCTGAGCTGGAGAAGGTTCGACTGTAATGTAACGATTTGACGACAGGGTCTAGAAACTTGACGGTGACCTTGACCTGGAGGGGTGCGTTGTCGATAGCGAACCCGCTTTCCTCCTCGATTGGCGACAGTAAGCCTCCAAGGCCCATATTGACGTCTTCCTGACTTGAGAAGCTGATTGAAAGGTTGAAGCTGGGCTCGTCGTCGAGACCATTTTTTGAGAGATTGAGGGTCCGGAGCTGTGGATCGCTCGCCCTGATGCGATCGGACGCGTCCCAGGCCATCCTTGAAATTAATGCGAACCGTTGTCAATGCTGGATGGGGTATGCTGGCAAGGACAGGTGTGTAAAACTCGTGATTCAGCACCAGCGGGATTTCTCTACCGCTCCTGAAATAGATGAAAGCAGCTTGTCGCGTTTTTGAAGGTGAAAGTGAGTGTGTGCGTGTGTACACCAAAGAACTGGCAAGCCACTACGGACGAGGACAAAGTAAACAAGATTGAAGCGCCATCTCTGGCTAGTAAGAAGGGCTCACTAATGGAGAGGCGTGCAAAGGTAGTAGGGACGCATGAATGCGTGCAGAACACCAGTGAGAGAAGGACAAGTGGGATGGGTATATGTGTTCGGCGTAAGTAAACACTGGTAATTAGGCCTATGCGACCGAGACCATGACCATGACCACGTCAAGAAAAGGCAGCCATTCATTCATTCACTAGAATGACCTGTGAGCTACCAAGGTAGGCTGGGGCTGAACCAAGGCCCTGCTTCTCTCAGTTATATCATTACTTTTGTTTCGCCCTTCCGTCCCAGCCGAGCAAAGTGCGCCCAGGCAGGCCGAGAAGGCCATTGGCTCCTTCCGGTCAACAAGAGCAACGAGGTCGTGCGAGTGCATGTGCGTGGAGACAGGCGTGCATCGCGCGCGGGGACTTCCCAAGCAACCGGGACAGGCCGGGGTAACGGAAACGAGAGGTGGTATCTACCCGCTACCTACCTATCTAGCTTGATGGGTAGTCGTGAGTAGTGTACGTGGGACAAAGCCCGCCGGGTAGGCTAGGGCCCTTGGAAGAGTGGCATGACGCCGGGCCGCGAGGTTCAGGTCGCGGCCGTTTGACGTGGCATGACACAAGTCTAAATTAGGTGGTGATGTGCCACTTGGCGAGGCCTGGAAGGGAGCACACACAACTGACACATTACCAACCACATTGCTCGTGCTCGGGCAGTGCCTGTCCTGCGATGCCCCGCGTGGGATCCAAGATGCCATCCCATCCTGGGCGTTCCGATTAATCTTCTTGAACCCGACGCACGGGGATGGAGCCCACGGGGCCAGACGGTGGGCAGACACCTGCAAGCACTCAAGCAGTCAAGCACCCAGGCACTCTCACTGTCCCACCGAGCAGCCCAGGCGTCAGATGCACATTCATGCAGCCCAAGGTACGGGGCCCGAGTGGCTGGGGCTAACTTGTGTTGCGTATTCCGGCGAAACAGGTCGCGGTTTGGGGGAGAGCTGAGGACAGAAGAAACGGGTTTCAATGCGGCCGTGCAAGGCCCAGCCAGCGCTAAGTTGATGCGCCGTCCGGTCTTGGGCCTGGAATCAGGTATCAGGCCTGCTGGTAATCCAAGCGGACGCAGCCTGGATCGCTGATTGAATGCGCTGGGAGATGAGGAGGCGATCGCATGAAGGAGGGAACGTCACGTCAGCACGCGAAAAAGGAAGAGGACAAAGGACATGACCTGTCAGGGCAGAAATCACAGTGGGGCCATTTCGCCCTTTCTCACATGTGCCAGTGGGCACTCGCACCTGCGCCGTCTCTGCGGGGGCGGAGCCCGAGTCCTCTGGAGCCCGAGTCGCTCCATGGAGCCACTTTGAGCTGACCTGCACATGGGCCACTTCCTCTTTCGCATCTGAGATGGAGTGATGAGAGATTTGCAAAGTTGGAGTGGAGATCAGCTCTGAGAGGCAGGTAGACTATCAGCTCATCTTCGCGTTCTGTTTAGCAGCCATGATGCAAGTAATCTCTCGGCCCGGTTGGTGGGGTGATTCCTGTCCTCGCTCCAAATTCCAAGATGGAGGGGCGATGGGGTCATTGTCTTGAGAAAAATAAAAGTTATGAGCAAGACATGTTTCATTTATATTCTCTCTGCTTATGAAACACTGCAGGTCAATGGGAGAGAATAGAAACAGCTTTGGGATGGTGTAGATATTCATGTTAATATAGAATATGGCCACTGATAAGAAATCACATGTCCCTGTTGGTTGCCTGCTTGTGTACACCTTGTAATCAGTCATCACATACTGAGGCCTAGATCCCCATCTATCTGGAAGCTCCCATGCCGTTGAGACTTCTGAGTAAAGGAGACATGTAAACGCTCTTTGTAAAATCTGCAAGTCGCTGCGCTATCCCTGAATATCGCTGGCAGTCACGGCATCGCTATCAACCCATCACAAGTCGCAGAGTACTACTGCTACATCCGTGGCTCTCACCCAATAAACTCGGTCGTCACCATCTCATCCCATGGCCTGCCACTCTCCCACACCTTCTCCACCAGCACCTTGGCCCGCGCAACCTGCAAGAACCCGCTGCGGGCCATGCTCCCCAGCCTCTCGCGGACCCTGGCCCGCCGCTCCTCGTCGGCGAGCGTCTCGCACGCGGCCGTGAAGAGCGGGAACAGCAGGCTGGCCTCGGCGCTGCCGCCCAGCGGCACGCAGTCGATGCAGGCGTGGATCTTGAGCACCGCGGCCTGCACGTCCTCGTGGCCCGACGGCTTGCCCAGCACCCGCCGGTGCAGGTGCACCAGACCGGCCCAGTGGAACGCCTCGTTGAGCGCCGTCATCTCGCGCTGCTCCCACCGCACCACGTCGCCCGACGCGTGCAGGTGCTTGCACGGCTGCGGCGGCAGGATCATGCTGCGCTTCGCCTCGTCCTCCAGCTCCCACGCCCTCGTGATGATGTCCTTGGGCGGCTGCCACTCCCTGCCGAGCACCCCGGGCGCGTGAGGCAGATCCACCACCACGGCGGCGTGGGCGGGGGCGGCGATTGTGCCCCCGCCACCGCCGCCGTGCGCGCGCAGCGCGTCGCACTCCTTGGCCAGCTCGGCCACCTTGGCCAGGATGTAGACGCCGCGCGTCGTCATGCCCATCAGGCAGTCGATCTCGTCAAACTCCTCCTCGTAGTCGTCCTTCTGGTAGTCCAGGATCCACGCCGTCGAGCTCTCCCTCCGGCCCCCGCTCAGCGTGCCCAGCACGTCCAGGTACGCCAGCCAGCTCCACAGGAACGCGCGCACCTGGTCCTCCTGCGTCCACCGCCGCGACCAGCGGATCCCGTCCGGCCGCGACGCGATCAGCTCGCGCGCGAGCCCAAGGTGTCGCTGCCACGGGATAGTATAGCCGAATGCGGTTGGGCTGACGATCTCCAGTGACGCGAGCATGATACCTGTTGCTATGTTGGCGTTGGATATCTTCTGGTTCGGGTCGTTGAGCGCGGCTCGCAAAGCTGGGAAGATGTCTTGCACCCAGTGTGCTATTCGTGTCGCGGGCTCTGGTTGGTTCAACAGGTGGGCACGGTGAGAAGCTGTGATATGATTTAGCATGAGCCCTCTGTCTTTCAGGTTGGGATGAGTGTAAGGATCCGGAAAGGGGTACTGACCAGAGTATGCCAGCATGAGGCTCAGTAGATTGTCGTTCTGGACGGCCATCTGTGGCAGGACATGTCTGTACGGATTGGACTGCTCATCATCGTGAGGGACAAGGGCTTTGGCTGTATGGTTCATAAAATGATGGAAGTACAGCAAGTTCATTGGATTGTCGCGCAGCTTGGAGGGCAAGGGCTCAAGGTCTTGAGGAATGCGGACCGGCATAGGGCGGTTATAGTACCCTTGCCGGCGTGTCGCGCTCTTGTCCTCTGTCCTGATGGACTCGGCCGCCCTCATATCATCCTCGGCAGTGGAGTCCCTGAACGACTTGATTATAGCATGGGCATCGTCATTTTGGCCGAGGTCCAAGTCCTTGAAACCAGGATCGACTCCATAGTATGTGGTGACTTGCGACAAGCACAAAGTAGTCCTTGCATTGACTGCTCTCTCCGATGGCGGCGCATACTGTCGCGCTACCGGGCCGGGAGGTCCTGATAAAAGCGAGTTGACTGACATCTTGCGGACATCAGGAGACCCAAGCATCCCATGGCTGGAAGAGGTTTGGCGCCCTCCGTCGCTATACGGCGAGGAGGCAGCTGGCGTCAATGGCGAGGAGGCAGTGGTGGCTGTAGCTAGCCCGGTGCTGGTGATGCTGGGGAAGAGCCGAGGTGTGGCGCCCGCGGAGGTGGATTCGGTTGGTGACGAGATCTGCGGAGGCACGTCGAGGTCGACGCTGTACTTCAGCCGCTTGAGCGGAGGTGGGCGTCCGATGCCATCGATGCTATTCTCGGACGCGGAGGCATATGGCCCTGATACGGCGTTGAAATTGCTGATGTGAGGTTGAGGAAGCAATGGTATTGGACCCGAAAAATCAGGAGAGCATACTGGTATTTCGACTGAGTTGTCGCGGGCATGTCCTCTGGATCGGCCGCCAAAGACATTCATGCCAGGGAGGGAGCCCTTTGAGCTTGTGCCGGAGGAGGAGGCCCTTGCGGGCTCCGAGCCTGGGATTGTCTCCTGTTCACCGGCTCGGAAGCTGCTCATCGACGGCGACTGCCCCTCTGTCATGCGCGATGTCGTCGCGATGGACGATGCAACTGATGTACACCGCGCATCTTGCTGCGAACTCGATGAAGATTCCGAAGGGACTTGGAATAGGATGGTCTCGAAGCCAGGGTTCTTCTTTTTCCTCCCTTCCCAATTCAGCTTGATACTATAATCACACGTCTCACCTGTGCGTTCACAGCTGATATATGTTAGAGCAATTGTTGCACAAGCTCAGAGAGAAGGTATGCTCGGATGGCCTGACGGCCGACTTTGCCTCCACTTGGATGGTCCGCGCAGGCTGCGATAGTGAAAAATAGCACGTCAAAAGGGCACCCTGGGAATCCACAGCCAGTAGCGAAACACGTCAAGGTTCCGTGGAAAGTCCTAAGTTCGTTCTGGTGATGGCTCAAGGGCAATTGTGGCACCTCGGATACTCATCTTGCAAGAGCCATTCACTATTGCGTAACCTGCCGGGACATTCCGAGCAACGTAAAGGAGGAGGTGAGGTTGTTATACTTTACGCATATAGGTCTCTCTTCTCCACATTTCACTTTCCTGGCTTTACATGGCCTGTCACGGGTTATCAGCTTCCTGTTCATCTGTGAGTCTCAGAGGCTGTGGTGCTCACCAACAACCATTCCTACTGCGTTTCTTCGGTTCCGGCGCACCCGGCCTCTTGGGTCGAGGCATACCTCGGACTGGATGTGGCCCGGTCTGTCGTCGGTGTCGTCCGCTTCCTGTCGCTCTTCTGCTGGCGGGCCAATTAAAGCGGGGTTAAAGCTGGGAATCCCCATAGTCCACCCTCGTCAGTCGTGGTCGTTTGGGACAAGGTCACGATGGGCCGGTAAACAGACTTCGACCTGCCAAGAGCCCTCATTCGCCCAATAACACAGTGTATCACGGCCAGCGGGCAGATCTGCACGAACGTCTGAGTCTCATGCGTGGAAGAAGGATGAAAAAGGGATCGGGCCGCATGAGAAAAGGGAAACCCAATGGCTGGCAGTGATTGATTCAGGCGCCGGATAGCCCCTTGCAAAAGGTCTTGGGATGATAAGGCTAATACGCGGCTGCTTTGTGGATCCCCGCCCAAGTCGGCATTTGGCCAAGATCTAACTGGGCGCCAGATAGCTGTGCCGTCACGTGGGGTTGCAACGATGCAGTACGCCGATCGGAGGCTGAATATTAGGGGCGAAGACAGCTACGTGTTTGCTTCTGTACAGTAAGTAGCAACTACAGACATGGCGGTCATTCGGGCTGCATTGGTCGGGAGGCATTATTTGGGTGCAGCTGGCAGAGCCGCCAAGTTGCTGTGTAGTTCGCTCTGCAACAACACGCCACAAACATCCGGCGCAGCGGTTACGTCTCGATTTAACTCTCTATACAATGTCGATGTTCAGGATTTTGATATCCTCTTCCGGCCTCTCCTTGTGGGTCCGGGCATTCTCGATCTTGTGTATCACATCCAGTCCCTGAACAGCTCGACCGAAAATAGTGTGCTTGTTGTCAAGCCATGGCTGTTCACATTGTCAGCCAAATGCAAACCTTTGCGTAGAGCTCCTTGGGGAAAATTACTTACCGTCTTTTCAGTTGTGATAAAAAATTGGCTGGCATTCGTATTCGGCCCAGCGTTGGCCATGCTCACCGTATAGGGCTTGTCATGCTTCAAACTACTGAATTCGTCCTCGAACTCCCTGCCCCAGATACTCTCGCCGCCCGTACCGTCTCCTAACGGATCTCCACATTGGATCATGAATTTCCGGATGACACGATGAAAGATCGTGTTGTTGTAGTAGCCTCCTTTGGAATGCGTCACAAAGTTTTCCACTGCTTTTGGTGCAGCATCCGGGAAGAGGCGGATGTGGATGTCGCCATAGGAGGTGTGTATGATAGCCGCAGTACCTGTTTCTTTTTGCTTTTCTCGCCCTGCTTTCGTCTTCTTGCCGTCCCCTGTGGGCTTCTCATTTTGAACATCACGAGTGCTCCTAGATATTTCTTCCTCGTTGGTAAACATGTAGAACCGGACCTTCCCCACGCCCGTGGCGAAAATGATAGGGTCTCTTGCTTCTGATTCCTCTAATAGTGGATTGCTCGACGCAGCCATAGCAACGGTAGTGACACCCTTCTTCTGCGGCGCGCCCTGGTAAATGGCAAGATTCAATGCCCGGAGTTGCTCATCTTTGCCGAACACTTTGACCACCTGGTTGGTGTAGGTATTGAGCACCTTGATTCCCGCGATAGAACCGTAGATGATGAAGTGGCCGGACTCGTCATACACTACGGTGGCCTTATTGCGGTAGGCTGGTGATTCAACTTCCCGCTCGATAGCCAGCCGTCTTCCAAACTCGACTGCGTCTAGCTTTTGAAGAGCCGTGCCGGCTTGCTGCATCTCCTCAATAACTTGCAGAGACTCATCGTACGTCCTATACAGCTTGGCCGTGGCGAATTCGAATATCCTGATTTTGCGGTCCGGCATCGACCAAGTCACAAACTGATGGCCAGATGGTGATATCGTGAGGGACGTCGGAACAGACTTTGCTTTCTTGAAATCGAACAGGTTCGTCGAGCTCTTGTACTGGAAAACATTATCCGGCTTCTCGTAAGAGCCACCCGGTGTCCAATATTCCACCATGCCGCCCTGATCTGTCGATACCACGCAGTCGTAGGCATCGTTGAACGCCATCAGGCTCACCGGAGTCCTGTGAAGACCTTTCACTGTATGTATCGGCTCCTGTTTCTCTCCCCTGCCATCATACACATGGATGACGGGCTTTTCAGCATCCGAGACAGCAAGCAGGGGTAGACTCGCACCCTTTCTGTGCACCCAGCAAACGCAGTTTGGTGTGTAGTCCAACGGCAGCATGGCCAGGAGGTCGAACGTGATAACGTCGAATATTTTGATGGTTTTGTCGTCTCCAGCCGTCGCGAAACTCCGCCCGTCCGCGCTGCACGAGACAGACCGGATCTCGCCCTGATGGGACTTGAACTCCTTGACGAACTCGATGCCTTGGGCAACCTTCTTCCAGAACTTGACAACGCCATCCACGGAGGATGTGATCAGGAAGTCGGTATTGGGAGTCATGGTCACGAAGGAGAGCTGCTCCTTGTGCATCAGGGACTTCGAGTAGCGGATTGATTTGGGCAGGGCGGACACGTAGAGCTTCTCGTAGGGGAGGACGCGGCGCTTCTTCTTGGGAGCAGCTGCAGATGGTAGCTGCGGGCCCATATCATCGTCGGATGAGCTATCTGGAGTCACTTTCGTCAGTCTATTAGAGGGTATAGACAGGGGCTTGCGGATAGTAGGTGAGCTGCTCTTACCCTCCCCCTCGAACTCTGACCGGTCTCGCTTCTGCGATCTGACATCTTCGTCCTGCTTCACCTCTGCCATCTTGTCGGATAGAGTACCTTCTGAGCTCAAAGAGGGCTCACAGCCATGCGGTCAGAGGGAAGCTCGGTGTTATTACTGCTAGAAGGTGGGTGGATCGCTTTGGGCTATCCGATGTGGGAGCTCTGAAGGCTGCAACTCGGCTCCGCTGCTTTTTTTGGGAGCCTCTTACACAGTCAAGCTCACAGGGCTTTTATCGATAACGGGCTGCGAGGCACGGTACCCGCTAAGCCCTATCCGAGCTTGTCCCAACTGAAGAGGCCATTGACCAACCGTCTTACAGCCAGCCAACAGGGATCCCACAGGTCCTTGTAAGCAGGTAACTACCACAGGACGCCTTAAGCAAGCGACTGTGGAAACTTTGTGATCTAATGAGATGAACCGTTAAGGTTTATATCTAGGTAGGGAAAGGATAGTAATGCTCCATTTGACGTTGTTGGGCATTGGCCAAATTTTGAGAGGACCGTTGCAAGCTGTGCATGGTTTCTCATTATCTACATTCATTCGGTTGATTGTTCACTGAATGGACTTGACTGCTGGAATTCAAGGTGCAGAACTCCTTTGCGGCCGGTCCGCTTTCGTCAAATCTCATTATAATCGTACATTTAATGCCCGCGCCTTCGTGTAATCCAGACAGAACCAGGCCCATGATAATTTAGTCGCGATCGTGCCACCTGTCGTCAACCAGTTCGATGTCTGAGTTATGCGATCCTCCATCGCCAGAGCTCGGTCCAAATGTAATGGTGTTTGTGACACTCTTTTGTATCCCGCCACTCAACTTGTAGCGTGGCGACTTGGGGGTCATATACGGTGGTGGTGTGTTTTTGCTGTCCCCAGTGCTCCCGAAGCAGCTTGGGAATGCCCTCATCAAAAGCGAGCGGACCGCAGGCAGGCAACAGCAAATGATAGTCACAAAGAGCTCTAAGACGCTCCAGTAAGCTGTCGGGACATTGTCATCTAGCAAAGGGAGTAGAGTCTGTTAGAAAGATATGTGCATGCTCTCGAAGTCAGGGTCTAAAGCTTACAGGTGGCGTTCGTTGTCGTCGCGAACTTAACCAAGGCAGAGAGCCGGACAACGCTGACTACGGTGATACTGCAAGCATAAAGTGGTCAGTATCAATTAGACACGATGCCCTCCTCCAGATCTGAAGGCTGGAAAAATCTTACAAGAGTCCGACACTGAACATGAGCACCAGCTGGATCCTCTTCTTCCGCCCCATATTGAGCTTCCACAACTGTGGTATCGGGAGCAGGATGATGATGAGGTCGAGCACGATATTGATGCTGGATTGTGCCCATGCAAATTTGTTGAAACTGAAGCAGTGGCCCTTTGTTTCCCCTGTCCATGCCGTCCAGTTGTAGCTGACCGGAGTGCAATTGAATATGGTGGCGAGGCCCATGGCTGGTATGTAAGCGAGGCAGATGGCAACCATGACAAAACATGTTCTTCGGAACGTCTGGCTCGGAAAGACTTTGAGATACAAGAGCAGCATGGCCACTTTGGTCAAACCCTGTGCTACCATGTAGAGTATTTCTGTGAGCCAAGTGAACTAGGCAATGTCAGCCCCAACCAAGCTCTATTCGGGTTTAGAAAGGGTGAACCCGTACCATGATGATTCGTGTGATTTTGTCATGAGGGATCGTCCAGACGTCCTTTCCGAAGCCGTACGTAGACACTGTAAATCATTAGCATTAAGGACAAGTGGGATTGATCTAATTTGGAAGCTTACTTGGGAATTCGAGACCTCCTATCACCACGGAACAGGCCTGCTTTCTTTAGTTCCATACTCCAGTGAAAGTAGAAAGGGCTTGGATCTCTTACAAGAGACAAGACCACGCAAAAGTTGGACCAATGAAGTAGACTGTCCCGGGCTAAGCTGTCAACGAGCCTCATAGCAACTGCCACAATAGCGAGGGCCCCGGAGATAGCGGTGACGAGGGGGGTGATCATCGTAATGTCTCGAACAGGCTCGCCGCAGAGGGTTTTGGTTGCATTCAAAGCAGCTGAAAGAAGAATTGTACTCAGTACGAAAGTCGAACATTCTGATTTCGAGGCATATGAGCTTACTCAGGGCTTCAAGCGTTGTACATGCCGCCAGCGAGCAGTTCTGGACTTCCCCCATTAACGTAACGTCCGAGCATATGCAGGCAGTGTCTGTCGCGTTGCATGCTGACTGAGGGAGGAATGTTTCCAAGCAATTTGCCTGTCAAGACATCGTCAGTGATTGCTTGCCCGTTGAGTTGATCGCACTACTTACCGCACAAGATGGCATTGACACATCCGCCAAAGAGGGCAGAGTTAGGCCCCAGAGCAGCAGGACGGCCACGCAAAACGCCTTCATGTTGGCTCGAGGCTTGCTACCACTCCACACTCGTGGTCGAGCAAAATAAGGAGACAAGTTCAAGCGTGCAACATGTGGAGCACCAGGGAAAAGGTCTCCAAGGACAACTACAGCCAAGAGAAAGCGAACATGGCAACGAATATATCTCCTATTCCTTCGCCATCAGACGTTTCATACCACGTCACAGTGTAAAGTGGCGTCAATTGCAGAGACTGCTAGATATCTCGGAGGAGCTCCTGAAGAATTGAGCTCGAGTCACTCTCCCCGTTGTAGAGGCGTCGCCCATGCCCGAAACTAGACCACACTCGGCCGGTTACAGGGTCATCTGCACCCATACAACAAGGCTGTTGTAGCACCAGAAGCAAATGCGGATATTAGCCCTAGTGGACGTCCATAATATCCCATCGGATTATAGGAGAACGTGTCCACAATCAGGCTCTAGGACCGCAATACACTGTGTAAGCAGGTGTGCCTCCTCCGATAAGCACGGGCCTGGAAGAGGCACGGCAGATGCCTTGTTACAACATCACAAACCGAGTGGGCGAGCAAGTCGGGTCTTCCCGATCTCAAATACGAGTCTCTAGTACCTTGATCTCCGTAACATTGTTGTGGGTACTCGAGTTCTGTGATACTCTCGACGTGATGCCGGCAGAAGAAGCCGGAGGAGGGGCGAGTCATGATCCCTCAACTATACCCTGCGATGGCAGAAATAGAGTTTCAGGCCATGCAATGGTTCATCAGCTTTCCCGGGATCGTTGGTTACCGGGTGAGAATCAAAGCATATCTCGAGTGAACGCTCGGAGATTTATTACATCCAAGATGTCGTGCCCATCCCTTGTGTATGGCAGCAACAGTCGCGTGCAAAGTAGTATGGAGGACACTTGATCCACCTGGGATGTCACCCAAGTCACCCGTTTACAGCGGTAGCGTGGCTCCGAGTGCCTGGACTAGATTGGCGATCCTTCAGGGTAGAGTCCCTGCCGTTGATCATATGCTTGTCGTCTGCGGGGAGGAGGGAATCGACTGAAAGTCTATGTGCCTCTCTCCACGATTGTCGAACCATCATTTCTGCAGCCGAGTAATCGCCATCACAATGGCAATCTTGACGGTGGCTGCGATTGCGTTGTCCCTTAGACTGGCCCTTTGTGCCTCCGTCGTGTACGTGGTATGCTGGATCGTCTATACACGATGTTTCCATCCGTTGGCGAGAGTCCCTGGACCGTGGCTGGCTTCCGTTACACGAGCTGTAAGCAGTGTCTCAACTGGATCTGGAGTCTTGAAAATCAAGCGTGCCTGTGACTAGAGTCGCAGAATACTAGAAGAGAAGCACTGCACATTGTGTAACAAGTCACTGACGTAGAAAATGGCAGTGGTACATGATACAAATCGTACGAGGTGATATGGAAAGAACTCAGAGGTGAGCCATCGGTGGAAGTAACAGGAACACCTACAACAACTCCTGACTATAGACATAGACAGCTACATGCCAAGTATGGTCCGCTTCTGAGGATTGCCCCAAATGAGATCGCCTGTGCGGATCCAGAAGCCATAAAGTTGATTTATAGGAACCAAGGTGCTTTGGACAAGACTGAATTTTACCCTGTGTGGAATAATCAAGTAGGATCTTTTGCTACCCTCGCTTGGTTGAGATACACATTGACGCCTTTGACCTAGAATTTCAGCAAGCACAAAGAGTAACGCAGTCCCCTGCCCCAGTCCTGTTCCGACTGACACATCACTGACGAGGTGAATAATTCAGTGCCTTTACTGAGACCAAGGACAAGGTCCATGGCGAACGGAGACGTATTGTCAACCACGTATATACTCTGGCGAACGTCTTGAAATCCGAGGAGTACATTGACAGATGCTCCGACTTGATGTTGCTCCGTCTGAAAGAACGCGCCGAGACAGATGAGCCGATCATTGACCTAGGGCACTACCTCCAAATGTAAGCGGTACTCCGAAAATGTTCTCGCGTGCTGGCAGGCTGATCACATTGTCGCCAGGTACGCGTTCGACGTGATCGGCGAACTCTATCTCGGGGAGATGTTTGGCTTCCTCCAGAACAATCATGACCACGGAGGATGGATCCGCTCACTGGATCTACTGATGCCCTTCTTATGCTTGTGCGCCGTCGCACCCGTTTCGGCCCGGCCGTTCATTCTCGCTTCATCTCTCTTTGTGCCTGGGTCATTCAAAGCACTGAAGGCCGTGGAGCATATTGGTATTTCCGCGAGGAGCTATGTGGCAAGGCGCTTCGACGAGGGGACTCGACTGGAGTCTCGGAAGCGGAGCGACATGCTGCAGCAGTTGTTTGAAGTCCACTTGGAAAAGGGAGACAAGGTGGACTTCCACATGGGCGATATCGAGCAAGAGGCTTACGTTGGTCAGTGTGCCTCGTGCATTCCACCCCTCCGCCTCCCCGAGTCTTGTTCTTGTTGCAATGGTCTCAAAGCGCTAACGAAGTGGGCACAGCGTTGTTTGCAGGGTCCGACACGACGGCGATTGGGTTCCGCTCGTTGTTTTATCACTTGATAAAGAACCCAGATGTTTATGAGAAGCTCCAGAGCGAAATCGACCGAGGCTTCAGTTCCGGCCGACTCAAGTCGCCAGTGAAGTTCTCAGAAGCCATCAAGCTTGAATTCCTGAGCGCATGTATAAAAGAGGCGCTGAGAGTCCATCCAGGAGTACAGCTGACCATGGGTCGTGTCGTCCCTGCCGAGGGACTGGAGCTCAGCGGAATGTTCATACCTGGAGGATTTTGGGTGGGTATGAACCCTGCCGTCGTCCACTTTGATAAGTCGATATTTGGCGAAGATGCCGATGAATTCCGACCGGCCAGGTGGCTCGAGCCTGATGCTGCGGTGATGGACCGACACATGCTGACCTTTGGGTATGGCACAAGAACCTGTATCGGCAAGAACATCTCCTTGGCTGAGCTGCATAAGTTGACCCCTGAGTTGTTACGATATTTCGAATTGGAGTTGGCGGACAAGAACAGCGTGTGGAAGACACGGAATCTGTGGTTCTGCAAGCAGGAGAATGTGATCGTACGGTTGAGGAAGCGCAACATATGACCGCATATTCAGACACAGTGACGGGAAGCGCTGGTATTGACAGGGTCAGACCGCAAGCAGGAAGCTTTGTATGTAATGTGCCCCAGGTGGTGAGAAGGTATCGTAAGATGCCGACGGCACCGACGGAGCAAAGCCTCATCCGCTCGAGAAGATCTGAGCGAGCGGAATTCAACATGAGTCCGTTCAGGGACGTCACGCTTATGTAATTGCTCAGCCGAGGCAGCCGGGGTCTTGATTCCTAGCACGTCCGAACAGCTCAGAACAATGCGTCCACGATATCATTTCCCAAGACTGATCAATTTCATAGAGTTTCTGCTTCCAGCCTGCCGTTTTCGATCTAGAATACTTTGCATCACTGCAAATGACCACACCCAATCTGTAGATCTTCACGAGCTCTTTTTCATACTTTCGCGAACCTCCGGACACCTCCCAAGGTTCTTCAGATATAGATTTCCCTTCGATACCACCGCCACTCGCTTGCCATGGCACACACGATTCACCCATTGCAACGCCTGGCCTCGCCATCCAGGTCCCTCTCTGCAGTCATACATCTGCTGGGGATAGCATCTTTTTCAGCTTCTTTCAGGTGGCTCTTTCTCTATCCTAGCCCTGAAAATGACAAGTTCGGGGGAGTGTTTCAATTCTTGACTATCATCGGGTTGGCGCTCGCATTGACGAGTATGGCCCTCGGGCTGCTTGCGGACTTGACCTTAAGCCCTACTCTCTTCAACGCGAAGAACATAATCTCAGTTTGTTCAACACCGCTAGAGGTCCTCGTCAGCATCCTGTACTGGGGGATAACTCTCATCGACAAGCGTCTGCTGGTTCCCGAAGAGTACCAGCTTCCTTTCTGGCCAGATTTTGGCTTCCACGCAAGTAAGCCGCCCCTGAAGACTATTATGACTATATGCTGTGTTCGTAGTCTCTCTCCGGTACTTTCAATTCTTTTGCTGTGTTGGGATTTGTGAGACATGCAATGGGCAGAAAGCATTGCGCTCAATACCATTCCCAAATATTCCTTGATGCTTCCATAACTGACACTGGTTGCTGCAGTGCCTGCGATAATGTTGACCTTGGATCTATTGCTCCTCAGCCCGCCATGGACCATCAAGTTCCAGGGGGCAATAACTCTCAGCACGTTCTTGGCCTTCGCTTATTGTAAGTTCCTTTACAGGAGCCCTTCTCACCATTGACAATCTCAAAGGAACGTTGCCACAGGGAAGGCATCAGGGCCAACAGTCTCCCTCTGCGGTCACCTCATTCTCTGTGCACAAAGACGGGAATGACAATGGCTGACGAAGTCTCAGGGGCATGGATCGAATACACCTTCTCGCACAACCAGACGTAAGTACCTTTGCCTTGCCCAAGAAAAGAGAGCCACAAACTGACATAACTCCTCAGCTACCCGTACCCCATCTTCACTCTTCTCAGCACGCCTCAAAGAGTTGCGCTCTTCACATTTTCTGGGCTCACGTGTGCCATCAGTACCATGGGACTCAAGTGGCTGTATGGAAAAATCAACGGCAGTAAGTGGACTTTTCCCTTGGGAAACTTTGCTTGGTCCTCTAGGCGGTGCCGAGGTTTTGTGTCCAGGGCTTCAAGAACATGGACCCTCTTACTTTTCTACCCCCGAGATGGAGCTCATATTGACGTCGCTCGACGCGCATGCTTGCCATACTCCAAGTTTTTAATAAGGGGAGGGCCAATGGCTGATGATTCTTAGTTGAGGAATTCAAGAAGGAGGCTGCAAACCCGGTCAAGCTGGACTGAACAACTGGTTGCGGTCGGCGTCAACACGCTCTTGCTGTCACACGCAACTTGTGGTGAAACAGACATTTGATCGTCGACTCTTGGTTGTGTGAGAAGCAGTCGACATACGGATGTAACAGATACCCGTACTGTTGCGAGACCGTGGATCGAAGGGCAGAGGCATGGGCGGTGGCTTGCTTCAGTGCTGTGATACCCGGGCTGCTGGAGCACCACAGTACTGAGTGCTAGCTGTGTGTGCTCGACAAGGGCCAAAATAAGACTCGATGGAGCCAGAGTTCCAGGGTATGCTCCGCGAATTTTACTTTTGATAGAACACGCTGGATTGTTCCGAGCCAATGAAGCCTGAAAACCGAAAAGGGGTTGTCGAAAGTGCCTCGTTCAGCACCTGGACTGCAATGTACCTGCAGCTGAGCTGGGAGGCCCTCTGCCTGCCCCGCCAAACCGTCCCGGCCCCCCACTAAGAAGTGACTCAATGCTGAACCCAGTGCGCCAGTGCGCCAGTGCGCTCTGGTTTGAAATAAGCATACGTCAATAATGGCCGTCACCACAGCTCAAAACCTTATCGATCTGATTCACACACACACGCACTACAAAGCTCTGTCCTGGGCCAAATTTCTCGCTCTTATTTGCGATACCTCCCAGATTCTCTTTCTTACATTTTGCTTTGCCTTAGTAGAGATACCCAAACCCTCCAAGAGCGTGCATTGCAGCATTCTTTCGTCCGAACTTCCACCACCATGGCTGTAAGTGAACGACCGGCCCCGCTGCGCTGGACGCCGCGATGTGGCCCACTCACGCCACTTTCGATCGCTGACTCACCTGCGATTTGCAGTCCTTCTACATCGAAAACAAAAACGTTGGCAATAAGGCCGAGAGTGAGGATTGGAGAAGTCAGTACATCCTGGAGCTGCAAACCGCCGACCCACCATAGAGCATTCATAGCTAATTATACCCAAAATTTTCAAGTCCGCGGCTACAACCCTCTCACAGCACCCGACCTGCTCCAACATGAAATCAAACAGACACAAGAATCGAAGCGTACCGTGCTTGACGGCCGTGAGGAGGTTGTCGCAGTGGTCAATGGCACGGACGAGAAGCAGCGACTGCTCGTGGTCATAGGCCCATGCTCCATACACGATCCCCAGGCAGCCCTCGACTACTGTGACATGCTGCTGAAAGAGAAGGAGAAGCACAAGGATGAGCTGCTGATTGTCATGCGCTCCTACCTCGAGAAGCCCCGCACGACTGTTGGCTGGAAGGGTCTCATCAACGATCCGGACATCGATAATAGCTTCAACATCAACAAGGGCCTGCGCCTGTCGAGACAGCTCTTCGTGGACCTGACCTCGAAGGGGATGCCTCTAGCGAGCGAGATGTTGGATACAATCTCCCCGCAGTTCGTGGCTGATGTGCTGTCTCTCGGTGCGGTGGGTGCGAGAACGACAGAGTCTCAGCTGCATCGTGAGCTGGCGAGTGGTCTTAGTTTCCCCGTAGGCTTCAAGAACGGCACCGACGGCTCGCTTGGTGTTGCAATTGACGCGATTGGTGCTGTCAGGCATCCCCATCAATTCCTGTCAGTCACGAAGCCCGGTGTAGCTGCCATCGTGGGCACGGTCGGCAACGATGACTGCTTCGTTATCCTGAGAGGAGGCACAAAGGGCACAAACTACGATGAGAAGAGCATCAAGGAGGCCAAAGCAGCGCTGCAGAAGGCCGGCGTCCGCGAGAGAATGATGGTGGACTGCAGTCACGGCAACTCGCAGAAGAACCACAAGAACCAGCCCAAGGTCGCGGCCGTCCTGGCCGACCAGCTTGCCAAGGGTGAGACTAGTATCATGGGCGTGATGATTGAGAGTAACATCAACGAAGGTGAGTGCTTGTCATTCAGGAGCGAGCAATTGGCGGGGACTCTAGGGGCTGACCAGATGCACAGGAAACCAAAAGGTGCCCAAGGAGGGCAAGGCAGGCCTGCAGTACGGCGTCAGCATCACGGACGCGTGCATCGGCTGGGAGGACACCGAGTCTGTCCTTGCCTTGCTAGCCGACGGCGTGAAGAAGAGGCGTGCTATCATTGAAGAGGCCCGGGCGAAAGAGAACGGCGCATAGGGTGTCCGTCTTCCTCTCCGGCCGCGGCCAAACTGATGCGTAGGAATAAAAGATGGTAGGCGAGCACGTAGACAGACGTAGAAATCTGGGGTGAGCAAAAGTGCTGTTCCAAGGCGTTGGTTCTTCACAAAATCGATGGCTGGTAAGGTCCGGCTGTATAGGAGACACAGATAATGATATCAATTATGGGCAACTTTGCGTTACATCTCGTGTGCAATAACACACCTATACCATCTGTCACGTCTCCGATGCGCCTCACATGGTCGTGCAGTCCTGGTATAGAACGAGGTGGCACCTGTGTTGTATTCAATGCGTTGCTGGATGTGACCGTCATAGAGGAGTGGATTCGTGCCCGTGGTGGATGCTTATCCATGTGTGCGGTGATTGGCCCGTGCACCGTTGGGGTGTAATCGAGCAGCTTTCATTGGCAAATTCGGGATCTTACGGCTTGGACAGGTTTTGCTCTGCCCTGGCTCTCGACCTCAATCCAACCCGCCTACCGACCACTAGACCTCAAATCTCCAGGCATTGGTCCTCGATTCCAACCCCACTCACCCACTCATCTCCTCGCAGCATCCTCTGAAAGCCGAGCAGTAGCAGCTTGCCCAAGATGTTTGCCCGGTCCTGCTTGCGCTCGACGCGCGCCTTCTCCGGGGCACGAAATGGCGCCATGAACTTTGCGAAGGTACGAATCGATCCGTCCACCGACGATGGGGGAAGCAGCTGGGCGAGATACAGCATCACCGAGGCCCAAAGATCACAGTCATACATCAAGTCCGGGACGGACTCATCGCTTTTGGGTTGGGGCTAACGAGCTGTCTGATTCATAGCGCGCCGCGTCCACGACCAGCAACGTAAACGCCGCCGAGGGAAGACGACTCAACATCGCCGCCGCAGCCTCGACTGCTGCGGCCCTCGGCTCCGTCGCTTGGTACTACCATCTCTACGGCTCCGATGCCTTCGCCGCGACACAGGCAGAAGAGGGGTGAGTGAATCAATTGCCTTCCTGCTTATGCTTGGGAACACCGATGTATCTGGGATGCTTGGACTGTATGAGGCATATACACATCAGCCAAACCCAGAGGTTTTCCGTAAGGGAAAGCTCAGAGCTGACAACAAACGCATAGTCTCCATCCTACCGCATACCCTTGGGTGCACCAACAGTGGTTCAAGACCTTCGACCATCAGGCGTACGTGTAAATGCACTCCCCCACGCCCCGAAAGTCAACTCACACACATCCGAATAGGCTCCGACGAGGTTTCCAAGTCTATCAAGAAGTCTGCGCATCTTGCCACTCCCTCAGCAGAATTCCTTACCGATCTCTAGTCGGTTCCGTGCTCACCGTCGACGAGGCCAAGACCATGGCCGAGGAGAACGAGTACGATAGCGAGCCCAACGACGAGGGCGAGATCGAGAAGCGGCCCGGCAAGCTTTCCGACTACCTTCCTGCGCCCTACAAGAACGACGAGGCTGCCAGGGCTGCCAACAATGGCGCTCTGCCCCCGGATCTGTCTCTGATCGTCAAGGCCCGACACGGCGGTTGCAACTACATCTTCTCCCTGCTGACTGGTTACCCCGAAGAGCCCCCAGCGGGCGCCGTCGTCGGTGCTGGCCTGAACTTCAACCCCTACTTCCCTGGAACCGGTATCGCCATGGCTCGTGTCCTGTACGACGGACTGGTGGAGTACGAGGATGAGACCCCGGCGACAACGTCACAGATGGCCAAGGACGTGGTTGAGTTCCTGAACTGGGCCGCCGAGCCCGAGATGGACGAGCGGAAGAAGATGGGAATGCAAGTGCTGATTGTGTCGTCGGTTCTGTTTGCCATCAGCGTGTGGGTCAAGAGGTACAAGTGGGCCAACCTCAAGTCCCGCAAGGTGGTCTACGACCCACCAGCAGACTCCAAGATTCGCCATTAAACATAAGACAGCAATGCGGATAGAGCAGTGAGACAACGGGCCTATCGAGGTCTGATTGGTGGTCTCGTCATCACAAGTGGCTGCTGTATGTGTATAATGTTATCAAACTTAGACTCCTTCCTCCCAGGTTTCTCCTATCTCACTCGCATTGACGAAGTAGAAAAAAAAAAGAAAGAGACATAGGGACAGGGACAGGAGTAATCTTCGGGGTTGTTAGAGTGTATATCAAAGCTTTCAGGTCTCAATTTAACCATTTTCTTGTGTCCTCAACACTGCTCAACACATGTCGAGGAGATGGTGCTCGCTTAGCTATGTGGAATTTGTACATGTACCCCCAGCCGTCAACCTGAAATTTTGGTCCGGCAGCCAGCGTTCGGTCAATCCAGAGCATTCAGCTTTGTCCTGCCTCTGAAAGGCCTCGTCAAAAAGTCGACTTGGCATTGGCCAAAAGGTCCCTAACGTGGCGATTTGATTAGAGTGCCAGGAAATTGTTGGTGGTGCCTGAGACTTCAGGACCCCAGCGCGCCTAGATACGGCGGTACTGTTTTGAGGGAGTCGTATGTCAGTGTTTTCTGGTCCGTGCTCACCCTCAACGGCCACCTCGACTTCAATTCCAGAACTCAACTTTTCATTCCAGGCTTTGATCTGACATGACACTCTCTATGCATCATTGAGAAATTTGCACTGAAGGATTCAATGCAGTCTCATTATGTGAGACTGTTCTGAGTTTTCACGTCACTCGAGATGGAGGCAGTTGTCAACGGGTCCGTCGCGGCCAAACGCCCATGTGCTGCACGATCAACAACGCTCGATGCGGATGCAGCCAGAGATCTGCTCAATTATTTTGAGATTGACGAGAATGAGAAGGAGTTCCTGATCTCGGCAATAACGTCCAGCAAGGCGCACGAGGACGAAGTCAAGGCCCTCCTGCACGACCGCGCATTCTCTTCTCACACGTCAGAGGATGACACGTCTGAGGATGACGACCACGAAAATGACGGCACACCAGCAGGCCGCCACCCAATACCGTGGAGAACGCCAGAGAACCCCGACGCCCCACCAATGGACGAAAACACAGCTCGCAATCTCCTTTGCGGCTTCAACATCGACGATGACCTGAGGGAATTTCTCATGGCCATTATCATGTCCGGCAAGGTCTTTGAGGATGATCTCAGGCAGCTGTACAAAATCGGCCTCTCGGCTGGGTGGGAAACCTTTCAGGCTCAGGTGCAATGCGCGAAATCTTTGAGGGACAAGGTCCTGGCAAGGCACTATGGCGACGATCTCACGATGTACTTGGGGATGATGAGGGAGTCCGGACACATCATGGACTTTAGGGAGAGATATTGGCCTTTGGGAGCATCTGCACTCAATGCGAGTGAGAAGATGGTTGCTAGCAAGCATCTCTGGGGTGGATTGGTGGATGGAAACACGACTTGCTTGCAGAGCATCCAACTGGTTCACGATGACGATAACCAAGTCAGCAACAACATCGTACCCGTGGACAAGCCCCCGCCGGACTGGATGGCAAGCAATCCTCAGCCCACGAAGGCAGTAAGCGACACCACCAAGAAGACCAAGACCAAGACGCAAAGCATAGATCAGGCTCCATCTTCAGCCAACGACGCCAGGTTTGAAGTCGTTTGCCCTATACGACGGCCGGATGGTTCTGTCTGTAACAAACGCTGCTACGACGGAAAGGCCTACCGCTCCATGCAGGAGCATATCCGCAAAGTTCACAAGGATCACTATATTCCAGGGCTCAACGCGAATGAGGAGAGCTTTCGTCTCATGGTCAACAACACACCCGGAGGAGGGAATAATGTCCCGCAGGCCACAGATGCGGCCAAGGCCTCGGATGAGCAGGCAGGAGGGTTCAACTCTCAGTTGGTCAGGCCAGCTGACTTGTCTTTGCCTTTGGCCAACGAAACGGCAGTAGATGCGGGCAAGAAGCGGCGAGTGGTGAAGAAAGCGAAACAGGCGCATGAGAAGAGCCCGGCCAAATCACCATTTTTTGCGAATGTCAATGTGCCAGCACCTGTTTCTGGAATGATTTCGGGACAGTCTGCTCTTGGCGATACTTTTGACGGCAGATCATTCCTGCAGCAGTTTGATAGAGCCCCAGATGGACTCGGAGCAATGGCACTTGGACTAAATGCCACCATATCACAAAGCTTGTTTCCACAGCATGTTGACGGCGTACTTCCCAGCTCCGTCTCATCAGATCGGAAGAGAAAGCGTGACGACACGAGTGACGAAGCACAAGATCAGATCTTGAGCCAGGACATGCAGCAAGGACTCGATGGCTCGGCTGGCGCGCTCTACGACCCGCCCGTGGACCCAAATCTTTTCTTTCAGACCTTACCACCGCAGCCAGCGCCTTCCGCCGATCCCGATGTCTTCGACGAGATGATAGATATACTGGGCCAACTTCAAGAGAATGCTCGCGAGGATCAAGCGAGACGGGAGATGGGTGGTCCGACAGCCGGCCATTACAACCCGCCGGTCGAGTCCACAGCCTCACAAGTCCTATTGCCCAAGCGGAACCCCTTCACTGCGCCTATGCCACAAGCAAAAGCGAAACCCGCCCCGAAGCAGGCCGCATCTCATTTCTTTGTTTCTCCCAGCAAGAAAATCGATGAGGCACGAACCGCCGCAGTGACACCAAGTCCGACTGCTAAGAAGACAAGCCGACCAGCCCGGGGCACTGTCTCGGCACTTCCGATCCCTCCGTTGGCAGGAGACAAGTTCGGCCTCGTCCAGGAAGAACTTGCCAGTGACCCATTCCGCCTTCTGATCGCTGTCACTTTCTTGATTAGAACTCCTGGAAGAGTCGCGATCCCCGTCTTCCGTCAGCTGATGGAGCGTTACCCAACAGCTCAGGCCCTAGTCGAAGCCGACCCCGCTGACATCGAGGCCATGATGCATCATCTCGGCCTGTCTAACCAACGGACCAAGACGATCCAGAAATATGCGCGGACGTGGCTCGAGCGGCCGCCTTCCAAAGACGTGCGCTACGGAATTAAGGACTACCCGCAAAAAGGCGATGGAAAAGACGTCCGCGCCGGCGAGGTCTTTGGCCCCGAGGACCCCGATGCCAACAAGGGCGACGGCGTCGTCGGCAGCCCCGACAGCTCTGACTCGTCTAAAGAGAATGACCCGCAGGCTAAGACCACGGCTAGAGGCCACGGCACGGCCTGGGAGATCGGCCACCTGACGACGGGCCGGTACGCCCTCGACTCATGGCGAATATTCTGCCGCGACGTCCTCCTTGGGCGTGCGCAGGACTGGAAGGGCAAGGGCCGGGACGGCACTTTCCAGCCAGAGTGGATGCGGGTCCTGCCCGAGGACAAGGAGCTGAGGGCCTGCCTGCGGTGGATGTGGATGAGGGAGGGCTGGGAGTGGGACCCCAAGACCGGGGAGAAGACGCCGCTGAGGGAGGAGATGCGCCTGGCTGTCGATGAGGGCCGGGTTGCCTACGACAACCAGGGCCAGCTGCAGATCATGGAAAAGGCGGATGGTCAGGTGGATGGTCTCGGAGGAGCTTGAGAGATGCTGTTCTTGGGTCATCGAGGCTGTCAGGCCTCTGAGGCTTGAGTATGCACTGTACTGACTGCTTCTATTCATGTAAGCATACGAGAAAAAAAATGACATTGTAATTGCCCAAGCTTGAGGGGCGGCACTTCCTTTTACCTGCCTTGCGGTGCGTGTACATAGTGTAAAGTGTTCGGAATTCTCGACTTCTGTCTGCTTGATCTCCTGACCTTCAGCTCGAGAAACAAGTAGATACCTGGGTCCTCCTGGCGTTTACTCACTCGATACAGCAGGACTACCAGACTCGACAACAATGAAGAACCGATCCTTGACTGACTGGCTTAACCACATCCCAATGAATGTTGCCACAGCCACCATTAGGTGATTCAATGCGGATCTGTGAATCATCAAGGTCTACTCAGGTCAGGTGAATGTGTCTTTCAAGTCAAACGCTGCCCTCCCTGATGGTACATAAAGCTGCCACGACAACTCTCTCCTCCTCCAGCAATAATTGCACCTACCAAACAAGACTACTTCAACAGACGCTCTCAACCCCCATCAAAACTCAGTCAACATGCAGTCCTTTACTACCATCACTATCATCGCTGCCCTTGGCTTCGCTGGTATCAGCTTTGCCGCCGATGGCTACCTCAAAACTTGCACTGACTTCGAAGTGGACGGTCTCGACGGCCAGCCTGGCCGTGAGGTCTTGCTCAAGGGGAAGTGCAGGAACTTCGATGGCGAACAGATGAATACCACTCTGGATCTGAACAAGTGCTTCGGCTGGTATGGTAACGATCCTGACGGTGATGCCTGTGGCTTCACCTTCCCCCCTGAAAGGTATGTACCCTGCGGGCCCCTCCCCCAACTCGAACGTACCACCTCGAGGTGGATCAAGTAAGTGAATTTCAGAAGCTGATGATGTCTCTTGTAGGAACTTCTCTGGATCTACTGTTCATTGCCAGAACCCTTGGCCAAGAATGGAAGACTTTGGCAAGAGATTCTGTAAGCCTCGTTACCTCAGAGACCCACAAACAATACTAATGCTTCCACAGGCTGTACGGGCTCTTGCGTAGGCAAGGACGAAAACGGTCATATGAAGCATGTTTCTATCATCAATCTGGGTAAACGCAATAACCCTTTGCTTATTTCATTGAGAAGCCTACAATCGCTAAACCAGACTCCAACAGACTCTTACATCGGGAATAGCAACGGCAGTCTTTACTGTTGATCGGGGAATGGAAGAGTCCTGACGATAGCACTGTTTTTGAGGCACAGGATGGAAACTTGTCGCCACGGTCAAAGGGTCCTAGTTCAATTTTGGCTGTTGGCTGCCTACAGGTACCCGGGTAGCTTTACAGGGAGTGGAGTTCACAGATCAATATCTAGATGCCTTCTCACATCGAAAAACCACAACTGAAGCTGGATTTTCGTTCTCAAGCTAGCTTCCTTACTCGGCCTGCTTGTTTATATGAATAAATGGAATGCCCTATTTCTACTCTTTGCGCGCCTTGCACGTGCATAAGCCAGGGAGGGGAATTGGTTTGAAATAGTTTGAGGGACATACATTATTTGTATCCAAACTGCTAAAACTTGTAAACGGATGGATACATGAAAATTTCTTAAATCCTATGTGGTGTAGTTAGCCTCTACCTTTTCCACCCGTCTCACAAGTAGCGTCCAAGCCTCTGTGAAGTCCGTCTGATGCATTCCAGTGTGAGAGGCCAGACAGATGGGTCTAAGACACGCAGCAATGAATCCACTCATACAACAGTGTAATTATCTCTATCTCAATTATATAAGACAGGTCCGTAAGCACCCCAATGACCAAACCTTGAAAGTAGTGTGGGCTGAAGCTTGTTGAGGAATGGCACGTCTCCCCACTAACAATAGGTTTATTGCGTGGGGTGGTGCGGGAACTTTTATTTGACTTGCTCTGCTTGTGTAGTCTACTGCCCATCAACCAGCTTCAGTAGTAAGTGCAAGACCTATATTCAGCTATCAGTTACTCACCTTGCTGATGAGGGTAAAACGGACAAGATTTGACACCAGTGATCTTGACTTTTCAGCCTACATCCAATTCTTACGTGACTGGCTTACCAGCACCATGCTCTCATCGGCCTATTCTCCAATCTGTAATCCGCTGCGAATCTGTGAATGACTTCAGGTCTTAGCAGGCCATAAGAGAATGACGACTGGGACTATAGATATGAAAGAGCAGCCCCAAAGCAGTCTCCCATGTTCAATCTCATGCAGTCCTTCTTCCAACACTGCACAAACTCAGAATATTAGATCGACACCTCCACAATTACAACCCTTCTCAACACCAACATTTGTTCAAGATGAAGATTTCCACTGCGACCAACCTTGCTGCCTTTGGCTTTGCTGGCATCAGTTCTGCTAGCAGTGACTTCCTCACGTCATGCAGTCAGTTTCAGTGGATCGACCGCGATGGATACTTCCAGATTTGGGCAGTATGCCTGGATGGGAATGTTGAGAAGCAGATCAAAATTCTTGGATCTTGATGATTGTTTCGGCTGGTCCAGTGAGCGCTGTGGCTTTACCTCCCAGCCTGCCAGGTACCATTGAACCCGCCTCATCCCCTCTTTATGTTTTCCCAAAAGCAGTCTATTGCCCACCCACTTGGACAGAAAGGAGAGCGCTAACTTGGCTTGACTGGTATGTCCGCAGCGGCCTTTCCAAGTCCATCCACTCGTGTGAGAACCATTACAACAACGACACTAACTTTGGCAACGAGTTCGGTAAGTCCCACCATCTCATCGTCTGAATCCGATACTGAATCTTTTCCAGGCTGCTGGGGTCCCTGTGATACACACGGCGATTCTCACAACACTTTCTCTCTCAGTAAGCTTCTGATTCTCTTTTCATGACCCCGAAGGCCACAATCACTAAATCTACATAGCAAAAGATAAGTACATCGGCAACAACAACGGCGTCCTCGTCTGCTAAGTTGAACAAGGAGGGCCTGATAGCAGACATCAATTCTGCATTACAGGATGGAACCTGCTTCGATGGTCGAGAGGGACTTATGCTGGTTTTATTTTTGGTTGTTTCTTACAAGTAACTGTGCATTTTTCTTGAAAGAGGGGGGTAGGAGCCCACTTGGTATTCATTATTATGTTCTCAACTCAGAAAGGTTATCGAGATGAAGCCACAATTTGGTTCTGCTTCTAATCCAGCTTGCCATTTTAGTAAAACCGAGCGGCTTATTTGACAGCCTATACTTTCTCATGATTGACCTGCTAAAGCTTGTAATGGGCGTGGCATGATGAGTTGTTGATGAAGACTTCCGAAACTTCGTATGGTGTTATCAACCTCGTCCTCCTCTGTCTCCAAGCATGTACGAGGTCTTTTGCTGCATTCCTGTGTGAGCAACTAAACAAATGATTCAATATACACAAAACAAAGAGCCATTAATGAAACAGGAAAAGTGAAAATCTTCATCTGAGGCAACAGCAGACATTCCAGTGAGCATCCCAACTTGCAAACCATCGGGCGTATGTAGACCTAGATCGGCCGAAGACGGTCTGGTCAGGGTGAAAACATGAAAGTGAGGGACCACTGCTTAAATTGAGGCTGCTCGAGAATTGAATTCGCAAATTGTTCGACAAGTGGGATGTGATTATCCCATATGAAAAATGGAACATAGGTTCGAGTGCACCCTACTTGATCAACCATCCCCCTCAGGTTGAGCTGCCCTACCAACATCCTACCCCATCAACTATCACACACATACACTTGTTTTCGACAACGAGAATCAATCTGTGGTTCAGCTGTTCTTTACCTTCCAAGTCCCACTATCAACTACTGGTTGCAACCCTTTCTCGCCACGATGAAGACCATGCTCCTTCACGTTGCCCTCTTCCTTACCACTTTGGCTGGCGCCATCTTCCAGCTCGCCGGTGGAAAATCCACTGGCATTGGCGGAAATATCGCAGGCTCAACCATCACCATCCCGACAGCGAAGCCTGTCCCTTACAACCAGTCCTGCACGGCGAGCACCTACGTCCTTAACGGAACCATTCTTAGCCTCTACTGCAACACCGATGATTACGCGAACTGGTACTACGATTGGACCTCGTACGTGCCGCCCATTATCCAGCTTAAATGACAGAGAATACTGACGGACTCGCCTCGTAGGATTGATCTGGACGTCTGCGTGGGCAACAATGCTGGAACACTGATTCCATACCCTGGGTGAGTCAACGGCCCCGTCCTTGCGAGTACACTCATTCTACCATGGTACTGAGTGGCCACACTGACTGACGCGACGCAGAGGAAACTTTTCCAGCAGCTGTGGCAACTGCAATGTCACCTGGAGCCACGTCGAGGAGACCCCTTACAGCACCACCTACGTCACCGGCGTCGACTCGGCCGCGTTGAGCAGTGTCAGCGCTCTCTTTACGCCTCGCTGGGACGACTTGTACCTGAGCTGCTCGGGCTGTAACGCTGGGTTCGGCACCACTGTCGTGCCCGGCCAGCTTCCTCTGAGTAAGTCTGCCACATTCTGGCTGAGAACCCTCCATCATCTGACAGATGGGGGAAACAGACCAGGTCCTGATCAACAACGATGGCACTCTCGGCTGCTTCAGCGCCTACGGTACCACCCAGAGAGCAGAGCCCTTGATTGCGCGTGTCACTGCCCCTCAAGTTGCCTTCGCAAAGCCCACCCAGACCTCGAATGGACGAGCTGCGATATCCACTGTCTAACGGCAGGCTTCCAACAACGGGCAGCTCGGCAAAGAACACTGTCGTGAACAGACGTGAGAGGCGGAATACCACGTTCGTAAGCGTTTGAAGGTCATGACTTGGGTCTAGGGCTAGCTCATGGAAGCCAGATTCGTTAACTGAACAAGCTATTGTGCAGGGCATACTTAACTTTCGGGTGGCAAAATAAAAGGCGTGTAGTCTGTAGGAAACGAGAAAATTTCCAGGAGCCTCTAGATCGTAGAGAGCTCTCTGCACTAAATCCGCATGAGAACCTGTTTTGGTATCAACCGTGCCTTGACTGAAGCTGCAAAAGCAACGATAAGCATGACGAATAGAGTCTCACACGGCATCCTGTCTCCTGCGGAAAGACCAAGATATGACGTGGAGTGAGGTGACATGCTCAGACCTCTCAAGACACGGAGACCAAGCAATGAGCATATGTGGTTGATCATCATGATTTGACGGCCTCTATCCGCCGGCTTCTGGTAGATCAAGCCCGTGCTCCTCCCCGTGCCACAGACATTGTCCCGGGTGACACAGACACTGCGGGGGTCGAAAACATCTAAGATCGACAACGGCTGCTGCGGTTAGTCCAATTATTAGGTCCAAATGGGGGATCCCCCGCTGACTCCCTGGCTATTCTGGGGCTCAGGCTCGAGCGTCGTCGGCCCCGAGGCCGTTGGACACGAGCCAGACGCGTGCTATTATAACGTGCCCAATAGAGCTGCCGATCCCTCGCTTCCCCCCATCTTCATTCGGCCATTTTCCGTCATCACCCATGTGTCCGCACGGGTGCAAGATCCGAGATCGAAAATCCGGTAGTAACCGTGCATATGGCTTTCTCTGCAAGTGGTGCCGGTTCGGACTAGTAGATCGCATCCCCGGCGAACACTCCATGGTTTAGCCACATATCTAGGGCCCAGACGCCTTGACAAGTACACCACAGTGCAACGTCGAGCACTGAGCCGGTGTCGACGTCCTGTAAGAGCGCATTAGTTGCCACGTTGCGGAGAACGTCAGGGACTCAATACCTGCACAGAGAACAGTGACCCCAGTCCGACCGCTGGGACTAGCCTCTAGTCCAGTACCCAAGTTCTGGACAGCAAGGACTGCGTCATCACCAGTCAGGGCCTCTCGTTCGGCGCAGCTCCATGTGGGCTTCCGAGCTAGGCATTATCAATGTTCCCCGCGGGCCAACAGGACTGCTTCCCCGTACCAAGTCTCTGAGAGGCTTTCGACGCCAAAATGCGGCTAGCGGGCGAACCGATGGCGCGGAGCCATTCGAGGCAGGTCATCCAGATGGCGTATGCCTGATCGCAGGATATGCTGGCATGCTGGGAGCGAGAGCTCCACTGTCAAGCCGGTTAAATGCGTGATGTAAATGACTGGTCCCTGCCGTCCGCTCACAGACCCCGTATGCGTCGATACCTGAAAGAGTGCTGCGTTGTTTTGTCATGATTCGCCGCAAGCCCACATGTTGCTATCTGATGATCTTGTCTAAGTAAATAGGTCGGCTCTCTACAGCATGTGAACGTATCTAAGCAAAGCGTGCAACGAATAGGGACTTTCAGGGAAATCCGTACCACGGGAGCATGTCTAAAGAAACAGCAAGTACTCTTGCTGTTGCAAGAGCAAGTCTTGTTGTACGCCGGGAATGGGCTGACGGGAAAGACAGGTCTTGGCAATTAACTGCACAGAACTTCCCTACAGTGGTATTCAAGCTTCACTAGCAGCCGGGGTAGCATGGGCTTGAGAGTTTTCGCCTTACTTCTGTGACCCGCAGACTTCCCATCTCGAGCTGTGGCGCCCTGCTCTTGACACAGCCGTTGAGAGTCAATTATGGCTCTTGCTGCTGTTGGATGGTGAGCATGCCCAATTGGGCATTATCGTCTCAGATGTCAGTCGAACTTCAGATGACACATGATGTGTCCCTTGAACAAACTCAAGCGCGTGTTCGACCCAGCCCTTCAGCCCAGGGGATCGAGTGAAGGATGCCCCCCTTCCCACCAACATCTGAGGCGCAGGGTGCGGGCAGCCTGTAGTGGAGGAGCTCTGGCTCAGTTCGGCTCCAAATCTCCGATCAGGCAGTTGGGCAAGATCTAATCAAGATCTAGACTCAGGATCATCGATTTGCTGCTTATTGGTATCCACCATGGGGTGAACATCTTTTGTGGGCCATTTCATCTATGTTTCCAGAAGGAATCCTCCTTCTTCCTCAGCGTCGGTTCGCTCTGCACTGGATACCCGTTCCGGAACTTGAACCGCAGTGTGGTAGAGTCTGGTTCGAAGCGGCCGCGTTCCTTGCAATGATGGGCATGGGTACTGATATACTCCATGCTATTACTGTAGGTTCGTCTGAAAAGCTGAAGGGCGGCCAATCAGCCTCCTAGGCTGACACCCCAGTCCTACATCATCAACTTGGGGGGCAGTCTTCCGTGCAGTAGCGGCATTCAGGCAAGGTCAACCTTGTCCTGGCAAGCTCCCATTGACAGCCGCGCAAGGCCAGGATCCTGAGGTACTGGATCCTGTCACCGCGGTCTGGCATCGTGCCTGACAGGGTGAGGGGTTTTCCCCCATGAAGCCAGACAAGCTCGCAGGACAGGAATGCAACACCGAGAGCTACATGTACACGTGCGCCGGTGGACGCTTCGACCGGTGTCGAGCCAACGCTTGACCGTATCCTGCCAGACTTACCAGTCACGACAGACGAATCACCGACCTGACTACTCTGTTCATTCCAGAAGGAGAGCGCCACTCGCTGCTCTCTAGGAAGATTGTGCGACGCAAAAGCCAGCCAGCATGGCAGATCCCCCTAGAGCTCCCATGCTTTCCGTCTACCGTAGCACTGCATATACGTCCGCCGCCGTGCAGTTTCATATCGGCCGAAGGAACAGTTCTAGCTCCCAAGGCAAGACAGGGCTCTCTCTCCCTCCTGGCACATCTGAAGCAGATGTCACTTTCCCGTGATGGTGGGAGGGAAGGGCCCGCGGGATGCCGGCAGAGAAATTGCACCCTTGGGATGCCAGGCGCGCCATAGACTGTCAGATCTGGATAGGCGAGCAAGTCCCCTAACCAGAAGGAGGATCCTTAGTTATTCATTGAAGGACTGAGGTTGTGCTTTGACTCCCTCAACCGTGTGCGCCACAAGATTGGTGTCGGCGCTGGTGGAGGATGGAAGCCACTTCCAGCCCGTGCGATGGCGCAAACGGCGGCTGGTACGCCGATTCCAATGTACTTGTGCACGGAGGCAGGATGGACTTTCAACACGCTAAATTGTGTACGCCGTTGGGTCGCGATGCTATCTTGCACAGTCGTGACTCTGTGGCGTTGGCAGTTTGGCTGGTGTCATCGTGGTCGCTTGCCCGCGTACTGATCAAACCCTTGAGAGAGCAGGCACAGTCAGTGTAGCTGTATCGAGATTGATTCCAGGAATTGTTCAACAGGTGTGCCAATTAGAGATCCACGAGCGGTCCCGTGGGGGCTCAGGTTGTAGATACACATATTATTTGTGACAAGATTCTTCTGCCGTCCTGCTCATCAAGTCGTGCGCAGAAGCAAAAAGGAAACCAAGCATGCGCTCATCATGCATTTTGCACTCATATTTCCCGTCCTCTATAATTACACTCACGCCTCTCCTGGCTTTATGAGCCTTGTATTGGCAGCGTCGTTGTCGAAGATGAAATCGAGCTCTGTTGGTTTGGGAGGGAATCGTGCGTCCTCGTCTGACTCGAGATGTTGACAGACGTGTGTACATTAATGCCACTCCCGTGCCCGGCGAAGTCCTCCCAAGGTGTGCTAGCAATCCTTGTCGACACGACTCCTTTCCCGGGGTACTGCGTCAGGACAGGCCCAGGTTCTTGTGGTTGCATCTCAAAGTCCATGTCGGATTCGTCGTTGTTTGATGTCGAGGTGGCGCCGGGCCCGGACTCAAGGCGTGATGAGTCAATGGTGCTAGGGGAGAACGGGCCATCGCTTAGTTTCTGCATCGTGTTCCGAGCAAAGCCCCAGGTGCATCGGTCGGTGCTCGCCGAGGGTCCGTAACGAGAGGAGCCATAGCCATATCTTTGTGTTGTTGGCTTGCCGAAGCCCATGGTCTTGAACAATGGCCGCAAAGTTGCCACACAACCGGCGATGATTCCAAGCGACGGTTCCATGACAGACCAGATGGCTACGTCTACTGTCTCGAACAAGAAGTCGGGAGTGATCGCTAGCCTCTTCACGAAGGGGATTCTCACGACTAGAGCAATTCCAGCGCTGCGAGTCACTATTGTTAGTAACGAAAGCCCCAGGAAGATCTGAACAGGTGGTTTCCCTTACACAGCTCCCATGCCCAACAATAAAGCAACCACGACCTTCGTCCTCTTGTTGAGCTGGACGTCCCATAGCATCGCCACGGGGAGAGCAGCGAAGACCAGATCAGTCACCGCTCCGATCACGCTATGGGCGATGACCGCATTAGGTAGAACATTAATGTTCATGCACCCACCGGGCTTTCCCAAGACCTGCTCGTAGAAATAGGAGGGAGGATTGCACTGGAAGATGGCGATGAATGTGAACACAACCGAGATAACATAGACGATGGCAAGGTTCCCATATATGACCCACTTGTGGACGGGCTCAGTGGCGACTCGGAGAAGGAACAGCGCGACCGAGGTCCTGACCATGGCTGAGATGGGAGCGTATATTACTTCGCAGATGTACCAGGCCTTGAGACCGATCAATGTCTCTTCCAGGCTGAGATTGGTGATGTGCTTGCCCGTGCCGCCGTCAATGATCCCCCACATGGCAACGACCGAGTAACCCGTGTACGCAAGCTGTTGGCTTTGTTAATTCTGTAAGAGCCGGACGGCAGCGTGAGAACTGACAATACTAGCTAGCATCCACCAGTCGTCTGCGGCAACATTCTTGATCATGATGACTCTGACATAGGCTCGAAGCAAAACCTGTCCAATGCTTGTCAGTGATTCGCCTCAAGAGACTGGCTTCTTCGAGTATCATACCAATATCCATGCCAGGCCCAACACTACCATCATGACGATGAAGAGCTGGGTGCCGCGGTCAGCAGTGTTGCTTGACAGCGCCATCTTGCTCAGATAGTGTTCCGGTAGTTTCGTCATTTTGACTTCGAGTATCTTCCTCGCCTCGTACAAGCCGTGGTCATGGCAGGTGTGGGTTCACCGTGGGTGCATTCAATATCGTGGTCGGAGAGCCTGAGGAGACTTACAAGCAGGATGTCTGGAGGACGTCTAGGGTCATATACTGCCAAATTTCGGAAATGGCCATGGCCGCATCGACAAGCCATCGATCCCCTGTGGCATCTCGTCGCAGGTACGTACACCTTGTGGTCGCTGCACCAGCGTGGTAATTGGGCAGAGCCGGTGTGGGATGGACCTGGAACACACTTGTCGATCGTGGAGTCCGGCGACTTGAGACGGCTCGTCGCTCCTCCACTGGCACGATACTTCCGGCGACTTGCGTCCACGCTTTGCTTCTGCCTGTGTTGGTGTACTGTACTCGTCATCAATTTGCAAGTGACCTTGTAATACCGCCAGGGGCAATCGAACGCTAGACTGCAATGTCTCCTCGCCTATGGGGCCCCGGCCAGATCCCGTACCAGTATGGTGAACGAAGCTACCAATGAGCTAAACTAGGCCGAATATGCAGTACTGTACTTGCACATGCTCGAGATCTCGAACCATAATTTAGAGCATCTCGTGCCGCGGAGCCAGTCTTCGGGAATTCATCTGGGCCACACCATTCGTGGACTTCAGGGACCACCTAAGAGGTCTGGGGGTCTGAGAACTGGAACAGGTCTGGAGCGGATATACAGAGTAGTCAGGGAACAGACCCATGGTGGCTTCAAGCACAGGACTGGAGGCTCAAACCAGAGCATCGGGATCGGTTCAACCGAAATGAACAAGCAGACCCCGTCAGTTCTTGGAACTAGAGGCCGGAACTTTTGTCCATTGGTTCGAACATCTTGACAGACTGATGAATGCAGGAGAGACGCAGGAAAGCACTGGACTCCACGTGGGCATCCCGTTCTCTGCCCCAGTTTCTCGGTTTCTGAGAAAGTAAAAAAAGCAAAAATGTTGTTTGAAAATATGCAGGTGCCCACGCGGCTCACAGATTGGGGACTGGGAACGAGCCCCACGGGCACGTCTGTAATTATGGCGGATGACAACTCGGCTTGGTTTCTTCAGCGTGGTGATGGCTCATTATGCGAATTGGGACGCTCGCGCGCGAACAAGAGACTCGGCGCTAGTGTGGCAGCTTTACAAGCTTCGCTGAAACCCCTATGAAAAGGTTACTATAATCAAAGGGGGAGAAGGCTGTCGCACGCGGAAGTCTGCAGGCGCGTGAGGGGGTTTAGCAGAAGATGTGGGCGGAGGAATGTCGGAATCACACGTGGAGTGCTAGAGAACCTTCGCTGCAGCCGAACAGTAATTCTCGCATCAGCCTGGCACTCTGAAGTAGTCACAATTCGTTTCAAGCTCCCAATCCGGATGGAACTGGTGGAAGGTTTGACGCGGGCGTCAGAGCCCAGCTGTTGACAGCTCGTTTTAGGGAAATGTCCGCACAGGGCGCCCTGGTCTAGGAAGCTCACATAGCCTTTCGACAAGCACGTCGAGACAGTGACAGCTGTCTAAATGGGCAACAGCGCGAGGACAGGGTCGGCCGTCTTAAGGGTGAATGCCAAGTTTGATAATGCATGGTCCCAGATCAACGCCATGCAGATAGATTGTTGGAGTCGACCGCCTCGTAACCACGTCTAGGAAGAGATTCTCCATGGACCTGCAGGTGCTTTGTAATAGCCGTACTTGGAGTGCTATCACATAGAACAGAGCCATCCAAGCAGACCAAAACCTCAGAGCAAGACCGCCACACTCAGTCGACGGCGGACGGCCACCGCCGGGTAGCGAATGCGATGCCTCTACATACGGACCGTGACCCGTGCTCAAGACTGAAGAAGCAAGATGTCAAAATAAAGTGGTGGATCTCGACTCGGATCCGAGGCGTGGTGGAGCAGGCGGCACGGGAGGCCCACTTCAGGGCTATAGTCCGGACAAATATGGGATATCTCTCCGCTCTTGGGACGAGACCAGAACAATGCATGTGAATGAGCTTGTTGACATTGTATTTGCGTCGATTGACCGAGACACTGGTTTTTTCAAGCTGGGGTAGGTATCATCGCCGCCTTGAAGACAACGCGGCTCAAAATGCCAAATTGGCACGGCCTTCAATGACCTAGCTCACTGCTCGTTGGTGATTGCGAAGGAGGCCTAGGCTGCTAGGTTGAGGGGACTGCAGAGCGGGCCCTCGTCGTGAATTCCCGCCTTTAGCCTGTGCTCTTTGCGACCCGATGGAAGCAATTAAAATTTGCCGGTTGCAACCCAATGTTGGTCTTCTCACCGATTTGCATTGAGCAGAACGTTGGGAATTGTAGCAGATCGTTGGCATCCGAACGCCCACGGGTCATGTTAGTTTCACCAGGTGTAAGTTCTCGCCAAACAACCTTGTAAGGCTTGCACACCGGCTGATCCCCCTAGTTCGATCAACACCAGCGAGCAGCATTGTGATTACCGAAGAAACTCGGGCCGGTGTGGAGCTGGACATTAACCAGAATATATCAACTTGATTAATTACCAGGAATTGGAATGACCCTGCTCTTGTTGATCGAAGAGTGGGCAAGGTGCAGATCCGACATTGGTGCGGGCCCGCGAGGATCCGGGATCTCACTTCCGGGATGGATTAGAACAGCAGACAACACCACATTTGCGTTGGCCATCAGCGTTTTTGGACAAGACGATGGCCTCAAAATGCATTTGGACTCAATGATTGAGCCTGTATTCGATGGCTGATCTTCGCTATGAGCAGAGAGAAGATGGGCCCACCAGTATCTCAGAATGACGTCGAGACCTCCCACCGTCCATGTCGTCATCGACAGTCACTTGGGAGCTTTCCCTCCGAATTCTGTTTGTGATACGTTATACGAGCGAGATAAGGAGAAATTGCACGTCTAGAGTTCTCTCTCGCCATTGTTCAAACGGAACATCTCACAGACTCAGCTACAACTCTGAACATTGGAACACAAAACACTACTCACTTCTCCGGAAAAGTACCAACCATGGCAGACCAAGCAGACCAGTTCAAGCAGGGTAAGTCAAGGCGTGCAATACCACACAAGTGCTTCCAGCCCATGCTGAGCAATTCCCGCAGGCCACACCGTCCCTGTGACCAAGCAGAGCTTCCCTGGAAAGGAGCATGACATGCCCAACGAGCCAGAGCCTCAGCGGACCTATCTCCCAGGTGAAGAGGGACAGAAGATCCCCTACCTTGCAGCCGGAAAGCTCAAGGGCAAGAATGCCGTGATTACGGGAGGTGACTCGGGCATCGGACGGGCGACCGCGATTCTCTTCGCCGAAGAGGGTGCTGATTCGCTGATCGCCTACCTTCCTGACGAGGAGAAAGACGCCCAGGATACCAAGAAGGCAGTCGAGGCTCGTGGCCGCAAATGTCACCTGTTCTCAGCAGATCTCTCGAAACAGGAGAATTGCAAGAAGCTGGCTGACCAGGCAATCAAGACTTTTGACGGCAAGATTGACATCCTGTTCAACAATGCTGCTTACCAGATGATGGTTGAGGACATCAAAGACCTGCCAGAGTGAGTTCTCAAACCAATGCTATTGACGAAAGTGAACATTTGAGACACTGACACTTCTCAAACCCCCCAGGGAGCAGTGGGTGCACACGTTCAACATCAACATCCACTCCTTCTTCTACATCTCCAAGTACCTGCTGCCATACATGAAGTACGGCAGCACGATCATCAACAACGCCTCGATCAACGCCTATATCGGACGGCCCGACCTGTTGGACTACACGTCTACCAAGGGTGCGATCATTTCCTTCACTCGGGGGCTGAGTAATCAATACGTCAGCAAAGGGATTCGCGTCAACGCGGTCGCGCCAGGACCAGTGTGGACGCCGCTGATCCCCGCGACAATGAACGACGAGGCGCAGAAGCAGTTCACCAGTCCCATAGGTCGCCCCGGGCAGCCGAGTGAGATTGCGGCGTGTGTTGTGTTTCTGGCCAGCGCGGACTCGTCGTGCGTGGCAGGGCAGACAATCCACTGCAACGGAGGCGTGATTGTCAACGGCTAAGAAAGTAATCTGCGGAATTTTGAGTTTTTTGTTTTTTGGGCGTGGGCACCTTGATGGCCCGCCAGAAAGGTTCCTGTCGGCTGGAAATGCATGTTTCCCCGTGCGGTGTCTCGGCCGTGCCGTGCGTTAAATGACACGACAAAAAGAAGATATGAGCATAATGAAATTGAACACCCAACAGCCTCTCTTCCGACCGTTCTGGTGTTACGTGTGGACTCCTGACCCTTTGTTGAGGGTTTCTTGTGTGCGGACGAAAGTGACACTGATAAATCCGGTGGCGGTGTCCGGAGATGGGAGCCTTTTCCCAATACCTTGGGTGGGCACAGCAGAAGCTCGGGTTGGACGGGGGAATGAGGCCTAGTCCCGGCTGGGTTACACGACGTCAGCTTGGCAGGGGCCCACAAGGCAGGCAGTGGGGCTGCCGTTTCGGTGCCGTGCGGCTCTGCCCCAATGGAAACCGTTCACCTGTCCGACCGAGCCAAACGTCTTACCAAGCACACATTTTGGGCACAGGCAACATTCCTTCGCCTCCCCAAGGCTTTGTATACTTTATTTTCGCACAACCCAAGCCTCGCATTTTGTTCCGTCGCACATGAGGCGGACGGATGTCTCTTGTCTCTGGCGTGCTGTGCTTGATCTGTATTTGCTGTAGTTCCTCGGGCGCGGTGCCAAAACTCCTTATATATTGCCATCGCTAGCGCCACGTGCTCCCTTCTCTCGACTTGCTCCATCTAGGGCTACTGTCAGTGGATCACTCCTCGCATCCAGGTCTTTACACGATCCGCGGCACTATTGTACAACAGCCATCGATATTCAAGACCAGGCCTTCCGAAGGCCCCAGTCTCCAGATGAGCGGCCATGATGACCTCAAGGCCGTGGTTGCCGGTGGCGAAGCCCTGCTGGTTGCGATTCTGACCATCCCGGCTGTTGTCCGTTTCTTCGCCAAGGCAAGACTGTTCAAGGCTAACGGTTATACGACCATCTCGGGCTTTTACGAAGATCGCGACGGAGAGGCTACCGAGAAGTCCACCCAGGAGTACTCCGACCTGCTGCCTCGCGTGGGTGCATGGTTGAGCTCGGCTCTTGGATTGGGCGCCTCGATCGTAGCAGGTGTCTTGTTCCATCATGACGTTTCATCACCCGGGGTCCCGGAATTTTCGAGGAGATGGGCAGATGTATTTGCATGGGTGAGCACCATCGACGTTTGACTCCTGACAATTCTTAGCTGATTCAGTCTAGGGGTTCTTGTTCTTCCAATCCATATCGCTCCCCCGCAGAGGTGATTACAGAGCCAAATATCGTCTGGCAAACTTTGCTCTCGTCTGCTCAGTGCTGATCCTCGCGTCCCTGGTTTACCGAAGCAAGTTTGCGTATGTCCTCAAAGCCTCTCATGACTCCACACGGCTGGCCCAAGGCGTGTGCTGGGGCCTTCAGGCCATCTCTGCTGTTTCTGCCTTTCTGGCTTTTGGGTTCTTCCCTCGTAGGCCGGACGTGTACTTCAAAGGGACTCTAGTTGACCAGCAGCACACGGTCTCGCTACTATCCAAGATCTCATTCTCATGGAACAGCTTCGTCTTTGACGTCTCCAAGGAACGCCAGCTCGAAATGGAAGATCTTCCGCGACTGGACTACCTTACTCGTTCCCGCAATTTACACCAGATGTTTACAGCCCGCGATGCAAATGGTAGGCTATGGTGGCGACTACTCAAATTTCACTGGCTTGAACTCGCTCAACAATGGTGCTTGGTTCTTGTTTCTGCCGTTCTTGCTCTCATCCCCAACTACATGATGTATAATCTGTTAGGCCGACTGGAAGAGCCCAGGACGCCTGACTCAAGTATAACGGAGACTCTGGCCTGGGCGCTCGCCCTGTGCCTCAGCCTTTCCCTCGACAACATTGTTGGCAGCCTATTGAGCTGGTGGACGAATAGCCGACTGGTCATTCCTCTGGGAGCTGTGCTGCAGACTTTGGTGTTTGACAAAGCACTAAAGGAGCATGAAACGGCCATGCCGCCCCCTCGTCCCCAAGAACAGGATGATCAGAAGACCGACTCAAAAGACAAGAACGACAAGAAAGACAAGGGTGACGCAGAGACAAAGCCTCAGGGGAAAGAGAAGAAGGACGAGGTCCGCCAATCTGTGATCAATCACATGAAGCTGGACTCGGGCCGTGTCACCATGTTTTGCAGCTTCAATTATTATCTGCCTCTGGCTGTAGTCAAACTGGTTCTGGCTGGCGGCTTCCTGGTCACCATTCTCGGCTGGAAGGCAGTCGTTGCTGGACTTGGATCCGCGGCGTTGGTTATTCCTTTGAACACCTGGATGTCGAAGAAATACGCAAAGATTCAGTTTGGTCTCATGAGATACCGAGATGGCAAGGCGCACCTCCTCACCGAGGCTTTGCAAGGCATGCGACAGATCAAGTACTCAGCCCTCGAGCAGCATTGGGAAGACAAGATTTTCAAGTCTCGAAACGAGGAGCTTGCACAATACTGGAAAGCCTCACTGTTCATGTGTGGTGTTATGCTCATCATGAATCTTGGGCCCCTCCTTCTTGCTTGCGTGTCGCAAAGCGTGTACGCCTGGGAACAAGGTGGCAATATCAAAGCCTCAGTCATTTTCGCTTCACTCGGGTTGTTCGATCAACTTGACGAGGCAACGGCACTGTTGCCCATCTTACAAGTCTACATGATGGAGGCTTGGACGTCTTGTGTCAGACTAGAAAAGTACTTCTCGCAGCCCGACAAAGCTCCTGTTGCTGTTTCAGGAGACAGTATCGTCTTCGACAACGCGACCGTCGCGTGGCCAAAGAAAGAAGACCTTGACGGGACATCTGACACGACAGAGGAACGTTCTATGCTTCGAGATGTGTCGCTCAGCTTTCCTGACGGCAAACTCAGCATAATTGCTGGCAAGACGGGTTCAGGAAAGTCTCTCCTCTTAGCGGCGGTCCTTGGTGAAGTCAAACTCCTTTCAGGGACTGTTAAGACCCCAACACCACCCGCTGAGGAAGAGCTGGACCAGGCCAAGCCGATCCCGAGAGAAGAGTGGCTCATTCCGTCCCTCACCGCGTTTGTCTCCCAAACTCCCTGGATAGAAACAGGAACTGTCCGAGAGAACATCATTTTTGGGCTTCCTTTCGTCGAGTCGCGTTACCAGGATGTCCTGCGTGCTTGTTCCTTGGAGAAGGACGTCGAACTCCTTGTTGATGGGGATGAAACAGAAGTCGGGCCAAAGGGTGTGACCCTTAGTGGTGGTCAGAGATGGCGGGTTGCCCTTGCTAGGGCGCTTTACTCTCGGGCTGGTATCATGATCCTGGATGACGTCCTCTCTGCCGTGGATGCCCATGTCGGGCGGTGCATAGTAGACCTCGCGTTGACGGGAGAATTGGCAGAAGGGAGGACCAGAATCCTGGCCACGCACCACGCAGAGTTGTGCACGCCGAGGGCAAGCTACCTGGTCAAGCTCCAGGACGGACGAGTGGAGAGTGCCGAGGCTATCACACCTACTGACACCACTATCGCCTCTTCAAGCGGGTCAAAACGCTCTTCAATCCACGACATCAGCGAGACTCAGACCATGATCGACACTCCCGACAGCCAAATATCTTCTGAGGAAACGACCATTGCCGGGGTAGAACAACCCAACGGCAGCAAGAAGAAGTCAAGCAAGGAAGACGAGGAAAAGCGAGAGACTGGTCGTGTCAAATGGAAGGTATATATGACATACCTGCGAGCCAGTAAAGCCCCGGTACTTTGGTTCTTCGTCATTTTCTTCATTGTATCCGCAGGCATGGCGAGTATCGGTCGGGTGTGGAGTTTCAAGAAGCTCACTGAAGGATCCTCCACGGAGGAGGCAGCCAACTTCTCGGCGACCTTCAACCATTACGACAGCTCGAGGATCTTTCTGCAGGACCCTCAGAAGGGTTTGATGTATTCCGAGATGGTTCCGCATGGCATACATACAGCGTCTATGGGGGGCCACTCTATCTGGTTCTGGATCGCGATGAGCGTGCTGTTCTATGTATTGATGGTTGTGCTTCAGGTGAGTTTTATATTTCTTCTGTCTCGTGCAGCCTTCTTTGGACCTAAAAATTCTTCTGATCACGGCGAGGGAATCATGCCATGAATACGCTGTCCTCGATGGCAGTCTGCGGGGGCTGGACACTATTCTTCTACCGAAGCTCTTTCTAGCTCACGTGATGGATCTTCGACGAGTATGCTAATTAATTGTCTAACAGGTTGCTCGGAGTATCACAATGACAGCCATTGGGCTTCGAACTTCTCGGGTTCTATTCGAGAGGATGACGCATGCCATTCTACGAGCGCCTCTCCGCTGGGTTGACACCGTCCCAGCTGGACGAATTCTGAACCGATTTACGTCGGATGCCTTTATGGTTGACAGGCGTCTGCCTGGCGATCTGGCGAATTTCCTGCACAGCAGCTTTTCGCTGGTCGTTACAATCGCGGCTAGTTTGTCCGTGTCCCTTTGGGTCATCCTGGCGGGTGTTCTCCTCATGTTCGTCTATGCACGGATTGCGAGCAAGTATATCAACGTTGCCCGTGAAGTCAAGAGGCTTAACTCGATCTCTCACTCTCCGATTTACGACCAGTTTGGCTCCGTCCTGTCAGGACTTTCGACTATTCGCGCTTTCCACCGGACGAATTTCTACATGGATCGAATGTCAGTCACAATATTCCTTTGATCTCCAAGTCCTAAACATTTGTGCTGATATGACTCGCGCAGGTTTAATCTCATCGATAACTCCAACAAAGCGAGTTGGGCGTTGAGCTTGTCTGGTCGGTGGATGTCCTTCCGCTTGTCCATGCTCGGCACCATTTTCGTCACTGTGGTCGCTGTCGTTGCAGTCTCGGGTCACGTCGATGCAGCTCTCGCCGGCTTCAGTCTTACCTTCGCGCTTAGGTATTCGTGGAGATTGACTGCGTTGCTCTCAAGCATGACGTCGCTGGAATTGAGTTTCAACGCAGCCGAGCGTGTCATTGAGTATTCTGAAATTGAGACTGAACCAGAGGATGGAAAGGACGCACCTGCTGCATGGCCAGCTGAGGGCAAGATTGAAGTCGAGAAACTTTCTGTCGCATACAAGGACAGTCTTCCACCTGTCTTGAAGAACCTCAACTTCGTGGTCAAGCCAGGTGAACGAATCGGTATTGTCGGGAGGACTGGAGCAGGGAAGTCGACCTTGGCGTCTGTCTTCTTCCGCCTGCTTCGGCCGCGTGAGGGCTCTGTCGTGATCGATGGCATCGACATCGCCGGGCTGAAGCTCACACAGCTGCGCAGCCGACTTGCCATTATCCCTCAGGACCCTTTCCTCTTTTCAGGCTCGCTGAGATCCAACCTCGACATGGAGGATACAAAGGAAGACTATGAGCTCCAAACGACGCTGCAGAGCGTTCACCTCGCCAAGCCGCAACCAGTCAGCACTGAAAGACCATCTCAGTACCCCGTGGTGTCTTCTCATGAGGAGACAGTAATTTCTACTACCGAGGCAGTGCCGGAGCCCCCAAACAACGAAACACCGGCTTCCGCTGCTGTCGTCGAGGATGCCGACACGGCGCCCTCCACAGCAGTGGTGACCACCACAGAGGCAGAGTCCTCTGACAGCACTGACATCTTCAACAACCTATCTATGGAAATTAGCACCGGCGGAGGCAACCTGTCCCAAGGTCAGCGCCAGCTTGTCTGCCTCGCGCGCGCTCTCCTCGCCCGCCCCAAGATAGTGGTCATGGACGAAGCCACGTCCGCCGTCGACCGGGCCACGGATGCTGCGATCCAGACCAGCCTGCGGGACGCCTTTGCCGCTGCTGGGTGCACCGTGCTGGTGATTGCCCACCGCCTGAGCACCGTCGCGGACTTTGACAAGATATTGGTCCTGGAGAAGGGTCGGATGGCGGAGATGGGGTCTCCAAAGGAGCTGCTTGAGAGGGGAATGAAAAGGGACGAGGACAAGAAGGTTGGGGAGGCGGGCGAGGAGGCTGAAAGGGGGAAGCAGAACGGTGATGGTGAGGCTGCGGGTGATGAGGCTGAGGATGGCACGGGGGCGTTCTGGGACTTGGTTCAGAGTAGCGCTGAGAAGGACAAGTTGGTCGAGATGATTCTGGGGAACGGGCACGCGGAGTAGGGTGGAAATAGCCAATGAGCAGAGAGCAGTAGGGGGTTAGGAAAAGCAACGGAGTATACGGCTTTTCACATGGTTTGCTTTTCACAGTACAATAGACCGGTCAAAATGGATTTGTTAGCATTGCATGTGCCAGTGTTAGAGGGCGCTACGGATGTGCAGTAGTTGAACTTGCCTTAATCTACATATTGTGTGTATGTGCGAAGGGTCTCATCTGCTCTCAAGCATTCCCGCAGTACCGACAAACGAGAGATCCTCGTTGGCTCTTCGTGATACTGGATTACAAGGCAAGTAGTCTCATCATGATGGAAGGTGCATCCGCCGGACAATTGCCTGAGACTGACTGACCCCAGACACAGTAGCCAGCGGAGACCACTCAGCCACACCGACTTGACAGTCAGCCTTTTGGTCCATGAGAATGGACTCTTCTTGATCGCTACGACATTGAAGTCTAGATTCATAACAGGAATTACTGCAAGGGCACCGTCAGGGCCTGTTCGACAGAGCTCTCTCGCTAGCATCCTGATCCCAACTTCGCAATGCTCCATCGGTTGCCAACATCAACAGCTGGCGATGACATCTATTTCGCCGATTTACCCTCATCCACGAGCGCCTTCAACCCCTGCAACAGGTCCTCCCTCAGGTCCTCCCAGCTCTCAACACCGATACTCACCCGCAGCACCGTCTTGGCGATGTTCTTGTCCGTGACGGCCCGCCACTCTATCAGGCTCTCAACGCCGCCCAGGCTCGTGGCGTGGTGGAACAGGTGCAGCTTGCTGGGCAGGCGGCGGGCATGGTCGGCGTCCTTCATGATGATGCTGAACACGGGGCCCCAGCCGCGGGGCATCTGCTTCCGCAGCCACGAGCCCTCGACCTTGGCCTCGGGCTGCAGGCTGGCGTGCTGCAGCCTCTCGACCGTCTGGCCCACGACGCCGGCGCCGGCGCCGCCGCCGGGTGCCTGCCGCAGCTCGCCGTCCAGCCACGCCACGAGCGCCGTCGCGCTGGCGCTCTGGCGCTCGACGCGGATCTCGAGCGTCCGCAGGCTGCGCACCCCGAGCCACCCCTCCATGCTGCCCATGACGCTGCCGAGGAACAGCCGCTCGCCCAGCAGCCCCTTGACCCAGCCGTGCCGCGCCTCGCGCGCCGGGTGCACCGCCAGCACGCCGCACAGCATGTCGCTGTGGCCGCCGAAGTACTTGGTGCCCGAGTGCATGACGACGTCGACGCCGTGGTCGAAGGGGCGCATCAGCGGCGGCGGGGCGAACGTCGCGTCGACGGTGAGGTAGCAGCCGAGCTCGCGGGCCTTGGCGGCGTAGAAGTCGAGGTCGCGCGCCTCGCCCGTGGGGTTGAGCGGCGTCTCGACGTGGATGACGTCGCCCGGCCGCAGCTTGGCCAGGTCGGCGGGGTCCTCGAGCTCCAGCTTCTCCAGGCCCGTGAGCTTGGCGACCAGGTCGATGACGCCGTGGCAGCCGTGGTAGCCGGCGCCGATGGCGATGCGGCGCGGGTTGAGGAAGACGAGCATCGCGTGGAACGCCGCCAGCCCGGACGAGTACGTCACGGCCGGCCCGCCCAGGAGGGCCGAGAGAATGGCCTCGAGCCGCGTCGTGTTGGGCGCGCTGTCGCGGCTGTAGATGTGGCTGTCGTAGGGGGCGTTGTCGTCCGTGTTGTCCCACGCGCGCAGCTTGTCCGGGTCGCTGTTGTACCGGAACGTCGTGCTCACGTGCAGCGCCGGCGCCACGGCGCGGTGGCTGTTGATGTAGTCGTCGGCATGCATCGCTAGTGACGACAGGCTCAGCTCATGGTCGCCGAAGTGGGTGGCGAGCGCCCCCGGTCCGTGGGTGGGCTCCGCCTCCGCCGCCGCGATGGTCGTGGCCGCCGGGCGGGACTCGTCCACGGGCAGCCCGTCCGGGTGGCTGCCGTCGCCGTTGGTTCCGGGCTGGGCCATGGCTGCAGGATGGCTGCGTATAGTGAGATGCGGAGAGTCAACGGTTGAGCACACGAGATGAAACTCAAAACATGAGTCGCCGGGCCAATTCAACGATGAATAGACATGAAAGGCGAAAAGAGACTACAAGGTGCAGTGTCTCATTGTAATGGCAAGCTAGAACGCGTAGTATGACTCAAATTCAAACCCAAACCCGTCGCTCAGCCAATTCATTACTTAGTGGCGTCATGAACGGTCCCGCCCCGTTATCGGGGCCGGACGACCGCCGGGCCGGACATATTTAGTTGGGAGGAGGCAGCCGTGGCATTCGTGATGACTCCCACCGGAACGGCATGGATCTTGCATGAGCAAGAGCGGCTGAAATCTGACCTGTCATGCATTTCAATACAGGATCAGGGGTTCCGCAAGTTCAGGTCGAATGGTTGTATCCTGTGACTTTTCAGTATTACTCACTTCGAGCGCCGGTTCTGCTGGTTGATGTATATGTTTCTTATTCAATTATCATTTCATTAGGTATGAGAGTGATGATACATCTCTCCCTTGTTTAGTATAATTCATGTCTCGTTCTCCATGAGAAAAGACAGCCCCAAACTCCGTTTCCTAGGTACCTCTTCCTTAGCGAGTGTCCTATATCCGGTAACCGTTCATCAGGCCCATGTCTAGTAAAAGGACCGCAGTAAGCAATGCCAAAAAGGATCTGTAAGCCCTTGTAGCAAGTAGCGGCCGGAATCCCCTAATGCAGTGTCGTTTGAACAGCCAACGTATAGACATTGTTGGCTGTCTCAAAATCACGTGTTGATGTCGTTGCCCGCGAAGGCTTCTCTCGTCGTTTCAGCCACCAGCTGGGTCGTCGTGGCAATGGTCGTTCCGACAGCTGTCCCCATAGCAGTGAACTACGCCTCTACTGGCTGCTGCATGTCTGTCATTTCTCGATCTCGGTTGGCAGTCCTGGGCCTCTCTACTTGACCGAGCTCAGCGCCCTGGCCACTCTGGCCTCGCTTCCGACCGGGCAAGATGGAGAATCTGGACGTGGTCGGCGAGGGGGACGCCACTGGCGAGTGAGGGTTCTCCTGTGTGTTGTGATCCGAGAACTTGGAGAAGAAGCCTCGCTTCTTTGCTGGCTGAGTCGGCGCCTGTTGCGACTGCGGCTTGTAGTCATCGTTCAATCCCACCTCCTCAAAACCCTCGCCGAAGCCCTCGCCTTCTTCAGACGTTGGGGGCTCACGCTCGAAGAGGCGCTGGCGGGGCATGCGCGTGCGCGGGTAGCGCGCCGAGTCCATGGACCGTCGGCTTGGGAAGGGGTCGTTGACCGGAATGGGAGACCGGGCGGAGACATCCTGTTTGTGTCACAGCAAGTTAGTCAAATAATCGCGCTCGTGTTCGGCTGGACGTGGGTCTTTGGTGAGACATACGAAAGACCGACGGTACGAGTCGAACGACTCCCTTGAGATGCCAAAGGGCTCTATCTCGCCGACGTCGCTCCTGGTGTCTGTCGAGTTACGCGACAGGTAGCGGCGCGGCCATGAGGGCTTGTCATCGGTGGGCGAGGGAGGCAGGTAGACGCCGCTGTCATTGACCACTGCGGAACACCAGGGATTGTCAGCAAAAAGAACAGTGACAGAAAACGGTTGTCACTTAATTGCGACGCATATGGAGGGCGGGGTGGAGGGGCCGAGCGACACATGACAAGCCATGGATTGCATGGCGTGATGGTTCATGCGACAGGTGGTTCGTACGTACCCGACATCTTGTACTCGCCAGTGTCAGTGGAGCGGCGGCTGCTGATGCTCAATGCCGCCGAGGAGGCCTTGGAGCCGACGGTGTCGACACGCTCGAAGCCCGGAGGCGTCTTGAGCGGAGGGTCGATGGTCAAGGACGGGCGCAGGCCCTCATCCGCTTGTGGGCGCCGAGTGAAGGGGTTTCGAATTGGCATCTTGGGTGGTGTGCTTGGACTGCAGAGAGAGCCGGGTTGAATGACGTCGTGAAGCCCGGGGGTGTTGGGCAAGCAATGGGGATGGAAACAATGCAACAGTTGAATTGAATGAATTCAAGCACAGTCGAGTCTGTCGCAAAGGCTGAGGGAGTCGTCTGTAGTTCTAGTTCTGGGGTTGGTTCTAGGTTTGGTTCCTAGTCGGGGAGTTTCCGAGTCGATCAAGTCCGAGGGCGACGGGGTTCGACTTTTTGTTTCGTCGGGCAGGTCGGGCAGATTAAACTATGAGGCAGCTGAGACCTAGACCCAGGCCAGTCTTGAAAAAGGTTGGTCGCACGGAATTACTGTGAATAAGAGCCCCGTGCAGAGGAGATGAGATGAGACGAGCCGGGACTAGGATGGCCAGGATGGCTTGGTGGGAAGAAGATGGGCACGATGGGTGAGATTGAGCCTAGGCACTCTTATGCAGATCGTTCGCAGGGTTGGAGAATAGACTGCTGGTTGGTTTTTTAATTGATCGATTGACTGGCTGGCAGGCTGGCTGACTGATGATGGCTGTGGATGGATGTACAGTAGTGGGTGGGCGGATGGATGAATGGATCACCGGTAATCCTTCACCGAGGCAGGGCAGCAGACAGGGCAGTATAATAGCAACTGGTAGTGAGTTGGGCCTCGGAATAGAAATCTGGGGGCTCAGCTGAATGAATTGAGGTTTTCGAATTGATCCTTCCAAGACGTTGGCGCGGGTGAGATGCAGGTGGGTGCCTTAGACCGTAGATGTGTCTTAGCAAGTCTACTCATACTTACTGTACTGTGCTGATTGTGTTGTTGCTCCTCCCTTCTCTTGGCCCGCATGGGCCCGCTGACCTCATCTGTCTCCATTCTTCAATCCCCATTTTCCTTCCAGTCTCCAGTCTCCTTTCTCCTGCCTCCCTCGTCACTGCGCGAGCCGGCAGCAAGGGCAGGACGGGCTGACGTGCTGGCGGGTTAGAACTGCAAAACGGGAAGGACGGACGGGCGGGCAGCCGGGCAGACCGTCACACGGTGCCTGATTTCCCTGGCAGTTGCGTCCAGGTCTGCCAGGGCTGCCCAGGTGCCAGGGCCGTCAGGGCCCCAGGCCACCCCTCGTTGGCTGCCGTTCGTCGGTTGGGTTTTGGCGCCTAGCGGACCGGCTGACGGCACGCGCGATCGACGCTCGTCTCCACAGGGCAGGACTGCCGCTTTTTGTCATTCCCTGCTGTCCTGCCGGCTGCCACTCCTGGAAGGTCAAGTCAGGTGAAGTCGATCCGACTTCCAAGACGGTCGACAAGACCACCAAGCCACCGTCGGGTAGTATACAGCAGCACGTGAGTAGCTCACAGTGGGGGAAGCATCGCCTACACACCAGCCAGCACCAAGCCTTGACCATGATCTCATCCCGCACCTGGATGCAACCATAGCCACATTCCATGATTCTTCCATCGGGAACCTCCAAGTTCGTGAACTGCAGCCCTCCTGCGTCAGCGCACCGACAGCCGATTGGGCCCCATCAACCTTTCGACTGGCTGACGGCATCTCGCCAGCTTCTCGCCAGCTCCCCGCCACCCCACTTCATGTGCCAGGGGACGACCATCGTCCAGGAACTGTCATCAACTCCATTGTGCCAGATAAATGCCCGCGTGGGTGACAATGTTGAATATGTCAAACTACGTCCTCTGAGTGGAGCTACCTAGATATGAAGATTTCAGGCTCAGTACAGATCCAAAAATGAGTAAGAGACAAATCATACACGCCCTCGATTTCTTTCTCAATCCCTGAACAGTTCTCCTAGTACTGTTCGTCTCCCGAGCCTGTGTCTAGCGCAGTGAGGTCGGACAGTCTCTGTAAAAGCCGGGAAAGGGCATCAGGCAAAATATCCCACAATTAATAGGCTCGTTTGGCAATCTCTGATCTTCGCTGTCAAAGCAGAAAGTGAGTAAGCATGGCGAAGTCGCACGTATAGGCCATGGACAGGCCGGCGAGGATGGGCTCCGAACATGAGATGAGATGGAGGGGTCTAACTCAACAGACTCTGCTCATATTTCTTCTGATGGGCGCAAACGAAAGCCGCCCTTGGCTTTATTAATGACAAACTATTCTTGGTAGTATCCATCGTACGACTACACTTGTCCAAGTAACATACACCTTTAGGGAGCAAAACCCTCGCTACTCCATGCTGATGGCTCTAGGTGTCCAGCCGGAAGTCTTCTATGTACTCCCTCCATCTAGTATGTTCAAACTCCACGCAAGTATCGTATCTTTCCCTAAATCCCTTCCAAGTCCTGGCATCAGGTATCAAAAATCAGCGCTGTACCCAAGCGGTATCTACCCTCCCATGGCGTCGTCCACACGACGCCCATCCAAAGAACACCAGTGGCCAGCCCTTGGCAAATTGCTTCCCAAAAACAATAATAAATACCAAAAAATAACAGACATATGCCCGCAAGGGTCTTTACTGCCCATACCAGCCCCGCTCTGGCGTCGCGCCGCCCTCGGCCCCCAGGAAATCCATCCAGGCGTCGTCCATGAACTGGTCCGCCGCCTCGAACGCTGGGACGTTGGGCCACATCATAGGGTACACGCTGTTCATCTGCGTCTGAGGGCTTTCATCGATCGGTAGCATCATCTCGTCCATATGCTGCTGGTAGGGGTCTTGTTGTTGTTGTTGCTGCTGCTGCTGCATCTGGTGACCGCCATGGTGGTGGTGACTGCTGTTGCTGTTGGCGTGAGCCGCCATGTTATGGCCGTTGGATGGTGTCCTTCCCATGGAAGAGGGGGGCATGGCGGCATGCGGGCTGGGCGATGCTTGCGGAAATGGTGGAGGCACGTGGTCGAGGTAACGCCCGCACAGCTCGGCGATGACACCGTAGCACCGCTGGGCGCTGGCGTTCAACGGCGCAAGGCCCGCGATAATTTGCAGGGTCGTGTTGATCTGCTGGCGCCAGTCGGCGGCCTGATCCGACAGGGGTAGGTTGCGGAGGCAGATACAAGGGATGAGGGCCGCTTGAAAGATGAAGTATCTGCAGCTGCGGTCAGCTTGGTCTCATACACTGTGGGTTAACGGCATAGTACTTACAGGGCATACCACGCTGCCATCCGACCCTGTTCACTGTTTACCCAGTAATTACTAATGGACTGGATGGTGTACTTGGCATCAGCCAGGCAAGTGTTGTATGCGTGCAGACTCGCCGGAGTCTCATCCAAGTTTCGGCCATCTCGGGCTCGGAAAGCCTTACGGATGACAAATGGTCGGTACATGATGATTCTGAAGTTGCGGTAGCGCCAGCTTATGGTGACATGCGCGAAGGTGTACTTGGGCGGGACTTTGGCGGACTCGGCAAAATAAGGAGGGATGCTCTTAATCCACGGCTCGATGCGCTCTTTGTCAAGTTCCACAAGCTCTTCAGCGCTAGGTAGAGGCTTGCCAATGACTCTTCTGTAGATGAAATTTGTGGCAACATGAAAGGCTGCTTGCGTTCGTACGGCAGTGTAAGGTGTGATATCCTCCGTCTCGGGAGGATAGTTGAGTGAATTCGGCGTCAGCTCCTGAGCATCTATGTCAGTAACAATTTCAGTGTGTCACGAGATAAGCAGTACATACTCTGTCGTGAACATTCCTTGGCAGAGATACCTCGACACCATCGAAGGGCCATGTAAGCGGTCTGCTAAAGGTGATAGTTGCGCCACAGTCAAAAACGCAAAGAGACCACCAGACCCGGCGACGTATCTCCATGTTCAATGGCGAAATGTTCCACCCTTGAAATTCCTTGTGCAGGCCCAAACCCATGGCCATCCTCACGGCCAGTCCCAGGTAATTATATGCAGAATTTGGCCGATCCCGCTTTTGTTGGTAATTTGACGTCAGAGTCAGTGCCTGCACTAGAGTCAAGTTGCCGAGCTCCAAAAAGTTAAACGACAAGATGGACCTGGCCTGCGCGAAAAGTGTGAGGTCGAGGTTGTCCGATGTCTTTGCGGAGCTCCAAACACCGATAGCTGCGACAACATAGGCGAGGACGAGCCAGGGATCTCCGTGTGGCCGTGGTATGATCTCGGAAAACTGGGCCCGAAAGGTCGGTTCGTGGATGATGGGATAGTTGAGATGGAAGAGTTTGAAATAGGCGTCAATCATGATATCGGCGATCTGGCGGTTCGGGTTCGGTTGCATCGTCAAGGACGGGTAGGAGGTCATTGATGGGCGTGACCTCGTCTGGTTGGACCTCCTCCTCATGCTGGGCTCCAGCAGCCGTATAAAAGCAGCCCCAGAAGCCACGCCGAGATAACCACCTTCCTTCTCGCTTACAGTGAGTGAGGCCATGCCGTCCAGGGCCGCGTCATCAGCATCGTTCATGTCGGGGGAGAATGCAGCATTCACCATGTTGTCCTGCTCATCCCATTCGAAGTCATCGGTCACTGGCGGGCTCTCCAGGATGGTAGACATGCCTCTCTGAGGCACACGGTGGGGCGCGAGGCGCCCCGGTTCCCTTGGAGGCCCATGCTCACTGGCAGGCTTCACATCTGCGCCTGATGGATTAGGCGTTGCAATCGATCCAGGGGTTGGCTCAGCATCAAAGGGCGCATCATCGGATGGATCGGGCTTTATGTGGGCCTGTCCATCGGCGGCGTCCGAAGAATGGGAAGATGAGCCGGGCTGCTCGATCTTGCTGAAGTCGAAGGACGGATCACTGGAAGTTGGCCGGGGTCCCTGAGCAGGAGCGGCGTTCTTCCGAGGCAGCAGATGAGGCGGCAGCACTGCGCGCATCTGTCGCACGAGATGCTCTGCCCTCTCGAGCCTCTCCTCGACCTCAGTGAGATGTCTAGGAGGATGGTCAGCGATGTTGAGCGGAAAGGAGAGAAAGTGGGTGTGAGTTGGAGACGGGATGCGGCAGGGCAAGATAGAATGGCTCACTGGAGCCGCCGTCTCCAACTGGACGTACGGAAAGGGAGACCCACTTTCTGGTTAATGGAGTGCGCGAGTGCTTCTCATATAGACAGTGTCTTCGATATTTGACGCAGAGGTTGCATGTCGGTATGGCCTTGTTGCACTTGGACTTGCGGCGGCGGCACTCCTTGCATGCCTGGTCTGCAAAGCCCAGGGGGGTGTCGAGATCTCCGAAGGCGGCGCCAAGGTTCAGGTCGCTGGAGTTGAAGCCGGCGTCTGAAACGCTGATGTCGCCGCCTGGAGAAGAATTGTCGTCCATGGTCATCAGAGGGGAGGGTGAGAAAGGGGAGGCCTGCAGGTGGCGCCGGTGCCTTTGGTGGAGGAGCAGCAGTGAAGAACGTGAGGCACGGGTGAGAGTTGGAATGGGGGGCGAGGGTGACACGTTGGGTAAAAGTTGGACGGCCGACCAAAACTCACGATGTTTTACGGCAGGTCTGTGAGTGGGCGCTACGGGCTCGGTGCTCCGTTCTGCTCTTTTACTCAGCAGGACCCAAAGACCCAAGAGCCCAAGGCCAAGCGCCCAACCAGCCCAGTCCCTACTGGCCGACAAGCTGGGGGGGTCGGGGGGAAGGGTGGAAGGGGGCAAGGGGGGGTCAGGTCAGGTGTGGAGGGGACGTCCCGCCTTTGGGGAAGCACAGTGAACCCCCACACTGCGATTCCAGCAGTGGCAGCCAGCAGCCCCACCTCCAGGAAAACACTCGTTAAGTCCATCCACTTGCTTTCTCCGGTTTTTGTCGGCCACCGAGGCTGTCGCCATCTTGACGTCCTGTCCAATTCTTTCCATGCAGCTAAGACGAATACGATTCCTTTTCTCTTGGGATCACACAGCCTTCTACTACACATCCCCCAACCGCCATCGTCGAGTCATGTCGAAAGCCTAGAGAAACAGAAAAATCATATCCGCTTCGACGTGGCGTTTCGCCCCTCGGGAGACCTGATCGGGCATCTCGCGGCGCGATGCTGCACCCGTGTGCGTCTACTGAACTGCATACAGTAGTGCCAGTGCCAGGAGGAACCCTTGGGCCCGGTGACAGGCGACTCACAGAGATCGATCCAGAGACATGGGTTGGCTTCAGGAACCAAGAACCTTCGTCTGTCCGCCAGCCAGCCCTACCGCCCTATTGGCGACCGCTTGGACAAGGGCAGGGGCCTATCCTGTGTCCTGCAGAATTTGACTTGGGACGCTCCGAGGCTATCAACACAACCCTGGCCGTCCTGCCATCTTCAGCCCTCCCGGCCCGATCGGAACCTGTCAATGGCACGATGGCTCAATAGGCTGAAGAATGCTGCTGAGAAGAATCCAGCTCATTGCCTAACTCTCGAGTGCCTTCAGGTGTGAAAGCCTTTAGGAGTGTCCCCACTCGCCCGAGTCCTACATAGGCCGCTGACGTCTGCAGGCATGCGATGGAGTGATACCTCCGCGAGTCGAACGATCCCTGTCCAACGATGACGGGCGATCATCCGAACCCTCTCCGCGGGCGATCGAAGCTGTGCTCCGTAACCCAACGGCTGCGGCATCGGGTCAGAGAAGTCAGACCGAAATAGCTCATGCAGTGGCCGAGCACTATTCTTACCAGCAGACATGCATTTGTGCAACAATATTTGCATTTGATAGCCCAAGCCATTCATATTGTCGACACTACAGTAGAATGTCCAGGTGAAAAAGGCTCCTTCAGACCCACATCCGCTCCAAATGCTCCGAGACTCGCTTCGCACGCAATACGCCAGCCCCGGCCGATGCAGCGGCCGAATGTTAAAAGAAATGGACCCACTCACGCCGATCGGCCGGTGCTCAGGGTACCGAGCGAGGGAATCCAAGTGCAGTGTACATTCTACCATTCTTAAAGTCTAACAGCATAGAAGGTTTTGAAATCTCACTGGTATTACCAAGCTTTATAGCGGTTCGCCCCCCTGAGCAATCTAAATCAGACGCATATCTAGGTCTTCCTCTTCTGGGGTCCTTATAGCCGTTCTGTTCCTGTGGTACGTTTTCTGGTCACAACCTAATTTGTATCAGCCTAGGAATCGTACATCATCAACACGAATCTAAAGACTGGGTAGTGATTCCCCGCGACTACAAGACCATCTCATTTCAGATAATGGGATAATTTCCTCAAGGCCACTGCGCGAAAGCAATTATTCCCATACCACGTCGGGCTTTGAAGCAAGTGCGCTATGCGTATCTTGCGAATTACGATCCTGGACACCACCCTTGATAGATTTTAAATATGACGCGACGAGGGCACTCCCGCTCGTCATCTGTTCCACGGCTCTGCTCCATCACGGCCTGCTCCAGTGACACAGGCATTGCCACAATAGGAACTTGGTGTTCCGCCAGAATACCCGGCGCCAGAGCTGTTACCCTAGCAGTTGGCAGGCGGCTGATCAAGAGCCATGGCCTCGTCGATGATCTGCTTGAGCACAGACTTAGACTTGTGCATTTCCAGAATCTCGTGATTCCTCAGCACGGTCTGCCGAGCCCTCAGCTTGGGAGTTCATGGCCGCACCGGCTCGACTATACGAAGAGCTGCCCACTCCGAGGCCACTCGTGCTCACTTACCGTCACTTTGGCCAACGGCACGCACGTCTGAGACTGAGGGACTGCGTGATAGTCGCCATTCAGCCAACTGGGCCGCAGTTTCCATCTCCCCTAGCTCGTGCATCCCGTGTTCCATTTCGCGAATATATTGAAGAGCAGGAGGCGAACCACGTCCGTGCTCTTGCTCTATGGCAAGGACGTTCTCCTTCATAGACTCGACGTACTGCTGCAGGTCCTCGTGCGTATCCAAAGAGATGACGGTGGTCATGGGAGCACCTGTTTTAAAATCAGCCACCAGTCCCTGTTGATGTACTGTGTTACACGCCACCAAGTTATCACCTTTCGGGCACAAATTCCTTGAAGAATTCGCAGACATCAGTTCGTTATATATTGCCTTGTTCCATAGCGATCCAAACCGTTTTGCATGATGAAGGTCTTCTGCCTCATATCTCTTCACGGTCTTGTCCAGGACATCACCCATATTCGATGGCAGCTCGCTAACGCTGCATCCACCCAGGTAGGCAATGTTCAAATAGTCGATGTTGGCACTCCAAGCGGCTGGATCGTCCATCATGTCATACCATGATTGACAGCCAATCTTCCACGACTTCCACGCAGCTTGAAGCAATTCTTGGTCGTCCACCCTTGTGAGAGAGTCGAAGAGCCGATACAAGGGATGTTCAACAGACAAGTTAAGACGAGCGGCGTTCTGGGCCAAATACGCCACACCGAACTTGATGAGGGCCTTGACAACTTTCAGAAACTGAGCACCGTCCGGCTCTCGTGGGTCGATGAACCGAATGCTTTGTGCTAGAAACCGGAAGAAGTGGTTCAGTACATTCGAGGGCTGGTTCCTCAGTAGCAGCCCTAACTCCTCCGGTGCGTGGCGCATCCAGGCTATACTTTACGATATGTTAATCACCTTATATCCTACCCCTAAGCGAGATTCCCCAGACTTCCCTCATGGGAAAGGGACCCTGAACATTAGATTGTACGTACGCATCGTTCATCTTATTGTCTCTGCAGGCAGCCTGAACAGCAGCACTGAACCGCAGCCATCGCCCCGAGTACGGATCCCAGGCGCGCAGAGTGTCGACGTCCTGGGATACGGTGATGGTCTCGTCAAAGCGCCCCAACATATATGCGCGCACGTTGGCGTATACACCTTCGAGGACGCGGAATCTCTCCGGCGCGCGGACAACGGTCGGAGGACACGCTTGAAATTTTGGATTCCGCTGGCTGTATTTGCTCCTCGCCTTCCGCCGCAAATGCATCGCGACGGTGTCTGCATCTACGAGGCGGCCGTTGGCGAGTCGCACGTATCCGTGCCGCTGGCGGGTGGCCAGTGCTTGAGTGCTGTCCGGGAACGTCTCCTGGAGGGCCAGCTCGTCCTGTCCGGCCCCCAGTTTGATGTACTTTGTCAAACCCCAGGCCTTGAGCCGGCGTTTGTATGATTTGGCGCTGAGAAAACGCGTTAGCACCCATCGTGACAAGGATCCCAATGGACTGGAATCACATTGCTTTGAAGCCATGCTCTGTTTCCATGAACTGTATCACTTCTCTCAAGGGCTTGTTCTCTTCGATATACAAGCGCTTAATTATTGGCTTGTAAGTCGTCCATGGGTCATTGGGCACGCTTGACGAAGCTGACCGAATAGAAAGGTTGGGGGCCAAGGCTCGAGCATGGCCTGCAACTGCTGTACTGGCGGGGTCGGCATCGGGCGCCATGCGGAAGTGAAGTTATCGGCTGTTGGACTTGTCCAGCGAGACTCGGCATTCCCAGGTGCAGGTATCGAGATCATACAGCTGAGCCATGAGCTATCAGGCCACAGGCTGTGAGCTGTGTTCTTAATCCGATGATGTAGGGGATGTCCCGAAAAGGGGAGGTTGTGAGTGGAAGCGCTGGCAGGATCCGCAATCCTCCATGCCGAAATCCAAGTAAAGTCTGTTGGTTGTTAGCTCTGGCATCGGCACGGAGCGAAACTCCAGTTTTGATGCAACAGTCCCCGAGGACTGCCACAGCCTTATATGTGACCTTGGTGAATCATTCTAAAGGCCGAAAAGGCTTGGAAATCGAGATTCAAAAATGTAGCGCTAAAATCTCGCGTACATACCATTACATGCGCCTCAGGAAAAGCTCACGTCTAAATGTCAAAATTATGCTGGCTTTGACGTACACCAAGCCCAAGTTAACGCTTCGGCAACGGCTTGGCGATGGACCCAGCTTGCCCTGGGATCACTCAACCTGTCAGCTTGCATCCTTCGACGCAGATCGATTGCGCCCTAGATCTCTTCCTCGCCTTTTGGCCTGGTTATCTCCGTGCTGCTGGTAAATACTCAGCCACATTGGCCAGATACACCGATCACTTCTCCACCATTATGCGTCAACAAGCTCGCTGGCGGAGTTGAGCTCAGGTTGTGGGTTCTCCCCGCATCGGAGTTGTTCTCCATAGTCTCCAATAATTCTATCAAGGTTTCTCAACTTTCTCTCAGTGTGAGATATGAAATTTACTTCGACCCAAGTATAAATTGTGGTTCGGCCCTGGCTAGAGGAACAGTCTCACTTCTTACGAAAAGCAGCTTATACACAAGCACAATGGTCCTCGCAAGCCACCCCAACCCAACTGCCCCGGTCATCTCCCACTTCAACCTGACCGGTAAAGTTGCCCTTGTTACAGGAGGCTGTCGTGGCATCGGGCTGGAAGTCGCCCGCGGGCTCGCCGAAGCAGGCGCGAATGTGGCCATCACGTACACGAGCCAGAAGCCCGCCGACGCTGATGCCATTGCCGCCTCCCTCGCGGCCTCGACTGGCAGGTCCGTGAAGGCGCTGAAGTGCGAGGTGAAAAGCCGGGCCGAAGTCTTCGAGACCGTGGAAAAGGTTGTCGCGGACAAAGAACTCAGCCCGACCGGCAGGCTTCACGTCGTCGTTGCCAATGCAGGTACAGCCGGTAACGTCCCCGCACTAGACCACCCAGAGGACCGCTGGAGGGAGATGCTAGATATTAATTTCCACGGGGCTTTCTGGACGGCCCAGGCGGCTGCCCAGGTGTTTGAGCGGCAGTGGAGGGCGGATGGCGGGAAGGAGGGCGGTGCGCAGAGCCGGTGTAGTATCATGTGCGATGAGTTTCCCGTTCGTTTGCAAGGCTTGGGGAAGGCCCGGAGCTGATCTTGGACAACGATATAGTTTCACTGCTTCGGTGTCGGCGATCCTGGTGAACGTCCCACAGAAGCAGGCCGCTTACAACGCCAGCAAGGCTGCTCTTGTGCATCTCGCTAAGTCTCTGGCGGTGGAATGGGTGGACTTTGCGAGAGTGAACTGCATTTCCCCGGTGAGTAAATAGTGTATCTTCTGGCTTGCGAAAGGCCGGACACGGGGGTTTGACAGTGCTGACATGGATGGTGCAGGGGTTTATCAAAACGGATATTCTTGAAGGCGCACCTCAGTGGGTAGAGGAAAAGTGGATGAGCATGGTTCCGGCGGACCGAATGGCCCTGCCAGAGGAGCTGAAAGGTTCCTATGTGTATCTAGCATCTGATGCTAGCAGTTACATGACAGGTCAGTCAAGAATCCTTAGTTGAGGTCTTGATGTGGCCATCACTGACATGCCACCGCTAGGGGCTAACCTCGTCATCGATGGCGGTTACACGCTGCCTTGATATAGGTTTTTGCGTTATCGACAGGAAGCGAGATCGAGCTTGTCGTAGAGGTTGTAATCTGGAAGCATACTAAATTTCCATTGCGTAGCCAGCTGACTCGTCTGAGCAATCAATATAGGCATCAGTAGAGGTAGATAAAAAGCAGAGGATAGCGGCAAGCGACCAACATACTGCCAACAATCTCAAGTACCACTATTGTCGAAATGCTTATGCTTGAGATTGTTTATATTCCAAAGAGGAATCCACACCCGGATCAGGTGCCGTCCAGAGAAAAGAGTCAATGCTATTGGAATAATATGGACACTAGAAAAAATATCATATCATAGGCTTTGGTGCTAATTTTACTTGAGTACTAGTTTGATCATAAATTTGATGAAGCACTTCGATGTTGTTGTACTGACTACGTTTGCAACACAGTTGTGAGAGAAATAATAGTAGGACTCGTGCGAAGATTTAGTCATGATAAAAGTTTCCTCGCGTCGGTCTTCATGACTATCTTCTAACTTAGACAACGGTTATAGGGGCATATATACGGTATACCTTCCGCATTGTGGTGAGAAGACTCTATAGCCTTCGCATCTAATGCATAGCCCGATACTCATTGCCACAATCGCCCAACTTTTCGAACACTGCCTTCGTCTTGTACCTGTCATCACCCAAGGCGATCTTATTGATAGCTGCCATGTCATTGTCCTCCAGCTTGAATTTGAAAATGTTGAGGTTTTCAACAGCATGGCTTGACACTCCTAACCTGTTGCCCACGATGACAGCACCGACGTTGGGCTGCTGAAGCACCCAGCGCGAAGCGATGTTTGTGAGAGAAATCCCCTCGCCTTGCCTGTCGGCCATGGACGAGAGAGTCTCCAAGAGGGCCTGGAATTCAGGCCAGCCGCCCCAGTTCTGAACCATGTCAAAGTACTGTGATGGCGTTGAGTTTGTATATCGCCGGATATTCAGGAGCTAGGTGTGGGTACCAACCTTTCGTTGTGAAGGTGTGAGTCGGTTGGTCTCTGAATAGAGTTCTGGCTTAGGCTGGCCAAGCCACTTTGGCGAGATAAGCCCGCCGCACTTCAAGCAAATACCAATTGTCTCAACTTCAGGTACATTTCGGCGTCCGTAGGAAAGCTGGGATCACGATCACTCACAAGAGACCCATATGTAAGGAGCTTGATGCCGTACCTCTCACACACAGCAGACATATGTTGCAGAGGGCGCGAGTCAATAAGCGAGAACTATAAGCTCTTGTCAGCTTGAATCTCACCCCCGCAACTATAGTCACATACCTGTACTTGGTTGGAGACAAGCCCTACTACTCCTGTCTTCTCTAAGAGGTACTTGCAGGCCTCCTCCGTGTGATGGGCATCGAAATTGCACAGCCCGATCGCGGAGACAAGTTGAGGATATGTCTGTGTGATCCTCACAAGCTCCACGAGAATATCCAGGTACTCCTTGGCTGAGTACTGTATATTTGATGTCAGCAACCATATTTCAAAGAGACCATTGGCAAAGGATATAGTGAGGATCACTCACATCGTGCCAATGGAACTGCAGAAGCTCGACACGACCACCAAGCCGTCGTGATCTCTCTTTGACAGCCTGCAAGACATATTGTGTAGTTACCGGCTGGCCGATAGGCCCAAACACGCACCACTTTGTCGCGGCATGGACCGCATCTCGCATGGCAGCGGGCAGCCTATTCCGAAAATCTCCATAGATCAGCTCGGCGTCGCCGTAATGATCAGCCATATCTTGGGGGTTCTGTCAGTAAATAGTTCCCACTTTTGTCGACAGAGAACGACCTGTCAGAGGTGGTCGCAGAATCGTCTAAGTTTCGGATGTGTGTCACAAAGGACTCATCACAGTCGACTATACCGAAGAAAAGAGGGACTACGGCCAGATCCCACTTACCAGCAGTACTCAAGCCAAGCTCGACGAGCTCAGCCAGTGCCGTCTCTTGGCTCTCTGCACTCGCACTGCCCCATGCGGGAGAAGAGAGCTGCCAGAGCCCATTAAACACACGCGGCATCCGGTGAGGGCCAAGCTGGAACGTCTCTATATCAACATGCCGCTCTTTGACGCTTATGGTAATGGTTTTCGCTGCTTGTGGAGATGGAAATGAAGCTGCTGCTTCCGGGTACAAAAAGCTGATAACATCCCGGACCTGTCTCTCTGCTCTGGTGAATGGATATCCTAGGGCCTGGGATGCCGTGTTGAAGCAGTAGCTATGAAGAGCCTCAAGACTGGCCAAGAAACCCTGTAATTCACCCAGCAGTGTGGACGTCGGCTCTGGCTTCGACTCCTTGAGTGCCTGTACGGCCTGCACAATATCGCCTGAAATCTGGTCGAGAACTTTGTCCAGCTCGTCCCCACGTGCCCACTGTGCTCTTGCCTCACGTAAGGACTTCAAGAAATGTGTCAGGCTGGGTTACAAAATCAGCTTTGCACTGCTCCACGGGTCCATCAGAGTTGCAGCGCTCACTATGGCAGGGCGGCCTTGGCGAGTTTGCTCGAGAAGAGGCACCGCGTCGAGGCGATATACCGCACGCATTCCAGGGAGACGAGGCCATCGTTGCCAGGGGGGAACAGGACGCTCGCGTCGGTGAAGGCCGGCGGTGACTCGAGCAGTCGCTTGCGGATGTGCTCGACGAAGGGGCGCTGGGTCGAGGCGCCTTGTGAGACGAGAGTCCTCAGGGCGGATCTGAGGAGGACAGGGGGCACTGGTTCACTCGGGCTGTGGTGAGACTTCTGGGCGCTTCAATCCGAATGCACCACGCTGTGCATCCCCAGGACATTGAAGCTCACGATTCGAGATGAGGACGTCGTCCATCATGTTCCTGATTTACATTGATCAGCACCGGCATTGTCAAATTAGTTTCCCGTTTCGGACTCCTCACGCCTGAGAGTGGACCGACTTACACGTGCCCGGCTGCGGCCGCCATCTTGGGTTCTGTCGCGGTCGGCTCGCACTGTCTGTGAGGCGTTTTCCAGGGTCTCACGACTCAGACCCTCGCGTAGACTTTCGGCACGTTAACCAGAGTCACTCTGCAGAGTGGGAATGATGTGTCACAAACTCTCACGTCAACGGTGGTAGGCGAGATGGCGAGGGTAGCGAAGGCTTGGGCACGTCGAGTCATGACCAACGGGACGACCGGCACAAAACCGGTGCGCTGGGAAACTAAGCCCACGTTCCGTGCCGCATCTGAGCGTTTGGAGGGGTTCTGACGTCTTGCCCCTGAAAGGCCCTACGGTGTTGGGGAACATCGGCGGCGGGCGCTTGTTTAGTTGATTTGCATATGATTAGTGACAGCTAAACCACTTATTTCTCACCGCTGGCTGATAGTCAGACTTCCATCACGCTAGGTGTAGTAATTAGATTTTTATATTCGTAATTCTATCTAATAATTGAGTACTTTTATGGACAATTAAACGAGGCAGCGCTAGTAGTTTGGCGCGTACTTTGGTGGTGGATTCGAGTTTGGATGTGTGCTCGTTCCCATATCACGATCCATCAGCTCAACCTCATCACTGAGCGAGTCGGCCGACCTGACGTTATAGGAGACAGATATGTTGGTAGTCTTGACAATGCCTGCATCGTTCTTCGCAAATGAGCGCAGACCGCTGCTAGCCCCTGTGAACATCCGTGAACCCCCCATGCTGTTGGCCGCAGACGACTTCTTCTCCGAATGCTGGTGCTTGATTCGGCGGAACAGACTGGCCATTCCAGGTAGACAGGCACAGATGACGCCGGCGTAGAGTTCGATCAGGGACCACACAGCCAGGTCGGAGTAGTCGTAAGTCGGGTTCGTGGACGATGCCCAGGAGGAAAGGAACCTCAGACGGGCGATCGAGCAGATGGTAACGAAGAGACCGAGGAGGAAAACGAGGATTACGCCGAGTTTGGCCCTCCAGTTGGTTTCCAATTTTAGCCTGCCGATGGCGGTTAGTCAGGATTTCCCAGGGTATTGCTATAGCAATGATTGGGATACTCACAGTTGCGGTATTGGCAAGAGGAAGATGAAGACGTCGAGAACAATGTTCATAGCGGCGCAAACATAAGTCTGTGCCGTCATGTTGATACATTTCCCGTGCATGCGTCCATCCCAACGTGTCCACACGTAACTGAAAGGCTGGCAGTAACACAGCAGCGACACGACGAAGACGATGCAGAAGCATGCGATCAGGCCCAGTAGGCCGAAGCACAGCCGTCGGAAGCCCTGCTTGGGGAAAATCCTGAGATAAAGGCACACGATCGAGACCTTGGTGAGCGAGGACTCAATAACGTATGCGAACTCGGCCACGTAGAAGAGCTGTGACGGCGGTTAGCACAATGATAAGAGAGGTCATATACTACAATAGCGAGTGTATATGGAACTCACTATTAGGACAATCGTGATCTGTGTTGGATTGAGCTCCCAAATATCTTGGCCGAGGCCGAATATCACCACTGTGGTGTAAATCGTCAGCCATTGCGTTCTGCAAGTTGGCGGCAGATCCCGAACTCACTTATCTCAGCCCCAATAGTCACTGCAAAGGCAACGGCGGAAGACGCCACAATGAAATAATCATCCCACCACATGGTCCCGCCGAAGCGATCCGTGCGGGCGAGCACACGACAGCCGAAAGATATCATGGTAACGGCGAAGAGGCTCCAATATATGGCCCGATCCTTGTTGCCATCATTACGGGAAGTTATTCCACATGCCGTCTTGATGACCTTTTCGGTCTCTGTCCACACATGGTCAATCTCGTGAACGTCGGGTTCCTGGGATGAATAGTGAAAACTCACTCAGTTCGTCTGATATCGTGCAGTTGGTGAGGGCACATGATGCCGACGTGAGCAACAATTCGCTCTGGTTTTGGCAGATACATGACAGGTCTGATGCAGAGCAGGTCGAGTTGGTGACGGCGGATTCGAAGCATGATACCTAGGAGCAGTCCACGCGTCAGCGGTCGTCGGCAAACACCATCGCACCCCACAGCACCTGGGAGGACATCGAATCCGTACCGAACACTGGGGTAGTTGCGTTGTAAGTTGCGAGCGGCTTCGAGTCAAGCCAACGCTTGCTGCGAGCGGCTCGGCAAGAACCGATGGCAGAAGGATCGCACCGATCGCCAGGGAGGCGGAGAACCTCACGGCCTGGAGTAGTAGATGCATGACAGGTAGCACTCAACGCACATCAGCTGTGGTGTTCGGATGTGGACAATTGCCATTCAGGTAAAAGAGAGGGAAGAGAAGTGCCATGCAGCACACACAACAGGTGATAAACCAGATCTCAGATCGACGCAGGGCCAAGACGTTCGAGAAGCGTTGACATTCGCCGCTCGCGTGCCCAGGGAGAAAGAGGGCGCGAACAGGGAGTGGAGCTCCTGTTGAGAAGGAAACGGCCGGAAACACACACATCGGGGCCCACGCGACGACTGGGACTGGAACTGGGAATGGGCCCCGCATCGTGCATTGCTCTTCTGGTACCTTGCATCGTACAGTACCAGGGCCGACTCGGACGAGTTGGGAAAAAAGGAGAACCTTGAAAAGGATGACCTGGGCATGGGTGATGGAGTCGAAGGGAATAACTTCGGCATGCCAGCTGCAAGCCTAGGCCTGCCTTGGGACCCCTGCGCCGCCAACGCGAGGTAATGGCCCCGTTGCAACGCAGCAATTTGCAAATTGCTTGACACCTTATTTGGTGACCGGATTGGGTTGAACGAAAACTCAAAAACTTCGGTAAAGCAGCATAAAAGTCCAGACAGGAGGTCTGGCCAAGACGCGTTCGTCAGCTGGCATCGCAATAGACTGCCGTGCAAGTCTCCGAACACTTAGTCCATCTGCCGCCCGTTGCGCTACCAGGTCCTTGGGTATGACATGAAGGAGGACACTAGGAGGTTTCCCTATTCCCCGTGAAACTGACACCTGGCTCTAGCACCAAAGCAAGAGTGTAATCCTGGTGGAGGTTTTGTGAAGACATCCAGACCTAGCCTATCGGATATTTAATTGACGGCCTCTCCTCACGCAGGCGGCAGGGTAACGGGCCTTTTAGCCAAATATCCCAGCTAGCGGACCGACACGCTCACAAGAAGTAGCGGTGGTATTGCCGACATTGATTGTTATGAACAAGGAGCAGGCCAGATCTTTGATATGACCTGTCAACCACAGCGAGAGCAACCTCGCTTGCTGTATTGGGAATCCTGCCAGGCAACACATCGCATTCCCCCGTCTGTCAACGACCGGGCCTCGGTTGCGCAGGACCCATATTTTGGCAAATTCGGAACCCTCGCCTCTGGCCAAGGGGCCCCCCTCTCTTGGAACACGGACTGCGGGTCAGGAGGCACGGAGCAGAGACGACGACGACGACAGCTTCGGCACGTGGGAATGGTCCACTGAGCTTGTTGCAGAGAGATTGAGTCCCGGTCGAAATTTGCAGAGGTGGGCCAATTGGTCGTATTCATCGATCTAGGTCCATTGCTCACAGACAGAGGAGCTTGGCAGTGCAAAGGGCACATTGTGGTTGGTAGCGAGCGGCCCGTAGATTATCCCTCAGGATGGATATCGGCACACATAATGAACTGATGATAAGGAGCAACGACCAGCAGTACCTAGGGTACCCTTAGCATCTGTCAATGTCAGACGGGGTCGTCCGCCGAGCCAAGAAGCCGGGGTGGGCGATCCTCTTATGAAAGAAGCCGTTGGTGAGGGAGGTGATGGAAGAAATGTTTGCTCAGCATGTGGGGACCGAGTCGGCTATCATGCTGAAAACGGTGCGGAGATTGTTGTCGACTGCAGCAGCGTTCCCCACAGAATTCCATGGCCTTCAGGGATCATACCTTGACAGGTTTCACGCCGTGTGCCCCTTGTGGACAATGTCCACATTCGCGTCTACGGGGGATGCACAAGCACAACCCACCATGACACCAGTGCACTATTTAGTACTACGTAAGTAAGTCTCGGCCAGATCAGCAGTGGCCCGCAGTGGCTGGGCTAGGAACACTGCGGCCTTCCTCCCACAGAGCAAAATGGTGTGTGACGTCGCTCTGAAGCTTAACTGTGAACGACGGCATTGCATTGAAACCGCCGGAAGAGGAGTTGGAGAAAGCCTCGGTATCTTCACGCTGTGTTACGGATGAGGCACCGTGGCACCTCAATGTGCGGAGAAGTGCCAAACCACTACGACGGATCGAGAATATAAAAAGCCACTCATCCATAGATCTCCTAGCCGAAGCGCGTCGGCTCCTGGCCGTCGCTTCTCTCGACTTCCGAATGTATCAAGATCGTGAAAATGACCAACATTCCAGTCACCAAAGAAGAACTCGCTGCTTCATTCGCCGTGGGTGCTGGCTTGCACCAGGCGTTCCTCCGCCATGGAGAATGGGATAACTATAGCTTCAAGCTCATCGTTTCAGCCGCCGCGGTTGAGACGCTTCTGAGCCTCTTTGTGCATGTGTACTTTTCCGAGCCCCCAGCCGATGCCATTTGGCATGCGCTTTATTGGACCCTCGCGGCCACTGCTGGAATATACACCAGCATGCTCCTATACAGGGCCTTCTTCCACCGGCTGCGTTCTCTTCCCGGGCCCTTTGCCGCCCGCCTGTCGACGTTTTATATGACCTATTTGAGCGCGAGGCGCGGGCAGGTCTACCAAGATGTCAGGGCTCTCCACAGGAAGTATGGCGACTATGTCCGGGTCGGGCCCACAGAGATCTCCATCGCGGACCCGGCAGCATTTGCCGCCATCCACTCAGCCACATCGCAGTGCGAGAGAGGTCCGTGGTATAACATCCTGAATCCGACCATCTCACTCCAGATGGTACGCGACCGAAAGGAACATGCTCGCCGTCGAAAGGCTTGGGACAAGGCTTTTAGTGGCAAAGGCAGGTAACGGACCAACGCTCAAGTCGCTTTGCAGGGTAGTTTACACTGGGGGTGAAGATGTCCTCACTGACAAAGCTCAATAGCTTTGAAAGACTATGAAGGCCGTGTGGCCGGGTACACAGATGAGCTCCTCGGGGCTATCGGCACCAAAGGCAAGGGCAAACCGTTCAATGCCTCAAAATATTTCAACTACTACTCCTTCGACATCATGGGAGTGAGTTGTCCTGTCCTCAGGTATTGAGCTACCTTGTGCTAACATGATCACAAGGATCTTGCCTTTGGAAGGTCCTTCAATATGATGAGAGATGGCATTGACCACTATTTCTTCACGTCGACTCACCTGAATATGGCAATAATCGGTTTGTTCAGCCGTGTCGTGTGGCTGTTCCCCATATACAGTTCGTATAACCTCATCCCTGTTGAGCAATCCGATTCTTTTTTTTTAATTAAAAAAAAGGAGGCCTTGCAAGCCATGGCTTTGGGCTTTGTAACAGGTTGTTGACATTTCATAGAGGCAATCCCCATCATGAACCACGAATATATTAGGTTCCAGCGTTTCATCAGGGCTACGGCCAAGAAAAGGATGGATGTAAGTATCCCAATGATTGCAGATTATTCGAATTCTTTCTCGGCCCACGGTTTCTTGAACATGCCAAACTGACTGCCGGTGAAGAATGAACCACATGTTCCTGATGTCTTTCACTGGATATTGAAGGACTATAAACAAACGCCAAACCCAAGTTGGCAAGAAACAGAAGATCTGGTCGGAGACGCAAGTCTCATCGTAGTAGCCGGCAGTGACACGACCGCAGCAACACTGACCTGCTTGTTCTATAACCTGACAACGCACCCCGAAGTGTACAAGACTCTCCAGAAAGAGGTTGACGAGTTCTTCGCGTCCGAGGCGACAAGTGACAACTTCGAGACCTCCTCCTTGGGAAAGCTCCAATATCTCCAGGCATGCATTGATGAGTCCCTCCGGCTGTTCCCACCCGTCATGTCCGGCCTGCAGAGACAGACGCCACCGCAGGGGGTCCAGATCGGGGAGCGGTTTATCCCAGGAAATACTATTGTCATGACACCAACCTACACCATGTGCAGAGGTAGTCAATCATCTTCGCCATTAGCAACCTTGAAAAGGCGCTGACCAGCTCCTAGATCCCAGAGCCTTTCCGAGAGGGGACGAGTTCATTCCTGAGCGATGGACCACTCAGCCCGAGCTCATCAAGGACGCCGCAGTCAATGTGCCCTTCTCAGTCGGTAAGACATTGTCACCCTGATCCTCGATAAACAGGTCAGATGCGTGCTAACCCAGCCAGGCCGTTTCTCGTGCGTAGGCAAGCAGCTCGGCCTGATGGAAGTCCGCCGGGTCACATCTCTGATCGCACACAAATACAACGTCACGATGGCGCCAGACCAGACCAAGGAGGCCTTCCTCGGCGGCCTGCGAGACAACTTCACCCTTGCTACGCCCGCCCTGAATCTGGTCTTTTCGCCGAGGAATTAGATCGGGTGTAACGAGTGATTTTGTAGTCCATGTTCCTATCTGGAGTCTTGATGTTCTTTTGCTTACTCGCGCAGCCTTGTCTTCCCAGCAGGTTCTATGGAGGTTACAGAACGGTGGCATTCTAGTCGCGTGGCTGAATTGTACAGCAAGGGCACTCAGGACGACACTTGCTGATGCCGTGCCATAAAAAGACTTTGAGACTACTCACAGATTGGTAGCGACCTTTTCGCACTCAACGGTCCTACTTGATTAACTGTGTAGGATTTATGTCTGGTTACTGAAAAGGCATATCGATGGGACGCGGGCGGTAGATGCATGTGTGCGATATTACTGTGCGGATATATACGATGGAACAAAGTGATAGTTCATTTTGAAGTTCTCTTGCTCACGATAAGCTCAGATGCTCCACTTTCCAGATAATGTCGTTCTAGACAAAATAAAGGACGGAACGGTCCTCGGAAGTGTCCTCGGCAATCTCCTCGGGGATTAAACACTGACTCGAAATAACTCGGTTGTAGCTCAATCGCCTGACAACACCTCACAAGGACGCACGTCAACTCCTATCGCATTCTTAGCTAGACTCGCTTGGGTAGGGCTGGGGGTTGCGATGAATCCCTTTCTTCAAGCTCCTGCAATTGGGTGACTTTGGGTCCCGCGGCAGTCATATCAATCTAGTCAAAGCCTACTGCGCATTTTGCTACACAAGTGATATCTCCTGCAGCTTCAGTCGACCTTCTCGTAGCCTCTTCGAGACCTCGCCATCCATCAGTCCATGTGCATAACATTCGCCGATGAAATTGTACTGCTTCCGTCCTGGATCCGTATGCCTCAAGAGGTAAAGTACCTGTCCTCCAGCCAGCGCCCATAGACTGTCCCCATTCTTGGCTGTGTTGGGGACGGCCATAACAAATTTCATTTCCGTCAGAGCCAGGCCTCTGCAAGCTAGTCCATTGTGGATGGCGACGACCTCATAAGGCTGCTTATACTCGTCGATACTGAGGTTTGCAAATCGCCTGTTATACAATCCTACTGCAAACTTCCCGCCCCTGGCTGATGGTACAAAGGCCCAGTCGTAAATTAGGTCCAAAACAACGCAATGGTTGAATACGTCCTCAATTGGCTCATCTGTGAAATATCGATGTTTGGTTGTGGTGGTCCACTGAGCCAGCTTCTCTTCAAATGCATCTTTCCTTTCTTGCCAATCTTGTTCTGCTTGGAGGTCTGGGTCTGAACAGATCAAGGTGTCTTGAATAGTGTCGATATAGATCCCCCGTACGAAAAGCTCGTTACCTTTGATGCAGGATCTCGGGGCAACTCCCTCTAAAGGATTATAGGCTGGTATCTGTGATGTTTCGGGTCTAATTCTTGTCCTAGGTGCTAATTTGGGAAGCAGCAATCTAGACGAGTCTTTGAAAGGGTCTCGCGTTGTCTTCGTTGGCTTCTGAACATGAAGAAATTTCGGTATGGGGACTAAACCTGGATCGATGGACAGGTTCGGAATCCAGCTTGGGAGAAGAGGTTCGCTAACCTTGGTTATTGTTACAGACTCTGGACGCTTTTTACCCCACGCCAGGCCTAGAAAGTCCAGACTGTTGGACCCGGTGGAACTGATACAGTAGCGTACCACATCATGGTACACATCGAGCGTACTCTTATCCGTATAGTTAGGGCGAATATGGTTTCGTACTTCGTCGCTTGCGAGACACAATGGAGCATAAACCTTATCTCTAGGATCTTGACACTCAGACTTCCGAAAATATTGCAGTAACTCGACAAACGTCAACTCTGATCTGAACTTCATCGAACGGTGTTCCCTTAGCAACTGGAACGTTCTGAGGTGTTTTGATATGCCGTAGAGGAAGCTTGATTGTAACCCTGGTGTTGCGGAGATGACTTCTGCCACCATTGTACCCATGCCTAGGCGGAACCAACTTGTGAGCTGGTCCCCAGAACTTAAGATTGATATTTTTAGTATCGAACATGGCGGGTTGAGAGGCAAAGAGGTGATGAATGCAGAACATTGGCGGAATGATGTGACCTTCGCACCCGCCCACGCGACGGCACCCCAATAAAATAAAAGTTGATGGGTCGCTTCTCTGAACTTACAGGAACTTGACCCTGCTCTTTCCAGGCTTGATAGTCCAGGTTCCAACCGAGAATGCGGTGCGTCTTTCTGGGACCGTTGATTCTTGATAGACCCATGTCCGCGTCCACCAACGGCTGCTGAATATTGCTGCAACTCCAAGCCAGGCGTTGTGTATCGTAGTTCCGGGCTCGTCGAAAATAGCTCTGTCTGTGAAAGGGAACAAAGATTGGATGAACATCGCTCTCCGTTTTGCTACATCTGGTAGCCTTGAATTCAGGCAAGGAGTAATCCTCTCCCATATGGGAGCTGCACGATTTGCCACTTCATAATAATGTCTTTCAAACTCCGCCAGCATCTGACAAGCCAGCCGATTGTTCATATGGCTCTCAGGTTTTCCCAGCCAGACGACAATTTCTGTAGCCTGGTCATATATCTCTGCCATACGACTGACCTGCAGGCTACGTTCATCCGTGGCGTCTTGATCCTCGCCCTGGTTGATGCAGATGGCGTCAACCCACAAATAACGACGGACGAGTCCTGATTCAAGCATCTGCTTGAGGGCATCGTGGAGGTTGGTTCAGACGGGAAAGTCGCGCCCATTTACTATGATGGCGCGAGAGGACTCCAGTAGGTTGTTCCAGGTATAAGCAAGCGCGGTGTACCTAGGCTTGGACAGGATTGAGACATGGATGAGCTTAAAAGAGGCGCTTTCCTTATCTCTAGAGACTCGCTTGAGCAGCCTGATCTGATTTTGCCCAAGGGGTTCATATTGGAAAGTCATCTTCACGAGTGACGAGAGGCATAAAGTCGAGGTAGGCTGCTGAACGGATCACATGTGCTTTTGGAAGGGCTCGGCTTGGGCTCCAGGATAAATGCATTTGGTGTTTGCGGGGAATGGTACGGCTGCTTGCAGCTGAATCTCAAACGGCTGCAGATCTCATGTGAGCGAGAGGCGGTACATAAGCCGCAGGCAGCAGCAACACAACGTGTCACCATTCTCTGCGTCCACAACCCCTTTTACGCATCTATAGCGTAGAAGAATCCCTTTATATCTATCGTAGGCTGACAAAGAGGCGGTGCTGAAAGTTTCCGATTGTACTGTTGCGCCTTGCACAGGTGCACAGCACTGGCATGCGTAATCCGATAGGGCGTTCAAAGATGATGGCGTTGTGAGGAAGACTCTGGAAGAAACATGGGCGAAGGTTGTTCAAGCAATTCGAAAATCATCCTAACCAGGGTCGCGCGTGGATGATATCGACTTGTATAGAGCACCCTTGGTCCACTTTCAACATCGTCGCCGCTACGTATGCGAATGAGGAATTGACCTGATGCCAATTTGAATTGATCTCAGCCTGGTAGAATGTATATTCTCTCTCTCTCTCTCTCTCTCTCTCTCTCTCTCTCTCTCTCTCTCTCTCTCTCTCTTTCTCTTAGGATTTTGCCGTTTACTTGCCGAAAAAATCTAGAAATAGCTGTTTAGAGCTTTATTCCACACTTGTGTTTAACTAAGGTTCAGGGCTCCCTTGTTGCACATGTCATATGGACTGATAAACACAACAAATTAACAAGTCCCATCGAACTGAACTATATAGACAGAGAAATTGCCAAATGAGACACTGTCACATATACTAGAGTCCACATGCGTAATATCTAGGACTGTATTTTCATCGGAATATCCGGCCCAGATCTAGTCAGTAGCTATGGCTTATCCCTATATGACCGAGTAGTGAATCGCCCCTGTGCCTGAATGCTTGAGTAGCGTATAACATGCAACATTATCAAATTGAACCAATTACGAAAACTTTAGTATTCGTCGGTTAAGGAAGACATTAAGAACATGGCGAGGTTGGTATGCGTGTCGCAAGCTTACAACGCAGGGGTCTACACACACTCATTGGGAGCTCCGGCAATCTGGTTGCAGGGAGACCCACCACGGCTGCCAAACCCGGCCGCGGTGCCTGAGCTTCTGGGGTTGGTGGAGCTGTTCGTAATAACCTAAGTATCTTGCAACTCGCAACATAGCCGTGCAAAGTACGCAATCGTTCGGCTCAACAACCGGTTACGCAAAGATCTCATTCTTACAACCCCCTCTTCAAGGCAAGTTCGTCCCAATGTACACGTATGCCGCGGGATGTGGCAGGACCCCCCTCTAGGCCATCGGAAAACCCGAGGTGGGCGGATTAAGGTCGGGGTCGTGTTCTACAGGCCGAGCTTGTTTTCCGGCGGAAGTACGACGGAACCGAGCACCCCTCACAGTGGTAGACCCGAGAAAGCTTGGCCACAGGAAGGAGGAGGCTCATATTTAAAGTCACCCCCGAGATTTCGCTGACCGAAACCCGTGATTCTAGCCTGGCCAAGATGAACGTATTCCGACGAGGGTTGACAACCATGGCGACGCTCAAGACCAGACCGAACAAGATCGCTTGCATTGGCCGCAACTACGCGTGAGTCCTCTATCCCACGGCATCGCCTGGATGAGATAGTTACATGTCCGCTCACATCACTCATCAGGGACCATATCAAGGAGCTCAACAGCGCCAGGCCGAAGCAGCCTTTCTTCTTCTTCAAGCCCACAACAACCTTGCTGCTGCCCGGTGAGGGCCCGGTCATCAGGCCCAAGGGCGTTGACCTGCACTATGAGGTCGAGCTGGCGCTCATCATTGGCAAGAAGATTAAGGATCTGAGCCCGGATGATGAGCAAGGCGCCCTCGATGCCATTGACAGTGAGTCTATCATTGACCTCACGACTACATTCTCACTTCCTCTTGCCCCTCCCGCCTCTCCTCGCTTCAACCACACACTGACACAAGACATCAAGGCTACGCGCTGTCCATCGACATGACGGCGCGCAACATCCAGAACGAGGCCAAGAAGAAGGGCCTGCCGTGGGACATCTCCAAGGGGTTCGACACGTTCCTGCCCATCAGCCGGCTGATCCCCAAGTCCAAGATCCCGGACCCGCACAAGATTGAGCTGTGGCTCAAGGTCAACGGCGAGACGCGGCAGGAGGACTCGACGGAGCTGCTGCTGTTCCAGATCCCGCGCGTGCTGAGCGACATCTCGCGCGTCGTTACGCTCGAGGAGGGCGACATCGTCATTACGGGCACCCCCAAGGGCGTCGGCCCCGTTGTGCCCGGCGACGTCATGACGGCCGGCATCCGCGTCGACGGCAAGGAGATCGAGGAGGCGGCCCTGGAGGTGCCGGTTGCGGATAGCACGGGCGCTTATGTCTACGAGGAGACGTGAGCGGTCTGCGGGGTGTCGGACGGAGTCACGAGTGATGGGGTATAAAGCGGCGGTGCGTCTGATTTTGGGGTGCATATATGTACAATCAATCCAACATAGACTTGGTACAGGCACGCAAATCATACTTCAACATCAACTACTATCTCACTCTCCACCGCTCATGCTACTCCAGATTCGGGTCCTTGATCGACCCCGGCTTCGGCGCCGCTTCCGCCACCTCACCGCATGCCTTACACGTCCTATCCTCCTTACTGGCCTTGAAAGCCTCAACGGCGGCCTTGATTTGGGTGCCGAGGTCGGTGCAGTGGAAGGCGGCCTCATGGACAGCGGCGCGGCAAGATGCACAATACCAGCGCATCCGGTCAACTGAGGCCTCGGGCCGGCGCTGCTCGAGCACGACGCCCACGGTGTTGGCGAAGCGCACGGGGTTGTGCGGGGTGTTGCCTGGCAGCAGGAACATATCGCCCTCGCGGATGATGATATCGCGGAATTCGCCGTCGTCGACGACCTTGAGCATCATGGCGCCCTTGTGCTGGTAGAACCACTCTGGCGTCTCATTGATATGATAGTCTGTGCGGGCGTTGGGCCCGCCCACAATCTGGATGGGTGGTCGGTCAGCTAGTCAGTCCGGGGTGGATGGGTTGACAAGGCTGGATTGTATTTTGCACGTGCCATGACTGTGAAGCCCTCATTGTAGACGCAGTAATTGTTGATGGGCGGCTGCAGGAGGTGTGAATTTTCCTCGAGCCTGAGTAGCTCGATGGTCAGCTTAGACCTTGAAATGACTCGTCTGCCGTTGAATGAGGGTTCAAGAGACTCACCACTTGGGCAGGTTTACTGGCGTGGAGAGCATGTTGGTGGTGGCTACGGTACAGGTTTACCTGGGGGCAGAACCGGGGGTTCTAGCGCGACACTGGAGTGTTTGGAGGTCCCGAGCTGTGTCTTCCTACGGTTTCAGCACCTCAACGGTCGTGGGTCAGGCTGGGGTGGAGGCTGAGGACGTGATATGTGCTGTGTAGCCACATATCTAGACTAGATACTTGTTGTTGACGTTGTTGGCAGTGTGCGGCTCTCTCGGAGTGCAATATGCAAAAGTCATCCAGTCATCCAGTCGTCTTAGTAATTGGACATGGAGAACAAGGTGGGATGTCATTGACAATCGCTTCTGTCCAGGTCGGCGCATGGATCGGCTGAGCACCCCGCTATTCAGGGTCCAACTCGCTACTGCTAGCCTCCCTGAGCATGTGAATCAGTTCAGTCCAGTTCAGTTGCAATCCCGCCAGTCCGCGTCCCAGCGTCAGAGAAGCACGGCCCCTATGCCCCAGCCCCTGGGCCCATGATCCATGTGTCCGTCTGTTCCACTCACTGCGCTGCTGGTAGAGACTCTCACTGACTCCATGCCCACGCATGCTGCCGCTGCCGCTGCAGCCCTGAAATGCTTATCTGCCGACAGAGCTACGCTACGGATACCCGCTGCACCCTTTGCACCCTTTGTTCCAGATACACGGCAGACCTCCTACGGGCCCCCAACCTCGGAAGTACCTGGACTACAGTAGTCGTCAGTCAGTCAGTTATAACCACCCACCTGCGACAAGCGCATCATCCTTGGCGTGGCGTGCAGCTCCCAGAGGAATTGCGCAAGTTTGAGCAAATTACCAGTCAGGTGTTCGCCCGTTTCTATCCTGTCCTGTTCCCATCCTGTCTCCATCCTGTCATTGCGCGGCTGAAGCCACTTTGCTTTTGGACCTGGCTTGTCCTCTTACATTATACCCAGATACTCCCTGTGTTTCGTCTGCTCCTTTTCCCTTCTCCTCTCCAGCATAGCAGCAGCAACAGCCTCCTCTGTCAACGGAGCTTGCCAATCCATATAACCTAGAAACGTCCGAACTGCGTCAACCTTCCGACGGCCCGCCCATAAAGCCCTAGCGCCAACCTTGGCTCCTTTGACATTCGAGAACCCGACGACCGCCCAAGACAATGGATCACTCCCACATGGACCACGGCAACATGGGCGACATGCCCGGCCACGGCGGCCACAATATGCCCTCGCATGGGGACATGTGCAGCATGAGCGTAAGCACCAACAGATATCCATTCATCGAGACATCCGCGCCGAGTCTGCTGTACAGTCCAAGCTGACCGCGTTCTATCATCGGGATTAGATGCTCTTCACCTGGGACACGACCAACCTCTGCATCGTCTTCAAGCAATGGCACATCCGCTCCACCGCCGGTCTCCTCTTCAGTCTTATCGCTGTCGTCCTTATCGGGATGGGGTACGAAGCCCTGCGCGCGGGCACGCGCCGATACGAGGTTATCATGGACCGGAGGATAGACTCCACACCGAGTGAGTCTCCTCCCCTTCGTTCTAGACAATGTGAAAGATTTCTTGAAGTAAAAGCAACAGGCGCAAGGGGGGTTCTGGTTGCCTCGCCTCATGGCGATGCAGCCGCCCTTCTAGCCCGGCGTCCCCCTTTCCCCCTTCTTTCCATTTTGATCCAAGGTTCGCACTGGACAATGTTCCGTCTTCGAAAACGGTCTTCTTTGTGTCCCTTGCGCTTTGAGTTTCAATAATCAAAACAAATGACAATTGCCATGCCACGCGCTTACCTTGGGATTCTTCGAGGCGACATCATTACTGAGACTACGCCGCTGGCGTGGGCGATAGGGCAGAACAAGGCGCAGGTGAACAAGAGGACGCACTTGGTCAAGGCAGCTCTGTACGCCTTGCAGACGTTTTATGCCTTTATGTTGATGTAAGTTGTGACCACAAGACCGCCGCTGTTCCCCAGGCCCCAACAGCAAGCATATGCTGACAATCCCGGTCGCTGCGCAGGTTGATTTTCATGACCTACAACGGATGGGTGATGGTCGCCGTCACCGTAGGCGCGTTCCTGGGCTACTTAGTGTTTGGGGCACACACGCCTGTCAACAAGGAGACGCAATGCCATTGAGAGGGCGAAATTGAGCGTGTGAGACCCGACGGAGATTACATCAGTTACAAATGTGTAACTCGGTGGTGTCTTGCTTTCATTTGGCTTTGGAAGCTTCGCAGCGGCTTGCGCATTGTCCCGGCATCGTTTTACTCAGCATCTATCCAGAACAACACCCCAGTGTCAATACCCCCCAGCATAGCATACAGCAACATGCTTTTCTCAAGGTTTCAGAGCAGACTGGCTGGCTGCCTTTGAAAAGCGGTCCTACAGGAATTGAACGGCCTATCTTCGAGAGGGTAATGAGCTCAAATTCAAGGCTCTTTACCACAATATTTCACTCAGCATGTGTGACCCAGGATGAAGAATCGTGTAACCCTTTGCGACGGCAGTAAGTGTGTATCATTCATGAAATAAATATGACGCGCTTGTAGCTGAGCCATAACAGCCACATCATCTATCATCTATGCCAGTTCTTGTCATGCACATTACATCTTACTTCCCTCCTTAGCCCTCTTGGCCTCCTCCTGCACCAGCTCCACAACCGCAGGCCGCTTCTTCTCCTGCAGCTTCCCGGCACCAGCCAGCCTTTCAATGAGGGCCTCGTCGCCGTAGTGGGTATTGTGCTCAAATTCGGGCTCCCGCGCGTACGCGACCCGCGCGGCGTCCACCAGCATCCGGCCCGTCATCCCCCACACCATGTACCGGCCGACGTCCTCCTCCTCGTCGAGCTGCTCCGCGATGGCCGCCAGCCCGCCCTCGCGCACGCGGGGCTTCGTCACGCGCTGGTGGTTGACCGGCACGTAGAAGTAGTGCACGCGCCACCGCGCCTCGTGGAACTCGGCCCACCGGCCCTCGTACCACTTCCCCTTGGGCAGCAGCTTGCGCCTCTGCGCCTCGTCCCCCCCGGGGGCCACCTCGTCCTGCGCCAGCAGGAAGTTGTGCAGCGGGCCCGAGAACACGGCCGCCACCTCCTTGGCGTCTAGCCGCGGCATGAGGCTCTCGTCGACGGTCGGGGACGGTGCTGCTGCTGCTGAATCGTCGTCCGAGTGCAGCAGCGCCACGCACGGCCGCACGGCCAGCTCTGTCTTGGCCAGGCTGTGCGGCAGGCAGCACAGGTGCTCGATGCGGAAGGGCTTCGGGATCTTGCTGTCGTCGATGGGGAGGCCGATCTCCTCCCAGGCTTCGCGGCGGGCTATTTGGTCTGTTGGTAGTAGTCGGGCGTCCGTACGTCAACTGAGTGGACTATATCGCTGGTTTGGGTGGGGAGGGGGGGGGAGTGTGGGCATACAGGGCGTCTCCTCTAAGCTATCCGCCTTGCCCCCTGGGAAAGCTGCATGGCCTGTCGCACAGTACAACCCGGTCAGCCCTTTTATTTTCCACAGAAATGAAGAACAACTGGACTGGCAGATAGCCACGGACCAGAGAAACTCCTCAGGCTTGCCGCACGCATGGTGAGCACAACGCGCAGGTCGCCCTGGCGGTCCGCGTACAGCAGGATCAGCACGGCTGCCCTCCGGCTGAGGGGCAGCTTGTCCCACAGCGGGAAGGGCGGAGGCTTGTAGGCGCGCAGGCGCGCGATGGCGGCCTTTGTTCTTGTCACTACTATCCTGTTCATGGCGGGAGACGTAGGGTCGGCTTGCACGGCAGGAGGGGATTCGGACTGGGCAGAGGTGGGTTTTTTTGGTAGGACGGGTATGTCTCAATGTGCCGTGCCAGCTGCTCATGTACTGACCCGTGACACTTGATTCAACGGGGCCATGCTTGACAGGTCCCAGTATTCGCCCTCGTCAAACTCGTCTGGTTGTGGTGGTTGCGATGGGTCTGTTTGTATCTCTGGGCGTGGTTGCGACGATCGCGAGGATGACGTAGGGGCAGCTGGTGCGGTGGAGGATGCGTCTTTGATGCTCTGGACGATGGTCTGGACCTCGGCTTCCGTGGGCGCGGTGCTGTCGTCGTGATGTTCTATATCGGGGGCGTGCTGCCCGTTCGGGAGTTGCTCTGCTGTACCAGTCATCTTCCTCTCTCCCTGCTCTCAGTCATTGTAACGGGAGACCCTGACCGAGGGCGAGCTGTGCCGAGGAATTGGAGTCGCCGGGCTGGGATCCGACACTCCGGTTCAGGCGGATGGGAGCTTGGGAGGCCGGGCACGCAATGCGGGGTGTGGGGACATGCCTAGGTAGATCTTGGGTGCTGCTGGGTTAGACCCTTAGCTGGGCGAGGACGACTTCCCCAGGATTTATGTGTGTACCTGACGGTCGTCAATCGTTGGTTAAGACGTGGAACGGGCTATAGGACCTCCTTCTCAAGCCCACGCCGTCACTACTTCTTGTCAATTCACCAGCTCTGAAATTTACAGTACGTGAGATCTGCCCCCAGCGCCTTTAAGGTGGGGCCCAGGCAATCCATTATCCATATTACATACGATTCATATCACAGGAAAGAAGCCGACTTGAAAGAGACATGCCCCCAACGCCTCATGCGCAGTCTCACTATCACAAGCCTCGCGGAGCAGGTCTGTTAGGGCGCAACTGATACAATCTCTTGGTAACTCCTCCACGAAGGGCCAAGCTTTTGTTTTCTTCCGATTGAGTCCCTTCCGATAAGAATCACAGCACACCAACCACACTGGCGTCTCGAGGACCGTCAAAGGCGGCCATAGTCCAGAACTCCTGCATGGGACGCCCTCGATAATCCTGACAGTATGAGCGGGATCAACAAAAAGGCCAGGGCCAAACACGCATGCAAAGAATGCAATCTCCGAAGGGTCCGATGCGATGTGATGCAGAAGCATCCGTGCAGCAATTGCCAGTCAGCCCAGGAGAACTGTGTCATTTTACCCTCGCGGCGAGGACGGTGAGTTGTTTTGAGTTCTTCAAAGCGAGTCAGATATTCATTGGACACTCGGCCGATACCTGTGGAGTACAGATGGCTCACGCTGGAAGTGGAAATCAATACCAAAGCGCTCTGGTTTAAGACACATTGATGCTGACAGAGAAGTAGGTATCCCCGCAAACCTCGCCAGTCGAGCGTGAAAGATGGCTCGAGGTCGTCTGAGGGCGTGGAATCCCTCGGAGAGCCGAGTAAAAGTCCCGCATCGTCACGGAAGCAGGCGAGTACATCAGGCGACTATGCCGCTGCAGCGATGTCCACCGAACCAAGATCACCGAGGTCGCAGTCTGCAATGACTGGGAAGACAGTTGCAGCTGCTTCAGGAAGCAGCAGCCTCTTCTTTGGGGAGTCGAATTTTCTCACCCTTGTGCCATCAAAACGTCCAACTACTGAGGAACCTCAGAATGGGAGAATGTCTTTCTCTATCAAAGCTGGCTCGACGCCTCAGTCACACAACGACGCTTCTCCCTCAACGAATGTCATCCACCTCAGCCAGGGTACCGAGAGATATCTGAGGGAAGAAGGTGCACTCACGTTCCCAAGTCTGCAGACATGTCTACCTGTGGTACAGGCCTACTTCAAATGGTTTCACCCATGCTTCCCGTTACTGGACCGCCCAAGCATAGCCAGAAAATTGGTTTCTATGGAGATCTCACCGCTGCTTTTCCAGGCTATGCTCTTCATTGGTGCCACGTACTGTAGCGAGGAAGCGATAGTCTCCATGGGATTTAGGGATCGTTCAGAGGCCAAATCATTGCTATACACCCGCGCACGTTTGCTCTTCCATGCAGATTGGGAGAAGGACCAGATCACACTCATTCAGAGCCTCTTCTTCATGAGCTTCTGGCGTGGGGAGTCATCGGATGTAAGGGATGTGAGATACTGGCTTGGCGCAGCGATAACTTTGTCCGAGACTTGTGGCCTGCACCGCTCGACAAAGCTCACCACTCGTGACCCGCAAATAGCCAGGATTCGCAAAAGAACGTGGTGGTCGATTTATACGCGCGAGAGACAATCGGCTGCATCACTAGGTCTACCCATGAGGATTCGGGACCAAGACTGCGATATCGAGCTCCTGACGACAGAGGACCTGGAAAACGACGCCGATGATAGTCCACTCACGGCTCTCGGCTCGCCTACAGCGGAGCACCTGGTTTATCCTATCAAGATGGTCGACCTGGCCAGACTTCTTGGTCACATCATAGACACCCACTTCATACCTGGAAAAACACCAACTGCCCAGGAAGAGATCATGCACCTGCAGTCTTCGCTTGAAGGATGGAAAGACAGCTTGCCAACCAGCTTGCAGAGGATATCAGACGAAGACAGTCCATCAGTATGGATGTGTCTGCTGCATCTTGCCTACAACCACCTTAGGATATTGATCTACCGAAGCGGCTTCTTGCGCAAAAATGAGAACGACACCAAAATAGCACTCGGTGCAGCAAACCAGATAAGCCGGATCGCAGAAGATATGTTGGAAAGGAAGACTCTTCAGGTAGGTCAACTCCTCTCCAAGAACTTCGTCGCTGAAAAATTTCTACAGTACGGTCAAATGCACTTGATAACTAGCCTCTTTGCCGCGTTATGTATTCATGCCATCAACCTAAAGACTGCAGACGGAATTGGAAGGAGACTGGCAGAGAACAGGGCACAGATCTGCCTCCTGGGGCTGAAAGAAGTTCAAAAGTTTTGGCGCATTAACAACACAGTGCTTGATCTGTTCCTACAATACCTTGATGAATCTATTGCAAAGCGACTAAGAGGCGATGGCGACACCAGCCGGGACGAAGGAGCCTCGGCAGTTGTGTCCAGAGAGGGAAGCAGTGCAGGCATGATGACGAACACCGATCCACCGGCCCAGGAAATACCGACCGGAATACCCGATACGAATACATTTGAGGATCATTACTTTAACCTCCTGCAGACGAATTGGGAGGGGGACAACGCCATCGACGATCTCGGCTTCATACTAGGCACGTCGATGCAGACTCAGTCTCCAGGGGCACCGATGCAGGTAAACGGGCTGAATTTCCTGGAAAGGTGGTTGTGACCCTCCTTCAGGCAAAGTCAGTCTGAGGAAGCTTGGATCTTCTGGCTTCGAGATACTGCCAACACAGTCCATACTGTCAGATACATTGGCTCGAGAGCCATTGAAAATGGATAATTTATATACAGGCCATCTATGGCTTCAGGTTGGCCAGCTAATTCGCTGCCTCTATGTGCCGAGGCCCTTAATCTTATCACTCGGGGCCACATCTAACGGCTTCTATGCTACAACCATCTAGACGATATATGTCTGTCGAAGTCTAATAGCTTCTAGGTAGCTGGAGCACCTTTTCGCTGATGTAGTTCAGTATCATTTCCCGGCTCACCGGCGCGATTCTGGGAACCAAACACTCGCGGAACCATCTCTCGACATCATACTCCGCGGCGTACCCCATGCCCCCGTGCTATTGCCGGACAAGATCAGCAAACAATCCATGTCATCTTTCAATCAGAAGGAAGATGCTTACTGTCAACACGGCCCTCTCGCAAGCCGTGAACGCTGCTTCGGCAGCCATGTACTTGGCACTGTTGCAAGCAACCCCTATCTGGTCCGGCCGTATTGAGGAGTCGTCCCTGCTGGCATCGAAGAGCCTCGCAGCGTGATACGTCGCCAACTTGGCGCCCTCTGTCCGAAATTGGAGTCAGCACCTTTCAAAACTGGACCACGAAGGAGGCCGCCAACTTTTTCGTCGAGAGCGCTCTCCATGATCATATTTCACAACTTGATACAGGGATGAAGCACGCATACCCAGTTTCATAAAGGCATCTGCCAGTGGATGAGCAATACCTTGATTCATCCCTATGGGACGCTGAAAGACCGACCTATCCCTGGCATATTCGGCAGCCCTGGTCAGGGCAGCGTAACCAAGCCCCAACGCTTCACCAGCTAGCAGGCAGCGCTCGGCATTCATCCCATGCAGTATCATCTTGAAGCCCTTGCCCTCTTCGCCGATGAGTGACTCCGCCGGGATGGCGTAGTTGTCAAAGTACACCTCGTTCGCATCAACCGCCCGACCACCCATCTTCTTGATTTTCCGAATATCCAACCCGGGTTGCTCACGGTCGAGGTCGATGCAGAACATAGACAGTCCCTCGCTCGGCTTCTTCACCTCACCCAGCGGAGTCGTCCTGGCGAGGAGCATCATCTTGCGCGCGACCTGTGCACAGGTGATCCAGATCTTCTGACCTGTGACGCGGTATGACCCATCGGTCTGCCGCTTCGCCACCGTGCCCAGCCGCAGCGTGTCGAGGCCCGAGTTAGGCTCCGTGACGCCAAAGCACGTCCTCCACCGGCCGGATACAATGTGCGGGATGACGCTCTCGAGCTGCTCCTTGGTGCCGAACCGCGCCAGCGGCTGCGTCGCGTACACGTTGGCGTGGATCGCCTGCGCGCCCGCCATGCCCGCCCCACTCTCCGTGATGGTCTGCATCATCATCGTCGCCTCCGAGATGCCCAGCCCGGACCCGCCCAGCTCCTCTGGCAGCGCGATGCCCAGCCAGCCGTCCTTTGCGAGCGCCGCATGGAACTCCGTGGGGTCTTCCTCCCGCTGGTCCTTTTCTTGCCAGTACGTATTTGGGAACTGGGCACAGACTGCATTCACCGCCTCCCGGACTGTGAGCTGGTTCTCTGTGAAGCCCGTCGTCTCCATGAGACTTTGCCTTGGCGTTGTGGTTGAGAAGCCATTTCTGCGTGAGGTGTGGATAGGTGTGGGGAGTCTGATGCCAGGTGCAGGGTGATGACTTAGACGGCTCGCATATCGTGAAAGTAATCGAGACATCGCTGTTGGTGATGGTCTACCGTCTGGGATGTCGCTTCTCGAACATCAGCAAAGCAGAAGAAGCAGCTTATAGAATCCGAACCTAAGCTGCGATGGAACTCAGATGACCCGACCGTTCGGTTAGTTTGAAATTCATTATGCATGCACATCTCTCAAAGGACAGACAAGACGTACCCATGTCGGTCATACATAGAGATGGAGTGAGGGGGAGCGGCCCTCGGTTACTTGGCTGAGTCGGCTATTCAGATTCTCGCCAGAATGTCTGAAAGCAATGACGATTTTACACACATTTTTCAGAAACTGTGTTTGCAACTGCGCCTAACCTTCCGCCAGGTTTCCTAATTGTACAGTCGATATCGACTGTATAATTTGGAGAAGGGGTGGGGGTAGTAAACACCCATCACTTATAAGAACAAGCCAAGGCGAGGTTTGTTAGTTAACGCTACGAATTAAAATGAGGAGTACAAATACTGTTCCATTAAGCATATCCAACAGCCCAAGACCCTGAGCAACACGATATGTCTCGGGCACAGCTTGTCAGATCTTCACTGGCATGGAATCTCACAACACTCACGAGGTTGTCCTCAATAACGACAAATAGGCGCTACGTGAGCAGCGCCTCTCCAGCCAAGAGGCACCTCCCATTAGAAGGCATCACCGTAGTAAGCCTCGAGCACGCCATCGCAGCACCATTCTGTACAAGACAGCTCGCAGACCTGGGCGCGAGGGTGATCAAGATAGAGCGGCCCGGAGTGGGTGACTTCGCGCGAGCCTACGACAAGCGGGTGAACGGGCAGGCCTCGCACTTCGTCTGGGCGAACCGCTCCAAGGAGAGCCTCGCTCTCGACTTGAAGCAGCCCAAAGACCTGGGTGTCCTCAGGGCGCTAATTGACCGTGCGGACGTGCTGGTGCAGAACCTCGCCCCGGGCGCGAGCCGGCGGATGGGGCTGTCGTACGAGGAGCTGAAGGAGAAGCACCCGGGGCTTATCGTCTGTGATATCAGCGGGTATGGGTCCGATGGGCCGTATCGGGACAAGAAGGCCTACGACCTGCTTGTGCAGTCTGAGGCGGGCCTGCTGTCCGTGACGGGGACAAAGGATGAGCCTGCCAAGGTGGGGATTTCTATCGCTGACATCTCGGCGGGGATGTACGCGTTGACTAATATCCTCGGTGCGGTCATTGAGAGGGAGAAGACTGGGAAGGGGAAGTGCATCGACATATCAATGCTGGAGAGCATGACGGAGTGGATGAGCTTCCCTCTGTACTACACGTACCAGGGCCAGCCACCGCCGAAGAGAGTCGGCGCCGCACACTCCACGATCTACCCCTACGGGCCCTTCTCAACCGGCGACGGCGGATCGGTCATGCTGGGCCTGCAGAACGAGCGGGAATGGGCCAAGCTCTGCAGCGACGTGCTGGAGGACGCGCAGCTGGCCTCAGACCCAAGGTTCAACTCCAACATGCTCAGGGTCGAGAACCGCGAAGAACTGAGGGAGATCATCTACAAGGTCTTTTCGCGGCTGACGGCGCAGGAACTCCTCACGAGGCTAGAGGGCGCCGGCATCGCGAACGCCAAGCTGAACGACATGCAGGGCGTCTGGGAGCATCCACAACTCAAGGCCCGCGGGCGGTGGACTGAGATCGAGACCCCTGAGGGCCGAGTCCCGGCTCTGATACCACCAGGGTTTGGGGCGGTCGAGGACGCGAGGATGGATGCTGTGCCTGCTTTGGGCGAGCACAATGGGAAAATATTGGCTGAACTCGGCTTGGATAAGCAGGCTTAGAAAGAGGTATCCCAGAGGGTGAATTCAAAGCGATTTGCGCGCGACTGACTGGGCTAGGAATTTTTATTTGAGCTCGAATGCCTAGACGGAGAAGAGAATATGGACTTGGTTTTCGAAGATACCAATTGAAATCTATTGTTTGGTGATACTTTCGTAAAGATGTCGTCACACAAGTCCGCGACCAAGATCTGGTTGCATATCTCCCGTCCCGCCTCCCGTCTGCTCACTGCTTGGCCCTTCCGGCCTTCCAGGTCACGATAGGAACAATTATTGTCCAAGCATCCAATAGTTGTTGATAGGTGGTGAAACCTAGTGTCACTATAACATGGATAATTAGGGTCCTGCCTGATGGGGATCTGCCTCAGGAATGGCCACTCGAAAGCATATAACCGAGGCCCGGTTAGTTGATCCCCCGCCCGGGACCGTTCTGAACAGGCCGGAGCTCTCGTTCTTGGCCCGAGACAACTCCGTTCAAAGCCTAGGAAGTAGGCCAGCCATTGTAAATGCTGATCATTAGAATCTCCTTTGACTAATCCCAAGTTGGAGACTGGTGGTCAGGAACCCGTTGGTTACAGTGGCCTTTCTGCCTTTCGTTAAACACTACTTACAGACTGGGAACGACACAGGACGAGGGAGCTCGTTCACATCCGAGCATTGTCTCACCTGGGAATATACAATTTGATGAAATTAATCAGAGCCTCCAGTCCCCAAAGGACTACCGATTGACTCGTCATGGCAACACTCTTCACCCCCTCCGCGCCCCGGCTCCTCAGACATATCCGGCGGGGTGCCAGGACATTGACAACAGCCGCCGAAGCAGCAGAACAGATGCTACACACCTTCGAGGGCCAGACGAGGATCCAGCGGCAAGTCCTGGACGGTCACCAGCTGCAAAAGCTCAGCCTGACTCTGAATCGGCGGGAGCTGCACCCAGGGCTAGACGTCACACAGCAAGCCCCTCCGCGCGGCACGCCTCTGCCGCCGGGCTACCACCTCGTGTACTTCTCGCCGGCGAGCGTGGAGGCGGAGCTCGGGCCCGACGGGACGGACAAGACGTTCAACGCGCCCGGGCCGTTCTCGCGCCGCATGTGGGCCGGCGGAAGCATGACCTGGACGGCAGGCACGCCGCTGCGGGTGGGCGACGAGGCTGAGGAGCGGACGCGGCTTGTGGGCGCGGCGGCCAAGAAGAGTCGCGACGGCTCCGAGATGGTCATTGTCGATGTTGAGAAGGAGTTCTGGGGCCCGGCCGGGCTGGCGCTCGTGGACCGCAGGGCGTGGGTGTTCCGGCCGCCGCCAAGGGAGGCCCTGGCACGGTCGGATGCGCAGGTGGCGGGTGTGGTGCCTGGTGCTGTCGGGAGGCACTCAACAGTAGAGGATATACGTGTAGATGGCTCTGGTAAGTTTATGGACTGGAACCTGATAGCCCAACGCCGTTCATGGCCGGCTGCTGACCGCGAAATCAGGTGTGCCCCAGCGCAAATTCCAGTGGTCACCGGTGGCTTTATTCCGGTTCTCAGCGCTGACATTCAACGGGCACATGATCCACTACAACGAGGGATGGACGAGAAATGTCGAGGGACATCCTGCTACTGTAGTCCATGGCCCGTTGAACCTCATCGGCATGATGGATTACTGGCGAGATGTCCATGGCGCCGACAAGGAGGCGGGCGACATCAGTTACCGCGCACTTTCACCCCTCTATGCAGGAGATGAATACGTAGTTCGTACAGATTCAGTGAAGGATGTTGAGAATGGGAAAACTTGGGATATAATCGTTGCGAAAAATGGCACAATTAACATGAAGGGCACGGTCTCAGCAGCGTCCTGATTGCAGAGTCAGAGGCTCGCGTGTTGTTCAGTCTCAGCCGATATATTACTGTAAATTAATACAAGTAGCCTGAAGATAACCATGAAGAAAAACCTACGTTTCGACGCCGAAGCCATTGACTAGTTTTCGCGTTGAAGGACTCACTGCGAAAACAATATCGGCGTGTGCGCTGTGCGAGTTCCTAACGAGGGCGCGGTTGTGGGAGGACGTCTGTACACAGTAGAGCATCACTTCTATCATGGGTCAGATAAACGAAGACGCTCATAAACTCCGTACGCTCCTAACAGGTCTTGATCTCGCACATTGGCCTGATTGCCATATACACATGCCTATAATGGCATTATAACAAAATATCCTCCTTCCCCATCTACTTCCTCGTCCATCCACGAAATCAATTTTCGTGTGCAGTTGGGTGACCGACCATCCTTATCAGTCTCTCCAATCGTACACCCTATCCCGTCTACCCCCGTGCTTGCTCATCATGACATACGTCCCAGTACGCCCCAGTACGCGCGACGAAATATCTTTAACGAAGTCTATGCTCCCGATATCGCAACTTTTTCCGCGAAGAGTTTAGTACACACGCTTGAATGGCGGAACAGCCTTGCACTCGGCCTCGTCAAGCGTGTGGCCAATGACCTTTCGGTATGACAGATCGACCTTGCCGTGGGGCTGCTTCTGGAAAGACAGGGTGTGCTTCATCCAGTTGACATCATCACGGTCGGGGTAGTCCTCACGGGCGTGAGCACCACGAGATTCCTTTCGGTTGGCCGCAGAGGTAGCGGTTTGAGTTCTGTAGTTCGTCAGTCCCAGTCACAAGGCTCACTCGACATTAGGGTTATTACTTACGCGCAAGTCAGAAGGTTCCTCAGCTCCAGAGTCTCCACAAGGTCCGAGTTCCAGATCATGCTGCGGTCCTTGATGCCAACATCCTTGAACATCCCGTCAACCTCAGTGATCTTGGCAACACCTTCATCCAACGATTCCTGTGTCCTGAAGACACTGACGTCTGTTTGCATGGTCTTCTGCATGGCTAGACGAATCTCAGCCGTGCTCTTTGGTCCATCCGATGTCCTAACCTGGTCGAGCGTCTCGATCGACTCGGCACCAGCATCAGCGCTGAGAGGCTTATGCTTAGTGCCAGGCGTGAAGTTATCGCGGATAGTGTGCGAGACAGCACGACCGAAGACAACCAGATCCAGAAGAGAATTGGCTCCCAAGCGATTGGCACCGTGGACGGACACACAAGCAGCTTCACCGCAGGCGAACAGACCGGGGACAACCTTGTCGTTGCCACTCTCATCGACAGTGAGCACTTCTCCAGTGTAGCGAGTCGGGATACCGCCCATGTTGTAGTGGACAGTAGGCAGCACAGGAATTGGTTGCTTCGTGACGTCGACGCCGGAGAAAATGCTGGCTGTCTCGGAGATACCGGGCAGACGCTCATGGAGGACCTCTGGGGGCAGGTGGCTAAGCTGGAGGTAGATGTGGTCCTTGTCAGGACCGACACCTCGACCGTCGCGAATTTCCATGGTCATGGATCGGGAGACAACGTCGCGAGAGGCAAGATCCTTGGCGGTAGGCGCATAACGCTCCATGAAACGCTCGCCCTGACCGTTCAGCAAGTAGCCACCCTCACCACGAGCACCCTCAGTGATCAGGCAACCAGCACCGTAGATACCGGTCGGGTGGAATTGTACGAATTCGAGATCTTGGTTTGGCAGACCGGCACGAGCGACCATGGCCATACCGTCACCGGTACACGTGTGCGCGGAAGTGCAGCTGAAGTATGCTCGTCCGTAACCACCAGTTGCCAGAACCGTGTTGTTTGCGAGGAATCGGTGCAGAGTGCCGTCCTCCTGGTTGTAGGCCAGGACACCTCGGCACTCACCATCCTCCATGATCAGGTCGACGACAAAGTATTCGATGAAGTAGTTGGTGTTGTGTCGCAAAGACTGGCCGTACAGAGTGTGCAGCAGAGCGTGGCCGGTTCGATCAGCGGCAGCACAGCACCGGTACGCCTGTCCACCCTTGCCGTACTTCTGAGACTGGCCACCAAAGGCACGTTGGTAACTATGACAAGTCAGCCACTTTCGCTCCACGGCGATTCCAGCGCAAGCTTACATCTTTCCATCCTCGGTTCGCGAGAAAGGGCAGCCGTAGTTTTCGAGTTCGATAATGGAAGCTGGTGCCTCTCGTGTCATGTAGTGAATAGCGTCCTGGTCTCCGAGCCAATCTGAACCCTTGACGGTGTCGTACATGTGCCACCTCCAGTCGTCCTCGTGCATGTTTCCTAAGGCTGCGTTGATACCACCTTGTGCGGCGACAGTGTGACTTCTCGTTGGGAAGAGCTTGGATATACAGGCGGTGTTGAAGCCTGCCTCAGCGAGACCGAAGGCTGCTCGCAGACCGGAGCCACCGGCACCGACAACGACGGCATCGTACTCGTGGTCCTTTGCAAGACTCCTTGTTAGCCGATGCTTGCATAAGCGGTAACTTGGTGGGATTGGTCGAGGTGACGTACGATCACTGGGTATTTGGTGCTGAGGAAAGGTGAGGCCTCTTTGGCTCGCAGAGGTCGGTTCGCAAATATTTTGGCTGTCGAGATCGCATCAGTTTCGGAAGATCCGAGCCTCGAAGCAATGGGTGGCGAGAAAACGTACCAGCTACTGGCGTGGAAGAGAATGTCCTCGATTGGTTTCTCGCCAGGCGAGACACCTGTGTGTTATTGTATTAGTTGTCAATTGTTCAACAGGTGGGACGTCGCGGGACCAAAGGCATGCGAGACAGAGCGCGCAAATAGCCGGGCCCAGGCACGGAGGGGAGAAGCTCACAGCCGGCGTTGAGAGAAGCCTCCTCATGGCCATTGTTGGGGCCATGGTCGAAAAAAGTATCCGGTTTGAGGGTCCAAACAGGGCTGAGATGCGTTCCAGTCAACAAGAAACTCGCCCTGCAAGTCGTGTGTACAGGTGCAGCTTAGGAGAATGAATGATGTTGTGGAAAGCGACGAAAGGTCGTACCTTGGCCGGAACGACGCGGGAAGAGGCCAATCACAGCCTGCTTATTGTCTAGTTTATTGCCGAGGCGATGCCGACGATTTGGCCCACTCCCAGCTCGATCGGGCTGACTCAGCAAAGCCAGACACACGTGCCGTCACCTCAAACGTCTCGTCAACCTTCATACGGATCCGAGTGATGATTCATAGGATGGCGAGAATGGATAAATGTAGCCGTTGCAGACAGCCGATTACGCCTTGACTGCCCAGCCAAACGTGTCTGAACGCACTTGGAGCACAACGACGTGCAGCCCACGAGAATACCAAATTCCGGACAGTAGCCGACCAAGAAGCATTGTCTTCGGCATGACTTCCTGCAGGATGCCATACTGCAAGACAACTCCAGTTTGAATACCCTTCACATGCACTATTGGAACAACACCTGGATCAACACCACCACACTCTCAAAAATGACCACACATTATTGCGGAGCCCTTTGTGGGTTACCCTCATACAGGTTTAAGGTTCTAGAAAGCATCTAATAGCAGATTATCCCAAAGGAAGTTAAACCTCAGAAGGTTATCCCACAGGAGATTATTCCATAGGAGCTTATCCTATACTTCCCCCGGTTCTTTGAATTATTCCAGAGATACTGTGGTCGCGAAGCGGACACCCGACCTTAAAGCTCGTTGCAGGATAAGTTGTGTACTCTGGCAAATCATATTTGCCTCTTTCTGCGACCCAATGCATCTAGCAAGTCTTTGGAATCCCTGTAAATTCTGTGGCATGGAAAATCTATTCCTCTACTTGTCTATTAGATGAGGTCAAATGGCATACACGCCCAGATGTGGGTCACTGATATGAAAGACTGACTGCTCAGAAGCCAAAACTGCGCACAGCGGCTTGATCATTCGTGACACAATTGAAGTCGCCCGCGACAGCAACCTGTGCTTGAGAGTGTACATAACATTGCGAGACTGTTTCCACATTCCCGCCCTCACTGGCAAAGTGTCAGTCAAAACACACCGTCCCTGCTTGGCCACGGCCTAAGCAGACAAAACTTCCACGTCGGTATTACCTGAGGGATGCCGGGGACTGAGATACTTCAGCATGCCTCCGAAGGTCCGACAGCAACGACCAGATATCGGGTAGCTACATCTCTCTATCAGTTAGTCATTGGGCACAAAATGGCCTCAGCCTTTGAGCCTTTGAGAACTCACAGTTTCTTCGAGGAGCTGCGGATCTTTCTCCGTTGGCTCTATGTCAACTGTCGAGGTATGACCAGATCTCACTCCGCTATGGCTTCTTTCAGCTATGGGTAGAGCGGCATATGGCACTCTCTCCCCACGCACTCTCTCCAACTGGCTCACTTCATCAACAAGGATTTTCGTAGCGAGCATCAACATTTGCTCCCGGAATCGATCTGACTCGCTCCAGGCACAAGAGTCCTTCGTCTCACTGTCCCGCGCTGAGGAAGCAAGGTAGAGGGATTCGAGCAACTCTGGCAGATTTTGAGATCTGCTACAACTTTGCATCGTAGCCGAAGGGCTGCTGGGAGCAAAGACAGCAGTGCCGTGTTCTGTTGCCATCGAGTCTATATCGTGGAATCCTGGTGCCTCACAGAATTCGGGACTCACCCCTAATCGGTCTTCAAGATTTGTTGAAGTAGCGGCGATGCGCTCGATGAAGTCATGCCCGAGGCCATGGTCGTGCCCTCGCAACAAATCCTCCCTCGCGCTCACAAAGCCAGCCGGTTCGCATGCAGGAAGAGGAGACGGGTAACCTGTTGATGCGCCCAGAGTTACAGCCGAAACGCTACCGAATACCTGCAGGTTCGCGCTTGCTTCTGTGCTCGGTGAAGGCAGTCCTTGTTCATTTCCCCAAAGATGTCCTCTTGTCTCCGCGTCAAAATATCCAGGTTCATGGCAGCCTATGCAAAGGTTGAGCGCTCTCGGAAATTCAGGATCACTTGTGATCGGCAGGCAAGGTGGTGCTCTTGCGAATGGATAAACACTCCCACAATTTAGGGTGTCATCACAAAGCTGGCCATTGTTGAAACCATCAACGCAACTGACTTGGTCTAATTGCGTTGAGAAACTGATCAGTGTTAGCTAGGCACATCCTAAGAGGGACTGAGATCTTCTTGGTACTGACAATCCGAGGCCGTCAATGAGGTCAGCAGTTTGATCGACGGGTGAGTTATGGGCTGTCGTGTCGCCACACCCAGGAATTGTTCGCATCGAAGAAGGCTTCATCGTGGATTGCGGCTCCTTGGCCTCAAGACGGACAGAACGTCTCTTTCCTATCCCAGGGTCGGGTCAACAACACCATTCTCCTTCACAGATCAGGGCTCAAAGTGGCGCACTTCTGCGGTACTCTCGTTGGGCAAGCCGATTTCTCTTTTTCATTGGAGGCTCGTCCTCCCAATGGAAAGAAGCATCCCCAATTTTGAGTACACATTCGTTTGGGTCCATGTCTCTTTCGGGTGTCAGAAAACGTGAGATATAACTGAAACTTGAGACAGCGAAAGTGATGGTATAAGTAGGCCATAGAGTCTTGACCCCTGCTCTCTCACCCAGAGAATTCGGAAACCATTGGCAATCCAGGCCTTTGCAAATACATTGGCGCGTTAGACAGAGAAACTGGAGGACGAATGAGCGTGTGGTGAATCCTCACTATGGCTGAACATGACAGCCTTGGCCACCCACCACCAATACACCAAGCAGATCTATGAGCGCCAAACTAGAAGAAATTGGCTCTTTCGACGGAGCTTCCCGTGCGCCCTCGAGGACATTGTGACCTCTAGAGCGAATCATGACAGGCTTCACACCATGGCTGAAGCCTGAGGATCGGTGTCATGCAGGTCTGCAAACTATACAGTCCTACCTTGTCAATACTTTTGACGGCAGCAGGTTGCCATCACGTCGCACTGCTCGGCGTGCACACTGTTCAGTCTATCATGACAACGAGACTCAAGGCGGTGATGCAAGGGTGATGGACCGCTTTCAGAAGAGAAATTTTGCTTTTCGCTGCCGTCCTGCATAATCCATGCCCAATGGGTACACCACCCGTGAGCCAACGGGCTCTCCGACCCCCACCCCTATCTCTTGAAAATATTGTTTAATCTGGAACCTACCTACTTTTCCGAGAACGCCACGACTACACCGGACTCGATTGGACATGAGATATGGGGCCGTCGTCCTAGAATATGCTGTGCTCCCGGAACCACGCAGATCTCCCACGGGTCGGGATGCCGTCTGGAGTCTCTTTCGCAGCGTTCCAAAGCTGCCGTGTACATGTCTTGACCCGATAGTGACGATTGGATCGTCACAATCGATCTTAGATTTCGATCTTGCATTGCGCACGTTTAAATACCTATGGTAGCACTGCACGTGCAGCTTGGACAGGAGCCCTGAAGAGAGGGGGGAAAGGGCGGCTCGATGAGGCTGTCCACGAAGCTTATATCAACGCTCTCCGTCAGATCTCAGTTTATTGAACTACCAGAACCCCATAAAAAACACTGGCATGTATGTGGCAGCACAACCGTTCACACTTGCTAACGTATCGGTCACGCACGACGGTCTTTATTGTACGAACAGGCTGGCACACCTCCTGGTCATCTGGGCGTGTCAAGAGTGTACTCACCGCTGCTGCATTGCATATGCTGTGGAACAGAGACATCTTCGATAGAGAAAACAAGTGTCCTGCTGATCAGGAAGCCAAGCCCGATCGCCCGGGAAGGTGCCCCGGATCGCAATTAGCACCATGTTCCTAGACCCTGACTGTCATGCGTGACCTCGTGTGATAGACTGAATTCAAGATTGGCCAAAACTTCCATACATGTCAACTGGAGACTTCCAGTGAAATCTTTCTGTGATATTACTGTATTAGTTGGCCTTTTGTAGCCCTATACTTCTTTTCTAAAAGCAACTAGCTTTCTGGGATACAGCAGCGGTTGAATGGTAGGCTTTGAATGAAATTGGTCTGCCTGAATATCCCCTCTTTTCAAGCAAAATTAAATGAAAGACAGATGCCTAAACAGCCCAGATATATTAAGAGAAAGAGGAAAACGATGGCCCGCTGCTAGGTTAGCGGACTAAGACGAGCGTTTAGGCAACCACGACTTCTCGTCACCGCTGGAGCGATCCTCGCGACTCCATCTCCTCTGGAACATGACGAAGTGCCGCCTCAGATCTCTCTGGTCCAGAATATTTTGCTCCCGAAGCCATCGGATAGCGCAAGCCGCCAGGCTAGAAAACTCCAAGCAAGCTGAAAATGAGAACGACGCTGCCTTTCCTGACCCGGCTGCAGACAGTGGCGTCGTCCGCGGCACGACGAAGCGCAGCCCGGAAGTGCTAGAGCATTACTTGAAAATGCTCGACGGGGAAATCGCGATGGAGACATTGAACATGAAGCGCCGGGAGAGCATGGAGTTGTGCAGGGTCTTCATCAGAAAGCACGGCTATCCAGATGACCACTTTTTCATATGGGCGATGCACGGGGTTGTCAAAGTCTTGACAGAAAGGGAATTCCGAGAGCTTCCTCGCTCGTCAACTCCCAGAAAAGACTCATTTTTTGTTGTTAGTAACGGTCCCTTGGGATTCCTCATTACTTTTCGTGCCGCTCCTTACTGTTTCTTAGAGCTCCCCCGAGTCCGAGCCGTATGAACTTGTACTTGAATGCGTCGTCTTAGTCTAGTCGTCTCTCTCGTTCGGTCGTGTCTCGTATACGTCGCTCGTGGCTCACTCACATGACGGCACTCTTAGACAGAGAATTTCTATGCCAGCTAGAGCTTGGAAGCTATCAAGGACTCTCGATGTCACTCTTGCTTAGGAACGCCGGTACTACCAGCGTCAAAGGCTTAAGTAAAAACGCGAGCGGTGAACGGCCCAAATCTCGCACACAGTACACGAGACATTACAAAAGCTTCCTGAGTTCAGCCTAAGCACTATTTGAATCTTGATTACACAGATCAAAGGTGATAATTACCTAAAGACGCAACGCTTTTGGAACGGGGCAAGGTAAAGATTTCAGTTTCCCCCTTGGTATAGTATTTCTAAATTGAATAAGACTGTGATGAATATTCATGGAAATATCTGTGAACAAATTTAAACATTAAACTCTGGCTTAGATATTCCCTCTCGTGCCAAAGCCATGTCTGCTGAAAATGTGGCTGGCCTCGTCACGTCCATCCTCAGGCAGCCACCTGGCGCCATCTGGCGCAAGCTCTCATCGAAACCGTCTGTATCCCCGAAGTGATAGACAAAATTGGCTATCGTAGAAAAGCTAACTGCGTGGGCGCTGCGCTCAAGTTCTCGTGTGTCCGAGAACTCACAGCCCTGTGCCACCACCAGAGCCACCCAAGCCTATCTCTGAGCAGAGACCTTGGTTTCGGACGCCACACTTGACAACATCAAATACAACTTGCAAGTACCTCAATGGCTTGCCAGATACTTAGCAGCAAAATGAGCGGAATAGATAGAACCCACTTGGGTAAAAACTTGCAGACATTCCTACAGAGTAAGGGGGCTCCCATCGTAAATTTTTCCACAGGAGGTCATCCCACAGTCCTTTGCTGCTCAGATCATACCCAACTCGTTGGTATCTCTGCGAGCTGCTCTCAAGACCCCAGGGTTGCCGAGAATAACCTGGCGCGGGACAGCTACGGCGAGGCAGTCCCATGAGCTGAGTCCTATGAGCTGGGCGATGGAATACCCTAACACCTTTGTCCAGCACCGAAGCTACCAGGACATTCCTAGAGAGCCAGTGAGAGTCGCCGTAGCTACAAGCAAAGCGTCGGCCTCGTCATGTGCCAGGTAGGGATATCTCGGTATCTGCCACCATCAAGAGCATCACTTCGGGTAGCCACCGTCAGGCAAGAAGCTAACTTGATTGTCAGGGCTTTCCTTAAAAAGGCAACTCCCTGGCCGCTTGGTGGCTTTCACTTTCGGTTCTGTTGGAGTTGTCGGGTCGTTCCTCGTGACTGATACCGGATGCACACCTTGAGATAGCCTTCAAAAGACCCTCACTTCTGCTTGAGGCCTCAGGTTCCGATGTAATTGGCTCTCCTGGTCTTCGAAAGACAACAAACTGTACATGAAAACAGTGCAGAATGGCTAGAGCGGCTGTCTATGGTTTCGTTGAGGCCCTGACACACCTAATCAGACCTGCACACTTGCTGAAATACTCGTCCGTCTTGAAACCTTCGTAAATCGGCATCGCACGTTGTTTTCCAACGGCAGAGGTTGCATCTCGGCACAGAAGTGGTTCAGTCTTATACGGTGCCATTGGCAACGGGCTGTTTCAGAGACTAAGCGTGAGATCCTATGAAGATGCCGAGCTAGACTGCATTCCGGGGCTCGTGGAACGCAACGCGTGGGTTCTCTCTCGAGACACGGGAAGTTTACTTATCTTGCAAATGTCTTTGCGGAAGAGTTCGTTGGCCTCGCAGCAGACAGCTGTAGAGTCGTCGGAGGGCGTTCCTCGACATGGACAAGACATGTGTTCGCATGTGTTCGTGGCACCACAGACCACGGGCTAGGCTCACGGGCGCTTTCACCTAGACTGCTCAACGCCCAGAATAACAAAGGACGGATGCCAGCCGATGCTTCGTTTGCATATCTGTATTTGAGTGATTTTTGAGCACTGATTCTGTCTCTTAATCTGGGGCTGTGTGAGAATCAGGTGCCTCAGCATGATTAGGCAGACGTTCTCAACAGCAGGATAAGTGCCACGACAAGGGGCGAGAGAACGTCAAGTGCTTTCTGAGCTGAGTCCGAAAGGGCCGAGATGCGTCTGAGACCGCCTCCTCCAATTGATGCCCTGAAGTGGCAAAGCGAAGAGAATTGTTTCCAAAAATGCTATGGATGCGGCTGAAGAAACTGGTTGGATGGGCTAAGCACCCATGCCCAGATATTCGTAACTGCTCACTGCTCATCTCCGTTGTCATGAGAGGAATGGTCTGACTCTTAGCCTGTCGCCGCCAGGACCCTTAGAGAACTGGTGCCAGATATTAAATTTTCGCAAAATTTCGGCGATGATCCGACTGACCTCCAACGAGGGGGCAGTCAAGCAGAATATTCATGTTCTCGACAGATCAACCGATGAATGAGTGTCGAAGCACAGTTGTGCTGGCGTCCAGTGATGCTGATTTCAATTCCCGTGGCCATACCGAGGGCGGTGGGTCCCCGAGGTGTGGTGAGAGGCTGCATTCTGAGACCCGGTGGGGCAATCCCGAGTGAGTCCTGGTCTTCCCGCTGCTGAACCTCTCTTGATTCCACTTGTATCTGCATATATCTGCCTATACCATGGTAACATATGCTTCTACTATGGTATGCCAGGCGGCATGTGCATGTTATGCCAGGGCCCGTTTTCGTAGCCGGCCGTGTCTTCCGTTGGATTCCGTTAGGAGGACTCGTTGTTGCCGGGTTTCGGCGGGGTAGCTGGGCAGCTCGGGAAAGGAGAGGGGGAGCTATGACGATGATTTAAATGTCGGCCAACCCCACCTTAGTTATGTCGAGTCTGAATTGGAACTTCTCACGATTCCAGATTGACTAGTCGCCGTTGGAAACTGCAAGACGTCTAATTTGTGTTCAATTCAATTGAACAAGGTGCCTATACATCCTGTGAGTCAATACCCCAAGCTTATTCCACACCAATAGCCTTTTTCTCTTTCCTGTCGGACACGGACTCTTCCAGGAAAAGGAGCTTGTACCCCGCCATGACACCACTCGCACTCCCGTTTCTCGCCCAACCCCTAAAGCTCTGCACTGGCACGTCTCGAAGGTTCGTCGCTTCGCACGCTCCTCTTGTCCGGGAAAGGCTGTGGACAGGCAAACAGGTCAATGCTGGCCGACTATCACCACCAGCAACTCACCACACCGTCACGCCATGAAGTCATCCTGGAGCCCTAGTCTGGGGATGTGCAAATGATGTCAAGCCTGTTTGTAAAAGTGGACTGCGTGTGGGAAGAGTGCAGAGGAGTGCGGCGTATCAGCCTCACCGCGCCGGGGCCCGTCCACAGTCCACTCTTACAGTCTCCAGCAAGCATCTGCCATGTACAAGCCAGCCCATCTGGGCAGCGGCACCAGGCCGGGCTCTTGGCTCAATGGCTCCTCCTGGCTCCTGGCAGCTGCAAGACCCAGAAGACCAAGACCCAGACCCAGAGACGACCCCTACCCAGGTACCCCTCCAGCCCACTCGGAAGCTCCCACCATCTGTGTCATACCTAGGTCGTACCGGCCAGGAGAATTTATCGCTCACTTCATAAACACCTCATCGCATTACAATTTCTGCGACTCAGTCTCCTCAGCCCCACTGACACGCCACCAGGTTCACTCCGTTTGTTTATAACTCGCTCGTCCCTACATTTTTACCTCAGCTGTGACCGAGACCATCTGCTCTACTCACTCTGTCATTACAACAACCGCTCACGACTCTATCCCTACTTCCCGCTTTGAAGAACTTCCTCTCGAAATCTCAACAAAATGGGTGCCCAAGACGTTTTGTCCCGCAAGTCCGGTGTCATCGTCGGTGACGATGTGCTCGCCCTCTTCAAGTATGCTCGGGAGCACGAGTTCGCCATTCCCGCCATCAACGTGACCTCCAGCTCTACTGTCGTCGCTGCTCTCGAGGGAGCTCGCGACGCCAAGTCTCCCATCATCCTGTACGTTTCTCCTTACCCCGCCGGAACACTCCCGACAGCGACTAACAGCACCTGTCAAGGCAAACCTCCCAGGGTGGTGCCGCTTACTTCGCCGGCAAGGGCGTTGACAACAAGGACCAGACTGCCTCCATTGCTGGTGGCATCGCAGCAGCACACTACATCCGAGCTATTGCTCCCACATACGGTATCCCCGTCGTCCTGCACACCGACCACTGCGCCAAGAAGCTTCTGCCATGGCTCGACGGTCTGCTCGACGCCGACGAGAAGTACTTCAAGGAGCACGGCGAGCCTCTCTTCTCCTCTCACATGATTGATCTGTCAGAGGAGCCCGTCGACTACAACATCCAGACCACCGCTGCCTACCTGAAGCGCGCTGCTCCCATGAAGCAGTGGCTGGAGATGGAGATCGGCATCACTGGTGGTGAGGAGGATGGTGTGAACAACGAGGATGTCGACAACAACTCGCTGTACACTCAACCCGAGGACATCCTGGCCATCGTCAAGGCCCTCGAGCCCATCAGCCCCTACTTCTCCATTGCCGCTGGTTTCGGCAACGTTCACGGTAAGCACACTCCCTTAAAGCGCCCCCCTTAACACGTAGAGCGAGGTCACTAACATGTCATCCTCAGGTGTGTACAAGCCTGGCAACGTGAAGCTGCACCCCGAGCTCCTGGGCAAGCACCAGAAGTACGTCAAGGAGCAGCTGGGCAGGAAGGATGACAAGCCCGTCTTCTTCGTGTTCCACGGTGGCTCCGGCTCCAGCAAGGACGAGTACCTGCAGGCCATCAAGCTGGGCGTGGTGAAGGTTAACTTGGACACCGACATGCAATTCGCCTACCTGTCCGGAATCCGGGATTACGTCCTCAACAAGAAGGACTACCTCCTGACCACTGTTGGCAACCCCGACGGCGCCGACAAGCCCAACAAGAAGTTCTTCGACCCCCGTGTCTGGGTGCGCGAGGGTGAGAAGACCATGACCAAGCGTCTCGAGGTCGCCCTCAAGGACTTCAACACCGAGAACCAGCTGTAAGGGTTGGGTTTGCCGTCAGGATCTACAGAAATGCTTTATGAAGTTGAACGCGATGACACGAGCGTCGAAGTCGGGATGTTGCTGGGAGCATAAATCGGAGTGATGGGTGTTGGTTTGCCTATGTCTAGGAAATTAACCAGGGAAAAGCCCACTGGTGATACCTCAAAATGAAAGAAATATTCGATACCTTAGCATTACATGTCACACTTGCATTTGAGTTGCCATTGTCCGACATGATTAGTCTGTTGAGAACGCGAATGACATTAAACAGCCCCTTGTTGCTCCTCTTCTATGATGGTGCCCTGATGCTGCTATGCCTGGGACTTTACCTGACCAGGGTATCATCATCCCTGGCCAAACGCGTTGTACTCGGCATTTCCGATGGGTCTCTGTACTTTCCTTACAAACCATCAAAACTGACATTGGCTGTTTTTATCCCGAAGACACTCGCCTAATCTAGAAGAATATATATGTATGTGCCCTCTCCCCCAGCTCACTGGCCCAGGTGCACCTGCGCAAAGGCGGCACTGGCCTCATCGTCCAGCGGGGGCTCGTTCCGGACCTTCTCAGCCTTGGCGTTGTCGAAGCGCCACACACCGCCGGTCTTGTCGCCGTCGCCGTGCTCAGGCACGCCGACGTACTTGGCCAGCTCGGCGAGGACCGGGTCCGGGTCGGTGCGCACGCTGAAGTAGCGGCGCTGCCACATGCGGCCCTCGGCCTTCTCCTTGGCGCGCAGCTCGCGCTGGGCCGTCTCGATCTTGGTCTTCTCCCGGCCGACGGCGTCCATGTCGCCCTTGAGGATGCCGGCGGCGACCTTCTGCCAGGCGCGGCGCGACTCGAGCGGGTGCTGCGCCTCTACGGGCGCGACGGCCAGCGGCGTAGTCTTGGCTGCCACGGCGTCGTAGCTGTCGACCAGGTTGGACGACGACGCGTGCTTGGCGGCGCCCGAGTGGATCTCGAAGGCCTTGGTCCACTGGCCCGTCACGCTGTACAGCACGTCCTTCTCCTTGCCCGTCGGGTACAGCGCCGCCGTGAAGCTGTTCTTCTTGCCCGAGAGCCATCCCTTGCCGCTGTAGTCGATCTTGGCCGTGTAGCCCGACGACGACGTGATGTAGGACGCGCCGTCGAGCTCGATGAAGGGCGACCCGAAGATCAGGCCCTCCACGTGCAGGCTCGGGAGCGAGATGAGGAACGTCTCCTTCTCGCCCGCCTTGTCGGGGACGGGGACCGTGAGGATGGCATGGCCGATCTGCTTGATGTTGATGGTCTTGCTGAAGCTTGCCTTTTGCGCATTGAAGCCCTCGAGGTGGACCCCTGTGGGAGTGTTGGTGATGCTGTAGGCCGTGGCGGGAGGGTGGTGGCTGTAAGAACGCAACAGTTAGCCCGAGTCGTGCTCATGGGCCCAAGCTCGCACGAGCGAGGTGCCGCAAAAGGTTATCTTACCTGACTTGCTCACTTATGAGCTCTGTAGTGCCAGCCTCGTCCTCCCACTTCCCCAGGAATAGCTCCCCGAGGAAGGGGTTCAGCGGCTTCTTCTCGTTGCCATATTGCTCGCTTCTGCTGGCGTACTGCTGCTTCAAAGTGGTCAAGAACCACTTCAGCACCAGCAGGGCCCTTTTCTCCGGGTCTGCCTCCTTGGCGGGGGCGATGAATATTGATGGGTGCTCGCACCAGTAGGAGCTGAACTCGGTCAAGCTGGTCCCGGAGAGGATGAAGGGCGGCGCGGTGAGGCTGGACAGGTCGCCATTGAAGGAGGCGATGGACTATTGGCAGCCGGGGGGCCCAAGGTCAGTCTCCTAAGCTTTGTTGCGTATGATGCGTGCTAGTGGCCTTGAGCACCGACGTACCTTCAGGAAGGCAGACCAACTGCCACTTTGGGCCTGCGCATTTGGCTGTGCGGTGTCGGCCATGTTCTGTTCGGTGCCTGAGAGCAGGGTATTGCAGTACAAGTTGCGTGGGGGGATGAGTGCGGGTTTCTTTGTCTAATCTGCCGAAGGTCTGCCCGCGGTGTAAGTAATAGTCTCAGCACTCAAGTCTGGAAGGTAGGCCCAGTGCCCCCCTGAGGCTCTTGGAAGGGTCTTTCTTACGCGAGATCGGCACGCGATAATAGTCAGGTGTGTGGGAGTGGGTAAGTGGGGTTCCGGATCGTGCCTTCAATAGGAGGTGTGCTATGGCAAAACGGAGTATCTTTGTCGCTGTGAAAGTTTGTTTTTATGAGGTAGGACAGTGGCGATCAGATACCGAGAGCTTTGTCCAGCTACGGTGGTCGAGAGCAGCTGTGTATCGGCAGCAGGGCGGATCATAGGTTCAAAAACGCAGGTTGTGAAGTGAGGTGTTTGATTATGTTCTGGTCTAGGTGGGATGTCCAAGAAGGGCATTCCCCAGAGAAAGTAAATCCTCCCGTCATCAGGCCAGCCCGCCCCTGCCCAGGCCAAGCTGAGCCCAGCTCATGGGGCAAAGTGGTAATTTTAGCTGGCTGGCGAGGTTTGTTGAGGTCTGGCGCAGGTGGCCCTCCACTCCCCAAGTGCTCACTCAACCTTGTGATGCGTGTTCCATCGGCCGAGCTTGAGGCCTCTGTCGCCTGACGTCAGTACGATCCGCGGGGCTGCGTGGAAAGCTGCAGTTAGACACCTTCCCAGACTCGCTTTCGTCATCCAAAAAAAAGCCACACAGCTTCGGGTTGGCAAAGCGCGGCTAATGCATGCTAATTCCGACCTGGGAACCTGGCATTGCCAGGATTTGAACATCTAGTCCTCTGTAGTGCTTCTACGATTCTGCATGAACTGCTTCCTTGGGTATTATTCTTATGATATGGTTGATCAAATACAAGATCAATAAAGTCGACAAGACCTGTACGTGCAGGGTATCAGGATCCGCTTCTGCCATTGGACAACCCCCAAACTCCAGCACCATGACAACTCAGCTCAAACTGGACGTAATACGTGTAGAACACTGACCAGAAAAAGCGAGGCAAGCAAACCTAATTTCAGTACTTGCCGCACTGATTGACCAGCTTCCTCACCTGGCCGACGTTGAGCCCTGAAAGCCGTTCCTCGGGCTTCTCCTCCCCGACAATGACCCACGGGCTCATGATGCACAGCTCCGTATTCTTATCCCATGACCATGCCAGGCACTTCTTGGGCCGCCTTTCGCAAGCACCCAGACACCTGTCGACCGAGCTAGTGCGGCTGATCATGGACACATCGTCCTGCCTGCCAACATGGTCTTGACCAGGCCGGATGGGATTCTTGTTGAGCACATCCAGATCCGGCTGCCCGTATATTTCCCACAGGTCCTTCCAAAAAACCGGCTGCTCTATCTTGGCGAAAGTCTTCCCGACGTCCTTCATTTGTGCCGGTTCTGCCAAGCCATGGAAAGAAACAACCGGCGAGCAGAATCGGTCTGCGGACACTTTCGTGATCAACGGCCTCTCGCCGTTGAAGAAGTGACCGTACCTCTCGCTTATATAGACCCCGATCTTGTTCAAGGTTGTCGCAATCAATTTGTCGCCCCACGTCTCGTCGAGGGACGCGACGTAAGCCTCTGAGACAACTTCAGGGTTGTCGTCAAACAAAATCCTCATGGTTTCGTGTGAGAGAATAAAGCTCGACCCTCCGTGCGCGAACCTTGTCTTGTAATCGCCGATCGCGTTGCCAAGGTACATCCCATTCGACGCATCGAGGTGCTCGAGAAAACGATAGAGGGACGGCCGTATAATGAAGGTATCATCGTCCTGCATGATATACCACTTCTTTCCGGGCATGCTTTTCCATGCCAACTCAAGGCTGGGTATGAACTGAAGGGGTCTGATTAGCTGTAGTAATTAGGGATATTGCGTGGGCCAAGTACCTTGAGAGCATCCAACTCCCATCCCACGGCCTTAGATGACTGTTCCGCATCTTCCTTCCGGCCTTGTTGTATCGCCGAAGTCATATCCCGATATTTTTGTATCCGCTCTGTGCCCTGTAGCTGGGTCTTGACGACAGCCTCATGCTCAATCGCCGCGGCGACCACATCATGTACAAGAACGGTCCTCCCTTTCAATTGGAGTGTCGTCGCGAAATCCCCCACGACCAGTATGTTGTCTCCGTACTCGCTCCCAGCTTTCAGGGCTCCTGAGGCCTCGAGCAAGGCTGGAACTCGTTCTTGTGTGCCATAGCCCGTCTTCACGATATAGGCCACCTCTTCGTCCGTAAAGGGGAACTGGCCGGGCAGCTCGAGCAGGAGGCGTTCGTCAGCGTCCGGGGGGCGCAAGGTCCCGAAGGCTTTAGAGGAAGTGAGTCGTAGGAAAGACAAGATAGGACTGTCGTAGGGTAGGAACATCCATGCGATTGTGAGCCAGACCAAGAGAACGAGGGCCGTTGCCAACGCGAGGCGGCGCGGGCCCGCGACGCGAGGAAACATATCAATGATCGTCGTCGGACAGTGAAAAGATGGCCGGCTTAGGGAGGCAGGGCGAAGAAATGGTAGAGGGCGAGTAACGCTCCCATTGCTGAGAGTCGGTGTTTTGCTCAGGGTTATTGCCAAGCAAGGTTCATGGGATTCTTCGCCGTGACGATAGTCTTGGGCCCTGCACGGCTTTAGGATCGCGTCGGAACCAGAGCACGCCAGAGCCCAGAGATAGGGGGTCCCGGATGGGGCTAGTGTGCAGTACCCAGGTATGTCGAGGGTTGGACCCTGCGCGGCCCCTGGAAGCTCTAGAAGTCATGGACGACAACCAAAGATGCCACAACCAGCGAAGGAATTAACTTGCCGAAGTACGCATCGTCAATATGTACAGGTGATGCCTCCAGCTGAGCCTAAGCGCCGATCCGAAAGCGCACTTGTGTATATCGATCAAGATGAATGCAACCACGGTGATGAAAATGACCCAAGTCACACAACCGGCGTGCATTTTGTTGGGGTTCTTCGACATGTACTGCTGCCTGACGGGCATCTCATCTGACGCCCTCTGCCGAACTATTCCCGGTACCAAAAAAGTATGAGGCCGGACATGGAGCGCAAGAGCATGCAGGGCCGGTGCCAGCGTTGGTGGGTTTGGGTGGCTGCATGAGCTGAAAAGGACGGAAATCACAAGTCACTTCAGCTAGTCGAGCGGCCTTGTTCTCGAGGAAACACAATGTCAAAATTCGAAATTGGATGTACACCCACGAGGCTGCGGGTTGGTCCGAGGTGCTAAGTTGCGGAAGGAATTCAATTGCCTTCGACGTTGCATTGGGACCACCTGGAGGATGCGCTTCATATGCACGACGCCGCTCCCACTGCGATCCATCAATGCCAGCAGCCATGCCCGCTTCGCGTGACTGAGTGTTTTTACCAGCCTTGTCGATTTCTGGCTCTGTGGTCATAAATAAAGCCCCGCCGTCAAAGAGAGGATTGGAGTTCGCGTCTCAATGGATTCAGCGCCGTCCAGGCTCATGAGACATCATGTCTACTCAACCATCTCTGTCACCGGCGGAAAGCGACTCTGCAATTTACGCGACTGCGCGAGAGTCTCTGGTGAGACTGCTTTCAGCAAACGACTTGCAAAGCTCTTGTCTATCGGTCGAGCCTCATGACTTGCGGGATATACGCGACTTACGATGTCATTTCTTTGGCTGCCTCGGTATCAACAGGCGGCTTCAAGTACTGGCCAATGCCGCGGATCCTATTTGGGCACAGGCCGAGGCGCTGGAAATCAAAGATACCGAGCCTGTCCAGAAGAACAACTCGAAAACCCCGCCTATTGGCTCCATAGACCCGGATGAGTACCAGCCAAGTATGAGATATGTTACGGCTCTAAGTTTACAAGCTGAATTGAAGCGAATATCGGTTCTACGCAGAACCCCAGCACTCAGGGGGCTGGTCCGCGAGGTTCAGCGAAGTCTTGTCGCATGGAGAGAGGAGAACAGAAAGAATATCGACGATGTTGAGAGACTCAGGATCGATACGACTCACTTCCGCCTGATGCTACCCCCCGAGACCCCTAGAAGCCCGCGCCAACCAGGAACTCGACGTGCCGTAGCTAGCCCATCTCAAGATCCAGGTCCTCCGATCACCAGAGAACGGCGTCGCACAACGAATTTGACCCAAGGCAGCCTCACTGAGCACGACGACTTCTCGCGAATGCTGAAGAAGATAGTCGACGAAGAGCGCGAGAAGAACAACGAAGATATGCCAGAGGACGACCCCATGACGTGCTATGAACTCAAAAGGGACATCAAAGCTCAATTAATTCTACTTGAACGCCCGAAGCCCTCGGACTCGAGAACAATACCAATCATGGGTAATGTAATGGAGCCAGATTGGGAAGATGTAGGCGACGAAATCTTCAAAGGTCGATTTCCAGACCAGCAGGTGTCCATGTTTCACCTCTTGGATGGGGCACTGAAGGGGGGCCAATTTAATAGAGGCAAGTTCGAAAGAACTCCCAAGAAGACTCTAGAGGATGAACTCTGCCCTCGGAAGTTGAGATACTACCACATTCCAGTCAATAATATGCTGGTAAGTCGAATTTTACTTTTAATATTGGATACCCGACAACACGGTTTGCGTATTGAAAAGGAAGAGTTGGCTTCTTCAGATGGAATGTATGGCTTGTACTATGAACAAGCAGTGCTCCAGGCCCCTCTTCACACTCCCCGCGAGCGATCATATTCTGGCGCACGATCGTGAGACTAACATTCCTTCACAGTGGGCTGAGGTACGAAGATCCAATCACTCCTGAATAAGGTCATGCTGGCAGTGTGGAGGTCTAATTCGGTCTCAGCAAGCAATTGCGAGCTACTTCAATGAGCCTCACCCTGATCCAGGTCAAGATTTCGACCCCTCAACCAAAATGGTCTTGCGAGACGACTGCTGGAGAGGTCAAGAACATGGAAACGAGCCACACTCGATGGTTCACAACCGCCATCTGCGTCCCATGTGCGAGAAGATATCGACAGGTAAATCTGCTTTCCTGTCTTAGACGCTCCGAAGATCATAGACACGGTGCTCACCTTGCCACCAGATCCCGACGATGCTTACCACAAGGGAGAGAGCAGCCTCGTCCTATTTGTGAGTCAGACAGTTGATTCTCTCTAATCGCCTTTTAACAAGCCATTTAGATGCCTTTCCTACACTGGGAGACGGACAGGAGACGAGATCAGGCTGCAAACCTGATTGAACGGCTTGCAGATGAGCACGAATTGGACCTGAGAGAAACGGCCCACATGTGGAAGGAGATTCGGAAAGACAATCGAAAGGGTCTCCTCAAATTATCCCCGCCCGTTCCTGTCCCGAAAAGTTCAGAGTACAAGGAGCCAAACTATTATAAGACACGAGGCGAGGACAGAGACCAGATACTGCAAGCCCTTGCAAAGATATTGTGGGAGAAAATACGAAAAGACAGCACTAGGCCAATGCCCTCAGGTTTGCCACACACATTGTGGCAGAGGATTCGGGACGAGGCTTTCGAAGATGCCTTAATCAGGGCTTTGAAGAATGCTTTGTTGGAGAAGGCACGTGCTCAGGAAATCCCTCAAATACTGCAGAAGTTCATCTCGAACCCAGGCGTTGATGAAAAGGAGCAACCGGTATATGACTGGGACAACACTTTCTGGAGGATCAAGGAGGCTGGGAAAGGCTATCCCACACCGCACGCTCTGGAGGACATATTCTGGGAAGAGATTAAGAAGGCCAGGAAAATAGCTGACACCAGAAGAGGATTGAAAGTTGAAAGTGACGAAGACGCGGGAGAAGTTCAAGGCGAGAACGTGGTCGTCTACCAATCGCACAGTGCGTTCCCAGGCAAGGATGGGTCATCAAGAAAGATCTTCCAGTCCCCCACGACTATATTCAAGGGGGTCAAGGTCGACGAATATGGATTCCCTCGACCAAAGAACAGACTCGCCAAAGTATTGATCAAGGCCGCAAGGCTTTACGAACAAATGATGACGTACCCTGACCAAAGGATCATGGAGAAGGACCTCTTCTCCGATCCACCGCTTCACCCGCGTCGGACATTGGACCAGGCATATTTTTGGAGGTTACGGACCACACGTAACCGAGATCGGGACCAAGTCGTCTATCGGCACACCAATGCGGAATTCGCACACAAGTATCGACCGCAAGATACAACCCATACAGGCTCTAGGAAACCGATGTCATCCACGAATAGCAAAAGTCGCCCTGCCAGTGACCAATCCGACACAACAGAGGCAGAGAACTGGCAGTGGAGTCGACATGGCCAGTTTGAAGACGAATACGGGTGCGCACAGTGCGACGCAGACATCCGCAAAGTATCAAGAGCAGTCATGGTCGATCAGTTGTGGATGTGGGTATTAGATAAAGACACAATCCTCACATGCTTTCCTCAGAGGTACGGGATGTCCTACAAGGACGACTCGGGTGTACACCAGTCAATCCGAACGAGGGTCAAAACCCGCAGCAACCCAGACAATCACGTCCGATCTATATTCGATCTTGCGCTGATCATCCTGGACGAGTGCTTCAACACCTTCTTCAACAGAACCCGAACAGCCGACAAGCGGCCGCAAGTCATTGACATGTTCTCCGAGAGCATTGGCCGAGTCGTATGTCACCTTTGATTCTAGCCTTACGACAAGATACGAGAAACTAATGCTATGCCAGACTCACAAACAGGCCGTTGCCTTTAGACACCTGTGGAGCCTCTCGGAGCGCCTCACAGCATTCTACCAAATCGGAGTCGAGGAAAAGGTCGACCCAGCCATTTACCAATCTGGAGTAGAAGACGAGGTCGACCCAAGAATCATGCTTGCCCTGCTCAACGTGACCCCGGAGGCAGAGCTGCAGCGCGAGATCCGCGACATAATTGACGAGCTGAACATCATGCTCCATATCGTGGGGCAGCAACAGGAGGTGATTAAGCGGTTCGTCAGGTTCGCTGAGGAGATCCTTAGGTCAACTAAATCGAACCCCACGAAGTCTCTGGGGCAGGCTGTGTCCGCTACGCCGGTTGACGTGCTGAGCATCGTGAACGATCAGATCAACTCGTTCGAGACCCGCAAGGTGGACCTACTCTCCGAAGTTGAGAACCGAATCAAGGAGCTCGAAGGACTAAAGGCCAGCGCGCTGAGCACTGCGGAGAACGTGAGCAGTTCATTTCATCCTTTCTCCCCTGCAAAACCAATCGACCTCACTTGGACTGATCGTGATATAGGTAAATGACCTCCTAAGCCTGAAGCAGCAGCAAGCTAGTGTTGTGCAAGCCTATGAGGCTATGAAGCAAGGGGAGGAGACGGTGAGCCAGGGAAAGGCTATCATGGTCTTCACGGTCATGACCATCCTCTTCGTATGATTGCCGCCCCCTCATTTCCCCTCTCCTCACATGAATCCCAAGCTGATGAATATCTCTGCCACAATAGCTGCCATTGTCGTTCATGAGCAGCCTCTTCGGCATGAATGCTGTGGAGCTTACGGGCTCAGACCCGTCCCCAGACGCAAGCGACTCGTCGCGGCCGGTGCCCGACGAGATCGTGTCCTTCTGGCCGATCACCTTCAAGAGGCAGATCCTGATCATGTGTACGCTTTCCAACCCAATGCTGCACGGCCACCCGTCTAGAGAATGATTTCGTCTTTTTTTTTTTTTCAATTACCAGGCTAACACACGACTTCTCACACCTCTAGTCACCGTCTCCTTCGGAGCCGTCCTAGCAGTGATCATCCCAGCCTTCAGCCCCTTCGCCCGCGCCGCCATCGGCTCCGCCCTGCGCTACGCGGCCGCCCGGAGCATCACCGTAGTGCCACTGTACCGGTTCTGGCTGGGCCGCGGGTGGAGCAGCAGGCGGCTGCGGGCCAGGACGGGCGCCGCCGTGCGGGACCTGAAGCACGCGGTGCGCGAGGCCGTGAAGCGCCAGCGGCTGGAGGAGTCCGAGGTCCGCGACGGCGTGAGGGCGGCCCCGGGGACAGGGGCCGCGGCAGTTGAGGGCGTGCCTGGGGCTAGGTCGCGGCAGAGATGGGCTCCGTCGCGAGGGAAGGGAGATGCTGTGTAGGGTGTGGATGTGTTTGGCGAATCGGAGGTGCTGGGTCCTATAGTACATTCCCCTTCGGGATAAAACCTCATGTAGGACAATATCCTTACGGCATGACCTTGTCGTAGGGCAATCTCGCATACGATAAACTTCTATATAATAACCTACTGTAACATAAACCTTTCCCGGTGGGTTGCTACCCTTCTGGTGCCGGAGTTCTTGAACCGTGTGTCTGTGGGAATGGGTGAGATGAGATGCATAGACAGCCGGAGGATTGATTTTCCCAACGGGCGGCTCTGGGTTGCAGCACGCTTTGACGCTTGTCACATTGTGTTCTGGCCTGATGTGTGCGCCGATCAGCCTGACGCCCGTGAGCGCCAAGGCAATGCTATGTGTACACTGCAGCCCCGGTGAGTTGCAGTGCTGTGCAGAGGTGCCGAAGATTGTCGGATACCTTGGGCCGGCTCGAGCTTGATCCGGATTCATGGCCGTGGCCTGGATGCCACGTCGTACAATCCTGGGAGAGAAACACGAAAAGTAAGCATCACGAGCGAGACCACCGTCAAGATCGAATGAATGCGCACTTTGACACAGGGGAAAATCTCGAAACGCATCGATGACTATGTTACTGGCAATACTCAGCACTTGAGTGTTGCGTAGTAGGCTACAAATAGATACAAAACAAGGCAAGGCTCCTTTCGCTCCACACACACAAAAAGAAAGTAAACCATTTAATATGAGCGAACTGCGCCTCTCCCGATCCCATTTGATTTGACCCAGAAACTCCCTGCCAAGATATGATGATGATGCCTTTAGGATAATGATAACGAACGAATGTGCTTGCTAATGTGCCATGGTGAATGGTGATTCGTGACCCACGGGGGCCAGCTTATGCGCAACATCCCTTCCTTCCCTCTTTTAGCCGGAAACATCCCCAGTTTGAGCCTGCAGCTTCATTCGATCCGGCTATGTCCTGGGATCGAAGCCATTGTATGTGATGAGACAGGTGGGAACATGCCATCACTCAGGATGGTTTTAAGTCCCTCGAGCACTGAGACCGAGGGTAAATGTGCCCCAGGTCAGGACACCGCAGGCGAAGAGTCCACTAAGCCCTCCTAACGCGGTTGAAGATCCTCTTCATGAAACCCTTGTCGCCGCCGGCTGCCGCCTCAGGGCTCCAGTGATCAGTCCCCGTCAGGATAGCCTCGATGCTCTCCTTGGGTGTCCGGCCCTGGGACATGTAGGTTGGGCCCTGCTGCTGCTGCGGCGGCGACAGGTACTCCGGCGCCTGCTCGTCGCCCCTCGCCCCATTGGACTGCTGACTCTGCCTTCCCGCGGGCGGCTGGTACGCCGCCTGCTGCGCGGCCTGCCATCCGTAGATCTGCTCATCGTCCGCCCTCAGGTCAGGCCTCGTCAGTGTCATCCGCAGGGTCATCTCACGCGAGTTGGCCGGGATCTGCGCGTACGCGTCGTTCGGCTCCCGCGCTACCTGGCCGCCCCGCTGGGCTGCTTTGTGGAGCGGGTCGGTCGAGATCCTTGTAGGGCGGTGGTGGCCAGGGGGAGGCGTCAAGCCGCCCAGGTGGGGCGTCCTGGGCGAGTCTGGGTCTGAGATGCTGCTAGCGTCGTCGTCGTCGTCATCACTCAGGTCCTCGTCGTCGCCGTCGTCCAGAAAAGACCTCATGTGGTCGGCTGAGTCGTCTTTCAGCTGCAGCCGTGACTGGCGCTTCCTGACCACAGAACGTCGGGTTGAAAGGGTGGAGGGTGCCTGCACGGAGTCTGTTGCCGGAAATCCGAATTCAATAGCCTCGTCGAACTTTTGTGGGGACGCCAGGTACACTCGGAGCTTTAGCCGCGCCTCGGGATCTTGGTAGTGGGCCGCGCCAGGGTCTATGCCTGTAAGAGATTCCGACCGTACGTGCTGCCTCGGGTTTATGAGTGACAGCGTGCGAGATAACCGTTGAGTATGTTGTGTAGCAATTGGCTGCTGCTGTTGGTGTTGTGGAAGGGTTGTGTTGTTGGACGGAGACGTTGGTGCTGTGTAACTGTCCCTTGTATCCGACTGGCTGCCAGATCCCGTTGGCATGCCAAAGGGCCGTTTGGAGATTGACAGGTGTCGCCTGAATGATGGCCGCCTGCTTTTGGTCGCATGTGGCAGCTCCTCCCGCAGGTTCGCGTGGTAGTCATCCAGGAAGAGTCGGAGGTCCAGGTCCTCCTCCTCATCAAGCCACCGGAAGCTCTCATACAGGCTCTCTCTCGCAGGATCCTCCCTGCTGGCGGCCTGGGACTGAGCCATTGCGTCTGTCAGTGAATCGAAACTTCCACGCCTGGTTGACAGCGTGCTCGTGGAACAGTCAATTTCAGGAGTTGGCGTCAGGGTCAGGTTGCTGGTCTTGTGGCGAAGCTTGTAAATTGCCTCGTCCGCAGCGTCGAGTATGACACTAGCACGCAAGTGCTTGACCAGCTCGCACTGTTCCTGCCGCGACAGTTGCGTCTTTCTGAGCTTTTCTGGATGATTTATAAACCAGGAAGAGTCTGACACAGCCGTGGTCAGAGAGTCGCGGATGGCGAAGGGATCTGGAGTGCTGCGTTTGGAGATGTGTTTCCGGCGCTTATTCTTGTGGGAAGTGATGTCGTCGTAATGGTTATAGATATCGTCCACGTCGGTGGATTCTTGTGCAAATCGCAGACGTTCCAGTGTAGAGAAGTACTGGAGTAGGAGAGTTGTATGTTAGTCTCAAGTAGATACGTGTGGTATCATCCGAGGGCAGAACATGGACAGGGTGGGAACGACACAACACAAGAGGAACGCAAGGCGAGGAATATAAAAAGACGAAAAGGCACAGGATGCTGTTGACGCCTTGGGGACATGGCGCACGACTCGTGCGGGCGGGTGAAGTCTGGTAGCTCGACCAGGAACGGAGGGGCAGCGGACAGGAACAGCGGGCCAGAGCTTCGCTTGCGCATGCCTCGAGTGGGACGGTACTATCGAGCATGCAAGCATGCAGGCATGCAGGCATGCAGGAGCACTGCATGGGAACAGGGATGTGTACGGGGCACCCGGCGAAGCCCAAGCGCTCTCACTTCTGCACTTGCTATACGCGAACGAGAAGGGCGAAGTGGCCCATCCTGCACCTGCACTGGCGAGTCGAGGAAAGGGCCCACCGGTCTCCCAATTGGTGACGACAAACACGAGCTTCTGAATTCTCAAAAAGGCTCTGCCTAGGCTCTGTCTGTCTGCACTGCAGGACAGCGCATGGCATGTCGTAGCATGGGGTATGGCAAGTTCCGCTGTCCATCCATCCATCCACTGCTGCGAAACCAGCTAGGCATGCAACGAGGGGCGGAAGCGGAGCGCGAGCTCCTCGTAGCCGGAGAATGTGGACAGGACTTTTGCAGCCTCGGAGTGAAGGCGGATGAATACAGAAAACGCAGGAATGTCATGCCGTGCATGTGTAATGGTGATGGTGGTGGTGATATGAGGGCTGACAAACAGACAGGACAAAGCAAGCACACACAGCTCGGGGGCTCGGCTCACCACTTTTTGCGACTGGCTCGAGCTTGGTTGGCCCAGGAATGGCTGAACCCTATTGATCCTCGAGGACGCGTGCGCAGGAGGTGTGGGTGGGTGCGTGGACAATGGTGATTGAGTGTGTGTGTAAGTGTAAGACGGCAATATATAAGAAACGCACCTCTTGGGCAGAGACGATCAGGTTCGATCGAAAGCACAGACGAGGGGAGGAATGAGGGGGAAAGGAAACAAAAATTCAAAAATCAAAAGATAAGACGACATTCCCCCAAACCAAAAATCCGGGGTTGACGAGGGCAGGACGAGACGAGGCAAATAACCGAGAGTTCATGCGGTGGGATGGAATAGGAAAACGTGCTGAAGAGCTCTGGCGATCATGGACGAGTTGGGCGCCTGTCGCAATTGGGTTTTCTGTTGGATCCCTTCCCGATTCAGGCACACTGGCAAGGAAGGCTCAGGGACCCCCAGAAATCAAGAGCCAGGGCCCTCTGCGCCTCTGCAACCAACGGCTTCCATCATCTGGTTTCTCCTTTCTTTTTTCGGAACCGATGGAGAAGCCCTTCGTCATAGCTAAGGGACCCCGACCCACACAATCAGGGGAGTCGAGAGGGCGAGGCAGAGGAAAATAGAGGCACTACTGGGCTTGGGACGCGGCCGGAAGGTGGAATCGAGAGCAAGGCTGCTTCAGAAAAACCGCCGAGTTTCTCTCATCCGCCCCAATATCGTGACCCAAGCCTGTAGCTCGATTGCGCACAGGCTCAGATGGGGCCTTGCACCCGTCTGTTGGGTTCAATGGTCGCTAGCACCTAGGCCTGGAAAGCCCTAGTCTTCCCCGTCCTCAAACGCCGAATGACCGCCATACCCGGGGCCTTGCCTCGCCGTCAGGGGATCTTCCGCGCGTTCCTGGTGCTTAGCCTCCTCCCGCCCTATTTCCACCGAGTTCCGTAGTATCAGTGCAGATGCCGTGTTCATTTGCCTGTGCTGCGCTGTGCTATGCTTTATCGTGACCCGTCAAACACACACACACACACACATACACACATTCGCACGAATCCCGTCACTTGCCGGAACTGGAATCTCGTATGCCATTTCCCGCCCCTGAAATATGCAGCTGACTGAGAAAGTGGCTGCATGCATATAGGACAGGGCATATGTGTATCCATGCCGTGCCATTGGGCCGCCCAGGTGACGGGTTGATAAACAATCATGCGGCGCGACTTCGCTGACTTCCAATTGGGTGCACGTCTCCTTGAAACCAATGCCTGCTTAGGAGGGGGGATAACGGGCAACAATAGGAGTGGTTGTGCAGGGAAAGGAAAGCCAATGAAGACCGGAATGCTCGCCTCGGAACACTGGAATGTTGGCCCGCGAAGGAAAAAAAACACAAGGGCTGGCTGAACGTGCTGACGCGATGGAAGGGCCTCAACATCCGGCGGCTGAAAATGGGGCTCCATGGCGACGCCTCCCGCGCCGCTCAGCTGGAATAGGGCAGGGTAGAGGAAAGGTGAGAAACGACAGGACCCATGTAATAATCTTTTAGTTTTCAACCAACATACCTTTCGCTGTATCGCCAAGGGGAGCGCCTCGAATTCCTCGCGCGTCAGTGGTGGTGGACCGCCGCCTTCCGATGCGTTGGCCGGCTCCTTCGCATCCTTCAAGCCATTGGGCGTCCCGGAAGCAGACCGCGGCGGTGTCGTCCTGCCCTCGTGGACCTCGACCGCCGTGCCGTCGTCACTGATTCGCTTCCCAACGCTGCCCGAGTCAAGGCCGCCGTCGGCCAGCTTCCCCACAAGGACGTCATCCTGCTGCTGCTGGTGCTTCCTGCCCCAGAATCCGGTGAAAGGGTTCGACGAGCGCGCGAGGTTCTTCGGTGCCGATCGGGGTCTCAGGTGGTGCTGCTGATGCGCGTGGTGAGGAGCCGCTGCGATCCCCCCGTTGGAGGACGCCCACGTCGAGGACAGGAAGGCCGACCCCTCGCCGCTGTCGCCGAGCCCTGACAGCTCGGGCATCGTCTTGGGAGGCATGGAGCGGTATGTGATGTGGCGCGGTTCTCGAGTGCGGCGCGGCAAGGTCGGAGAGCCCTCAGGGCTCTCTGGCGAGGCGTCGAAGAAGGCCTCAAACGAGAACGGGCGGCGTTCCGTGGGCGGTTGGCAGTCGAGAAAGGTCGAGGTGGTGGATGGTGAACTCGATAAAGGGGATTCCGTTCCGCTTAAGTCTGCCCCTAAGTCGTCCCCGCCCTCGTCCTCTGAGAACTCCAGATGGGCCCACCGGCGGTCCCGGAGGTCGTAAAGCTCGCTGTCTGTCTCTGGTATCTGGAGAATGTTCGCCTCGTAGCACTCAATCTGGGTCGCGTGCTTTAGCCGGAGTCTGGCGAGGTCCTGGAAAGAATGCAGTCGGTTCAGGCCCTCGTGGAAGACGCCGCTGTTGATGGAAGAAGGGGATAGTAATGGCGGGTCAAGGCCAGAGCTTAGATTTGGATATGGCAAGTCTTTTGATTCTCCGACGACCAGGAACTCATCACACCCTAAATCCTCCACGGTACCGGGAAACGACCTCGTAGAGTCGAGGCTGGTACGTGATGTGGCATCCGTTGGAACCCCAGATTGGACAATACCCGTGCCGACTACTTCCACGACCCCTTGCACCGCGCGTGCAGTGAGCGGCTCGGGATCTTCGAAAGAGAGGCTGCCCATTTCGCTAGCTGGGAACTGGGCTTGCAGGGGGGCTGGTTCGCTACTTTGCCTAGCTCAGTGATAATTTGGTTGAGGGTTGCAATTTGCCCAAGCTGCAGGCCCTCAAGTGGGTTGGCCGGCTCCACCTGCGAGTTGGCAGCTGCATGTGATGGCTTGTTGCGACCCCGAACCTGCAAGGTACATCCATCCAAGGGACTGCTTTCTGCTCTCGACGCCGGGTGAAAAAGGAAAAATAAAAAGAAGACGCACGTTCAGAGGTGAGTCTGTGTTGTTGGCCGGCCTGCGAAACGCTCTCTTGTTTCCTGCCTGAGAGGTTCCGGCTATCGTGAGGTCAGTAGCTATATGAGACTCAAACGTGTGCGAGCTCATCTGCTGCCATGTCAAACATGTTCTAACGGGCAGCCAAGCAGTATATAAATCGGGACGCCAGAGAAACAGCCGACGCTCAGACTCGGCGCCTGCGGTTACAACTGTTAGAGCCCTTGCTTCGTCCCAAGATCCTGCCCCTGTAGACAGCGATTCGACTGGACAGTCCCAGCAGCATGAAAGCTTGCCAATCACTGCCGGCCGACCTTTGGAGCTTCTCTGGCCGCGGGCACCCTGCCAACCGACGCGGCCTCCGCTGTCAAGTCTGCCACAGAACCGGAGGAGCCTTCCTACCACAGATCGTCGCGTTCCTGTGGCTTCTCGTTTGCTATCATCAGGCGCGGAACAAGTTTCTCTAGCGCTACGCCACCCCAAGAAAATCCTACTCGCGTTCAGCAAGCCACTTCTAAATCGTATGAGGCCTCGGCCCCAGTTGCCATGGCTGCTTAGAAGTTTGCTGCGAGGAGACGTCCAGGCTCGTCCAAAGTCCGTATCACACTTCACACCAAGAAAGGTCTCTCTGCCTCATACTCCGCTCCGGGAGCTTGGCCATTGGCCGCTTGTAGGGAACCTGGGGCTTGCACAGGATCAACCGTTTCACAACTTGTGCTCTGCTGTGTCACCGCAGCATAAGCACACCTCCCGAGGCGCACGGATCTGCTTCTTTCATCTCGTCTAGACTATCCCGTACAACTGCTGTGTCCGACGCCGTGTTCTCGACTGCGGCCGCACTCATGGCCGCATCAAGAACATGTGGCCCCCCGTGCACCCGTGATTGAAAAGAAAAAGAAACAAAAGAAAACACGCCAATGAACTGAGCACGCACGGGCGTGCCAGGCCAGTCATGCACCGCACCAGAAGAGATGCCTGCGCCGAGGAGGGGATATAGCCCCCCTTGTCGCTGCTATAGCCGCCTATGCACAACATTCTCGATCGGCGCGCGATGCACAAAGTTTAGAGCCACGGAATCTCGCATTTTGGCAGATCGCACAGCAACGACGCTGAAGAATGGGCGATGTCGGTAATGGGACAAGACCAGCGTAGTGGAGTAGCAACACTGATGGCGCGCCCCAGTTGGTCGATCGCGCGCACTTTTTGGATTGGCCCAGGACCAGCGCACTAGTCACCACGGCGACGTCGCTGCTGCACTTCCCGTCACCTCTCAGCTCCCCCAAACGGCGAATGGCAACGGAGATTCTCTGCTCGGAGCCTCGGAGCTTGCCCAAGGGGCCCCGCCCAGGAGCGCTAAGCACGATGTGATGGAGCCTCAATCTGCTGGGTACTGGGTTCGGGCGATGAGGTGGCATGGGGAGAGAAGGCTGCTCCAAGGGAAAGTCGTGCAGGTAGACAGACGGCATCTGCCGTGCCCCAGTCCCAGTGGTCAGTCCAGCACCCACCCGGCTGAGAGAGACTGACTCTAGGCACGCGTGAAAAAGGTCCCCTCGTGCTGAGGGTGCTGCACGCAATACGTAGGCGCCGCAGCTGTGGGGAGGAGGGGCCCTGGGCCGTCCGGCGTCTCGCTGGCAGTGCATGGAGGACAAGAGTGGGCACGCTGCGGTGGTGGGCACTCAAGCCTCGTGCGGCACGACGTGACCGAATCGTCAGTGTCGCCCCCCGACTATTGAATCTGGTACCGTCCCGTCCTGCTAGACGGTCCATGGGCAGGCATTGGCGGAGATGGGCTAGTGTCTGATAAGCCCACGAACATTCTATTGATGTTCCGAGGCACGAGTAGTGGCGATGGAACAACCTGGTTCACGTAAAACTGTCCACGTGTCCGGGCACTATGGTTGATTGTTCTCGAATGATGTTCTCGTCTCGGGAGCGCACGTGGTGACTGACAGCCACGTCCCTGCAAAGAGTTTCCAGTTCCTGCATTGTTCTTTGTTCCAGTTCCAGACCAGCGACATGCCTGGATGCTTGCCGGATGCTCGCTGGTGGAAACAAAGACCAGCCCCGCCAATGTGCGACACCTTAGTCAAGCCAGCTTCACGCTATCAGCAGCAGGCTCCTGGGTGTGTATGCACACTGTCTCAAGTGTCAGAAACCCGAGGGCCTCGAGAAAAAGATGTGTCGAAGATTGACTCGGTGTTAGCGAAGGCTGCCAGAGCCAAGATCGATTGACACAATAGGCAAAGCCGAGTCCTGCCGTAGTGCTAACGCCATGCACGAGTCGCGTGCCCGCGAGGAGCAGCCTCATGTTGCTCATGGCTCCGCACCACCGCACATCTTGCTTTCGCTGTCTTGCTCATCCGGTCGTAGATCAGCCCAAGGATCCTGGGAAAAGAAAACTATGAGAATTGACAAAGACTATTGCCCTTGAATCTGGGGTTGCACATGTGTTCGTATTGTGACGTATAGGATGCAAATTCCGGACTCCTGGGACCGGCCTTCTCCACAACGGTGGAAATTAAAATCGATGTCGCGCATGCTTTTGATCTCCCCCAGCTGATAGCTGATAGAAGGGGTCCGGAAAGACTGAACCCCAACACCAACAAGCTCGAACGCTGGTCGCACGGCTGCCTGCAGGGCCTTGGCTTCTATGAAGCGGTGTGAATTGTTGTCGAACAAAGTCTGTTACAGGACCCTGAGTGCAAACGTCCTCCATGGCTACGTCGCATGCGAAACCATCGGAGAATTTCCACCTGGGAGCCATCTTGTTGAACCAGGCACCTGAGACGTCGCTTGGGCTGCTACCGCAGCCATCGTGACCTGTCATATTTTGGGCTGCCTGCCACGTCTTGAAGGGTGCAGAGTATCAATTCACTCGTCGTCAGGGGTTGCTGGGCCTGTCCCGTGCGTGGTTTGCTGCTCAGTGTGAGAATCCTCAGCCGCTGTCGGTCTTCGAACCGACGGTTGGGACCATCGCATCCTACTACGGAGATCCGGCCCGAGAGCAAGAGCGTCTCCGTTGAGTTGGCGTCAACCTTTTTCCAGGGTGTCCTCAGCTTAGATCTCAGCCGGAAAGCGCAGTTTCCTGTCGCATTGGAAGGTCTAAATCCGTCCTGCGTGGAATCACAGGTGAGCCTGTTCCCACACTCACAGAAATAAGCTTAAATCTTGCGCGATAGTTTTGTACAATCGTAGCAATCGATGAGACAGTGTGCGGTTCGAAGCATCGCTGAAACATTCGAGTTTGTTCCACTGCCACAGCCAGTAATTTAACATCTGAGCTGGAGCTTCCGTAAGGCGGATCGATGTGGACCACTCATTCCTCTTGCTAGCTTTGCACATATGTCATTTTCTTTATGCTTCGAGAAAAACATGTATGTCAACTCTGTGCTTTCGTTGCTCTCTCTTCGCAGGGCACGCCTTGCGAACGAATGGGACAGGATGACAGATCGAAGCGGTAAGCTGTGACTTGCTATTTACTGCAGTCAAATCTGAGATAGGACACATCTTTACTTTGATTTCAATCAGGTAATACAACAAAAGCCCTCGTCGTGGTCTCGGCCGGCGTTGGTCTACGACATCGGAGGATTACCGATGTTTATATGCCGATCACCCTCGAGATTTTCAACGTTTCTTCTCTTGGCAGTTCTCCTTGAGGAATTCTGGTTCAAGATGTCCATCGTGATTTCATTTAGCAGAAACTGCGCTCAGCAACATCTGCAGGTCGACCGGCCTCCGCGATGGGCCGGCACGTCAGGATGAGACAGCAACGGGGGAGCCCCTCGACAACAAAGAAATAAATTGTCTTCGGATGAGCAGAAGTCCGTCCCTAGGCCAAATTTCCCAGCGACGTCCAACATATTGTCATTCATCGAGTGCCCATCCGGACAAGGCCGAGCAAGGAAGCCCCTTGGGAGAAGGTGTCGTGGACGAAGATGAACGAGATTGACCGCTGATGACGACTACAACAGTGAGACAGAGCCGAGAGACTTAAGGCCGTGACAGTATCCCCCCTATAATTCCCAATTACCTTGCGATATATATCCCAATGTTCGGAAGTTGGATGGACCCCATGGATCTCGGAATGGTTCCCAGCCGTGCGATCGGGGGACACGCGCAGGGCAGACACTGATCGCGAGCACACAGACGCAACGGCTGCCGGGCGATGTCTATTCTCGGTTTATACAGACCCATAATGCCAATTTTATATAGAGTGCAGGGACTCATGTCTTGTCCCTCCATCATGCCATTTTCATTTCCCCATGTCTTACCTTGGGATTGCGACCGCAACGGTGTCTCCGCCACAACCCAACTCTTGAGCTACCAGATAATAACGCATACAATCACTGGGGCACTGGTCCTCTCTCGCGTCACTCATACTGCGTCCGTCATCGGTCATGTGAGGAAGGGTTTTCACGATAAGGAGTGGCAGTTTTTTTTAAATAGCAATGGGGCCCCCGGGCGAGCTAGGGCAGCACGGACACTTTGGCGAGATTGCACGGGCAGGATCGATCATCGCCTGTTCAAGGGATCAATCCTGCGCAACATGGGGAAGATCAGCGGTTGATCTCATATATCTGATTCATTCTATGAAGGGCAGTTGAGCCTTCGCTCCCAAATCCATCCATCGCATGACAGCTGTCAATGTGCTAACAGACAGGGGCTCTGATTAGTCGGATTTGTAGCATCAGCCAATCATCTTACACCAATTTGCAGGGATGTGGCAGTCAAATCATCCGCCAGCGCGCTATCGTCAACCCTCAGAGTCGTAGTCTGCTGCTGCTTCACTGCCAGAAAGACTGTGTATATTTCAGATAATCACAAGAAATAAATTGTACAGAAGAACTCTAATCATGAAATAAATAGCTCAGTCTCTCAGTATTCCTTCATCACCTGGAGGTGGTTGTTGTAAAATCAATTGAACCAAGACAAGACAAAGATTGAGGGGCGATCAAAAGGGTGCTAGATACAATTTGAAATTCTCGTCAACTAGTTGCAAAATTCCCACAACAAAGAGGAGTTCCTCAACCTTAGTTATTGAGATCGACACGGGCATTGTGGCCGATTGGATCATGGTACTCAAACACTTCGGGCTTCTTCCTCCTCCAACTGTAAGCACCGGACGCAGTTGTGATGGCCGGTGATTTGAACTTCGACACTCCAGTCTCACGATCATAGGACTCGTACGTCGAGCCGATGCGCTTGCCGCCACCACCTGGGAGGTCGACGATGAATTGGGGCATGTTGAAGCCCGCGATAGTGCCCCGGATCTGGACCTCCAGGTCGAGCAGGGTCTGAAGCGGCGTGCGGAAGTGCTCGCTATTCTTAACCATGTCGCAAATGTAGACGTAATACTATGATAACAAAGTCAATAACTATGGGTCTAAAGAGAATAGGAACTACGAAGTCAGAGACTACTGACCGGCGTGACGTTGTTATCAGCGAGCTTCCTGATCAGGGTCGACATCGTCTGGTAGTCGTCGTTGATGCCCTTCAGCAGCACAGTCTGGTTCCGGACGGTCACATTGGCCGCGTTCAGCCTTTGTGCCGCGACCTCAGTGATCCATGAGAACTCGTTGGGGTGGTTGAAGTGTGTGTGCAAGGCCATGGCCTTGCCAGCATCTCTCGCCTTCTGCGAGACTTCGATGAGCGCGTCGGCCCAGTCGTCGGCCGTGTCAATGAACCGCATGGGTGCGACCGCCAGTCCTTTGGACGCGAAGCGGAAGCGGCGGATGTGGGGGACTGAAAGTTTAGTCAGTAAGTTGTGTGAACGCTCGCGGTGAACGGAGGGAGGATGCTTGGGAGGGGGGGGGGCTCTTGTTCGAATCACTCACTATTGATTAGACGGTCTCCGATCATGCGAATGTGCTCGGGGTGGATGTAGAACGAGTCGCCTCCTGAAATCACGATATCTTGTAGCTGCGGGTTGGCCTCGATGTAGGTGAAGATCTCGTCCCATCGAGTGCGTCCCGGCTTGTATGACTGCTTCGTCACACACTCAGTGTTGCCCCCAACTGCGCGTGCGCGGGTGCAGTAGGCGCAGTAAGTTGGGCAAACAGATACGGCTGTCGGTTGCGTAAGCTACAATAAGTATCTAGGCTAGAGTGTGATATAAGGAGAGGTTCATCTACTCACCGAGGAACAACGCCTTGTCCGGATATCTGTGGACCAGCCCATCAACGGGTTCATCTCCTTTCTCGTGCAAAGAATCCAATTCAAGTTTCGGGTGGTCCGGAAGGAGCAAAGATTTCATGGGGATAAACTGGCGGAAGATCGGGTCGTTCCTTGGATCCTCCCAGTTGATGCGGCTGAGGAGATATGGGCTAGGACATAATGTCAGCGTGGTTGTAAAGCCGAGAGGCCGGGGTTGGACTTGCGTAATGCGAATGGACATCGGAGCCGCCTTAGCACCATAATATATGTCCTCCATTAGCTGCTCTTTGGACTGGCTACCTGCACCGTCTGGGATCTCTTCTGGTAGCACTGAGTTCAGAAAGGCGTGAAGCCTATCCATACTGTCAATGCAATTTTTTATCTGTTTCTCATAGTTCAAATTAGATAGCTGTATTGAGAGACAGTCAAGATATCTATGCCGCGTGAAACCTAAACAAATGGGCCACCACTTACACTCCAGCGGTACGAAAGAAATTGCTCCTTGGACACATCTCTGTAGGCAGGAACATTGCGCCAGAATTCTTCACCCCAGGCTATAGCCGTCGAGACAGGGTGATGAGGCTTGAAGGAAGCTTTCTTGAGAGACTCGTGTGCTGGGTGCTCATCACCTGGGCGGGTAGTCTTGTCGGCGTGAGAGGCTAGGCCTCGCTGCTGAGGAAGTAGCAGCGGCCGACAGGGCAAGGATCTCTTGAGTGTCCTCGAGAGCATAATTCTGGTTGCCGTGAACATCTTACTGCTTCTTCTTGTGATCTTTGATGTTTGCCAGTATATATCTCAAGACACCTGGTATAGTCTATCAAGTTAGTGCCTTGTAATATGTGTGCAATCGGTCGTAAGTAGATGCTGTGCGCTGTACCAAAAATAATCTTGACTTCCGCAAATTCAAGTCGTCGGGCTCGTGTCTTGTTCAAGACTTGAAATGTACAGATCGCGAAATGCTCTTTGGGTGCACGAGAAAAGTGAACGATGCCTTGAAGAAGACGGAGAGGATATGGTGTTGTGCTTCGCAGCAAGAAGGGCCGAGACGACTGGAGAAGAGCTTTTCTGTCGGATCACGTCTTTCGGATGTGCAGGGTAGATATGGAAGGATCAATATGCTCGGTGCTAGTCTACCCAAGGGTCTGGCTTGGGAGGTAGAGGATCACGGAAGAGAAGGATTGTGAGGTCGTAGTGAGACGAAACCTGAAAGGTGGTCAGCAATACCCAGCGGACCGAATAGCAGACCCGGGAGTTCCAACTTAAGGCAAACTGAAGAAGCTGACGCAGCCTTTGAGCATAGATTTGTAAACCGAGGGGATATCAAAGCTGTGTTATTGACTCTGTGAATGGCGATACTCAGGGCAAGCTTCGACTTTCTGTGGAGCACGTGGAACATAGAGCTCAGAACATGATAAAAGAGAAATCATGGAAGGTCTGCTACTCGCAGTTACTTTATCAATGGGTGACTTGAGAGTACATCATGCTACTCGGGGCCTCTTTATATTCCTATCATCTCCCGGTGTCCATCACATGGACACTGTATCTAGCGCTCCAACATGCGGCAAACCCTCCCGACGGACCCAACAAGTAGCCCCCAGGATGACTCTTCAATGCCCACGAATAGATGCTATGGGTAGCACGGGGATGTTGCCCCCTTGGCCTGGTCAGGTTGATTTCAACAGGCTACCGGCATGTTGGGCCATGCCGTGCGGGACCCTTTTTGGGGGGAGATGGTGTGGGAGATGGCGCCTGGACAAGGCCCACGGCTCGTCTTGACGACGAAGAGGACAAATGAGAGACAAGAATCGCTGAAAAAACTTTTGCCAACTACATGATCATCCGCTGCGCAACCGTTGGTTTCGATGCTATAACTGGCTCCCTGCCGAGGTTGCATCGAAGTTGGCTACCTGCTGTATGAATCGGAGAATGCTCGCCATGTGCGCACCAGGTAAGAAAATCTCTCGACTGGTTCCTCTTCCTCTTCAGCTCTGCTGAATTGTCTCCACATCTGTGTTCCAGACTGTTTATTCGTAGGCTGGCGCGCTGCCTGATATCAAGCTTCTGCCTTGTGGCGGTGCTGTCTATGTTGGACATTGTATGGGCCTAGGCTGCACCGAGCCGCTGTGACGGTCGGTCTGCACCTTGTCGCGAGAACCCGCATCTGCTTGCCCCTTATATGGGTAGATGGTACGGTTCGAATTCATACACAGCCCATGCCATGCTATGCTGTCTCAACCGGTGGTCGTTATCTGAAACCTGCGACCTCACTGGAGCCGTCACCGGCTTTGGACGTGTCTCGGCCGCGCGCTACTTCAATTCTCCCTGATAATTCAGAGGAAAGCGGCGACAGTTGCTCTTCTTCGCTTATCGATGTTTCAGTCACCCCGTGCGACGTGGCAAAGTCACACAACCTCAAATCGCGGAGTCAAGGCCGGCCAATGATTCTATTACATATGTGTCCAGCATGAGCCTCAGCTTCGTTCATATTGGAGACAGTGCTCAAGATTCAAAAAGAAGATTCCCTTACGCCCGTAGCAATAATTCAACAGGAAAATGGAACATCACTGGCGTGTCGTCTGTGAATTTGAGGATGGAATTTTCGGAGCGGGAAATAACACTGTCATCTGATATCAGTCCAGACCTGCTCCTCCAGTCACACAAACCTCCATATCATGCAATAAGATCCTTATGAGGTTAAGTTCATCGAAGCTGAACTTGTCACGTTGTCTGAAAAAGTCGTGCCTCGACCTCAGGGCTGGGGCTCATGACTGCGGTGTAGCAGGTGCTATTTAGAGCACACCGAAGACGGCGACCAGTTGCCTTGCCTCGCACCGCATGTTTGCAGGCATCCATCCGTGAATCATACGACGATAATTCCAAATATTTGAGCCGACGTCAAGTCTCTCGTGCATTGACGGAATAAGTGCGGTGATAGGTAGCGCTCCAATCGAATCATAGACATGACGAGCCTAATGAGCCATCTCGATCATATCTGCGCTCGTTTTCCCGCTCATAGCAAAACACTTTTTAGCGAAACAATTTTCAAGCTTTTGGAGCAGTCTGTTTGTTCTCTGTGTGTACGCATGAATCTGAGTTGGTCCTTTTCGTGACCGTACCAACGACATCCTTCCTCAACCTCGAACTCGATAATGCTGACGGAGGGTTCAAAGAACCGGTGTTGATCGCACGACACTAGACTGGAGGATTAATGTCGAAGCTGCATCCACACTGAGAATCAGTCGACTCCAGAGAAGAGGAGAGAGGGCAGCTTGATGAAGCTCGGCCTGCATAGGCGAGGAGAGCTGCCGCCGGTCATCCGCATCGGGTGGGAGACTGTTGATCTATTTCTCGCCATCATGAGGATAGGTAAATTTCAAGTGAAAGGAAATGAAGGAGTTCGGGTTTTGGCGAATCAAGTCGTAGTGGTAGCAAGTTGCGTCACGTCTGCTTGCTTCCGGTTCATCCGCGGAGAGCAAGGCGCTCTGACCGTCAACCTGGTAACGGACAATCTGCAGTCGTGATTCGATGTTAGTACAATGCCTATACAGATTCTCTGCACAAAAATTGTTAGCTTGTGTATACTTTGCATAACTTAGTCCGCCTTGCTGCAACTCTAGTGGCCCTATTGTCAGGCATGACTCTCTACATGACAATTGTCACTTAGCGAGCCAACCCCGAGGACTGTCATCTTGTCCCAACAGATACAACAACAGTGAGACCCTGCAAAAGGCTTTGCATATCGTGATGATGCCTATTTGCTGCAACTCGTGCTCCACCGACCCAGCCCCTTGGGTCAAACGCTCGTTGGTCCTCAGCCCCGGACTATTTGACCATGGGGCCAATAGGTAGGGCTGTGACCAGGGTCACTGGGTTGCATGCATTGTTGACAATTCTCATGCACACTTAGTCACTATTCTTTCCAAAGCTCAGAGTCCCAAGGTACAAGAATAGCAAGGTCAAAAAGTCGGCTGGCCCGAGGCCGGCCCCCCCTTCCCAGCAACAACACAACCCCAACCGCGGGATGGAGTGCGACGGAACACCCGTAGGGCAGCGCCTAAGCGTGAGTCTGTTTCACGGAGCGGGCCGAAAGGCTCCATTTCAATGATGGCTTGTGCCGTTGTTGTGGGAGCAAGGGGAAATAAGTATGATTTCCCAACGTGAGGCTCTGCCAGGCAGACAACAGGCAGAAGCCGAGCAGATCAGACGTCAACACCACCCAGCAGCCAAGGCTTCTGGGCTGCACAGGCAGTGGCCGGTCCGATTGGGATGCGCTGTAAGCCAAAGCCGTCTGACACACGGCTGCACGGGATCACGGGCGCGCTTGTAGATGCATGGCATGGTGTCGCGTGTCACTAGGTTGCATATTGCATGCGTCTGCTATAGACACGGGTCGAGAAGAGTAGCAACACACCATTCGGTTGAGCCCCTCGCATTTTGACAGTGAGCAGTGAGCAGTGAACACGGAGTATTTTCGTGAAAAGATCGGTTCAACCTTCGGTCCCGAGTGATACACGGTCTGCGTGTGTATGCCAATCAATCCCGCCGGATCAAACCTTCCACGCTGCGTATCATGCCCCTATTCCTTGCAGTCAAGTGCCCACCCTACACTTTCGTGCTGTGTGCATGTGCGGTTCAAAATGAAGGCGCTGGGATATGCAATACGCTACCCAGCCTGCCGTGCGCGAAGAAATGACTTGTCCCTTACATGCGAGCAGCCAATCGATCAAAGGGTGGCTGCTCCGGGGTCTGGTGCGACGCCGGGAGCACCGTTCCGTCAAGCCCCATCGCGTGTCTCGGGCGCCTACGTGTTCCAAGGGTTCTTCCATCGCCAGTGTTTACTGACAAGCGGACGGCGTACCCGTGCTCCACAACCAGGAGGCAGGAAGCCATCACCATTGATGCCGAAGGAGCTGGTGCCGGGCCCCCTCACCTTCCGACGGTATTTTGAGCAGTCTTGGCCGCCTCTCGCAGGTCCGTGGCAGTCTCAAGATGACAAGTCGAAACGAGCGACAGCAGGGAGAAAGATCTTCCACCTCTGTGACGATGTAAGGTGTTGAAGACAACGGAACCGGTCAACATCAAGAGCCTATTTTAAAATGACAGCGGCTAAATGTGGCCCAGACCCACCGGGATGTTGCTCAGGTCGCACTTCCAGTATAACACTTAGCCAGTCATTGAGAGAGTTAGCCAGGAAGTTAGAGATGGAGTGATTGAGGAAGTCAAGAAGCCCAGGCGAGCCTCACATGGACAAGCAGGCAGGCCGGCCCGTCTATTCTCGGGCCCACACCACCCACCCCCGGACAGGGTCAGTTGTCGTGGCCAGGAATCGATACTCAAGGTAGACGGCAGCACAGCCTGTAGACAGCACAGGTCGCGAGCGTAAGTCGAGAGCGCAATGAGAGCAGCGGACGGCCGATGTAATTGCCTCCTTTGCTCACGACCTGTGCCCACACAACCAAAACTGAAAAGTGCCTCACCTCAACCGCAAACTCACTTGCTCAGCGCCAGAAGTCTATTCCATCTTCAAACACATCACACAGGTCATGGACATGATCAGACACACCTCGTCATCATCAAGATCAAGTGAGGTAGGCAAAGACGATAAACGCCCATTCATTGTCCCAACCTGTATCAGACGAAACACAACAAAACAGATAAATTTCCCCAGCGCCTTATGCCTAGACAGTGTTGCCCCCCCACGCTGCTCTTGAATCCTCCGTCCATTTCTACCCTCCGCCCATCACTCACACCGGCCCAGATACCCAACAACACCAAGATCCTCCCTTCCTCCGTTTCCGACTTCCCTTCTACCGGCCGACGAGCCGAGTGATTCGGCCTCGTCATCTATCTAAGCTGCCACTACACCTCCTCATCGCTGTCCTCCCCCAACAGCTCCCCCTCATCGTCATCGGCGTGGGCGTAGTCGCCCCTGCCGCGCGCGAAGCTGTCCCGCGTAGTGAACGGCCTTGTGCTGCCGCCGAAGCGCCCGCCGCCCCCGTTGAGGCTGCTCCAGCCACCGCCGCTGCCGTAGCGCCACCTGTCGACGGCCGCGACGCCCGCTCTCCAGACCGCCGCGGCGACGAGCGGGATAGCGCCTGCCACCGCCGCCGCGGCGCTGACCGCAATGACTGGGTACCGCACCCACGGCGAGTCTGAGTCGAAAGCGCCGCCGCCGAACCCAGCCGGCGACGTGTTGCTGTTCTCGCCCAGCCTGATCTGGCCAAACTTGTGGCTCCAGTTGTTGTATACGTACCAACCGGCCGCCGCGGCCACCGCGAAGGGGATCGTGATGGCAAAGAACAGCCCGACGCCCGAGATGCGGTGCTTCTCTGCATATTCCTGCTCCTTGCCTGGGCAGGGGTGCTCAGTAGCCTGCTTGTCATATTCTATGCCGTCTTGGCACGTTGACAGGGGGATCTTCCGGTAGCCTGTTGGCTCGAAGTATCCTGTTCTGGACGGGTCATCCTTGCACCACTGCACATGGTCCATAGGCTCGAGACCCTTGACCAGTTGGCATGAGCCGTGGTTATCGAGCTCGTAATTGTAGTCGCTATTGGTGACGTTAGTAATGATACTATGCATGCGATGCCAAGGTGTACGGTGCTAGTCACTAACCATTCATAGTCTTGGCGACTACAGGTGCAGTTCTGGACGTTGTAGACGTGCTGTATCCTGTACCCATTATAACACTTCTTGTCCGTCTTCTTGCGCATGTACTGCGTCACATGCCCAAAGAGGCAGTCGTTATCTTGGAGCGGGTGGCTGGGCGACCAGATGTGGTAGTCGGACTCCTCGGGGTCGTCCTTTTGCTCGCACGCCCGATCAGCCAAGCCCGTGAAGTCGATGGTCGTGGCGTGAGTATCATCGCCGTCTTCTGTCCAGACGATGAACTTTCGCGAGACGCCAGATGCTTGAGTAGTGAAGTCAGTGACCTTCCTCTCGCTCTCGGCAAAGTCATAGTCAGTCCAAGTTCTGCCCTCGTCCATTGTGTACGACACAGTCTTCGTCTTCTTGTCCAATGGGACCAGGACAACAATAGAGCCCTGATCCCCATACTGCCATAGCCAGCGACCCTTTTTCACTTGCTTCCAGCTGATGCCGGCGTCGGTGGTCATGTACGTGTCAGAATCATCAAGCTTGCCCAGGTACGGACCAACGTTACCCCAGCCAAACATGAGACCAACAGCTCCAGCAGATGAAAACGTCTTGCGGTGATCCCTGCGTTCGGTGTAACCATGAATGTGCAGGGCGCACTTCTCGTCACCCTTGCCACTGCATTCAAACTTCTTGTCCTCAGAATCCCTGTCAGGAGGCGGGAGGTATGCCCACTCGGCGCCATCGTTATGGCTGATCTGTGTGCGAAGCTTCTTTGGCTCGTTTTTCTTGTCCCGGTTTGCGTAAATATTGACCATCGTAACGCCCTCGAGGCCCAGCATCTTCTCAAAGTCCACAAAGTAATTCTTATTACAGTTGACGCCTGAGATGGACATGACGTAAGAGGTGCCGTTGGAGTTACTCTTCATGATATCTCCGTGTTCAACGTCATCTGATGTCTCAGTAGCGACAAACAGGTTCACAGCGTGAGTGGAGCTGTCTAGAACGGTATATGCGTGCTGGTGAGGAACCTCGAAGCCATACGGGAAGTGAGCCTCAGCATATGTCTCTCCATCAAGACTGGCCAAAGCCCGGAGCGTACTTTTCGTGGTGTTCTCGGTTGCCACGACGATGAACTCTGACATGGTCGCGAAGTCCTTGACATCATTTTGGAGTACCTTCTTGGTGTCGAAGAAGTCGTTGCTGCCACTAAGTATCCAGGGGTTGTTGGAAGTATCACTATCTTCCCGCTGCCTGTTTTTGCAGATGATCTGGTCGCTGTTGCGGAACCTAAATGAACTGGATCCGGTGAACTCACACCGGTCGACATACCGCATGATAGTCTTCCAGTTATCCCCACGGTCCTTGGAAAGTGAGGCTTCGTCGTAACAATTCTTCTCAGAAACACACTTTCGGCCGGTCCAGATGAGCCAATCCTTCTTGTCAGGGTGGAAAGAGAGTGGTGATTTCCGTGACTCCAAGTTGGGTTCCGTAGGCGCCTTGAATTCATCATAGGCGCTGCCTCTGTTGATCGTGTAGGTGACCTTTCCATCTGACTTGATGAAAAAGGCCACGTCCTTAAAGTAGGTGTGCAAAACAATCCCCCAATACTGACTGTTCAATGCCTCAGGCTGCTTCCAAGTCTTGCCGGCGTCATGGGTGATCATGATCTTACCATCGCCCCTGGCGATGATAGTTTCGTCGTCGGAAGAACTCGATTCGCCGCGGTCAAGATAATGCTTCTCGACATCTCTGGAATTTTTGAAGACATACTGTGACGCATCAACCTTGCCGCTGCCAGGCGCCTTGGGCGGCGACTGCGAGTCGCTGCACTTGCGCTCCACCGGGTCATCCTTCTGCTTGCCGGATGTCCTCTTGCAGGTATTTCCAGGGATCAAGCGCCATCCTGAAGAGCCTTTGAAGGTGTCGTCGGGGCCTGCATTCTTGCAAGCACCATCTGGTGCGATGACTGGACCGGCGGCTTTACACTCGCCGTCCTCTCTTCGAAAGTTGTAGTCGCATTCAAAGTCTTTATCGGTGCATTCACAGTCGTTCGTCTCGGACGTGACCAGGTGGAATTCCTGTTTCATAAAGCAGTCGGCATCCTTCTTTCTGCGCGTGTACTTCTGCGTATGGCCCATGAGACATGTAGGCTTGCCGTCTTTATCCACCCTGGCCGACCATTCCTCCATGTCCCCTTTCTCGCAAGTGCGTTCGTGCAGACCCTCAAAGTCGATAGCAATGACATGGTATTTGGGGTTCGATTCGTCGCCAGTCTGACCGGTGAGGATAAACTTGAGACTAGTCGAGTCAGGGGTCGTGGTGAGGATCCAGGGCTTGATCTCCAGACCTTCTGGAAACTTGGTGGTCCTCCAGTCCTTTCCGTGGTTTAGAGAATACTTGATCTCACCGACGTCGGGCTTGTCAGAGTCGCGGATCGCGACCAAAACGTTGCCTTGATCTCCAAACTCGAACTTGTGTAGCCCTTTCGGGCCCTCTAGCCAATGCATGCCGGCATCGTCGGAGATGTACAGATTCGCCTCCGAGGGAGATTTCAGGTATTCTCCAGCATTGCCATTGGCCATGACCAACCCAGGAGCTGGGCTTGAGAAGACTCGGCCGACATTGTTCATCTGTGTCACAGAGTGCAGATGTATCTTGTCGCCTGCGTCATGCGTCTGCACATAGTCGAACGTTCGTCCGTCGTCATGAGTGATCTCAGAGATGATCTTTTTCTCGGCCAAGAAGCTCTTTTCCACCTCTTCATAGTTGACCACCTTATTAACCAGAAATATTCCCTGTATACCGGCGATCTTCTCAAAGTCGACATTCCCCATCATGTTACGGTTGGTATGCTCGATGTTGCGGGTGAAGAACGTGCCGTTGGAGTTACTCGTGAACATGACACCCATCGGGTTGGATGGGCGCGTGGTCATGACATCAACCTGGATGCTGTAATTTGTGCTCTCCAACACGGTGTAAGCCTCTTGGTCGAGGCGATGGTCTGTAGGGAACATGGCGCGATGCCACTTAAGGGTGTCATCGGTGACGAACAAGGCCATCTCATCCGTGTTGAGAGAAGTAGTGGCAACCAGCAAGAACTTCTTCACCGCAGCAACGTTCACAATACCCTGGACGGGCCTGTTGGTGTCCAGGTTCGGCTCGAACTCCTGTATCACACCCTTCGCATCCTTGGCAGCGAAGTAGTTGTCCGAGATAAGCAAGCGATTGTCCTGTCTAAGGGGCGAGAAGGTGTCCCTCACGGCGCACAGGATGCGCTGCTTGTCCAGGTCCTCCTGGCCGGTTGTGAACAGATCCGAGGATTTTGCCCACCAACATCCGGCGGTGTTGCCGCGGAGAAACTTGGCATCGCTCTTGAAGCCATCTGTTGTGTACATTGTGATCTCGTCACAGAAGATGCTCTGGCAGTCCATGCCATTGAATATAATGCGATCGGGGTCGCTGGCGTGGAAGTTGAATACACTGGACCTGAATATGCTCATCTCGGCATCGGTAAAGAATGACTTCCAGGTCTTGCCCCGGTCGAGGGTCATGTAGTGGGTCATGCCCTCGGTCATGATGTAGGCACGCTCATTGCTGAACTCGTGCATGAAGAGGGCGACCGCTTTGCCCTCGGGGACATCGGCTACACGGTCCCATGTCTCACCACCGTTGGTGGACTGGTAGACATTCCGGTCGATGACGTCCTGGAACAGGATTATATCAGACTGGTCGAAGTATTGGAGTCTCTCGGGGAAGTGGGCGAATTGCTTGACGGCGATGGTGGGCTCGTCCTTGGCTTGGACGAGTAAATGTGGCGTCGTACAGAGGGAAGTCAGCAGCAAGGCGGCAGCCTTGGTAGCTCCCCAGGCCTTCATCGTGTCGGCCGGATCGTGGCGGTAATCATGAAGGAGGGAAGTGGAGAGGAAGGTCTGCCTGTCTGTCTATCGGGGTGAAGGAGGGTCCGAGCTGGAGAGTCGAAGCTGGACTGGACTGGTCGGAGGGCGTCGATGGAAGGGGGGAGAGGACCAGGTGCGCGGTCAGAAAGGCGAGTACAAATGGCAATGCGCGAGGGGGTTGGCGATAACGATTAAGTATGGACAGTGCAAGAAATGATGAAGTGTCGTCGAAGGCTGATCGGGTCCTGTCAGTCAATGGATGGGTTTGCTTATGCTAGATAGATAGAGGCCAGGCTATGGCATGGGTGGCGTCGTCTCGTCTCAGGGCGCTCGAGTTCTGAGGCAGGAAAAGGGCATATACGGCATACGACACACACAGCGTGCTGTCCAAACCAAGCTAAGAATAGAGAGGTACGCAACCGACAGCACAGCTCCCTCCTGCCCGTGCCTGCCTGTGCCTGCCTGCCCCAGGGTGGGTCTTCCCGCGCTGCGGTGGGTGTCTGGCCCCAAGCAACGACGGTGTAGGTCTAGCGCTGACAGCCCTCGCTCGCCGCTCCAAGTGGCTCCAGCCTGATTCGGCACACAAGCTCCAGAGCTTGAAACACTCCTCGTCGCTAGAGCCACGCTCGCTCCACTAGAGCTGCGTCAGGCAGGGTAGGGGCCGTCTGCATTTGGCGGCGGGAAACTCAACGTTCACGAATCTACCCCAAGTCGATTACAGCTAGATGTAGACCTGTGTGGCCAATGTTATCTTGTGATCTCCAGCTTAAGCGTTTTCTGCAGCAAACCGATGTAATTATAACAAGCTCGAGGAGTTCAGGTGGTGAGCAGCAGGCAAGTTGTCTGCAAGAGCCTGAGCAAACGCCCTAACCACCCGTTGGCGGACGGCAGCAGGAGTTTGTTTCAACCGCGAGCATCAAGTTTCAACGGCGCCTTTCCCTGTGCGGTGGAGTTTCCTGATGTCACACCCATGGAAATGTCCCGAGTGTCCGGAGCATTGAACCCAGTCCCCACGCCATCAGTGACTTGAGCCTCACCTTCTCACATCTACTCCAATTGCCACATTCGTCGAGAACTCACTCGCGCAAGCCTGCTAAAGATCGGATGTAAATCAGATTACTTGTATAGTACATAGTTGATCCACTCACTCACTCACACACTCTACATAGTAGAAGAACAAAGAAGAATGGGGGGGAAACATGAATGCACACACACACACACATACACACACACACACACACACACACACAAGACATCTCACAAGACATCTCACTGACCACAAACGCCGTAGACATGGTTTCCAATCCAAAAGTTGTGTATATATAAATGAGACGCGTTTAAGGTAGGTTTGTTGTTCCTCAAGAAGCGGCGTCGACAGCGGTGAATTGGACCGGCAGACAGACGTCTTCCGCCTCGAAGCTGTTACAAAGGAAAGAAAGAATTGACATCTTGATTTCCGCGCTGGCGATGTAGGCTAAGTGGCTTGTCAAGATCCGACTGTACCCCAGTGAGAGCCGCACCTTTGCAGATGCAGATTTATCCCCTCGACGCCATCCATCTCCTCCTTGCTTCCGACGTCTCCTGCCACCAACCAAACACACCTCCCCCAAACTCCTGCCAACCCCCAATCCTCCATGAGGTTGATGCCCAAGGCTGCTCCTGCCTGGCTTTGAGAAGCCTGGCAGGCAGACCTCGCTCCGCCATCACCACTGTATCCAAAAATGACAACCAGATCGCCAAAGAGTTTTGAATCAATGAGAACCCTCCACATGCACCCATACTGTCGAACGATATGGCCGCAATGGATAGTCCAAAAGTGATCTGCGAAGCCCCAGTCGACATGCTGTCCCGCCGCTCGCCATCCACTCGCGTAGCTGGTTTCTTTGGGGTTGAATCCACAAGTGAGTTCAACCTTCCCGAGCAAGATGCGTACTGTTGCTTGAGTGCGGCTGGATGGCGAGGCTGTCGACACCGTTTCCTTTAGAAAAAATACAATAGCAATTATGTGCACGTTTTAAGTATAGTGGGCGGTCCGGGCCTCGGGTGCTGGCCCCAAACCCCCAGTGTTGGGGGACAGGGCCGGGACTGAGACTGCAGAGTCCGCCATCTCTTGAGGTATCAAGTAGAAAATGACGCTAAACAGGAAATCGCGAAAGAAGGCGTATCATCATGGCATGAGCGCTTATTCAGAAAGGGTCACGTAGATGGTGCCTCCAGCTTGCGCAGCGACCTGTTTCATTGTTAGCCAAATTCAGCGCGAGTTGACGCGTAGATGAGAAAAGAGGTGACATACGGTGCAGCCGTTGCCGTTGCTGGGGCTGAAGGAGTTGGAGCTGTACGAATACGTGCACTCCTGGCTGACGTCACCGCTCAGCTTGATGTTGAAGTCCAGGGGCGTGTTGCTGGTAGGCGTGTTGTGGAAGATGGACAGGAAGGTCGTGCCGTCGGCGTTCACGCTTGTGCCCAAGTTGACACCAGCCCAGTTACCGGCGTTGCTAGTGTAGGGCTCAGGGCTGTCCCATTGGCAAGCGATGTCCTTGTCCAGGCCCTTCAGGTTGACGTAGTACTGAGCAGAGGTGGAAGAACCCTTCCACTCGTACGACAGGTTCTGGTAGGGGTTGAAGAGGTTGTAGGTGGCACCGCCAGCAACGACGTTGGACAGGACCATGTCCTCCTTGCCGGGGTAAGAGGTCTTGCACAGGGAGACCTTGTCGCTCAGCTTGTTGATGACCTTGACATTGCCTGCACCCTTCTGGCAAAGCTTCTTGGTGCTGTCAGGGCGGGTGAGGTAGAGCTTGTTGTCGACACCGCACCAGAGTCCACCGATGGACTGGCCAGTGGCGCCCTGGGCCTCCTCGGGCCATTGAGCCATATCATAGCCTTCAGGGCACTGGTAAGTACCGAACATGCCGGCCGACAGACCTCCGCTAGGGGCTGAGTAGCTGGCGATGGCCTTGGTGGAGCCCACCGTGAAGGCGCTGACGCCAACGTCCAGAAGACCTGCCCATCCCGAGTGATCGACCTGAGTGACAGCGATGGCACCGTACTCGGTGGGCAGTGTGCTGCAGTCGATCTCTCCATCCGGGAAGTCGGCATCGACGCCAGTCGCACCAGAAGAGGTTGAGCTCGCGGTAGCCTTGGGGGCGGCAGAGGTCGAGGTGGGCGCAACGGAGCTGCTGGACGAAGTTGAGACCCGCATCTGCTTGGCCTCGAAGAACTCGGCCGCGGCCGCGGAACTTGACGTAGCCACCGAAGTGGACGACGTGCTCGGGGTCGGTGCCGGCGTCGGGGTGACAAAGGTGGGTTCCGACTCTCCAACAATCTCGCACAGGTGATCCCTCAGACAATCCTCGGCCTCCTCGGGGGTGATTGACTCGCCGCCCAGCACGTAGGCCGTCTCGAGAGGGGTCTCATAGACCACGACCACATCCCGCTCGTGCACAACGGGGGAGCCCCCGCGCTGCTGAAGCTTGACGACTTGAGCGGGTTGCTCGTGCTTCTTGGCGTGTTGGTGTCGGTGGTGGTGCGCATGAGGCTGGGCGGTGACACCAGCAGCGAGAGACGCCGCAATGGCAATGTTGAGAGCTGCCTTCATTTTGACTGGCGCAAATTATCCTGAAGATGTCGGATACTACTGTGATATGTGAGAACTAAACAGCCTTGTCAGCATGCGTCCTGGATATCAACATGGTCCCTGCGACAGGACCGCAATTGCACCGTGGGATAACGCCAAACGATAACCGTGCATTGCGGGACCCGGCAAGTCATTCCAGATCACAGTAGTGATGGCTTTCGGTCTCGACTTTCCCTCTCAAAATCATTGCAGTGGGCAGGGACTGGCTCACATTTTTGTTTTAGATGAAACGACGTTTAATGAGGTTGCGAATCCGGGTACCTGTTCAAGATGGATCGAGCAGGACGAGACGCTGGGAATTAACGAACGAACGAACGACGAGACGAGACGTAGTGTCGAGTTGTTCGCGAGTTCCAAAAGAATGTGGTAGAGAGCAAGGACTCTCTGTTGGACGGAGGAAGCGACGCGAGATGCCGTGGGACCAGAAGGGTGAGGAGTCTCGCGAGAGAGACGGTGGGCACTTCAACGAGAGGGACCGGCGAGGATTATGAGAGGAACCTGTGGGAGGGACAGGGGTCGGGAAAGGGGAGAGGCGCAAAAGAGGGAACGGCAGCGTGGCCTGGGGAGCCGTGTGGGCGTGAGGGCTTGTGGGCGCGTGGGCGAAGGAGCAAAGCTGGAAATGAGAGATGGAGCCAGGACGGGAGATTATCCAGAGCTCGACGGCCAGGGGTCTCGTGGCTGTCAACGGATGGGATATGGGGTGGGCCCTGTTGCACGCGAAATTAAATTAGCCCAGGGGAGGGTCAGACCAGACTATGAGATGGGCGACACCGATTGACTTTAGCAGGAGAACAGACTACTAGGCACTCCAGGCCCGAGAACAGGCGCACGACACGAGGGCCAAGCCTCTGAGGGCAAACCCCCCTCTGCCCGGCGACACCATCATACGAATGGAACGGTGCCGTTGCGCCCAGGATGTCGGCGAGGGCCAGAGTGCAGATCCGGCCTGCAGCAGTGCATCAGGATGGGACTCACCGGCTTACAGAACTAAAAACGGCTTGGGTATGGTCGCAGAGACAACTCCTGGAAGGAGGCGCAGCTAGACGATGTGCTTGGGGACGGGGGCGCTGTGAAGACTGGCAGGCTGGCAGAGATGGAGCACTGACGATTGCTCGGTTCTAATGCGGAGACTGGCAGATGATGGTACACTTATTCGTTATGCACTTAAGCTTGAGCTGAAGAGTGAGGAAGAGACGAGGCGAAGGTGTGCACGCAAGGCGAGGGCGGCGGCGGCAGCAATGATGAAGATCTCCATAGTGGGCTGTGGCCTTTGTTGGACGATCAATTGCCCCGTAGTTGTGATTGCCGCGATGGCTGGAGCAAGCGGGTGAGAGTGCTTTGTCCTTTTGACCCATCAATCGTCATCTCAGCCGCCTTTGCCATCTCGCCATATCGTGGGTGTTGCTGGTGGTTGGTCGTGTGTTCTCATCTCCATCCCTTGATTTAGAATGATGTCGGCTGACCCCTCCCTTGTTCAGATCGACAAGACCCTATGCACATGGGGCCACACCAACTCGAACGCCCGTACCTGACTTAGTCCTCTTTTGGGAGCCCAAATCTCCCAGGCTAAGCCAAGCATTTGAGAGAGCGGTTGGGATTGGTCAGGCAATACACCTGGCCAGTGCCATCGAAAAGGGCTGGATGGTCGATTTCGTGGTCCCAAACATTGGCAACCATCGTAGCCTGCATCTGGAAGGCGACCAGACCACAGCACCGGCGGCCCAATTGATGTCGAGTTGCCTGTGCAGTCTGGTTGGCACGTTGCACTCACAGTCATCACAGTCAGGAGGCGGCGCAATTTGGATATTTCGTCTGCGCTGGCCGCCGTGCCGCCTTCGAACATGTAGTCTAATAATGTCTCCCAAACCTGCTATGCCATACGGTACCGGTTCAGCCCGGTTGGAACAATTCCAACCGCCGGCTCGCCTAGGCATCCAAGAAAAGAAACCCAATTAAATCTCATTGATGCCAGTTCTCCAGCAACGTCATAAGCCTTTAGAACATGTCCAGCATCAAGGACCAATTGGCTCCTGTCGAGGTGTAACCTTGGAGGTTGGCCCGGATCTTTCTCTGGTCACCACAGAAAAGCATCACCCGTTTCTGTCGCCTCAATATTGTCCAATGCCCTGACCCTGGCCCTGCCGCACGGCCACTTGCATCCAATCTGGGTATCTACCTATCTATCTACTAAGGTACCTCATCTATGTGTGCACGTCCGTAATGTCACAATGTACCGTTATGGACTTGTGTATGCACAGACTCTGGGGACAAGACAACCGAGGACCGTCGCCCCTCTCCTGACTTGGGAAGACATGTCACACCCATCCATCCTTAGGCCCTCCCCGCGATCTGATCGACAAATTGAACATCAATAATTCTCCTAATCGACATCCCTAATCTGCCAACTCATTGCGATGGTCCAAGGCTGCTGGAGAATCGCACCATCTGCTTTGGGCGTTGGCCGCTGGCTGATGCTCTCTGTCGTCGTCACGAAAGTGGAGTTGAGCGTCTTTGTCCTCCCAGGATCCAGCAAGCCTCTTGGTTCTCATTTCCGCGATTGCAATTCCCAATCTTTGGTGCCCACTTCAACCACCGAGGCGACGTTAGCGAGCCTTCTTCTGGCTGCATGAACAGAGCAGGCTCCTATCTAACGCAGCAGCTTGTGGTTCCTAAAGAGGCCATGCCCCCATTGTGAAACCAGCAGTCTCTGGTGTTGATCGCCAAATTCGGTCGTACGTTGCTCCAAGGCTCTAATTTGCGTTGTCAAACCTTTTAGACCTCTGCCACCGTAATGACTCCGGTGATGTGGACCCGGCGTTCGGCCTCCTTCTCTTTTAGGGCAGATACTTTTCTCCCTCACGCCGCAATAAACATCTCCTTCCTGCCTGCGCAATCGACGGAGATGCCTGGCTCTAGCCGGCGGTCGTAAGCCAAGTACGCGCGGTCTTGACCTATTGCTCTTATTACAACTATTACTACTTTGCCATCTCGACCTCCGATATCAATGGCAGCCTGTCTCCGCCCTCGGCTGAGACCGATCGGGGTTTATCTCAATAAGCATGGTTATCCTCGCCTCGCAGGGCCTCTTATGTGAATGCACTTCTGAGGAGCAGAGTCCGGAGGTACCTAGCAACCACACGAGATACAAAACTGGGGCTTGAGAGCTAATAACAACACCCTTCTAGAAACCTGCTGGGAAATGGCTACATGCGCCTTTTACTGTAGAGCCGGCCGTGACTAACGCCAACATGACGCCTCATTGTGTCTCTGTGCTACGGTCATGAGTGAATTTGGAAATTCTGAATCTCATGACGGCGAGGCACAGCTCCTGGTGTCGCCTACGCCTCAACGAACTTGTCGCACCTAAGCAGAGTTAGCTCCCTTTCCCCAACTTCTCCCACAGCAGCGGCCCCGGAGCAACCGAATGCGCTTGCTGTGTGGTGCCGTTTTCCGTTCGGATATCGAGAACCCGCACAGGAAGAATGCGCCATGGCCGGCCCCGGGATGTGGCCAACTCGGCGTAAGAATGCAAGTGACGCGGCGGATCGCGGGTGTGGACAGCACGGCCCCACGAGGGGGTGCACACATGGTCCTCGTCGAGCTAGACTGCTCTAGTTCTGGAATGGATGACGACTCTAGAACAAGGCAGTGCACCTTCCAGACGCAACTGCTGGAATGCGCATGTCTTGCCCTGCGGTCGCCATCCCGCAGCCCGCCACATTAGACTCCACAGAGGGGTCTTTTCACAAATGTATGCTGCCCGAGCCCGACTCTTGGATCCTCCATCGCAGTAACCCCGTGGGAAAAGTTGGGTCACAAGGGGAAATCCTCCATGGCTGCCATCTGCCCATATGCAGCTTGGGCGACTCGCTATGGTGTCGTTGCTCGGGCACACAGAGGTGTGTTCTCCTGTCACGGGCTACTGCAACATTGACCCTAGTGTGATGCGATCGATCTCAAATGCTTCTGGTCTCCGTGCGCTGTAACGATTCAGTGTGAGAGATCAAGACCGTTCAATTGAATCAATGACTTGACTGGCTGACTGGCGAGGCTTGTTGCGTTGGTGTCGAACGACGTGCAAGGAGGTCCGCAAGTGCAGCTTGTTGGGTTATGATCATGGTGTCGAGAGCCTGTGCTGCCTGGCTTATGATGCTGGCACTTGGGCATTGGTTCCCAAGCCAGGAAGCACCCCGTGCTCCAGCTATTTATTCGATCAGCTGCGAGAAAGATCAAATATGATCTTGGTGGTCAGTACTAAGGTACGTTATCGTCCGAGTGGGCTTGTTGGCTGACAAGCACCTGAGTGCTCTCTTCTCTGAATCGCTTCGAAGTCTGCTTGCGAATGTGCCCAAAATAAAAACTTGCTCATCTCACTCTCTCCCATTGTGCACGACAGCGGCCAGTGGCTGATGCTTCTGGTAGGACAGCTTGCCGAGGTAAGCAGGTTGTGAAGATACCAGGAGGTATGAAGCTCATGGATTGACTCGAGTTCGGATTGAGCTATATGCAACAGAACGCCTGTCATACAAATGTTTGTTTAATACACGAATCCCTCCGTAGACAGAAAGTGATTCGATGGCCTTCCAAAGACGTACAATGCCAATTTCAGGCATTTGCTGCTCTGCGCAAAAGGGAAAAACAAAGCCTCCACCGTCCCCTGCCCCGTCCATTCTAAAATGCCGTGTTCGTTAAACCCCAGAAAACAGACCCGTAGAACGCCGAACAATGCGGAGGAGAGAACTCCTTCTCAACAGCAATGATATCTCCGAAGATCAATGCAATGTTTGCATCCTAAAGGAAGGGATGAATGCTGAAATACGCAGTCGCAGAGCAATGTTTTGCCAGTACACATTATTACCCATCGTGGCTTCCTTTCGTCAATGTTGCTAGAAAGATGTGTGCGATGCAAATGCAAATAAAGGGTAGGCGCAAACGTCATGCGTCGCTCCTCCTTCTAGCCACAGGCAGCGGCGAGCCTCGCCAACTCAATCGCCTGTCCGCTTTCTCAGAAGGTCGAAACAAAATGGTTGTGGACTGTTTCTTCGCAATCCAGCTCCGAAGTTTCTCGTCGTCGTCGAACTCGTCTTCTTCCCTCCCGAAGTAGGGCACGATCCAGGACATGAGAATCGACGCTATATGGTCGACTACCGTATCTGCCACTCGAGCTTGGGGTTCGCTGTTCAAATCATCGTCCTTGTCATCTTCGTTCGTGAGCCGTGAAGGCCTCAGAGGGCCAGGCCCGTCACGCGTGGAGGGCCTCTAGCCCATCCGCCGCAGGTTTTCGACACCAAGACTGGGGACCTCGACCTCTTGCAGCCCACACACGCCCTCGTCACGACGCCTCTCCACGAATGAGTTGCACTCGTTCACGACAATGCCCCACTCGGCCAGAGCGCGCCCGGTATAGGTCGCCCGCTGGCGCCAGAAGCCGGTGGGTTGCACAGGCTGCACGACCTGCCGTTCGATTTCGGATCTGCCCCGCGGGATCTCAAGTCGGATGCTGTCTTCAGACGCTGTGCTCTGGATGGACTCGCCATTATTGGACTCGACACTCGTCACGCGCTCGATTGGTGGCAGGTTAGGGAAGAAGGAAGAGAGGCTACCGTCCTTGTCCGCGTCTTCGTTCTCGGCCTCATTGGTGACAGCATTGCGGGCCTCGCTTATCAAGCCGCCCTGGGATAGTCCGGAGTACATTCTCTCCGGAGGAGGCAAGCCTGCAGCTGGTGGTGGTGGGCTGTCGGTTCGCCCGCCAGTCGATGCCGCTCGGGCGCTGACTCTTGCCTGAGCTGGAGCGGGCAGGCGCGGCCTCGTCAGCACGCGCTCACGCGGAAGCATCGACAATAAACTTCCGGCATGGCCCATCATGTCTGGCCCGGGGTTCCATGGGAGAGCGCCCAGGGTGAACTTGAAGACAAATTGAGTTGATTCATACACAGGGCTGGAACCAGTCGAGGAAGCATCGGATTCAGGCAGCGAGCCCTTGGGCGGCGGTGGAGGCCCGGATCGTGCTGTTGCTGTGGCACGCCGCGCTGCTTCGAGTTCGTCCGATGAATTATTACGTCTGGGCGCGTTCGCAGTAGCGGAGCCTCCAGGAGCACTCGTCGACGCGAAGCTCAACATCTTCCCGAAAATTGACCACCTCTTCTTGTACGTTCCCTCGCCTTGCTCGTGCGAGCTGTCGCTGCTGTCGCCTGACCCGGAGCTGCTGTAGTCGATACCTCCGAAGCCTAGAGTGCCATTCATTGTGTCGAATCCAGCTTGCAGCAAGCCAGTCTGAGGAGGCGTCATTTCCATGCGAATGATCATGAATCGTTTACCGGGCTGTGGGTGGGACGGCGCGGTCGAAGGAAGCAGCTTGTTCGACAATTCGGCGTCCTGCTTCAGCCAGAGATAGTGCGACCATACCTGTTTGAGCCGCTCGGAAACAAGCGTAAATATTTTCCTGGGATGAGTCGTCAGTTTGAGATTTTCCGCAGTGTGGGCAAGAGATCGACTCACATATTCAGCTCATTAGCGTTCCCTTGATCGCGACATATCCTCCAGCACAGCAGGCGCATGAAATAAGCACGCACCATGGGTGTGTAATTGTTAAAGAACTTGTCAAACACCTCCTCCGAGAGTAACCAGCCAATGCATAGCTTCTCTTTCCTGGTGGGGTCGGCGGCGAGGACATCCCATGTCGAATACAGAAACGACAGTATTCGAATTTCCGACATGGTGCTGTTGGACTCAAAAAGAATTTTGTGGAAGACATCGAGCCAGAAGTTCCAGTCTACATGATCCATGGCGACGGCCGCCTCCTCCGGTCGGCCTTTGATGCTGGGATCGCTGTATCCGGCATAGGTATCGAATGCCTGCAAAACCTCTTGTAGAAAATCGACAAGCACAAGGACAGGGGCCTGCTTGAAGACAGGCGTCTTCTTAGTTGCCGCTTTCAGGATGCCCATGAATGCCGTGGCAAAAGTCTGCCTGGCACCGGATTCCAGCCCACCGACTGCGTTGTCTCCGAGCATGTCCTTCAGCAGCACAATCAGTCGATTCTCGTCCATGCCCCTTAGGAGGTTGCTCGGCGGCAACTGAGCCAGAGCAGCGGCCATCGCATCGGCACCATTTGCCGAGTCCAGCACGTTTGGTGCCATCATGTTTTCGAACGCGGCCTGGCGGTGGTGGATGGTGGTGTCCAGTACGCTCAGCAGCTGTGCGTGTATGAGCGCGTATGCTGGCGCGCGCGCCTTCTCGAACAACGGCAGATCCATGGGCATGAAGTCCTCTGCCAGAATATAGTAGTACTTGCAGAAGATGAAGAAGAGATCGGTATCGCCACCACGCCATCTGGAAATCCAAGGGCCATGCCAAGGGATTTTGGCGGCTACCAAAGACAGCTTCGTCGTGAGTCGCAAATTATCCGTCATTGTCTTGACGGAAGTCCAGCCAAGCTTATGCAACGTCGTCGGGAACAAAGAGACAATATCTTCGCTTTCACCTTTGCTCCTCCTCGGCAAATTGAACTCGTCTGCAACCCTTCTCAGTAGATCCGGCGTAAGACCCCAGAGACGGACAAGCACCTCGGCGATCCCTGGAATGAAGAAAAACGCATATGCACAAGCCTTGCCACAGAATGTGACCAGTGAGACGGGAGCATGCCTGCTGGACATTTTCTCTACCACGATGGACATTTGCGTCAGCAGGTTGTTGACGAACATAGTCCGCACGTTGTGTTCGGCGGACTCGGCGATGAAATCAGTGGAGTCCTGAGTGCCGGTGCGACCGCGCACAACTTCGTTCGGAGATCGATCCTTGAGAGGGCGAAAGCCAGGCGTACTCAGTCTCCACTCAGGTCGCATCATGATAAATGTTATAAGCTCGAGGAGCCCTGGCCTATCCACCCCTGACACGGGCTGCATCGCGGTGGTTGAGTTGTTCGCCTGGATGGCCGCGAAGCTCATGGCTGGCCCTCCAGCGTTCTTGACAGCAGACCCGTCGAGCAGGTCTAGCAAGCCGTTCCACCACTTGTGCAAGATTGTCGCCCGCCTATCAATATCTTCCGGAGAAAGCAGGTGGTTGTCCTTGTTGGAGGTATGGTTGCCATGGTTCCGAAGGAAAGGTATCAGCGTGTTCCGAGCAACAAGGACCCTCTGAGCTGTGGACGTCTTGCCCAGGAAGATGGCGAATTCGGAGTCGAGCCGCCGGAAGGCTGCCCATAGGGGGTCGCGTAGCGGTTGTGACCTCTGTGCCATGGTCTCTGAGGGTTGCGAGGGTTCCGTGATACCTGTGCTGCCAGTTCCACCGCTGCTGGTGTCCGAAGTCGAGGACAAAGCAGTTTGCGACGAGAGACGCGGATTTAACTTTTCTGGTGTACCTAACGATGCCGCTGGGGAAACAGCGTCATTTTTGTAGGGCGACGCTTGGGAGGGCACTACCAGGTGGGTACCGTCTTTCGATGTATCTGGAGATGGTTTCTGCTTGATCTTTCCAAAATAAACACTGGCGCGGTTCAGAGCGCGACTGGTGCTGCTCAGTGAATCTGACGACTTGCTCCTCTCGCTCCCACTCGGGCTGCTGGCTGTGAGGCGGCGTCGACTGAGCTTGTTGGGCGATAAGAGCGACGCATCTTTCTTTGGTGCCTCGGCTTCCGCTACGGTTTCATCACCTTTCGACAATGCCTTCCTCTCTCCATCTCGTTTGGGCGACGGCGACCTCGAGGAAGCGATCCAGGATTTCCGGGCGAAGTCTGCAAACGATGAAGACCTGTCCCTAGTTGTGAGGAGCTTCGGCGTCTCGGGTTTTTCGGTGGTTTTGCCAACATCCTTCTCGTCTTTCGCCCTCTCCTTGTCGTCTGGCTTCTTCGCCTTTTTCAACACCGAAGTCTTCTCGGTTCCGTCCACTGATTTACTCGGTAACCATGAGCGTGGGCGGTCCGCGATCGACTTGGACCGGCTCGACTTCGTCGTAGCAGCCTTCGGAACAGCCATAGGCTCCAGAAGCTTGCTTGGCCAGCGTGGGCTTACTGCCTTGTCATCCGGCTGGACCTCCTGGGGCTTGGATAGTTTCGACTCGAAGGGCAGATGGGTCTCGACGTCTGAACCGAAGTCGAAAGAAGGCACCTCGAAGCTCTGAGTGCCCGCCGTGGACTTGGGATCACTCTGGGCGGTGACGGCTTTGCTGAAACTATGGTCGAACTCGTTTGGGGAGCTGATACTCAGCGAGGACTTTGTCAGCGGGGCTGCATCGAGAAACAGGTCTGGCGAGGAATGAGAACGGTGGATCGGGCTGGGTTTGACAGCCGGAGCGGCCGTCGTCAGCGTTGATCCGTTCATCTCATTGCCAAAATCATGAGAGCTGCCAAACAGCCGGGTGGATCTTAATCAAAACGCAAGACACTCGCGCACTGGATCAACTGACAGGACAGCTCTCCGCGAAACGAAGCAGGTCGTAGTCTCGGTTCAGCAGCCGAAGCTGGGAGGGAAAATAAGAGGAGCTGATGGTAAGAAGGGCCCCAGGGCCGTGCTGATGGGATTGGTCTCGTTTCCCGCCGTCGAAAGAAGCCACGCCCGTTCACCTCATGTCCTCGTACCGGACTGTCGCAGTGAATCTGTTCGGGCTCTGGCCGGCAGAGGGCGGGCGAGGCGAATACAGTGCAATCTCGTCTCCGATCAAGCGGTACGCTAAGTTTCCAATGGCGCCGCCGAAGGAGGATGGCAGGTTGTCCGAGCAGCGATCGTAAGTTAGCTGGTTTCGGAGTGGCTGCGAAACGGCTGCGTAGTAGGGGAGGGTGTCGAGAGGTCTGATCAAAGACTTCGGGGGCGTTGAGGAGCGAAGGAATACGATGTGGGTTGGGTGTAGGCGCAGGCTTCTAAGGAGTAGACTAGACTACATGGACTAGATAGCGTAGAAGTCTGAGGTGGGATTGACTTGGTTTGCCCCGACAGCCCGAAAGCGAACGCACTTCTCTCACACACTCTCTATCTCTCGGAAGCGCTTGGTGGTGGATCCAAGACACAGAACACAGACACGGACACGCCACAGTCAGGCCCCCCAGTCCCGGGTTCAGGGGGGTCTCTGTCACGAAACAAACCGGAGTGCTGGAGATTGGCGTTTCGACGTCGGTGGTATGATGTGACTTCACCGGGGCTAGGTAGGGGTTGGCAGTGGCTCTCTCGGCCTTGCAGGGAAGGGTTGCAAATTCAATATCTAAGGCGGTGCTAGCGAGGCATCCATGCGATCCCCAAGTGCCGGATAGATAGATTGACGTAGTGGGTGGACGGGATTGTGCAACTTTTTTGGGGTAGGGAGAGTTTTAGGCGGCATGTAATGTACTGCCATGTATGTAGATACAAGGATTTTAGGGCATAAGAAGAGAGCTATTGCAGCAAACCCGCCTCGCGCGATAGGGCCTGGAGGCGATGGAAAACTTGAAATCTGGCAGATGGGCAAGTTTCCAACAACAACAAAGCGGCACAGGGGTCAGTCACAATGGGAGGGGGTTTGTGCGGAACCCGGGTTTATTGTTTGGGTGAGTTAGCGGACGTTCGGACGCAGAGGAAATGAGTGAGTCTGAAATGGAAACGGGGAGATGAGGGGGAGGAGAGGGTACAGTAGAGCTGAGTGAGCAGTAATCATCGGGACCTGCTGGCCTTTGCATACGTGTGAGTCGCACGGGAGGAATACGCAGGCAGGGCACGCACGCATGCAAGCCATGCGTATGCTCCTGCACTGCTGCTACGTTTGCCACCGAGGAAGGATGAGAAGGGCCCAGCTGAGGAGGAGGAGGAGGAGGAGAAGGAGGAGGCGGCCGAGTCGAGCTATTTGCAGCTGATCGACATAACCCGCCTTGTGCTCTTCTGATGCTGCAGGCCAGTCAATCAATCGACCAGTCAGTCGCTTGCAGCTAGGCGGTCGTACTTCTCTCGTCTCCTCACCGAGAGAGACAGTTCCCCGATCCGGCGGGGGGGGTTTGACGATCTTTGACTGGCTGGGTTGATAAGTGAGTACCACAGTGGAGAGGGCAGCCTGGCAGCTTGGCGAGGATTTTGACGCAGCACGGGCTGTCGGGCTGTGCGAGCTCACTGACTATCTGGCAGACTATTCGAGAATGCGTTGCCCTAATGTCGTCTGTTCTCTTGGATGTGGGGGGAGGGGGGAGGCTGTGGGTAGTATTCTTTGGCTGCAGTTGAGAGGGAAAGAGAACATGTCGTTGGATATCATGGCACGCACAGGCATCATTATCATCTCACACGGGGACGCGGGACACACAAACCGCGCATGGCCGTGGCGTGGTTGTGCGCGTGTTGCGCTGTGCCGTTGCTCATGTTGGTTGGTGTTGGTGTCGGTGGTTGGTGTCGTGCTGTCCATCCTAGCACAACAAACTTCGGCTGGCCTTGGAAGAAGAAGGATAGGCGGTCAGGCGGGAATAAAGTACGAGCCGCCATCTATAGCCGCCGCAATACGACAGACAGACAGACAGACAGTTAGACAGACAGTTAGACACTAACAGTGTACACGCGCCTTGTCAGGCTTTGTCTGCTAATGTATCTGTCAGAAGACATGGGCAGCTGCGTACTGTAACCTTGTGTGGACCGGAAAATGGGTAAATTGCATGTGTAAAACGGGGCATTTGTCGCGCGCCTTGCTTGCTGGGGTTTCCTCTCCTCCTGTTCTATTTCCATCCGCGCGGCGAGAGTGGGAGCGAGGGTCAGAGCAGATCAAGTGGGCGGGTAGATGTCTACTTTGATACATAATTGGGACGACAAGGGGGCAACCCTGACTTTGGATCCGCCGGGATTTCTTACTGCGCTTGCTCGATGCTTGGTGGGCACGCATCCCTCCGCCCACCTTGCAAGCCACCGAACGCCTCAAGTATTTCATTGCATGTGGGTAGATATTGTAACAGTATCGTCTATCCATCCATCCACTCACCCACGCAAATCGAGGCTTGCCTTAGCCCACAGATTTATACAACTTGGGCGTGACAGATCTCAAAGCGCACAACGCCCCGTACCAGTCTATTGCTACTGCACAGACGATTCCAAGGCTTGCTGCCATCCACAACGACGAGATACTTTGACGGGCGCACTCCCCGTCCTGCTCGGTAATCGATCGAGTGAGCGCTGGCTCCGTCTCCTCCGTCCCTGCAATTCGTGTTTCGCGCACGGCTGGGCGGGGCCAGTAAGACTATCTCGCAGCCGCCATGTTGCAATCTCAGGGAGTTAGTTGTGTTGTGCATGCACCGCTGATCAAACCAACTTTTTTTGGCTTTTGGCCCTGGGCTGTCCGGGAGCGGTTCCTGGCCTGCCATCGCGCCCGTTCGTGAACGATCCATCTGCAGGCACATATCATTCGATCCCGTTCGCTCTGGTGGTGTGTACCTACCGTACGGCCAGCCGTGCGTACAAAAGATCGTGTAGTCAGTCTATGTGCTGCATAGGTGGGTGGGATTTTTGACTCCCGGGTCCGATGATCGCAGGTCTGTCCTCACATCCTGGATAACATTCCCATCCCGTCTGCTCGGCCTGATTCAGAGCGATTGGGTTTCGGCCTGCGCGAGGTCCAAATCCAATTTGTTCATTTCGAAACGCCATCATCGCTCAGTGCTGACCCAGGTCGGCCCCGTCGGAGGCGAGGTGAGGCGGGTTATACAGACTGAGAGTGAGCTTTATTTCGGAGAGATATTCAGGGGTTGCTCTCGGGTAGAGAGCCCTATTTTCTGGAGAACGGTCGAACGGCTTCAGTTGAACAGGGGTCTGCGCTCATGGCAGCGGATGGGAAGAATCAATGATGGCTGGATGGGATCATTGATGGATCGTGGCCCCAACAAACCAGGCCAACCTCACTCCACTTTGAGGGCGATGCACCACAGTATGCTTTCATGATTTGTGTCCTCCGTGTCTGATCCATCAACTTTCATCTTGACATATCAGATGGACACACCGATCTACTGTGTACATCACTCACTGATCGGGGCACAGACGGTGGGCTTCTGAGCCGTCGGTTCCAGTCTCTTGCGCCTCGTCGACGGACTTGACCGTCCTGATGTTCTTGCCACAGTGCCGGCGTGATCTACCGTTTTCAGCAAGGAGCCAAGGACGGGATCACGGCAAGGACTGTCTATACGATCATCGCGTATCCGGGCCGAAAGGCGAACCCACCAGTGAGGAGTTGTGCGGCTCACAAATCCCGCCAGCCTTACCGCCCTCGATGACCGCTGTATATTCTAAAGGCATATATCAACACGGTATTCGCCCTGCACAAACACATGCGACCATATGCACAAGAAAACACGGGATCCCGTCCGCTCTCCCATAGTTAAGCTTGTGACAGCTGGATTAGTAGTTGGCTCGGTGACGACCAGCGAATACCCGGTGTTGCATGTCTTATTTTCTTTTTTTCTTGTCTGTTCCTTCTGGGGGACCCACGCTGTGGACCGCCTCCGAGTCAAGGACTCAGGGACTGTCATTGCTGTTGTAGATTACTCTCCGCGGACAAATACATCACGGTAGATGAGAGTGGGTTTGCGAGAGACGAGGAGCTGGGTGTGCAAGAATGTGCTCGTTGTGCCCCGGGGCTTCCGGAATGTCAGGACTTGTGTCACAGGTTGGGTTTGTTGTCTGCAGTCATGTTGAATGCCAGCTGACAGCAAGCGATGGTGTGAGGCTCGCACAGTGACGGACCTTCACAGCTGTTGTTAAAGAGCGTTGACTACCGCTGAATCACCACAAGAGATGGTGCAGTGTCGATGGATGGCAAGGAGATCAGTCACGAAGGATAACACTTCCACAGCAGCATGGCCTGTACAACAGTATTGGGGAAAACTCTATCCAAAAACATCACTCAGGTACCGGTCCTCCTTCTGCCGCAGCATCCACTCCTCCGCCTCCTCGGCAGACACCTCGGGATGGCCCTCGCGATAGATGCGCACACATACCTCATGCGTGCTCCGGCCGAGCCTGCTCGCGCTCCCGCACACCAGGATCCTCGCTCCGGCCCTAAACAGACGCCTCATCTCCTCCCTGTCCGCCCAGATGACCTCGTCCACGTGCGCTGTGCCCTGCTCCGGCGGCGCGCACCTCGAGAACGCCGCCCTCACCTTGACCGCACCAGCGGCCTCCCACGCCGCCAGCTCGTCCCGGTACAGGAAATCCTGCGCATGGTCCCTGCAGCCGAAGTACAGCACCGCCGGCCCGAGGGCATCCGCGCCACGCGCCCCGGCGACGGCGGCCCGCTCCTGGATGAAGGCGCGCATCGGCGCGATGCCCGTGCCGGCCGCGACCATTATGACAGGTGTCTTCAGGTCCGGCGGCAGCCGGAACTTGGACGCGTTGGTGCCGCGGATGGAGCAGCGCAGACGGGAGCCCGCGGGCAGGTTCGACAGGTATGAGCTTGCGACGCCGGCGAAGGCGCCGTGGCCCGACAGCGCGGGCGCGCCCTCGAGCACGTCGTAGGTGATGGAGCAGGTCACGCACGCACTGCTGTCGTCGTCATCCGCGGCGGCGGCGGCGGCGCCAGCGGGAGAGGACCTCGCCACCGTGCAGCTCGGGAAGGCTGTGGTGGTGCTCGGCACAGGCGGGTAGACCAGGGGCGAAGACGAGATGGAGTATTGCCGTGGAGCCAGGGGCTGCAGCATCGCGAGGTACTCGGAAAAGGACAGCGTGCAGCTGGGGAAGTCCTCGAGAAGGTCGAGGACCGAGACGCGCTTCTCCAGGACTTCGCTGCGGTAAGCGCTTGAGTCTGATGAGAGGGTCTTTAGTTCCTCAGAGGCGGGCAGCTTCGCGGCCAGCGCGGCGACCTGGCGCTGCGAGGCCGGCGTGGCGAGCTCGACTCGGGTGCCGATGAGCTCGTAGGCCGTGATGTGTTCGTCTTGCTATATTGTCTCTCATGTGAGCGTGAAGTCGCTAAGACTCACTAAGGGAAAAGGCACAGAAACTTACGAAGCCGGTGAGATATTCCTTAGAGGTTCCAGTAACCGTGAGAAGGTCGTCCAGATGGAGACCGAAGCGGTTCATAACACGCCGAATCTGTTCGCGCGGGTTGACAGGGAGCACGACGAGGTAGTCGCCGCTTCGGTACCTCTGGCCAGGAGGCAGCAGCACCTCCATGTGCTTCTTCTGCGGGCCAACGCCCGCCTTGACGATCTCGGTGTTGGAGAGTATGATCCCAGTGGTGATCTCCGGCCCGGCCAGCTTAGCCGGTGCCTCCGGGTGGACGACCTCCACCTTAATCTCCTCGGCCGTGACCTCGGCCGTGGCGCCGCTGAGCCTGCGGAGGACGGGGAATAGGCCGGCCTTCCAGTCCTCCCATGGCCCGAGGATATCCTCGCTGACGTCCACCAAGCCGAGAGGCATTATGCGGGTGGCACCCAGCTTCTCCATGAGGTTGTCGACCAGCTTCGGGACGCGGTGAAATGTTCTCACCCAGTCCTTGTTGCCGGCGCCGAATACAGCGTAGGAGACTCCCTTGAGCAGGCCGTTGTCCCCAGCGGCGGCGCGCGTTTCAAGCCATGCGACGAAGCTCTTGGCGTTGTCGGGAGGCTGACCCTCATACGAGGATGTGATGATCAAGACGGGCTTGTCCGTTGGTAAGTTTTCTACGCCCTCGTCCAGGTTGCGAACCCCATCCGGAACCTGGAAGCCGAAGCTCGGTGCGTCGTGCTGAAAGTCCTCTGCGAAGGTCTTGCACGTGTTACTGATGCCGCCAAAGAAGATGGAAAGTGGCTCCAACTCGGCACTTTTGTCGGTCTCGTGTGCTTTGCGAGCATCAGACTTGGCTGTCTTTCCTTGTCCCGCCGCTGGATACACCTTATCCTTATGCGGTGCGCCAGCCAACCCGACCATCTGTAGCACTTGAGTATCAGCAGACGTGACAGGCATGAAAACCTGAACAGGAATCCTCGATATCACTCACCCGGTCCTTTCCTGGCCGACGCCGAACTTTAAACTTGAAGTCGTCCGGCTTGATGGTCAGAGTCGGCTTGATCTTCAGCTGGTACTCCGGGTCAGCCAGCTCGATGTTGAAGCGCTGGAAGATCAGGGCCCAGGCCGTGATCATCTCCTGCTCCGCGATGGCCTTGCCTGGGCACCCTCTGGAGCCAGTTCCAAAAGCTTTCCATGCGTTTGGCGGGTTCTGCTCCCACCCGCCCTCGAGAAAGCGCTCCGGCCGAAACTCATCCGCGTCGGGGCCGTAGACGCTCGTGTCGTGGTGCAAGCCCCGGAGATTCAGCATGATAACCCAGTCTGGATTGATCTTGTATTTGCCGCCGATGACCGTCTCGCGCTTGCTGTGGCGTGATATAGATGAGATGGGTCCAAGAAAGCGCAGAGTCTCTCTCATCGTGGCCCATAGGTACTTGAGCCGCGGGATGTGTTCCAGCTCTATGGCGTTGTCGCCGAGGACCTCGTCGACTTCTTGGTAGCACTTTTGCAGCTTTTCTGGATGTTTCAAGAGGTTGTACACTATTTTGTTTAAGCTTCGATAAGTCTGGGAGTATAATATCGTGAGATGGTGATACTAACTCATGAAGTTCATAGTGCCACTGGTCGTCTCGTGGCCAGCAATCTGCTCAGTATGTCAGCTAATAGTGAATTTAGGTTCGAAGATTCCTCAAGTGAGAATCCAGTCAGTGATCACGTCGGACCGCAGCGTACTCACCAAAAACGTAAGAAACTCGTTCGAAATCAGCTCATCCGACATCGACTCCCCAGAGACAGGATCCTTCCCAAACAACATGACATTCAAGAGATCATTCAGCTCGGGCTGGGGATTCGCCTTCCTCTCAGCAATGACACCAGCACAGACACTGTGCATGTACTCAATATCCTCCGCCAACTTCTTGCGCGAGAAATACCGCAGCGCGTTCTCGACCGCCATGCGGTTGGTCACCTTGCCAGCCTCGACCAGTGCGTCAGCCATGGCCGTCATGAAGCGCGGCGGGTCCTCGGCATAGAAGCAGTTGAAGCGGTAGTTCATGGCGCACAGCCCGATGACATCGAAGGTGAGCCGCGAGAAGTCGTCCGGCCCGGACACCTCGTGCTCCGGGCCCAGCCGGTCCCACTTGAGGATCATCTGCGACACACAGTCGACCATCTGGTCGAACATGCGCCGCACCGCGATGGGCCCCATGGCTGGGATGAGGATGCGGTGTCCGACGTACCAGTCCTGTGGGGAGAGTTATGGTCATCAGGTTGGATACTATGAGGCATACGTGCTTTGGTGACGGTTAGGCACTTACATGTTCGTCCGAGTACGCCGTGAACAGCCCGCCCCCAACCAAGACCCGCAGCGTCTCGAGGTTGCCCTTGGTCGTCTTTTCGAATCGGGCCTCATCGCACACCTCGTCGATCAGCTCGTGGCTCGAGACCACGACGACGGTCCTGCCGAAGAGCTTCAGGCTGAAGATGGGCCCGTAGATGTCCGCGAGGCGCCAGACGGAGGAGACGAAGAACGTCGGGTCGATCTCGCCCGCGTTTCCGATCAGCCACTTCTCCGGCGGGTGCGGGATGGGCTCTCCTGGGCCGTCGAGGCTGGGCTCGACAACATTGTCTGGCTTCAGGTTCGGCTCCTTTTTGTAGGGGCAGGCCATGGCTGGTCAGAGATGGTGTTGTAGTCACGAGAGAACAAAGACAGAGGGTGTGCACTACAGGGCTCATGTAATTCAATACGGTCCAGTCCCGATGAACTGCGCTCACACTTTGGATCTCCTGAAACCCGGTCTATTTATATGCCAAGATCGTACCTGTGATCAATATGCAAGCCGTGAGGCTAGGGGTCGTAAGGGCACATCGTGGGTTAACGCCCAGCTCACAAGCAGCTTCGATAAAGGGCAAATAACCACAGACATGTTGTTCTCCTACGCAAATCCATAGTTCAAGCAACAGACAACTAACGCACCTTCGCTACCCGAAGCAACTCAAGCTCGACGAATTGGCGAAGTCACCCTGCCCGATAGTGAGTAGCCTGCGTCACGCTGCGCACCCGCTCTTCCGCGCCGGCACTAAGGCAGCGCTCGCAGCCCGCGATGTTATCCAGAAGAGAAGCATGATAGGCCAATAGTTCGATTCTGTGGCATTCTACCTTCGTAGCCTTAATCAGCGACGAGCATATGAGCGGGGGACCACGAAAAGCAGCCTCGGTAGCTAAGACGGAGACAGGATCGAAGGAGGCTCTTCCCTGGTCAGACAAGCTCGAGCGTATAGTGGTTACGTAGTTTCTGCGTATGTTTCCCACTTGGATATGAACCATGTTACCTTGTTTGAAATAGGTTCTATGTAGACTCCCGCGAATCCATGCGTTTGAGCACCATCTGTTTAGCCAGTCGCAACTAGTCCCTTCAGAGTAAACCTCCTCCCATGGGAACCCCAGCACGCGGAGTTACGAACTGACCCTCATAGTCGATATAGCTAGCTTATACGTAGGTTACTATCACATCACAAATAAGTGAGTCCAGGGATGCAGACATACGCAAGCCACGTGCCGTATCGTGACGATAGACCAGTAAGACATCGTCGGGGCTACCACATGGTTTCACGAATATAGGCCAACCGGCCTTCAGCTAATACCCGAGACAGGCCTCAGAATTCATCCGCAGAGACATGTGATATGAGACATGTTGGTTTTCGGTACGTCGAGCCGGGAACGTTAAAAGTGTAGGTGAAATAGTAAATTTGATGATGCACAAAAAACAGGTAGGTTATCATTTGTTCGATATACCAAAGCCGCTTCACTCCAAGCCATGCGGTGTCATGCTATGCTAAACGCTCTTTTTGCTGTCAAGAACCAACCTCCCTGCCCCTTCAAAATGCGCTGTATGTGTGTTCGTGTGTATGTATGTGTGTTTGGGATTCGCCCTGTCCTCCACTCTATCTTGTTCAAGCTCTGTTCACTTGGACAGTCATGCTTCTTGTGAAGCCGAACTCATCCTCCGATCTTTCCCTCTGATTAGAAGGCATGTCCCTGATGCGGCGGCATTGGGCCCCGTGGGGTCCCCGGCGTGCCTGGGGTACGAGGACCCTGCGGCACGAACTGTCCCGGTGGGGGCATAGTCATCATGGGTCGACTGAATCCTCCCGGGCCAGGAGAAGCGTTCCTCATCTGACCTGGGCCAGGACTCTGCATCCTCATCGGACCTGCACCCGGGCCGGGGCTGTTCATACGCATCTGTCCCGGACCTGGAGAAGCCATCCTCATCTGACCAGGGCCTGGAGAGGCCATTCTCATCGGACCCTGTCCAGGACCAGGGCTGTTCATCCGCATGGGCGGCTGCATGCCGGGGTTCCCGTAACCACCCTGGGGTTGGCCATACTGAGGTCCACCCTGCTGCATAGGTGGAGGGCTCATGGCGTAGCGAGGCCCTGGGCTCATGGAGCGTGGGCTTATGGGACTTATAGGCATACCTATACCAACAGGCGGAGGAGACAGAGTCGCTGACCGTGGCGGGCCGGGCTGCTGTGCAGGGTATCCTCCACGACCCATGCCCGTGTTATATCCCATGTTACTCTGCATTCCCATGCTGCCACCATACATCGACGGAGCTTGAGCGTTCATCGGACTCATGCCCATGCTGCTCACATTTCCAATGCTCATGTTCGACGCTGCTCCGTACATCTGCTGCTGAGCGTATTGCTGCTGTTGTTGTGCGTATTGCTGCTGCTGAGCGTACTGCTGTTGCTGCTGGCGCTGGTGGATAGCGTTCTGGACGGTCTGAGACTGGTAGCCCTGCTTCATCTGAGCTTTTTCCCTCTCACGCGCATCAATCGCTCCCACAAGGCCTGGCCCCTGGGCCTGTTGTCCAGGGCTGTTGTTAGTAGCCATACTGATCAACGGCGTCCCTGTAGTTCGGGCTAGATGCTCTTGCTCGCGTGCTGACAGAGTCGCACTCGTGGCTCCGCTGCCGTTCATTCCCAGTATGTTACCTGAGCCTTGGGAGGGAGGGCGTTGTAGCAGATCCACGCTGCTGGACCTCGAGTGCCGTTTGGTGAGGTAGTCCTGGCTGCCCGTGCGCTTCATTGGCGGAGAAGACGCCATCTGTGAAAGCGCGTTGCCCGAAGGAGTACGCTGGTGGGCATACTGTGGAACTGCTGCGGCCGCTCTTTGTGCTACAAACTCCTCCGGAGAAAGTGCACCATCTCGGCCGCTGCCCCCACCGGCTGCCACGCCAGGCGTCCATGCAATGCTCCGACGCTTAAGCGTGTCCTCAGACTCATTGCGTGCGTGGCTGAATTCAGCTGTGAAAGGTGTGATATTCGCACTGGGTGTTGTGGGAACGGGCGTCTTCCGCGGTCCAGGAGAGTATGACCTCGGAGGCTGAGCCGCAGGTGGGTTAGGTGGCACCCAAGGCCCGCCGGCCACAGTCCGGTCCACACCATGAGCAAGGTTGAGTGTAGGACCAAAGTTCATATCAGGCATATCAACTCGTGACCTGCCAGAACCGGAGTCGGACGCTGCTGTGTCTCCAACCGTCTTGAGCACACCGGCACGAGGCCGCTCCCTGGATTCCTGCGTCTCGGTAGACTTGCGGGTGCTAGCATAGTCGGGGCTATCCGTTGATGCAGTGTCATCATAATTGCTGCTGGCCTCACTCCTCATTGTTCCCTGACGCTGCCTTTGCCGCAATGAGTCCTGTTGGTCGTAGTCACGACGGTGCGCCTCTGGAGAGTTAACCAGCTGAAAAGCAGCCTCGTCCAGAATATGATTGCGAAGACTACTGTTGGTTGATGGAGAAACGGGCGTTACATCGCCTGTGTTGCTTCGCGAGGATCCGTTGCGTGAAGATGCGGCCTTGGACTGGAGACTATCTGTCCGCGCTGGCAGAGGCTTCCGATGGATCGGCGGGGACGTGGCTGTTTGCAGCGGAGGAAGTGGCTTTCGCTGAGCTCCGGGTGGTGGCGTCCTTCGACTATGAGGCGGAGGACCACCCGCTCCATAGCCCTGATAAGGTTGATGCGGATTTTGAGGACCAGGCGGCCCCATCATTCCAGGCGGCGGTCCCCTGTTGTCCTGCGAATAACCAGGCGGAGGCATCCCACGACCTCGACCGCCTCCATGAGGTGGAGGCGGAGGCCCGCGTGACCCTTGGGACCCTGGACCGGGAGGGAACTGACCTCTGCCACCTTGATTCGGCGGATAGGGAGCCTGACCGGGCCCTGGGCCTGGGCCTTGCCCTGGGCCTGGGCCTGGAGAGGGGCGTCTCTGTCCGTCTCGAGGAGCGCCAGGTGCCAGAGGTGATCTGGACCTCTTCTGTTCAAGGCTCATCTGTGGTGGAGGCATGCCAGGAGACCGCGGCGGAGTGGGGTTACCGCCGGGGACACTCAGTCCTTCACGAGATCGGTTCTCATTAGCAGACATTCCTACCGAGTTAGCATAAGCGTTGGTATGTACCGCTAAGCCCCGAGGGTCTGCTGGCCCAGACGAGGATCCTGCGCTATGCTCATCGCTGTATCTCTCCCCGCCACCTTCCATCAGAGCAGGATCTGTGTTGGTCTGAAGGGCAACACCCAGCTGCTGCAGGGTCGCACTCGACAAACGGCTTGTGGCCCTCCGGAGTTCTGGGGAATGATAGGCTCTCTGGGGCCGAGCCGTGGCTGCATGTTGAAAGGACGGCGGTGCAACAGGCTCCGGAGTACTCATGTTGTGTAAGCCCTCCAGATCTCGCACTGGCGGAGCCATGCCTGGTTGCTCATCTTCCGAACTGACACGCTCTGGTGTTGAAGCAAGATCATTTGCAAAGCGTATGGGTGTATGGCCGCGCGGCGGTGTTGGGCCTTGTCGTTCTGCTTGGAGGTGGGGCGCGAAGCCCTCGAGACTGCTTGGACCCCGAATTTGGGTATCTGAGCTGTTGCGCTGATGGCCAGTCACTCCGGCCAAGGCGCCCGGCGCACGAGCCCTATCACCGGGAGGGGCCGAGTCATTACGCGGACCAGGGGTCGAGGCAGAAAACGATCGAGAAGTTCTCACGGAAGGCCCGTCGTCCGCAAAACCCACTCCTCGAGACCTCGCGCCACCTGGCACAGAAGGGCCGATGCTGAGACGCTTGCTCCTGCGGCTATCGCTGCGAGCTGCGGCTGGCGTATCGTCTACGGCGTTCATCCTTTGACCCGTCAGCTCCTTTAGCTTCTTCTTCCAGTCCCTCTCCGACCATGAGCCACTGCCCTCGGTGAGAATCAAATTCGTCACATCGAGTATCTCCAGGTAACCATATCTCCTATGTTTTGGCATGGCGAACATGAGCGATCTCGAGTCCAAGACACTCGCTACCAGGCGCCCGGGACGGCCGTACAGCCCGAAAGTATCCCACGTCGGGAACATGAATCGCAGCAGCATCTCGAATCCGTTCACAGCTGGGGGTACTTCAGGCATGATGAAGACGAAGCCTTCGGTCGACGATGGCGGCTCGGAATGAATGGTGATGTTGCACTCAATCTTGATCAGGGTCGAGGCGTCGATGAGAGACTTGGCCTGAGGGTAGATGGCGTAACAGGAGTAAGCATCCGTTATAGAGGCGATCGGCTTGGTCTTCTTCTGTTTCTTTCCGTCCTTCTTGGTGTCGTAGAATTTGACATCGCCTTTGAGCACAGGTGGTTTTGAATGGTCGTACGGTGATCTCTTTCTCATCTCCTTCTGGAACTTCTGGAACTCCTTCTCGTCCGGCGGTGATATGACGCACCAGCAGCGTCTCCATGGAACCCCGGCACCAAATCGCACGCGCACCCATGCCTCTGTCTTGAACCTTGCCCTCTCCATGATGAGATTGATATTGTTCACAGTCTTGCCTTTGCCGGCAATCAGTGCGCCCGTGTACGCTTCTTGCAATGTTGAATGTTCGAACATGGCCAACCGAATGCCCGCCGTCCATTGCAACAAGGAATGGTGCGAGTTGAAATGAAGCAGGTATCGGTTCCTCCCCGCCGTTGATATGCTGAGGATGTTCTGGAGTGGTTGCTCGTCATTGGATCTCGTAGGCAATGATTCGATCTGCAATACTCGTTAGTGCCCAACACAAACACACACGCATACACAGATGCACGCAGTCTCCCCCTCCCGCCAGCTGTCATTTACCATTTTTATAGAGGCATCGGTCAGGTTTATAAACTTGGGCAGCACCTCGCCGTCCTCGCCGGCTGCGTCAAGTTCTGCTGCGTCCCACAGCGACAAGACCGTCCCTACAAGTTGCGCAAAGCATTCCGTCCATGTTCGGTCTGGGTTGGGCCGCCCATCTGCAGTGCCATTGTCAGAGCCAAGGTCGGGGTGCGGAGTGGCGGATTGAACCTACGTGTGTTTTGATCGTCGAGTTTGAGAAAGTAGCCCTCCTGGTACAGCTTGTTGGAATGGCTGTTTAGGAAGGTGAAGATGGGCTGAAGCTCCGGGATTGTATCGTCGCCGACGTCCATGAGGGGCGGCTGGAAGGTCTGTACCATGGACAAGGGGCGGCCAGAGTTGCTGCGATTCCTACCCCGAGGGTTATTCGTCGCGGGGGGTTCTACCGGCGACGATGGGTGTATCGGGGACGAGGGCTGTATAGGTGTCGAGTTGCGGTGTGGGTTCGGCGCACGTAGAGGATTGGGGCCGTCGTGGGGAGGCGATGAGTTGGGCGTCGAGCTATGTGAGCCTTGTCTGCTATGCCCAGATAACTGGGACATAAACGAGAGGACTGGTGATTATTTGCGAATCATCAGCACTGATTAAGAAGGAAGATTAAACAGGACAGGGGGGCAACGAATCGTCCCGCAGGCGACAGTAAGTTGACCGGCTGGGGGCACCTAGAGTGACTGGGAAATTTGTCTTATGGGGGTGGGTGCGGGTGAGGTTGGTGCAGCGGTAGGGGTGGGGGTGGTCAGAATGCGCGGCGATGTGTCAGGCTATCATGCGGTGCGGTTGCGGTTCGGTGCATTTCATTCATGGGGATTTGAGATTGTGAGCGCGGAAGAAGAGCGAGACAAGGTGAGGCGAGGCTAGCAGCGAATGCGCGCGAAAGGTGGTCGAAAAGGGCAAGGGGGGATGGAGATGGAGGAGCCTACCTCGACTTCGACCCATTTTTGTCCTCCCCAGAAATCCCTTAATTGCGCGTCGCCCTTTTCCCTTCACACTCCCCCTAAAAACTGGAGCGGGTGTCAGCTAGCCAGTCGGCCAGGTGCACGAATGTCTCTGGGCTGAAAAGGGTCTCGGCCGTGCCAGAAAAAGGTAATAATTGGAACGGGAGACGCCAGACAATGAGCGGGCGAATACGTCAACGGCGGGCTGTGCTGCGCTGAGGTCGGCCTGGATGGAGTCTCTGCTGCTCTGGTGGGAGAGTCTTCTCCGGATATCACGGCGCAGTCTGTTGCGCGGTGGGACAAAGGGTTTCTCTTCTCACTTCTCACCGACTCACCAATTCAGGTGGATTTGAGAAGGGGACAAAAAAGGAAATAGTATCTCACAGGCTGGTGTGCCAGTGCCGCTTAGCGAAAGGCGGCGTCACAGAACGAAGGCAGCGTGCTGCTCTTAAGGCGCTGGTGACGCTCCTCCCTGTAAGAGGCCCTGCAGCTTCACGTCGAGCGAGAACGGTCGTGGTGCCGTGGCGCAAACTCGCTCGATGGGCAGCGCTCAGCAGACCGGCCTGTGCAAAACGATGGTCGGGAACGCAGGCGAGGTTTTGGCAAAGGTAGCGCCGGGTTTCAAGAGGTGAAAAGGAGACAAGGCGAGGAGGAGAGCTTCGGAGTTGCAGGAAAGCTGGAGGTGTGAACTTGCACGGATTATTGATGCAAGAGACGTACGTGATCCGCGCGACAAGGGTCTGGCTTTCATACGTCAGGACACCAGCTTGCAGCTCTTGCACGGCTCCATCTGGCGTCCAGGTTTCGTCTCGAGGTCTAATGGCATGTGGCGTCTAATTCGCCGGCAAAGGAGCTTCGCAGATCGTAGGTCTGTCCTGTGCGATCCTGGGTTGTCCTGTTCTGGCTGCTGGTAGCAAGATGGTCGCCTCCTAAGACAAGTCAACCTGTGCCGTGACCTGTGCATGCACATGTGCCATCTGCCTTGATCGTGGTGTAGGGGCCAGCAGCAAACGAGTGGGTTCCAGTCGCTGCCGAGTTCAGTTCTCTGTGTGCAGTGCGCAGTGCAGGGGGAGGGGGGCTGCGACAATCCGAGTTGTTTGGCCGTCGACGGCGACACCGTTGCCTCACTGCGCGCGTCGTGTGCGTTCTTGCCAGGTCAACCCCGTGAGGATGCTGAGGTGGACGTTGGACGCAGTCGGTACCTAGTGCGAAGGGTAAAAGTATAAGAATGCCGTACGCCAGCGAGATCACGACGAGTCAGTTGTCGATAGTGTCTGGCGTCTGGCGAGATGCGAGATGCGAGGGCGGGCGTAAGTGGTGACGTTACTGCCCGAGACCGAGAGTAGCGAGCGTGCCGTCCAGCTGGGAAGGGTAGGTAGCTTCCCGAGAACGCAATCCAGACGGTGGAGCAGGGTCAAAAGATAAAGAGACACTCGAAGAGCTCCCCGGGCGGGATCTAGACCGGCCGGGGGGTGTGGAAGGCGTCTTCGTTATAACTCTGCAGAAAAAACAGGCGAGCCGCCGCTGGGAGGCGTGAAGCTGGCTGCAGGGCAGGGGCTGGCAGCCAGGTCGATTTGACATCGGATCGCTTCTAGCAGGATAAAAGAAGTCTTGGCTCCTCGTCCGTTCTTTCTTATTTGTGCTTCCCTGGCCAGCCTGACCTGACCTGACAGCCTGAGCATTGGGCCCATTCCAAATGCCTTGCCTTAGGTGCTTAGGCACTTTGTTAGTCTATGATCCGCATGCCCTGGATCATGATGGCCTAGCAACCGTAGTCCAAGGCAAAGCAAGCCAAGGTAAGGCACAGTCAGGTTCTTCGTATGACCCGAGGTCTATCTATATCTCTCTCTGTGAGTCGTCTCTGCCTCCTTCCATGTGCTCAGTGTGATAAGGTTTCCAGTCAGGAGCGCCGAAGGGGTCAACGGCTTGGCACGCCTGAAGCATGAAGCACGTTAATCACGATGAGGGTATAGCAGGCGTCCTCAGGTCACGGATCCTGCCACAGGTTGGCCATCTCGATGGGCAACAACCTTGTCCGGGTTTTAAATAAGATTTTTTTTCCCCAGCATTCGTCGTCGTCGCATGTTTTTTCCCTGCCCTTTCGCATGCTTCCCGTCACTTGGCTGGTCCTTTGCGGCACTAGTCGGTGGTCACCGACCTATGAGTCTCGCACGCCCAGAGAAACGAGTTAGGCGAGCCGCCTAAGACGGAGGTGGACTGCAAGACTGCAGAGGTACTTACCTGGTCGAGTCTAGGTCAGCTTGGGAGCTTGGAACGCACGAGTACCTTGCCCGCGCTACGATGACTGTTATTGCCGTTTGCCGTTTCTGCCGTCCACCCAAGTGCAGTCACCACCTGGGCGTGGCTGTCTTGGGCATGGTCGCACACCTGACCGCGTCACCCAGGCCATGTACTGTGTACTGATGTGGCTGCGGTCGGGGGTCAAGTCGCAAGAAGCGCCGGCCTTGTGAGCGAAGCGAAGCGCAGTGGATGCATTGGGGGTGGGCTGGCTTCCAAGTTTGGATAGATGGTTGGTTCCTGGGCCTCCTTCTCCCATGCGAGGGTGGAGGCCAGGGGGTCGCAGAGCATTTTGTCCTCAGTGCCCGGGCATTGCTAAGGTATGGTAACGGCACAGCTCAAACGCAGGTACGGATACGAATTTGTGGGATACGGAGCAATACGCCCAAAGTTGTACAGAAAGTGTTTCTCTCCTTCCGAGCTGGCCACGACCCACCCGCCCCCAAAGTCCCCAGGACCCTGATGAACATCGTCAAGATCAAGATGGCTGGAAGAACGGTCGCATCTCGAGACCCTTATTACTACACACACCGCATCATAAATACAAAAACTACTACGCAGCATTGTGTGTCAGCCTCAGCTGCAGCTTGCGGCATTCAGCTGTTCACAGTTCCACCAAGGTGCTGGCTGTGGTGTCTGGCCCATCTGCTGCACTTCTGCCGTTACCAGCCACTGGCGTACTTCTCGACGGCACGTTCGGATGAAGGTATTACGCCCCAGGTTAGCCGGGCATCCTTCATGCACCTGCCACCTCGTACCTGCCCCGTCCGCAGCATTAGCGGCGATCTTCGCAGTAGTGATCCAGAGGTTGCAGCTGGTCGTCCTGCGTCCTGCGTCCTCTTCCGGGTCTGGGCATGGTCCTTTTTCCCTCTGGACCTCCCTGTGACTGAGGCTTGCTCTGTGGTCTTGGCAACATGCGATACACGGCAGAATCAGCGTCTACGAGCGAGTGGTAATAATGGATCGAGAAGATTAAAAACCCCTCCCAGCTTCCCGCCCACAGCGCTCGGTGGTTGGCCGCTCCCAAGACTTCGGCTCAGGTCGAGAAGCCGCTCTCCGGCCCCTCGGTATCCACTCGGCATGCCGTTGGGTTTTGACAGCTCAATGCCAGCCAGACCAGATCAGAAACAACCTGTCAAGCTCGGGTATCAAAAGCTCCTTTTGCGCTCGCAGGGCGTGCCACTGCGCCAAGGCCATCCAAGGCCCCTTGGCCTTCGATCTACTGCTCATGATCGGACAATAACACGAAGGTGACGATGCTGGACAGACGGCACACGTCTTGACCAGTCTCCACACTCGGTCCCAAGCCGTTGGGGCCCGGTGTTGACGCTTGGCGTGGACTTCGCCAGGTGGGACCTCCCTGCAATTCAACCTCGATATCATGTTCATCTTATTTAATCGCCCTCACTTCTCCTCACCGCCGCTGCCTCAAGTCCGGGGGGCTAGCCTGACGACGCTGTGGTCTTGTTGGGCCACCGAGCCACATTGTTCACGCAACCAGCAGAAAACACACCTGGAATGCTATCCATTCTCAGGACCAAGACCGAAATCTCTTGGCCCTTCTGCTCATCGTACCCCCCGTAGACGATTTTCAGTGCTGACTTCCCGGTCTTTCCGGCAGCCATCTCGGGGCCACGGACTTGATTCTCCCGTCTTCCTCCTGCGTTGGCTCACATGACTCCATTCGGAATGAGTGAGCACCCCGGTCTGGCTTTTCAATACCAGCCATCATTTATTAGCCTTGCATTGACCAGTCCACGCCGCCGTCACACTGGCGCATGATCTCATTGTGCTCGGGATAACTGGCGTGGCACCCAAAAATTCACCGCCTCGGAGAATCAACAAGGCGTAGTCGATTCTGAGGAGCTCACAACCATGCAGCTATTGCCGGACCTTGATGATCCATCTTGGCCAAGTCAAATTCTTGCCGCCGACCCAAGACATGTACAACACAACGCCATGTTGTACCCGTGTGCTTATTAGACCCGCCCCCACAGTAGATGATCACTTCTGTTTGGGATCCTCCGAAGTATGTGATGTGGCTCGACGAGATTGATCATAACTCGGCAAACAGCACAGCCTTCACATTACGTCGCCTTCTACGCATACAGAGTACGCAATTGGCGTATTTGCAGAGTCTGACAGAGCCAAGGGTCCAAATGCCCATCACATCTTGCACAGCCTGAGCAGCACCCGCAGTTCCGAGATTCGAGGAGCTCTAGATGCCGTCCGATCCACACTCGGCCGATCTTACCAGGGGAGAAGGAGCTCAGTCTCTCTCACTCCCGGCCGCTGAGCTTGACCGGGCCCAGACCGGGCTGCCGGCTGACCTAGCTACATAGCTCCTCAGCTCTGGTGCGCGCCTCGCACGCCCAACACAGCTGTCCATCGCTCGTGGAGTGCATTCAGGATGTGGCACGCACACACTACTGCAAGCCCATGTGGCTGACTGCAACTACATGATTTAGGTAACGGGCTGCACTCTGGCAATCTGTTCTCCCTCGCAGGATCCGGGAGCAAGCTTCCTGGACCTACGTCATGCTGCTCTGGCTGCCGTCGTATTTGGCGCCCGCCCCCGGTAAGGGAGTGCCGCGTTGGATGATCGAAGCGCAAAGCCTGCACGCCTGCATCTCTACACCCAGCCTCAGAGCTGGGGCTTCCTAGGTCACAGTGGCAGGTATGTGACACGAAGGAGCAGGTGCACCTACCGATTCTGCAACGCCAAGGCCAGAGCATTGGCAACAGGTTGGCGGTGGAATTCGATGCTTCATGCTTGGCGTGGAGCCAGAACATGATTTGTGCCAGCCAGGACAAGCGATGAAGAGACCGTTATGCCAGCTGTTTACGTCCAAGTGGTCGAAGAAGCATAAAAACATCATCGCTTTGCTAGTCTCTGAATTGACTTCAGAGCAAGAAATTCATAATTACTATAGGGGGTAGCTTCGCATGCATTATACAATGACATGGCTTTATAGCCAGACAATGCTACGCACAACTACTCTGGAGTAAAACTACTGTTGAAATTACGTGAGGCTTGACACAAAGTCGCATAAAGGACACACCGTGACAAGTAGCAAAGTTGTCCCTCAAAATAGACGTTTCCTCTGACTGAAGCTTTATTGCCGCTCCTTCAAACAAAGTCGTCATAGCTCACCTCTGCCTCCATAATCCGAGGAAATAGTCTTCTCACTTGAATTAGAGTGTGCGGTCACACTGTCCGCATGGAAAAGGCACACAGGTCTAACAAGCTCATGGAATGCAAGAGGAATCGCCAGAGCCAAAGACTATGCAACCGAGGGAGCAGAGACGGAACATAAGGCTGCTAAATATACCAAGATATGTACCTGATGAGACAGTCGGTCTCTTTGCGGCTGGCCTGCATCTCCATGCAAGTGCTTCCAAGTTTAGTGCTGACCGTGCATGTCATGTCGGCCAACTTCTCCTTATCGAATCCTACCGTTGAACTGTAATTCTAGGCTGTGGATCTGCCGGTTCTAGGAGTCATCAACTTATTAACGCATTTTGATGGACTTGTGTTACGCCCTCTATTTTTGATCAGAGCCTTATCGTCCGGCTGAGGGTCTCCGGTAGATTGAAGACTCAGCATGTCCGTTGCTGCAGCTTCACAGCCATTGCGGCCAGAGCCCGCCCATATGGACATAAACATTCCAAAACCAGCTGGTATGAAGGCGGCCACCACCGCTTCCAGCCCATCCTACGCCGTGCTTCTGTCCGGGACGCACGTCACAGGCAAAGAAACCTTGGCTCCCTCCCTGTCAAAAGCACTGGGCTGCCAATGGATCAAGGCGGAAATGGCCCATAACGCCGCGACGTTCGGGGCCCGGTCGCAGGCCAGGAGGGGTTTCGACTACGGCAAGGTCTTCGGGCGGATCTGGTCGTCCAAGCTGCAGCGGCTGGGCTTCCTGGCGGGCGGCGGCGAGCCAGACGGAGAAGTCGAGCACGGGGCCGAGGCGCCTCGGAGCAATCCTGGGGTGCAGCAGTGCGCAGCGGTCATCTCCCTATATCACATGCGCAAGCCCGCCCGTGATGCTATCCGCGCCGCCATGCAGGCGCAAGAGGTCAGGCCCGTGTTTGTCATTTTGCATATCACCGAGGAGACCTTGTCGGGGAGGACGCTCGGCGCCGAGGAGCCGCGGCTGGCTGAGCAGATCATGGCGCACAAGGTTGCGGATATCCAGGTGCCGCTGGAGGAGGAGAGGGATGTCATCCTGGTCGACTCGCTGCGGGACGTTGACGCGTTGTTCCCGGAGATCCTGGAGAGGGTTGCCCAGCAGCTACGGATGGATGTGTGAGGAAGAACGGTTGTCGTGTCCTGTGTGCTTGAGTGTAAAGGGTTTCCCTTTATCAGTTTACTGTGCTGCTCATTAAACAAAGGTGATATCAAGCCTTGGTCTTGTTTTACGGGAGATCTCCTCACATTACAGTCTACCAGCGATAATGATGGCAAAGAACTCAATATTAGAAGCCAGGTGCTCGGGATACCAGATTATTCTTTAGACTTTTTCTTCTTCTGAGGAAACTTTTGTGAATATAACTAGAAGTTTAACAATCTTATCAATTACCATTCATTCATACTTCCTTGTGTTAAACTCTTTGAATACTCGATGTGTCGTAATCTACCATCAAGAGAGCGACGTAAAGAAAGCATCTCGTTCAAATTTGCTTAATTCCATGAGCTCTTACCAGGAATTTCCCAACAGAATTAAAATGGGGCCCAGATAACTAGCAGATCTTGAATGGTGGCTGAGAAGAAATCAACATCAGCTGACATCTATGCAAACAGTCTGGACTGTCTAGAACCTCTCACATGTGCTCTGCCCATTTGATGATTTGTTGACTCATGTGTTTACTTGACAGCAACTCCACTACCAGTAGCCTTATTAAAAGGGCAGAGGTTTGATTGAGCAAGGCAAGATATTCAACAAGTGGAGTTTATTTTGATCACAATGCGGACAAAGGCCAACTGAAAATCAAATGGCTGATTGCAACTGCGGCATTGTATGATATAGAATGGCAGCAAGGGAGGGTCCACCACTTTTGTCCCACAGTATAGACCTTGGACTGTGTCTATGTGGGTTGGCAACTAATTAGTCTACATGACAAGCCGCACATATTGCTTTAGAAGTAAGCAGATGACCAACAATTTCAACCTGTTTTAAGGATCGTGAGGAGACGTTTTGAGACTGGGTCTGATTCAGTAATAGATAAGATTTTTCAGTACAGGTTTAGTACCAGTCTCTATCTTGCATTTTGGCAGTGTTGAAAAGAAAGGCGACACTGCCTGGATGATTGTCTGCCAATGGTTCAGTCCAGGGGCAAGACAACTCCAGACTGCAGGGATTTTAATTGTCAAGGGCCATCCCCATCCAGATTCCGATGACCGGCCCAAGCGGCTGACAACCCAGGCGAGCAGACAGAGTGGATTTCTTGAAGCAGTCATCCTCTCAACCTTTTTTTTCAAGGCCCAGAAATCCTCTTGAACACCGCACTTACTCAAAAATACTGCTGAGGTTCTGAGGAAAGAAAGACAAGATCAGTATCCAGCGCATCGGGATGTTTCTTCTGCTCGGTTGACGATCTGCGGCCCGCCCCCCCTGGCGTAATCCCTGAGTGCCACTTTAAGCTCCCGATAGGCTTATCGCACCCTCGCACCGCTGCAACGGCATTTCCCAACTGAGCGAGCAGCAGCGAGATCTTCAACAGTTTCCCAATTTTCGCGACGCAGTTCAAGCGACGTTGACAACAACTCCCTCGAGTTCTGAAGCGCCTCATCGCTGGGATGAGGGAACTATTCCTCCCTCAATCGGCCTCCATCCCTCACCAGCTCCGGAAGGCCTTGCTCTCCTCCGTATCGCGCCGCCAACACCTGCCGCCATGGTCCTCTTCCTCCCGCCATAAGCGAGAGTTGTTCTCGTCATCCTCAACAACTGCCCTCGATGCAGCGCGGGACTCGCACGCCGGCGGCAGCTCGCAGAACCCACAGCAACCAGACGGGCAGGACCACGACCGGAACATACGGCAGCAAGACACGTCGCGGACGATTGCGGCGCCCCCGCCCAGGCTCCCCTACAAGTTCGAGACGGGCATCTCCCTCTTCGCCAAGCGCGCGCCGAGGCCCTTCCCCCCTCCCTTCCTCTCTCCGCCCTCGGGATCCTTCAGCGACCCCCTCAGCACGCATCACCAGAGCCGCGACCGTCGGCCCAAGGTCAATGGAGAGCTGATAAAGGGGTGGACGAATGGGGACGATGCCGCCTTCGCGAGCGAGTATTTCGTCGGCGCCAACGACGGCGTGGGCGCGTGGAGCGCTCGGCCGAGGGGCCACGCCGGGTATGTCTCTCGTCTCTACTGCTAGCTGGGATCTTGGTCGTGATGTAATCTCGTGGGCTTACAATTGGGATATAGACTGTGGGCGAGACTCATTCTACACTTCTGGGCAATGGCCATGAGCGAAGACGCTTCGCGAACGCGCGGGCCGAGCGATCCACCCTACGTGCCAGATCCGATCGCATACCTAGAAAAGGCCTACGAGCAGACGAAAGAGGCGACGTCGGGGCCTGACTGGCAGGGAACTACGACAGCCACAGGGGCACAGTTATTCTACAAGGCGGTAGACGATGCGGAGTCCGCTAAGCCGCCAGCGCAAGGCGAGACCAGCAAGACCGCGCCGGTGCTGTACGTGACAAACTTGGGCGACTCGCAGGTCATGGTGGTACGGCCGAGCTCGGGGGAGATGGTATTCAAGACCAAGGAGCAGTGGCACTGGTTCGACTGTCCCCGGCAGCTGGGGACTAACAGCCCGGACACGCCAGCGCAGAACGCCGTGCTGGACCAGGTACCAATCGAGGAGGGAGATGTGGTCCTGGCGATGTCGGATGGTGTGATCGATAACCTGTGGTCGCACGAGATCGTGGAGAATGTGAGTAATAGTGTCAAGAGGTGGGCATCAGGGGATGTGGGGAGGAGGACAAGAAGCAGCGACAACCCTGGCGGGAGTGGATCCATGGCCTTTGTCGCTGAGGAGTTGATGTTGGCTGCCAAGACGATTGCGCTGGACCCGTTCGCGGAGAGCCCGTTCATGGAGCATGCGATCGACGAGGGCCTGCCAAGCGAGGGAGGTGAGTCTGCTCTGATTTGTATCTGCATGATAATGCGCACATTACTGACATGCCTTCTGTCAGGCAAGCTGGATGATATCACTGTCGTGGCAGCGTTGTGTACGCGAAATGATGATGTGTGATCATCAGTTGTGCTGGCACGGTTTGCGTGTCATGCGCGGACTGATCTGCTCAGACCCAGGCGTAGGAGAGGAATGTGAGAGGAGGTCTCTGCTCCCATGCCGTTGTCTTCTTGTGCTGTGCTTCAGAGGAGGGTGAATTCGAGGGAAAAGTCATGGAATCAGCATCAGGAGTTTCGGAGTTCTGAATTGGCTTGCCTGCGGGCATCACTTGTTAGACGACTTGGTGCAGTTGCAGCGGCCAGAAGCGGCTCACTGCAAGCAACCTTATTTCTGCTGATCAGCCGCTGTCAGAGAAACTGTGGGGCAAGTACCGTACGTACCTAGGTCCCTTGGGGGACCTGCCGCCCGATAAGCGGGAAGCTACGATAATGAAATATTTTGAGAGGTCCCAACTCCAAATTCGACTTTGCGGCATGTAGAGAGAACCCAGCATTCCGTCACAAGCCTCAATCGCTCTGTCACCAGAGCGTGCTTTTTGTCCTTCAGCACATGCGCACTCCCACACAACATAACACAACATAATCCAAGGACCTGACCGCCCAAAATGAGAGGCAAACGCTCCAAACAATATCGCAAACTCCTCAAACAGTTCGAGCTCGCCTTCGGCTTCCGTCAGCCGTACCAGGTCATCGTCGACGCCGAACTCGTCAAAGATGCCCACCGCTTCGCCATGGACCTGCCGCAGTACCTGGCAAACACCCTGCACGGCGAGGTCAAGATCCTGATCACCCAGTGCTCGATGCGCCACCTGTACGCGCAGAACAAGGAGCCCGGCGTGAGCAAGGTCATCGACAAGGCCAAGGACTACGAGCGCCGGCGCTGCGGCCACCACCCGGAGGAGTTCCCCGAGCCCTGCTCCACGCTGGAGTGCCTGAGCAGCGTGGTCGGCCCCAAGAACAAGCATCGATACGTCGTCGCCAGCCAGGACACGGAGGTCAGGTCCAAGATGAGGGGGATCCCCGGCGTGCCGCTGGTGTACATCAACCGGTCCGTCATGATTGTGAGTAATAGCGTGGGATATCAGATGCGTCATATACTGTGGTGTGACCGACACTGACTTTGCATAAAACAACAGCTCGAGCCCATGGCTGGGGCGACTACGAGGGTCGTCCAGAAGGGCGAGAGGGCCAAATTCCGCGCCGAGCTGAAGCAGTCCGAGACAGCAACAGGAGATAAGAGGAAACGAGGAGACGAAGACGATAGCGATGCGAGCGGCGAAGGTGAGGGGGAGAAGAAGGATGAGGAGCCAAAGAAGAAGAAGAAGAGGAAGGGCGAGAAGGGACCGAACCCCTTGTCGGTGAAGAAGCCAAAGAAACAGTCACAGCAGCAGGAGAGCGGCTCAAAATCAAAACAGGACGAGAAGCCCAAGGACGATGCATCATCAGAGCAGCCCGCTAAGAAGAAGCGGAAACGGAGAAGCAAGAAGACGGGCGATGCGGATGAAGTGGAGGCACAGGACGTCACGTCGGGCACGGCTGAGGCACAACATACTGCGTCGGTTGCCGCTGAGGAGTAGGGTGTTGATGCATTTGAAGCGTCTTTCGTGATCACCGTTCGATCATAGCGCAGGTAGCTCACGGCGTGGTAACGATGTGCCAATCTTGAGGCATAGACGGACGGCAGGTGATATACCGTACAAGGTGACACTAGGAGAAATGATACCACTTGCTTAATTTGCACGAATCATTCCACAATTACAGAGCACGAGTGGGACACATGGTGTCAAAGACGGAGATGCGAGGGCCCTGAATCTGCAATATGCCCATGAATCCGATCAATCAGTGCCGACAAAGCGACAGATTGTTTGACAGCTAACGATGCTGGGAAATGTGTACATCAAATATCCAAGCGGACTCGGGCGAATCCAAAACACATCAACACACAGCTAGCCGCCTCCGAGAAGCCACCGGTTTTCTCCCCAGTCAACCACAAATGAAAACAAATAGAGCAAAGAAATCATAAAGGAAACGCAGCTATGGGACACCATCCACAGAGGCTATCAATCAAAAGGCTTTTTCCGCCGTAAACATACCCCCTTCCATGTTCAGCCTTCACCTCGATTTTGGGGTGCCTTTCCAGTGCATCCATCATTCATCATAGCCGTTATCGTCGTCATTCGTGGCAAGTGCTCAGGCATGGAGAGCTCCTGCTGTTGGACAACGGTTGTTCACGAGAGCATTGACTTCGTGACAGCAACGTAGATAGTTGCGGAAAGCCCCTCATTTTCTCCCGCAAGTCTGGAGAGAAGTAGAAGACCAGCGAAGGCGGCTGGCGAGACAGATAAAAAATACGAGTGGGGGGGATTCGGTTGCCCCCTCAGCAGCGCGGAGGCTGCAATCGATCGACCAGCATGACAGGTTTATTAGCTGGCAATTTTGTTTGTTGGCAATATTTCAGACAGAAGTTTCTTCTTCTTGTGTTGTTGAGACATGTGCAGCATTGTCGTAAGAACCAAAGCGGTTCCGTTCATGGACAAGCACAGAGCTTTGCGAGGCACAAGCACTGTTGGTAGACAGCAGTCCCGTTGGGAGGATCGATCTGTAAATCGATCATACAACTGCGCGAGTTCCAGTATCGTCAGATCTGCTTTCTTTGCTGGCATTTTGAAGAAAGTATGGAGAAACTTACGCCATATAGGCAGACAGAGATCAGTGTGAAAGCAGTCTTCAGCCCGCTCGGATGGCAGTCAGAGACGAACGCCCATCGCTGTCGTGATCTATCACCCCAAATGCGCATATGGTCAGTGATCTCTTCGCTCCCGGCAGCCCCAATCGAGAGTTCAATACATACCGTCATCATCATAATCATCATCCTCACCTCTACCAAACTTGGTAGGGAGGTCCTCATCACTCGTGATCTCACGGATCGACAGAATGGTCACAGTGTTGCCAGGAGTGGTCGAGTTGACATGGTGGACGGAGGTCTTGCCGTCACGCCACGCATAGGAGTCCGTGCCGGAACGGTCCTGCTCCATTGCGGCTCCGTCGTCTTCATCCTCGTAAATCTTCCACTGCGGCTCAGCGCGGGGCGTCGTCTGTGACTTTCCCTGGTATTGCGGACCTCCGCTCATGTATTTCTGCTGCATGTATTCAAGGACCTCTTCGTGCGTGGGAACCCAGGTTTTGGAGGAGCTGTTGGCGGTCCAAACCTTGTTGCCCTTGTCGGTTCCTGTGTAACCAAAGTCCTCCGAGGCATAGTTGCCACCGTCTCCGAAGGCTGTGGCCTGCCGAGGGAAGTTACTGCTGTTGTACTGGGCTTGGTGTCCATACTGTCCCTGAGAATCATATTGAGCATTGGGACCGTACTGAGTCTGAGGTTCATACTGCGACGAGGGACCATACTGCGACTGGTGACCGTACTGAGTCTGGGCATCGTACTGGGGCTGGTGTCCGTACTGGTAGCTCGGCGCATGCTGAGAGAAGCCGTCGTTGGGGTACGAAGCGTTGTATTCATAGTTGCCCTCAGTGGCGGGGTCGTAGTAGGAATTTCCAGAGAAGTCACGACGACAGTGAGCATCGCTGAAGTGGGCAGCAGAGTCGAAGCTACCACGAGGCCGATCGAAGTCTGGGCGAAGGGCCTCCGCGCCACCGCCAGGGCCGAAGCCGCTAGCACCGTAGCGAGTCTCAATTCCATAGGGACTGCCTGGACTCATGTTGTGACGGTGGTAGTCGTAGAATGAGTGGTCCCGGCTTGGCTGGAAACGAGCCTCGAACGGAGGAGTCGGTGGCATCGGAAAGCCAGACAATGTCCGACCTTGGGCATATCCGCCGGCCATACCGTTCACACCGTGAACTTCTCCGAAGGTCCCATGCGAAGGCAATCCATGATCATCCTCGTGAGCCGGCCACTGAGCTGAGGGGATAGAGCCAAGATAGCTGTGGCGCAGGTTGTCACCAATGTTCATGTCAGCAATGGAATCATCTCGCTCTGGAGGGCTTCCGGTGCTTGTCTCCGCAGGGTTGCGGCGAGGACGGCAGCGAAGAGACGCAGCAGAAGTTTTCGAGGTGCCAGACGGGAAGTTGCAGAACATGCCAGAGCCATCTGTGCCGGACGTGGTGGGTCTACTGCCAGAGTCGGTCTGGTGGTGGACATCCATGGGTGACACTGCGGTGTCAGGTCCGCCGAGACACGTCTGCATGGTCGTGTCGATGTCTGCCTGGCAAGCCTTGTCCGCCATGTCGGTACCGATATCTTTCATTTCGCAGTCGCCATTTCCGTCAGCTCGAGCCAGGTGCTCGATGTCACGGGGAGAAACGTGGTAGGTCTTCACTTTACCTCCAACCAAAGAGCCGCAGCCAGATACAGACTCGACGGAAGGGGGCTTGTAGGAGGAGCCCGCAGAGAGGCGACCTCCTCCATCTCTGGCCTCGCCCCCGAAGTTGAGCGTCCTGTCTGCCTCGAGATGCATATCCTTAAGTTTCTTGATAGGCATGTTGCCCTCGGAAGACGAGGAGGACGAGGAGGAACATGTCTTGGTCTTGAAGGAGCGGTTCTTGAGCAAAGAGCTGGTGGTCTCCCTGGTCCTGAGCAGGCCCTCGCGAGCGTCATTCTCCTTTCCAGGCGCGCGGTTGGACGTGCTGGTGTGGTCGTCCTTGTCCTCCTCGATGGCGCTCAGGTTGGCGTCGTGCACCTGGCGCATGAATGCCTGTTGATTATGATTGGGTCAGTTAACAGTATGAGGTGGAAACCACGTAGGCTGGAGGCGTACCTTGTCAACAGCAGTGGCTTCGCCGCCAATCTCGCTTGCCTCACGGAGATTGTGCTCGTAGCCAGGTGATGCCTCTCGACAAGGCCTGCAGTAATTGGGACCCGACGACTGGCTTGGAGCGAGTTGGTTCTCGCGATGATATTTCTCTGAGCGGACGATGCCACATCCCCAACAGTAATGGCGTTGACCGTACCATGCCAGCGGTTTGCCCTTGAGTTCGTGGCTGATGCGACAACGGCCACACCAATTTGGCTGCATCTTCTGGTCGACTGCAAGAGGGTGACGCTCACGAATTTTGTCAGACCTGATCTTGCCGCACTCGTAGCAGATCCAACGCTGCTTCAGCGGCTCGAGGTAGGGGTCCGCTTTCTTGCCATGCTTGCCGCGCTTCTCGTGGCCGTGTTTAGATCGCCTGGGCGAGCATTTGCGAGAACGATCGTGAGAACGAGAACGCTCTCGTCTGCTAGCTCGAGACATGGTTGAATGTTTGTCAGTGGCTGGGGTCACTTGCGAGTTGGACTTGCAGGTTTGGTGTTTGTCCGAAGGCGATTGTGACCGGTGATGGGAGGTGAAAGGGTTGGTAGGAGAAGAGCTGATGATGGGAACGTAGTGAATGTGTATCTCCTGTTCCGATGACAGATCAGAGGGAGCCACCTTGCGCTGGACCCTCTGGACTTCTTTGAGGTGGCGGTAGAGGGAAGCCTTTCCCTCGTCGTGTTGTGACGCTCCTTGTGAAGAAACCTTTGTCGGTCCTCGTGCAGATTCACTTCGAGTCAAACCTTCGTCCGCATCTGACTCAAAATCGCCATCATATCTATGCGAGATCTTTCTGCGGGAGTCACGATGATTGCTGATATGTGGAGCCATGTTGCTTTCACCGGCTGGATGGTTGCCTCGGCCTCTTGGGCCGTGTTTGCTGTGTTTGCGAGCACGGCGATCCTCCATGGAATTGTCTGAGGTTGAGCTGTAACAACGTGTAAGCTGATGCGCAAAGTTGCAGGTCCCAAGTGCAGCTCACTAGCGACGTCTACTAGACTTCATACTCCTGGCTTCTTGGACTGAACAACGCCACCAGAGGTTCATGAGATGTTTCTATGGCAGTCTTGCAGCAGCCGTTTCTGTTCCCGCAACAGACAGCACTGACAAAGGGCAGTTGGTGGTGGACACTGTGACGAGGTTGCGACAGCGAGGCGGCAGCCCCAAGGAGAGGTGATGAGACTAAGAAAGAAGGAGCGATGTCGTTCGTGAGGAGGCGAACTGACGGAGAGACGTGCAAGATACAGAGAGTTTCCGAAAGGGGAGATCAAGATGGCGTAGTGAAGGGAGATGGAGAGATGGTGAGGGAAGGTTGCGATGAGGCGAGGAAAGCTTACTGCAGCGAAGCAGAAAGTCTCAGAGGGAGCAAGTTGGTGGCAGAAATGGATTGTAGTCAATCCTTTACAACGGCAACACGACTTCGGACGGAAGGTGCCTAAACTTTTGACCAGGAAGTTGTGGTATGGGCAGAACTCTCATGTGAAAAGAATCAGTGATTCAGACGGGGCTTAGCAACCTTGGAGACTATCAGTGGCTCTTCTTCGATTTCGGTGTTGACAGGTGAACGAGTGAGATGACTTTCGACATAGAACTGGCTCACCTTTCTCACCACAGCTAGTGTGAAATATTGGGACAACAACATCTAGATTCAGGCATCACTAGTGAGCAAACGGAGTACACTGTGACCAGTCCAAGGAAATAGCACCATTGCAACAGAGAAAGGGTTCATGAAACAATCTCGAGTCTTCTATTGACACGATCAACTTTTGTACATCGGCGGCTTGCCGAACCACTTTTCCTTGATTCATGGTAAAAATGAAAACCCTTCTACTCGACCTTTTTGTACACAAGTCGCTCTACATCTGCGCAGGAACCTACTCAACTCTGAGTGTTCTCGGGCCTCGCTTTTTGACGGGCTTCTTCTTCTTGTGGCCCTTCTCGAAAGCTGCCACCGCACCATGATCTCTGCCGAAGTTGTCGAGGTCCTTGACCTTGTAAATGCGGATGATCCAGTTCTCACTGGTGAAAGCTTCCTCGACAGTGTTGAGCACTGGGCCCTCTGACGGCAAGCGGGCCCCACGGACACGGTCAGTAACCTGTCCTTTGGGGAAAAGGTTGTGGTAGTTGTAGTACGACATCTTGTACCTATGAAATAATTAGCAAGGAGGTTGGAGCGCATCTGGAAAGAAGGCATAGACTCACATCAACGAGTTTTTCATGGTGTCGGTGGCCTGGTCATCGACACGGTACTCTCCACGAGGTGTGAAGAAATCTCGCTCCTTAACCTCGTCTGGCCAGATGCCTTCAGCAATCCTGACCATCCAGAGGAACTTGTTGATGTCATCGCCCGAGTAGCCAAGGAGACCGCCAAAGACAACAAGGACATAGTCAACCTCATGCTGGCGCATGATGGGGTAGCTAACCTCCTCGCGGGAGCTCATGGCCTTGCCAACAGTTGCGATGTGAGTGTTGTTCCACGTGTTGTTGTCGACAAGAGTGGGCCGGTCAGCCATGCCACCAATTTGGTAGCCATAGTCCCACCAAGACATGATCTTGGCATCCTCCTTGGTGTTCTGTCGCAACCACTGGTACGCCTCACGGTAGTCGTCGATGATGTGCTGGCTACCATCGGGCATGCGACTGGCCAGGACAACAGACGGGGAAGAGTAGGCGTTGGATGTGACCCAAGTACAGTGCATGACGAAAAGGATGAGGTAAACAAGCATTCCCGCGGCCACAACCAACTTCGACGTCTTACTGTAGATCCCAACGATGGGTTTCTTGGACGGGTCCGAGTGCTTATGTTTGCTGCTCTTGTCCTTCTTCGCTGAGACGTCTGCGGCCTCGGCGGCTTCCTCTTGCGGCTCCGGGCTCTCGGCCGACAAATAATTGTCCAAGATGGTCGATGCTGCAATGGCCGCCGCGACAACAACGCAGGGTGTGAGCGTGAGCATGAGACGAACCATGACACCAGCAAAGTAGCTGCCAAGCACAGCATAGCTGATGAGGAAGATGTGCTCGTCGCCCAGCCTGTCGAAGCACAGATAAATGCCAGCCGGGAAGAGGTAGATCAACATGTTCAGGTCAAAGAAGAATGCCGGCCAGGCGGTCGGCTGGTGCTCTGAGACTGATGCAATGATAGGGATGTGGATCTTGGCGTATCCGGTGTCAAACAGCGAGTAGAAACGCCCTCCCCAGGCTGCAATTTTGCCTGCCTTGACGAGGACAACGTTTGCAGCGATGCCAAGAACGATGAGACCAAAGAACGACACCCAACGCCACTTGTTGACCACCTTAGGGTCGAACATGCCCGTGAACCAGTTGAAGAATCCGTAGAATTGCATCAAACCAAAGACGCCTAGTCAAGTCAGTAAGAGCCATCCCGCGTTAATAGGAACATAGATTGGCTTACCGAGAGCTCCGAAGTGGTCGCTGGTGCTGATGGCAAGGAAGTTGATGAATGGGACCTGCATGATGCCCAAGAATCCGATGGCGTAAAAAGTGGTGTAAGCGACATAGAGCCGGTTGCTGTACCTGCCCGAAACACAGAGCATGAGACTGTGGACGGCGATCAGGTTGTCGATGAAAGTATATCCACCCCATGACGCGGCCATCCAGTCGTAGGAGAGTGCACACAGAGCGGCCCACATGATGGAGCCCTGCTTGACAGCCTTGATCCAGAGGAAGAAGGTGAGGACCAGCAAAAAGATGGCGATGGCCTCGTTGTCATAGCTGCCAGCTACGGACCTGGAAATGTACCCGGGGGCGATGCCCATAAAGGCCGCGGCTAGAAGTCCGGCAGATTGGGAGGTAGACAACTCATTGGTCAACCAGTATGCTGCGAGGGCTGTGAGACCAGAGAAACCCGGGGCGAGCAGGACGCAGATGTTTCGAATGTCGACGGGAATAGTCAGCAGGCGGAATAGATGGTAAATGATGCCGCTGGTGGCCATGAGGCCGGGGTACAGAGTTCCGCCCGTGACACGGCCAAGAGGATACCATGTTCGGTCGTCAAACCAGTCCCAGAAGCTGTAGAATCCATTTGCGACCAGGTACTTGGTAGCCCTGAAGTTGAACCAAGGGTCGACTAAAGAAAGAGAGGTGTCAGCGATCAGAGCTGGTGGTGAGGCAAGGCAGCGCTCGGGTGGGCTGGCGATCGAGGCGCGAGCCGAAGGTATACTGACATTCGTGGATGATACTCTCGAAACCTGTGGAAGACAGCTGTTAGCATGATTCAAATATACCGAATAGACGGTTCAATTGATCACGTCCATAGATACTGCATGCCATGGTGGAGATAGGAATCAGCTTCGTGGGGACGCGAGGCAAATATACTCACGGATGACAGAGAACAAACGGCTGGCGACGGCGGCTCCAGCGATCAAGACGAGGATGACAACACGGAACAGAGCTCTTGTGTTCTGTCCCTGGCTGCTGCCAGAAAGAAGAGTAGGAACGCCAGCCGACATGGTGGGCTGATTGATAAAGAGGAAAACAGGCTAAGCCTGAGGAAAGGAAGGTGGGAGTGTCGTCGTTGTGTTCAGGCAGTGGTGTTGACAATCCCCCGATAGCTCCAGAAATACGTCGCCTGTAAGAGGTTCAGGACAGTTTGAAGCTTCGTCAGTCTCCAAGCTGGCGTGCGGCAGTAAGTCTTGGCGGCAGGGGCTATAAGGTGTGGGTCCGTTTTGGAACGGGTGTGTGTACCTCGAATATGGGAAGCTCGGGCCATCCAATCTTTAACAAGTCAGACCTCAAGAAGCTCCCTTTGGAAGCGCCATGGCCTGCAGTAGGAGTGAGAGTACCCATGACCGTTCATTTTGTTCCCTGTGCACAAGCCTCGAGATGTTAGACTGAGCATCCCCGCTATGTGGAAATACTTGAAGGTCATTGAATAGCTTGCTGGTCCTTATCTACCATATATCAGCCAGTGTATTCCTCCAGGGCATTACCAGGGTCGCTTCCGTACTGTGCCTAGGCATGTGAGCTCTAGCATATCAAGAACTGCTCTATTTATTTAGCCTGTACACCTGGAGAATAGAAACCATCAATTTGTGACCTGACACCATAAGCCACAAAGTTAGAAGATGGCAGGTCACAATTAGATGATTCTCTTCTTTAAGGAAGACCCCCACTACAGCTTGCTTGAAAGGCCAACTTGAAGCCAGTATAATTTAAACGTGAGAAATGATAGACAGGCCATCATACGGCTTGCAGAGAACCCAAGGGCTTGCCAGGTACCTAGAACTCTCCGGAAGAAGCAAAAATCTTTTACCTAGATATAGCGATTGTCATCCTCCGAGTTATCTCAGGGAAGTATGTACTGTTTAGGTCATAGGTTTGAGGCCCCTGCGAGTTGTAGAAGGAGACAACCTTGGAAGTTCTGTAGGCAGTGCCAAGAATAGCAATGTCATTCATGTTCTCATTTCACAGCTGGCTGCATCAGGCCCTGTACCAGTCCCTACGTGCAGATGTGTCGTAATGCCCACAAGTCGGAAGACTCCTGCTGGAGGGCTGTCAGCTTCTGCATGTTGCAGTCAGACTTCACTTGAGGCCTTGATTGCCATGACGTAGATCAACTCGGCGGCTGCTGGACTCCTCTCTGACTTCACCAGCAGCCAGAGGCTCAGTCCTGGACCTACTCTGAGCCATATACGAGAACGGTCTGATCGGTCACCATTGCGTGGTTTAATAAGTCCTTTGACATGCCGTCTAATTTAATATTGTACAGTCGCATACTTTTCGGATAGGTTTCTAGGTCGGTAAAAAAGGTCTAATGCCGCAGTCCTCATGGATCGGATTATCGCGTGGATCTGCTTTTTGTGTGCTTCGGCCAGGCCATCCATCGTTCCGAAATACTGTCGCATAGGGATCGTATCGCCTCCCCGCAAAAACCGCCTGCCTGCCTGCCGTGCCGTGTGAGCTTGGCCTGTCCTCTTTCCCGCCTGGTCCTAACCGCAACTACTCCTTTTCCAAGGTCTCCATTCGAATGGCCACTTTCACCAGCTCTAAGGGCTCTCCTTGACCAGGGCGTTGAAGTATGCCTCCAGGTCGAAGTTGGAGCTCATTGGATCTTGGTTAACTAATACTGGCGTAAGCTTGTGCCCTCTTTTTGTGACATTGTCCGGACAGCGCCCAGGTGTGAAGCTCTGGTTTGATTCCGGAAGTCGGTACTCACGTCCGCCAGTTGCAGAGCCCAGGGGTGCTGGGTTCTTCTTTCTCGCGTACTCCTCCTTAGCCTTCTGTATTAATTGCTGCTTGTGCTCATAATCACGCTTCTCCGAAGCTACCCTGTTGGCCGCGTTGATCGATCTTTGATGAGAAAAGCCGTAGAAGACGCCGAAGGCTAGGGCGGAGTACCGGAGTACCTGAAGACAAGTCTGTCAGCATCATTACTTCCAATGTCCCATCTCTGACGAGCAATCCATCTGCGACAATATGCGACGGAGATTGGGTTGAGGTCGTTGCGCGAGAAAGGGCTATCGCATGCGGTGCTCTGGAATGACATACGTTGACTCCGGATGTGGCAGACATTGGGAGATTGGTTGGCGCCTCGCGACCGCTGGTGACACAGGGGAGAAGGATTGAAAAACAGATCGCGGGGCGGGCAATTGATGTCAATTGACCCGGTGGGGATGGTCGTCGAGCCGAGTCGGGGAGAGTTGAATGTCGTTTAGGAGCTGGGCGTTGCGAAGTTTGTCTGTCGGGAATTTTCGCCGGGCAGAGCTCCCAAGCCAAAGCAGGCTTGCTAGGATGGGGATGGCTGACCACCGAATGAATGAACGGGCTGGCAGCGAGGCAAGAGCGAGCACGGACGTTCCCGGTTGCGGGAGGACGCCAGGGTGTGCGGCTACGACTCAAGGGCCAGCGGGCCTGCTGAGCAACCTGAAGAAGCCCCGTACCCAACTCCTCTTTGGCGCTACCGGCGCATACCGACCCCCTGGCGCGAACGCGCTGTTGACATTGGACCCAAGGAGCATTGAACACATGAGGAGCAAAGCATTCAAAGTACAAGACGATCAATCAACCAACTCACATCGAAAGCCCGACAACAAAGATACGAACTGCAGTCCCAGATATCTTCTTCAAAGAACCTCCTCCTACCACTGATCCTAAAAGTCCTGGAAATGGGCTGTTGAACGGCAGCACACCGCACCGCAATGCAACAACGTCGAGACGAGATTCTCGCGAAGAAGGCGAAGCTCGCAGAGCTCAAGCGGCAGAGAGAGCTTCGCGCCACTCAGAATGGACCCGGTCGCCCAAGTTTCAGCGGCACTGATGTCAGGCGCCTCCTGTCCACAGTGTCCCCTCCAGGCCGACTTTACTGACCAGCTTGCAGTTGATCTCGCCAGCGCCTGCCCGAGCTGACAATCGTCGAGAAATCGAGTCCCTTATCAACAGTCTAGTTGGCGAGAGTCGTCCTGGCTCGGTTACTACAGGTGGCGCTGCATCGCCGGCACACCGAGGAAGCCGTCCAAACAGTGTCCTGAGTGCTGGAGAGACAAGCAATGGAGCCATCTCGGAGTTCACGTCACCGCCCGGCATCGAAATTCCAGGTCAGACCGTGTATAGCCAGCCACAGACCCTGAGCACGGTCGCTTTGACAACGATATACGAGTGTCCGCCTTCACCGGTAAAGGAGGTATTCTCTTACAGCAAGGGTGTGCAGACGTCCGAGGACTTGTTCCCAGCAGCGGCACGACCACGGGCATTCTCGCTCGAGTCCTTGCCTGAGGATGCGTCGTCGACATCCAACAAGCGCATGAGCAGGAGAGAGCGAGACCGGGAGGAAGAGCTGCGACAAAAGCTTCGGAGGGAAATAGAGGAGGAGCTCCAAGCAGCAAAGGACTTGACGGCAGAAGGCGATGTTAAGAAAGCGGCCTTGCCGGACTCAAGCTTCGCTACGAGGACCTTGACGAACGACGAATTGAACGCGATTGTCTCATCGGACGAGTTTGTGGACTTTTTTGATCGATCATTGAAGGTCATCGAAAAGACTCTGGATCAATATGATGTTTTAACAGACTACACGCTAGGAGCGCAGGACATCGAGGACGAGGACGAACAAGGCAACGTCGGGGGCAAGGGCCGACGCAAGGTCAAGGAGATAAGTCAGTTTTACGACGAACGGTGGTCCAAGAAGCGCATGGTCAGCGCTATAGACTTTTCCCCAAAGTTTCAAGAACTGGTTCTGGCGTCATACACAAAGAACCCCTCGGCGCCGCATGAGCCTGATGGGGTTGTTCAAGTTTGGAACATGAACCTGCACGATCGACCCGAGTTTGTGTTCCACGCACAGTCCGACATTCTCACCGCCAAATTCTCACCCTTCCACCCCAACCTCATCGTGGGCGGAGCATACAGCGGACAGGTCCTACTCTGGGACACGAGAGCTCGATCTGCGCCAGTCCAGAGGACGCCACTTACAGGCTACGGACACACACATCCCGTTTATGCTGTCGATATAATCGGCACACAGAACGCCAACAACATCATTTCATGCTCCACCGACGGTACGGTATGCGGCTGGGCGGTTGATATGCTGGCCCAGCCTGCGGAGACACTCAATTTGCAGGCGCCACCACCCAACAAGACTGACTACATCAGCCCTCTTTGTCTGTCCTTCCCACAGACTGACCCGACCTTCTTTTTGGTCGGCACAGAGGAGGGCACCATCTTCCCGTGCCACAGATACGACCGCGCTGGTGCCAAGGCTGGTGTCGATCCACGGGTGAGCTACAAGGGTCACGCCGGTCCCGTCATGTCCCTCGACTTCCACCCAGCCAGGGGACCTGTTGATCTCGGCGACCTGGTCATCTCCAGCAGCCTGGACTGGAGCGTGAAGCTCTGGAAGGTGCGGGCACCTGCCACGACGTCCGGCATCGGTGGTGCCGGTGCTGGAGGCGAGGGTGCGGTGTCACACCTGATGGAGTTCGTCCGCGAGGACGTGGTCTACGACGCCGCCTGGTCACCTATCAAGCCAGGCGTCTTCTCGCTTGTCGATGGCGCGGGCTGGCTTGAGCTTTGGGACATCACCGTAGAGACGGAGGAGCCGGTGGCGAGGATCAGCCCCAGCTCGAGGAAGGACAGCCGGGCCATGCTTTCCAAGAGCTTGAACAAGGTGAAGTGGGAACAGCAGGAGGGTAAGCGGTTAGCCGTTGGCGGCATCGATGGCGCCTTGACGGTGTTCGAGGTTGGCCCAGACTTGGGTGGCAAGGAGAACCTCAAGAATGAGGAGTGGACAAACGTCAAGAAATTGGTAAATAGAGTGGAGGCGGTTGGTGTGAATGGTGCGACGGATATGTAGGGGCGACGAAAGGGATCATGTTCGGATCGCATAATCTCCTGAGATGTGCCTGCTTTGGACACAGAGCTCGAGCTGCGAGGGTGCTTCTGGCGTCATGAGCTTTATGAATATACCCCAAGTACAACCAGGACTTTCTCGTGATTCACAAAAAAACAACGTTCTTCCTGAATGTTTCAAGGAAGACACATCTGTATGCTGCGCAAACCTCAGATACGCCCAGAGCCTTGTTCTGCTGTGACCGTCCGGGTGAGGAGCAGATCCCTGTACTGGGTAATTACATAAGCGGTTGGTAGGTCAGGTAGCTTCGACTTTTCGGGCCGCAGGGGGGCGAGTCTAGCAGGTCAAGCGAGCGACACCCGTCTCTACGAAATTTTTTGGATTCTCTGCCATCATACATTTGTCGCCATCTTCAACCAAGTTATTTCTTCCACTTTACGATCGCAACTGCTTGGGGCATATCTTTTTTGGGAAGACTACATATTCTCAATCTATTCAAAATGTATGTGACACCAATTCCTACTAACCTGGCCATCCTAATTCGCATTCGATTGGATTTATTCTAACGCTCCACTTCTGTTTACAGGAACTCTCTCAGACGCGCCGCATTGAGGGCCGCCGTTTCGGCGTCCCGTGCCCCTGTGGCCAAGGTCCAAATTCTCGGAGTCGCGACACAGATCTCTGCACCAAGGATAATTGTACCATCGGCTGTGCGCTGCTTTTCCCAAACCCTGCGTGTCGCCAGCGAGGAGCCTGCACCCAACGTCGCTGAAGGTTAGTGGCTCAGAGTCTGGCAGACATGCTTTCAGAGCGCGTCATGATCAATCGCAAGGCACTGACAAATTTGCGCAGCCGAGAAAGCTGGTCGTAATGGAGAGGAGCCTGGTTTCGGCCTGTTCGTCCGGAACATGGTGTTCGAGGCAAACGAGGACCACCTAAGGGAGGCTTACGAGAAATACGGCGAGGTCACCAAGGCGGTTGTCGCACGAGATGCTCGCGGTCTCAGCAGAGGGTATGTCATGACACAGTTGCTGCAGGGCATGGAGTCAGGCGTCGCTTTTCCTTATTTACTAACTCTCGCCTTGCCGCAGATACGGATTTGTGTGGTTCACCGATAAGGTAGCCATGGAGAAGGCCGTTGAGGGCACCAACTCGTCGTTCTGGCACGGACGCCGCATCCAGGTCTCACCCCGGACAGCCAAGTCTAGCAGGAACGAGTCGACCATGGGACCAACCAAGTCCCTGTACGTCGGCAACATCCCTTACGAGACGACCGACGCCGAGCTGAACCGCATCTTCCGCGAACTGGATAACGTGACCGACGTCCGTGTCGCTGTTGACCGCACCACGGGATGGCCCCGTGGCTTTGCCCACGCCGACTTCACCGACGTGGAGTCATGCCAGGAGGCGAAGAACAAGCTGCAGGGTACAACTATTGGTGGTCGGGAGTTGAGGCTCGACTTTGCCTCTGAGGTCGTCAAGTCCAGCAACAGGCGATAAACGACAGACAAGATGTAGTAGTGGATGGAGCTCGGAACGATGCGACGATCGGAGGATGAGACTGGGCAGAGTGGCTACGCGGACTTGATGTGCCGCAGGAGACAGGATCAGCTCTTTGAGCTGTTCAACCTCATGGCTATCGACGATAACCGGATGCGCGGAGAGAGCAAACTCCTCCATGATTACTAAGGCCAGCGAGATTGCCGCAGACCGATGTGTCTGCTGGGCTCGACAAGGGCACCAACACGAGAGGACTCTGGAATCGAGTCACGAACCATTTCAAAATGTACATGTAGAGAGCTCAACTAGATCTGGTGGGCGGCGTTCTCGGCGTGTCGTCGGGGATTTGCTACGGCGCTCTCAGACTTTATTTAGTGTACGAATCCCGAACGATGAGAAATCCCCCCTTCTGAACTCCAAATGTGCCAAGTCTGCATAAGGAAGTGGATTCATACCAACTGTTCCGAGGTGGTTGGATGACGGCTCACGACGAGATTGAGCATAGATATCGGCTGCGTCTCGACTACATCGAGGGTGAAATGTGGAAGGGTCAAGTCTATATGGTCAAATCCAACTATATTCCTACGCTGTGTGTAACCACTCAACGCGTCGAATTCGTTCCGAGGCTGACAAAATGCGTGGGAGTGGCAGTCCACCTAAATGTTGGTAGTCTAGTCGTTGGCACACAGTATCGGAAGCTCGCAACTGCCTCGGCAAGTTTTAAACTTCAGGCGCCGCTCGGCTGGGACGCTGCGGTAAATGGGCCGTGGGCGGGCCCACTTCCCCAACGTTTGCCCCTCACATGTGCAGCCCTGTGAACAGTGAACAGTAATGTTTCTTGCCGCTTGCTCCATCCCCTCGCCTTCGGACGACTTCAACATCCTCTATTAGTTTTTACACATACCTGCAGGTGGTCTCTCCTCCTCCTCCATTCTTTCGCAAGACACAGTATTCTATTCGAGGCTAGTAGTCACAGTACGGCACTGTTCACCTGTTGTCCCTCTCACCTTACTACTTTCTTCTTCCGGCAGTTCCTAGGAAGGTCCTCCGAGATCGACACACACACACACACACACACCACACCCCAGGCAAAGAAACACACCCAACACACAATGTCGTTTCTTTCAGGAGGAGCCGAGTGCTCGACCTCGAATCCCATGGGCCAGCTGAGCAAGCATGCTCAACAAGACAACAGCCTCCAGCGGGATCGCTTCGTCAACAATGGCCCAGGCAGCTCTGCCCAGGGCTTCCGAACCAGCGCCGGCCCAAGCACCCCGGCCCTCGATGGCCAGATGAACGCTTTCATGCAACAGAGCCCAAATATGCCGGAGATGGCCTTCGACCGGTTACAAAGGCCAGGGCCTGGCGGTGGACAGCTTCAGATTGATCCTCCTCACCAGGGCGTCCACCTGCGGGCACAGTCTGCGTCGCCATCGTTCTCGCCGTCCTTCTCTCCAGACGAGTTCGCAAAGTTCCAGCAGGCAAACCGCTCCATCGCACAGAGGTCAAGCCCCGCACCACAACAGCAGTCCATGGCAGTGTCGACCTACCAACGGCCGATGATGGGCAGTGGGATCTACAGCCCCATGTCATCTATGGGCATGATGCAGCAGCCTGGCATGTACGGCGGCATGCCCATGTATTCTCAACAAGCCCCGATGCAGGCCGATGTCAAAGGAAAAGGGAAAGCAGTCGAGACCGAGGAGTCAACACAGGAGCTGCAAAAGAGATTCGAGGAGCAGTTCAACCTGCACGAGGAGGACGGAGTCGAGGAAATCGAGCGGGAGCTCAACGCTATGGACGAGAAGCTGGTGGAGTCTGAGACAGGATTCGGGGACTTTGAGTCGATATGGAAGGGCATACAGGATAATGAGGCGGCCATGCGAGATATGCCGGAGCAGGACCTCGACATCAAATGGGGCGATGGCCTGGACTCGTGGAACCCAGCCCGAGGCATGTCGGCAGACCCTCTGATCGAGGACTACATGTTCGAGCAAGACAATCTGTTCAAAGACCAGGCAAATCCTTTCGAGGAGGGTGTACGGATCATGGACGAGGGTGGGAACCTGTCCTTGGCCGCACTGGCTTTCGAAGCCGCTGTTCAGAAAGATGCAGGACACGTCGAAGCGTGGGCTCGCTTGGGCGCAGCACAATCACAGAACGAGAAGGAAGACGCTGCTCTCCGCGCATACCAGCGCGTCCTGCAGCTCGACTCCGGCAACCTCGACGCCCTCATGGGTCTCGCAGTATCATACACAAACGAAGGCTACGACAGCACAGCATACCGCACGCTAGAGCGCTGGCTCTCGGTCAAATATCCACAGGTGATCTCACCAGACAAGCTGTCCGACCCAGCCGAGATGGGCTTCACGGACCGCGCGGACCTACATTCCAAGGTGACAGACCTGTTCATCCAGGCAGCCCAACACGCCCCAGATGGCGAGCACATGGACCCGGACGTGCAGGTCGGGCTGGGCGTGCTGTTCTACGGAAGCGAGGACTTCGACAAGGCGGTCGACTGCTTCCAAGCCGCCCTTGCGAGCAGCGAGCTGGGCATCGCCAACCAGCGGAACCAGCGACACCTCCTCTGGAACCGGCTCGGCGCCACTCTGGCCAACAGCGGGCAGAGCGAGCAGGCCATCCACGCGTACGAGCAGGCCCTTGTCCTGCGGCCCAACTTCGTCCGCGCGCGGTACAACCTGGGCGTGAGTTGCATGAACATCGGCTGCTACGAACAAGCGGCCGGCCACCTGCTGTCGGCGCTCGACATGCACAAGATGGTGGAGAAGGCCGGGCGCGAGAAGGCGAGGGAGCTGCTGAGCGGCACTGGCGACGGCGGCGACGTCAGCGAGGAGCACCTGGACCGCATGACGACGCAGAACCGTAGCACCACTCTCTACGACACGCTGCGGAGGGTGTTCACGCTCATGAGCCGGCGCGACCTCAGCGAGAAGGTCGTCTTCGGCGTCGATCCGGACGTGTTTCGCCCCGAGTTCGAGTTCTAGATGAGCTCCGTCCCTGGAACCCTGGGGCATACCATCCCGTGGGATCGAGTCAGCCGCCGAACGCCCACGATCAGGACTACCTGGGAGAGGCAGTCTCGGACCCATGAGGCCTACCTTATATTGGAGTGGAGGTGTAACGACTGCATCGAGCGGAGGGGTATATGCTCGATTGTGCATCCGGGGGGTTTCCTCGCGTCTCCAAGCCAGCGGGTCTTAATACCGTGGGGCCGTTTGTGTCACTTATGAAAGACACCCGACAATCCTCAAGCGATTAGTACGTCTTTAGATGGACCCAGCTTCTGAGCAAGCGTTTGGGGGCCAGATGAGGCAGGTCCCATGATGTCTCTGCATTCGTTAAATAATTATGGGCATTCATGATCGCATCTTCTTACACCAGGCACACAGACATGCCAGAGCGAGGCATTCATTAAAAGTCGGTAGCGGAGGCATCAAGTACACGGGCCGTGTACACTTTTGTATATCTATGGGTATCAAGCAGATTCCAGCAAAGGGCTTTATCAAGCAAGCAAGAATTGTTCAGTGCAGTGTTGAACATCATTGTCCTCCACTTCGAAGCGACCTCTCGGAGCGCATTGCCTTTGTAATCGCGAACAGCCATTAATAGACGCTCGACGTGATATGTGTATCTAGGTGTGGGTGCTCTCCAGGCGACGTCAACTGGTGTCGTTCCTGAGCCCTCCAATTCAGCAAAGTCAGGGGGCATGCCCCAAATCATGGCCCCGTCAGTGCAGATATCGTTGTATCGTCCGCAACGCAGGCAGTATCATGACTTCATTTCACGCCAATGAACGCGATGCCATTCCTCGCCTTCTGCGCCGCCTTCTTGAGGGCCTGCTCCTCGCGGTCCGTCCACTTGACACTGAGCTGGTCCCACTTGGAGCCCGGCGTGTTGTACTCCCGCTTCCACTGGGCGTGCATGGCCTGCAACCGGCTCATCTCGCGCGGGTCACCGCTGCCGCTGAGCACGATGAAGGCGGTGCACGGCGGGAGTGCGTCGTGGATGCGCTTCAGCCTCGCTGCAAGGCTGTTGAGGCAGGTTTCGAGAACCGGCTTCTCACGCGGCTTGTTGGCCTCTGGCTCACTTTCCGGCGCTGCTAGGCTATTCATGTCGAGGACGGCGTTGGCGAATACGGAGTCTTGTGAGTCTGTGCCGGGCTTGGTTGCGAATGGGTTGTTCTTTGAGGCTGCGTGCGCTTCTTCAAGTTCTTTGGGTGGCCCCGCGGCGTCGTCGGCATCCGTTTTGGCGCGGTTCCACCAGCCCTGGAGAGCCTCGAGCTCGCGCATCCTCGCCCAGACGAAGTCCACACCTCCTCCCTTGACCACCGCGCCATCTGGATCTCCTTTCACTGCGCGGAGTATTCCCTGCTCCACGTCCGCATCACTGTTGCAGCCGTCCAACACAATATCCGCTAGATTTGCAACACTGCGCTTGGCATCACCCCAATCGACGGCCGCGGTGGACTTGCCCGTCGGAGCGCCCCCTACAGCATTCTGTCCCCCTTGAGCTTTGTAGCTGACACCAGAGCGGGCCAGGCGCTTGAAGAGGTTCTCGCCTGATGCCTCACCTGCGGCCCAAGCTTTGCCTTTCTCACACTTCTTCTTTACCAGATCCAGGCACGTTCTAGCATCTTCGATACTGTCGTGGCCACTGCTGGTATTGTCACCCTTTTGCACCTCACGGTTGAGGTACTTTTGAGCGAGCCACTTCAAAGAGTGCTTGAACGGCTGGCCCTTGGGGTGGGGGAAGATGACTGAGGTGTCGACGATAAAGGGATGTGTCATCTTGAGGGCTTTCATGTCTGAGTCGAGAGAATGACCGACAAGAATCGTCCGTGGGGTGATCAGATCGACCAGGCGTCGTTGTATATCAGCTAGGGTTGTCGTCACCGGGTCGATCATTTCTTTAGTGATGCCTGAGAACCTCGTAACGTAGTCTATGATAGGCTTGTCTGGCTTGACAAGCTCGTCGAGGACCACTGTGCCGTCCCAGTTGACAACACTGATCCGTGTGAGGGAGAATTCCTTCTCTCCGGTCATACACATCTCGCAGTCTATGGCCAAGACCTCGCGCCCCGCAGTGACGCTGCCCTGCTGCACTTCATTTTCAGGCACATCGCCATCCTCAAACTTGTCCACTTGAGTATGAGTCCAGCCTTCCGGGTCTGTGAAGGCTTCGCGTTTCTGGTCTGGCAGGAGGCATGGGTGGACAGAGAATCCATTTTCGACGTATTGCTCTGGCGTTAAGATGAATTCTGTGATGCGAGTCCTCACGTTCTGCCAGCCCTGTGGATCTCTGACTGGCTTAGGGCCCTTCTTCCCCTTGTCCTCAGCACTCTTTGGAGCAGGCGCTGTAAGAAAGGTGACAATGGGAGAATGCAAGCGGCCCTGCTTGTCGTCGCCAGTGGCTCTCACCGGCCAAAGGTGGGGAAACATGGCAGCAAATGGCTTGAGAGCTTCTGGCAGCTTATCTCCTGAAAGAGGACGGGGGTAATAGTCATCAGGTGATGTCACCAGCCGCTCGACCGCTTGGGCGGGCGTTTTGGTGTTGTAGATGGAGAAGTCCACGTTCTGCTTGAACATAGCCTCCTCCAGCCCAGGTACAAGTACAGTGACAATCTTTCTGAACTGTGGCCTGTGCTTGACCGAAACCCATTGAGGAGCTGTGCCGTCAGCCATGATATACAAGACAAGGTCCCTCAACTGGTTGATGTTGACCTTGGACTGGAGCCTCGCTTGATTTGAAAAAGTAATGGATGGATAGTTGGTCCCTTCTGGCTTGGGTGTCTTTTTAGATTTCTTGGTGGGGCGACGTTCGACAGTGTGCCAGCCATCATCGCCAACCTCATCTTGTTGTCCATCATCAGCCCTTGACCGTTTCACCCCAGCGCTGGATTCGCTGTGTGATGAGGCAGAGGCAGAGGCAGTGTCCTGGAGTCCACCAGCAGCAGCAGACGACTCGCCCGCGGAGCCATTAGCCCTGACCTCATCCATGGTGGAAGAGGGCAAATGGGCACTGGAGACCGATATGAAGCTGCGTGAAAGTACGTATTCGCAGCGTAATTCAGATGCAGGAAGGTTTTGGTGAAATGGCGATGAGCTGATGGTTCTGGTGGTGAAGGCGAGGCAGACTTGCGGGCTTGCCCTTTCCCGAAAAAGTTGGCTTATCTTATCGCACTACGTACCTATTTACACTGCTTGCATGATCTACAGGGACTCCTTCTCAAGCGCAGGGGTTTTGCTGCACCGTCCCGCAAGTACCGCCCCCAAGCTTCCGCCTCTGCAGTGAATCGTGGAACCACATGGGGAACCAGCAAGGGTGGTCAAGGTTGTCAATCTCGCATATCCACGATGCTGACTGCAAGAGTAGTGGACATTTATAGAAGTCGATGCCTGGCCTGGCCTCGATACAAGCTGAAGAGGCTAATGGATCTCATGAATTTGGAATACTTAGCGAAAATGCTTAGCGACTTCAATGTGTCTGACGAGAATTGACATCGTTTGAATCCTTTAACTCCGAAATGTCTCTTTGTTTCCAATCGGGTCAGAATTCTATTGTTATATTTCTCCGTCTGCTCACTCGTGTAATCATCACACGCCTGGATTACCTTCAAAATGGGCTCAATCGGACATGAGACGAGGGCGAGGCAACAATATCGCCAGAATTTCAATGCTTTGGCACTCAAACTTGGCATCACAGAGTAACTAAGGCGATTTCGCATACAATTTGTGAGTTTCGGACCCAGATTTGTGTCTTCAGAACTGCGGATAAATCTTAAAATCTAAGACAGTACGGGCCTTGATACACTTCGCTGCTCATCAGAGAAGAACTACAGGAATCACTCGAGACTTACAGCTCACGGAGATCCCAAGTCTGGGTCTAACCTATCCAGGGGGTTAACCACCAGTGGGATATTATACCAAAAGGATGACTTCTGACGTCTCTCAAGATAGTCTCTGAAAGCCGCAACTAAGTGTGGATTTTCTCGATTCGTTTCTGTGCCTGTTGGGCGCCCGGCAAGCCTTTGGAATGTCTGCGAGCTGTAATTATTCATGTCCAATGGGGCTGCCTATTACTCAGACATTTACGGTCAAACAAGGCTTCTCGCGAACAGTGACATCGATCCTTCGTGGCTTTCTCAGCACTTCACCTCTCTTAGTCGACCTTGTCCACCTCCAGGATGGGCTCATCGGTCTCGAAGTCCCCTTTCATAATATCCACAGCAAACCCAGCAAGGTCCTCAATTGGCAGAAGGATCTGCTCTTTGAAGTACTTCGTGCCGGCCTCGTCCTTGCTCCCAACCCATCCCCGCAGCAGCGCAGCCTCCTTCTCCCGGCCCGGCAGGCTCGCGATGTCCTGAAGCATGCTCCTCGCCAGTTGGAGGATCTCCCACTCCTCCGAGTGGGCTGTCGGGCCGTACTTCTCCACCATCAGCGCCAGGGCCTCGCAGATGGCCACCTGGTCCGCCTGGAGCAGGCACACCATCACCCGCTGATCGGTGATGTCGGTCAGCGCCTTCATGGCCGACGGCGGCGCAGTGTTTGTCAGCGTCTTAGCGATGACCATAAGGCCCTTCAGCCGCCTCTCCTTGAACGGTGCTGGGTACTTGTACGGCGCGCAGTTCAGTGCCGCGAAGCAAGCTACCGCCAGCGCGTGTGCGTAGCTCCCTATCTCTGTGTAGTACATGATGGCGTGCTCAACCGTCAGGCCCAGGGGTTCCTGCGCCCACATGCCGGCTTCGATGAGAGGCTGGCACTGCCGCCACTGGTGTCTGAGCACCATGAGCCTCTCCTCAGTTGTTGTGGGTCCCCTGGACCGTTCAGGGTTTTGACAGGCGACATAGATCTCATCGATGCTGTCTTTGAGCTCCTTGAGCTCCTTTTTGGATGTCGGTGGGCTGATTGCGGGCTTGCGCAGTTTCTGAAGATTGGGAACCAGGCTGAAAGAGTTGAGAGGAATAACCGGTGATTGTTGGCAGACATCGTACACAGTCAGGTCATCCTTACACCGCGGGCAGGCGCACTCAAAGTGATACAACGCCAGGCCGAGTTGTCGAAAGAGTTTTGGTTTCGTAAAGTCGATGTATGAGATATTGATCTCATCGCCCTCCTTGATCGGTAACTCAGCCCTCAGGAATGCTTGGCGCTTGAGGAAATTGACATTCGCGTTCGGCACACAGGAGTGATTCACCATGGCCAAAGTGGGATGCAGGAAGATGCCCGCCTGTCCGGTGTCCACGTCGGTCCTGTCGAACGAGTTCGTCTGTATCTTGCACAGGATATCTCGGGAGAGATGAAGCTGCTCATCCTCCTCTTTCCTGCCCGCATATTTCATGCCGCCATAAGCCTGGAGACTCATATCGTTCCAGATATCCTCCCTGACCTTGAACCTCTCCAGGTTGCCCTCCAACCTCCCGAAGGCATTTCTGAGCTCCTCGTCGTCATCCCACCGGAGCAGCACCTGGAGGAGAGCGCGGACGGGGGTGGGAAGCCAATCCTGATCCACCGAGTCCTTCACCTTGCGGAAGCTCTTGCACTCGAGCTTGTGGATGAGACTCCAGTGTTCTTTTTGGCATTGCCCGCCACAGTACGATACAGCCTTGCATCCTGTACAGGCCTTGGTGGGCACGTTGTGTACAAGACAATTGCTGCAGACCGTCTTAGCGGATGGGCCGTTGGGCAGTGCTGCGGCGCGTTAGTACTTGTTTAGAGGACGGGATGTGGGTGCTGGCCGGGCATCTCACCTAAGATCGGGTCTGTGAACGTTGCGATGAGCTCCCCAGGGGTGAATGACTTGGTAGCATATAGGCTTCTACCACTACCTGAGCCTTTCGTCCCGCGGACCTCAACGCCTGGATGCGAAGCGATAGATGCCATTTTCAGCCTTGATTCCTCCACGGTCAGAAATCATTCCGAGACAGTTCGAGACTCCTCGAAGGACTTGGGGAATGGGAGAACAAGACATGCCCCCTGAAAGCACAGGCCTATAAACGAGCATGGGAGCCCCGGTCTTAGGTAAGCCAAACTGGTGGGGATAAAAACATTTAAATCCGCTGAGCAGCAGTTCTCGTCAGCAAAGCACGAATGGCAAACTGCACTCTTCAACATCGGCTGGGCTTACCCCCTGGCGACACTATGTGATGTCTGGATTTCGCGCTTAGCTATGTTCCGTTGACCATGGCACTAGCAGCATGGTGAGTTACCATTATTCTCATTCCTTTTCACTGAGGCTCAGGTTGTCCGTCTGTGTGATGAACGACATTTGAGTTCTGCAATTCTGATGACTGCGAAAGCAGCTCTCTGTGGAAAACATATCAAATCTCACTTCTGTGGGCTCTGAAGACGCGACACCTGCATGTTGGCCTCACAGTTAAATCGTGTCAAACCACTTTGAGATGGGATCTCGTTTGCTAACTAGACCAACCAGTACAATCTTTCCTATAGGATAACCTCCTGTAGGATAATCACATATGGAATGATCTCCTATGGGATAGCCTCCTATGGGATGACCCGCCATGGGGTAGCTTCCTACAGGATAATCTCCTACCCGAGATCGGGCATGACTTGACGCGAAAGATACAGTCTGTCCACATCCTGGCTAGATCCTGATCCTGACCCCTACCCAGCGGCTGGGAAAGCACGGAAACATCTAGGTGTTCGTGGGGACGTAGTCAGGGTAACGGGATCCCTTGACCTCCATCTTCTCGAGTATTTCATCGATCACATTCATCTCCTCGTCCGTGAGGTCCACTAGCTTTGAGTTCTCGTTGACCCGGGCCGCTGTCGTGGCGCCAGGGATGGGGATAATGGTGGGCATTCCCGGCCTCTTTGAAAGCGTCCTGACCCACCCCAGGGCAAACTGGCCCGGCGTGACTCCCTTCTTCTTTGCCATCTCATTGACCTTCTCCGCCAAAACCAGGTTGTGCTCAAAGTTGCCAGGCTGGAAACGCGGAAAGTGCTTTCTCATGTCGTCCTCAGGGATGTCATCGGGCGACTTGATCTCTCCTGTCAGCAGCCCGCGTCCCAGGGGGGAGTAGGCAATCAGGGGGATGTTGTGCTTTGCGCAGGTCGCAGCAATTCCGTTCTCGAGGACTTCGGTCGCGAACAGGTTGAGCTCGACCTCGACGGCAACGACCTTTGTGATCTTGACCGCCTCGAGAAGAGTCTCATGTCGGACCTCGCTGAGCGAGATGCCACCCAGCTTCCCCTCGTCGATGAACTTCTGCATCGCGCCGAATGTCTCCTCCATCGAGACGTTCTGGTCTCGGCGCGCACACTCGAAGATGTCGAGCTTCTTGCGCCCGTTCAGCTGCTTGATCACATTGCCGATAGACCTGTTGATCTCGGCCTCGGTGCCACTCGGTTGCATCCCGCTTGGGCCACCCGCGCCCTTGACGCTGAGGACAACTTTATCCGCGTCTTCCGGATACTTGGCGAAGTACCGTTCCAGAAGAACAAGGCTGTTGTACTCCATTTTCCCATAGAACTCGCCGCCGTTGAAGAAGTTACAGCCGTTGTTGAGAGCGGCCTTGATGGCCTCAAAGGCTTGTTCTTCAGAACAGGGCTTTGCACGCCATGTTAGGCCTGATCAAAGTGATTGTTAGTGCATAACTTTTGGAAGCATCTTGGTCTGCCACACATACCCATAAGGCCAAAGCCAATGGGCCCGACTTCTTGGCCGTTGATCTGAGGCATGGCTAATTGGTTTAAGGTGTAAAGATCTGTGCGTGATGTTGTGGAGCCTCCCCAGGAGAAAGACTTTGTGACTGTGGATTGTGAGTTGATGCCGAGTCTGTGGAACTCCAGTTGAATGTCGAGAGGAGAGCGGCTCTTTTTGTACATCCGTGAAGCTTGGAGATTATCGATTATCTATCTCCGATTGTCGCGGTATGAGCGGCCAGATTGGGGCAACGTCCCAGGAGTTCAAACCTTCCCGGGCGGGTCCTGTCGATGACCTCATTCGCGCCCGGCGTTAAGGTCGATCTAGCCAGCACGCGGCACCACCCGCGATCCTTCTCAACCGCCTCGTCAGCCGCGTTTGCCTGACTAACATGAAGCCAAGATATTCTGCTCCGCGGCTATTCAACTACAAGGTGATGTTTTCTCCTAAACTCCGGATCCTCCCAGGCTCGAAGGCCGCGTGGTCTTCGCGACTAGGCCTCTGCATCACCACGACTCACTCACAATCGGTCATCACTTCGCTTCCCTCCTCGGATGAATTACACGCGAGTTCAAGGCCAAGGGGTAGCTCGTCTAAAGATTCAACTATCTCCGGACTACCTGGAAGGACAATGTACTGTACACTATGGTCATGAGAGTCTGTTCCAACAGGACAATTCTGCTCTCTTCCACCCCGTCCGACCCTCTTGACTTTGTACGCAAAAGCTATCTTTTCAGTCAAATGTCCAAAAGCTTCTCCTCAACACCGTCGTCACGGCCCGCTATAGCACCCGCATCGCCACCGTTGCGCCCACTGCTCCTTGCACCACCCGCAAGTCGAACTCCGCCATGACCATTGCCATCAAGGCCGTCCCCAAGCATGGCCCTGGCCTTGACGCGCGTGGCCACGGGCCGATCATTCTTCGCCTGCTGCTGGCGCTCAGTCTGTCGCTGGATGTTGGCCACGTTGGCAGCAAGACTCGCGTTAGTGTAGAGGTTGGCGAGGTGGTGGGAATGCGGCTGCTGGGCGGGGTAAGTGCCCTGCGGGAGCTGGTTGCGCATTTCCCTGGCCTGCTCCAGCTTCTGCTGGTTGCTCATCTCATTGCTCGAGGCGAGCAGGGCGGACATGCGGCCTTGCATTAGACTGAGGTCCAGAGGCGAAGGCTGCGAGGAGTGCTGTGTTGGACCGGGGATGTGGTGTTGGGTGAGAGCCCAGGAGGATGACGGCTGGACGGCAGGATACTGAGCGGGAGACTGCTCGTCTGTGAGCGCATTGAGCATGCTGTTCATGTTGAACAGGCCTGGGAACCCGCCGGCGGAGGCAGCTCTCATCATCAGCAGGTACCAAGTCGGGAAGCCCTTGAGCCCGACCTCGAGGAGGCCCTCCAGTGTCGTGGGCATGCGGTGCTGGTGGCGGCATTGCGGTCCCCACTTGCAGGTCCCATGGTGGCACCAGTGCCGGCAGAAGACCGTGGCGTGTCGCTTGGTGGTGCGCCGTTGGGCAGTGGACCGGCGCTCGTCGCGTATGGCTTCTGTCTCGTGGGGGCGGAGAGGTCTCTCGCTGCCGCTGTTGTGGGCCTGGGTCACAGCAGTGTTGGCCACGTTGTGACGTGAGGCGCTGAGCATGCGCTCGGCTGGATGAACACGAGGCTGTGGCTTCTCGACTGGGCCTCGCTCGGTGGAGGCAGAGTTCCCGGTTGAAGAGGAAAGTGACTCTTCGCTGGCGGTCCTTTCCTTCATCCTTCCCTTGATCTCAGCATGAGAGGCGACTTTCTTCTTCTTCTTCGTCTTTCTCCTGGCCTTCGCTTTGTTCTTCTTGCTTCCCGACGAGTTCGACCCCGTCTTCACATCGGCATCGCTCAGGATAGCCTGGATCTTGTCATGGCACAAGTGCACCTCGTAGATGCTGCCGTCCTCTTTGTCGACAACTCCAAGGTTGGTCAGCCCAATGGTCTGCTCGGCGTCGAGCTCACGAGGCACATCGATCAACTGCAACCAGTCGGGGAGCTGGTCGATGGCAACCAGTGGCACGATTGGTCCCGGCGTGCCGTCCACCTCTTCGGGACGGACGATGAAGTGATCTAGATTGGGATGCATGGTGCTTGATGTTTGGAGCGGTAGGTAGCGAATGACGTCGGTCCCTTGGGCAATGAAACAAGAGGAGGCAGAGAGAAGCCGTACGTCCCAGTCCATGAGATATAAATCTATTGTCTTTTCTTCTTGATGTAGCAGCCTGACTGAAAGAGCAATCTGTTAGCTGCTTGCCAGCCAAATCACCTTACGGTGAGCGCCTATCATCCGTGCAGCAATGGCGGCAAACTGCATCAGTTTGAGTCTGTTTTCTATCTTTGCAGCCCATTGTTTTCTATCCAAATATGAAGGTCTATTTGTCTATCTTGGCTCTACCCTGATTGTGACGTCAAGCCCGTCGACGCAAAATCCGAATTGTCTTGGGGAATCCTTTAGTTCCTCTTCTCGTTTGATCCACCGGCCAGTCTTACTTTCCAGCCGAATTACCGCTTCCTCTTGGGTAGATGGTGCTTCCGCCACTGCCTCCTGCTCTCTGGCTGTGTCCTCTTCTTCGTCGCTGCTATCGCCAGCGTCGTCGAAGCCCGCCACAGGGTCCCACTCACCCGTCTCCCAGATCAGTCGGAGTTTAAGGGGTTCGTGCCCAAATAGCCTGCCCGCAATGCCCTTTACCGCGTAGATATCGGATGTCTTGGGAATCTGCACGTGCTTCTCCACCGTCTTCACACCGCTGTCGTCTCCATCTGCCCGCTGCGACGGAACAAACCGAAACGCAACATTGACAAGCCTCGCCTCTAGGAACGCAGGGTTGACCTCCTTCCTCCGCACCACAACCGGCTCGTCGTACAGCTCGCACAGCTCCGCATACCTCCTGTGCTGCGCGATGACTTTTGCCTCCGCCTCGGCGCTCTCGGGCACAGACGAGAGCTGGCGGCCTATCCGAGACAAGTAGAACATCTCGGCATTGGTGCGGTCCGTTGGCGTGATGGTACTGAAGTTCAGGGTCTGCAGGCAGCCCAACCGCGCGACGGTGATCATGTATGCCTCCTCGGTGACTGTGGCCTTGGAGCCTGATGCGCCGGCGGCCGACGAAGAGGTCGCGTCGCCGGACTTGTCGAAGCCTGGGTCTTCGTAGACTGGGTTGTGGGCTAGGCGCAGGGAGTTCAGGCCTGGGAAGGAATCGGGGAGGGCGTCCACGAAGGACCAGTTGTTGATGTTGTTGTATGAAATATCAAGGTGGGTCAGGGTGGCGCTGAAGACTGGTGTGTTGTGGGATTCGTCGGTGGTGACAGTGGAGATATTGTTGCCCTTGAGATGCAGGTTCTTTAGCGATGTCAGTTGGGCAAGACAGGCCAGGTCGCTGATTGCTGTGAAATCGTTGAACTCCAGATAGAGGGTTTTCAGTGTATTCAAGATCGTGGAGGTACCAAATGAAGGTGAAAGCCGAGGGAGTTGGTTGGTACTGGCGTGCAAAGTCACCAGAGACTGGAAGCATTGAGCTATGTGACAGATGCTGTCCCAGCGTAGCAGAGTCTCATCGAGCGCAAGCTCTTTGACACCTGTGAAGGCTTCCACCACCGATTCCGCATCTAGATCTGCGATTGATGCATCCTGATATCTATTCCCACTGTTGAAGACTTAGTCTAGAGGCCTGCTCGTCACGAAGAAGCCACTTACTTGAGTCCCAGGCGACGCACCGCCTTAAGTTGCGAGCACGCATCAACGACCTCCTGAAAATCAACAATCAAGCTGCGGCTGATGTCCAGCTCGACGACTTTGGGGCAGACCTCGGAGATGGGCTGTTCACCAGGCACCGACGCCGAGGCGACGCGAAGGCCATCGAGGATGACAATCTTCAGCTCACTCAGCTGCGCCTGCTGCTTGCGAATCTTGTCGAAGCCGATCTCTTCGGCGACCTTGCCTGAGATGACAATCTGTTGGCCAGACGACGCCTGGGCCTGGTCCGTCAGGGCATCCGGGGCGTACTTCTCGTGAAGGGCCTGCAGGAAGGTCCGCGGCTGGTCTGCCACCCTAGTGGGGCGAACGAAAGAGGCGGCCTTGGGGGATTTGGAGAGACCTGTAATTCTTGTCAATATGGCATCTCAAATTCCCATGAATAAGAGATGGAATAGCTCACATGTGAAGTATCTGACATCCTTGTGTGAGCCGTCATGCTTGCCCCTGGACGGGTCGTCCCATTCAACGCCGAGCCAGTCTCCAGTTGTGCCGGCTACTTCGCCGATGTACCGAATGGTGCAGAGCGCGCCATCGTAGGAACGGCGCTGGCCGACTCGGAACTCAGCGCTCGCAGACATGTTGTATCATGCTCGTTGCAATTTTCTGGGAAGCATTATGGAGCGCAAAAGACCGGTGAGCTAGATGTGATGGTTTCTAGTGGGCTCGCAAACTGATGCCTGTGAGGCAGGGGCTTAGTCGTGAATTTACAGTGCGTTTTTCCCGCATTACAGCGACAGGGGCCACTACAGCGCCAAATTTACAATCAAAGCACAACCAACACGAACTTCAGCAGCTGGCTCCTTCTCATTATTCAACGAGCACCTTCACAACATGGTTTACTCAATTCATACAATTTCATTCCACATGGCTCAATTTTGAGGATTATTTACAGTTTGCTCTTGGTAGACCCTCCGGCTTTGACCAGAGCACGCCCGTTGCTCAGGCAAACCTTCTTGCCCTCGACCTTGGTCTCGAATCGGATCTCCTCCCAGCCATCCTTGACATCTCCAGTCTTCCAGACCGAGGTCACCAGCTTATCTCCAGGCAGGACCGGGCTGGCGAACCTTGCCTGGAACTCCTTCAGGTTCTTGGGGTCGCTGCCCGCGAGGTTCTTGAGCAGCCCGTGGCAGGTCGAGTTGAACGAGAACAGGCCGTGCAGGATCTCACCGCCGAAGCCCATCTTCTTGCCAGGCTCCGGGGTGGCATGGAGGGGGTTATAGTCGCCATTGAGGCGGTACAGCAGAGCCGTCTCCTTGGTGGTCTGGGCCTCAAAGGTCAGGTCGGGCTGCTTGCCCTTTGGTGGCGGGAAGTTGACCGTGGCAGGTCCCTTGGGCCCGCCCCAGTTACCTTGGCCCACGAAGAAGGCACTGCCGATGGCCCGCGAGTAAGCCTCGCCAGTCTCGGCATCAACAAGGTCGGTCTGGGTCTCGAGGACCGATCCGGGGCGGCCCTTGTCGTAGACGCCGAGCACCTTTTGGCGGATCTCAAACTTCTTGCCTTCTGAGGAAGGCGGGAGTGGCTTGAGGAACTGCACCAGGCGCTGACCGTCAACGACCCGCGTGTGGTCAAAGTCGGGTACGCTGGGGATCTTGACGGCCTTCTGGGCGGCGTAGAAGTCAATGACCTCCTGGGTAGAGCCCTTGAATGCTGAACTGACGGTCAGTTCTATTGACGTAGAGCAGCCTTCATATTGGAAACTCGGAAGAGGTGGACTCACGCAAAATGACGGGGTAGGTTGGGAAGACGGCAAAGTCAGGATGCAACTCATAGAGGAAGTGGAGCTCATCAGCGGTGCACCCAATGCTGTTGGCAAAGAGGAGTGCGTCCCGCTTGAGCCATGAGACAGACAGGGGAGGATACTCGAAACCGACGCCGGGACCGCTCATTGTGAAATCAGTAGATATGGTGTTGATGTGATTATGAAATGGAAATCTGGAGACCAGATGTGGTGATTGAATATGAAGAATATAGAAGATGAGCTGCTCAACGATGAAGTGAAGGAGGAGGAGACAAGCACGTCAACCCTGCCCCCAAGCCGAGCTACCACGATGCTCAGGCCAGATGCCGAGGTCCGGCGGTTTCCCCTGGCACTTCGGGTGTGGGGTTGGACCGTTGGAGTTTCCTATTTCCCCAGGATCTGATAAGCCTGTTGACGGGTTCAACTTCGATCTGATGCTAAATCTGCCCGTCGCGACCCGCTCACACAAGGTCCACACTTGGACAGATCTGATGCTGGAGAGACAGGCGTCCAATCTTATTGGTAATTTATCTGCTGCTGTCTTATGCCGGACCACCAGTCAACCTGAGCAGTCATCAATGGCCGCGCGCCTTTGCTTACCTATCGTTCACGGCGAAGGCACAATGTGTGGCTCACTTCGTACCGGACTGGAACTCGACGCTCCAACGATGACATAGCTCACGCGACTACAAAAAAAAAGCAAAAAAAACCCTGGCTCTCGAGCTTTCACTTCTGTCGCAACGGGGGTCAAGTGAGACATTGTGTTGTCTTACCAAGGGATCATGCTCTCATGTCTACCCAGCTTTCGCATCGCCTTGAAGAAATGAAGCTTGACTAGCACCAAGCCAATCTGAAATCTCAAGCTGCCAATTCACCTCTAGACTGACAAGGCGCTGGGCAATTCACTCTTTCCATGCCTTCCAAGTTTTCCATCTCAACGTTGGGTTGAACAGAGACAACAGTCTCTAGGTACCGCCTCTTGACCGTTGAAGCTGCTTACCTGACTTCGGTTCCGACTCGGCGCCCCACTTCGCGTGTCTCGACCCGCAGAAAAGTTTCGAGGTCATCGCAGAGGGGAACATCTGCTTATCAGTTCATCTTGACAGTCCAAAATCATCGTCGCGCCCACTTTCTCTCCCCTTACGTCTCAGCCGCTACCAAAATGGCTGCAGTACGTCCTCATGAGAGCGGCGTCACCAAAGGGAAGATCAATCGGCGCAACAATCCAAAGTCCAGCATGGTGACCATCCGACCCGAGGTTCACGATGCGCGCAGCAACTCGAAGCCCAAGCTGCCGAAGCCCTTGACCCCGAGAGCCCGTCGAATCATCACCAAAAAGACGTCCGCGCTGATACGAAAGCGTAATGAGCTCGACAGGGTGCTCCTGCTTCAGGCCTTCCGATCGCTCGACGAGCTCAGCGCTAATGACTGGCTGCCCCGCGAGGAAATCCTGCGACAATGCGAGCACTTGGCAAAGAGGGAGAAGGAGTACATTAGGACCAGGACAAAGGCGCTCGATGAGAGAACAGCGTTTTACAATCAAGATCCTTCCGAGGAGCGAGCAATTGATCTCGACCTGATCAGGACACAGCTTTGGAAGTTCAAGCGCCACCTTGGACCGTATTTGGAAGCTGCAGAGGAGCCAGAGTCCGAGAAGGAGGTTGACATTTCATCTTCTGGCTCCGATTCAGTTTCCAGCGACGAGGAGAATTTGGTTCAGAGCAAGGTCGACGGGCCAGACTCGTCGGATTCATCTGAAGATGAAGAGAAGCCTGCTGCTGGTCTCGATGGCGCCTTCGACGACATCAGAAACCCGAAAAAGAGAAAGCGCACCGAATCGAGCGATCCACGCAAGGAGTCAGGGAAAGAGTCACAAAAGAAGGCGCGGAAGGAGCAGACGTCTGCCAACACACAGTCAACCACCTCGAAGAGTCAGTCGGACAAAAAGAGTGCGCCTGTGCGATCCAAGGAGATGGAGGCCTCGCTCGCACAAATCAAGAACGACATCAAGAACAACACCATGTCTCAGACCAACTTACCTAAAATCATCATCAACGGTGCCAGTAAGGCGAAGGGGGAGGAGGGACCAGTTGAGGCCAATACCGACGGCACGAGCGACAAAGTCGACCGGAGCGCCCAGAAAGCACCAGCCAGCAGCAGAAGCACCAGCAGCGCCAGCGATGAAGGCGGGGTCCCATTCTACCAGCGTCATGCTAAGGCCATGATGCAGCCGGACTTTAACGACCTCGTCTACGACAGGCCTCAGCGCCGACGTGGCCCCAAGTCGAAGCAGAAGTCTAAAAGAGAATACCTCGTCTCCGGCGCGCTTCCTGCTCCTCATCGTCCGCGCCCACGCCAGAAGAAGACCAACACACAAAGCTCGTCGGCAGACGGACCTTAGAGAGGAACGCGAAGTCAGTCTCGTTCGAACACCCGGACGACCAACCATCGCGTGAATGGAGCCCCTGAGACTGATGCTCTCGAGACCAGGAGGAAGCGATACCCGAAGTAGTTCAGGAGGGAGTGACGACACAATGACACTCCTTCGACTCGAGGGAGTGGACTCTCGCCCGTACCCCATTACCACTCACAGAAGTGCAGGTAATAGTAGAGACCATACTGATCGGCATCGACGCCGACGAAAGGTTGGTGACACACGACGCCAACTCATTTTGCAGGAAGATGCCAACATGTTCCAGTCTTTCGGTTGCGGCCTGCCTCGTGGATTCTCATGTTGGAAGTGAAGCAAACGGAATGTACGCTGGATTGTGGGGAGCAAAATCGGGGCAGAGCCCGAACAGCATTTGGAGAGCATCACATAAGTGAGACGTACGGCCGGGGCGGAACAGCCTTTTCTGCATTCGCATTGCGAGGAGTTGTGGTTTAGGGATACCACTGCATACTTTTGGAGTCACAGCATTTGATGGAATTCTATCGAGCACTTGCCTAAGGCTTAACGTGACCTTTACTCGCTAGTTTGCGAGCTGATCATGTTTTGTCTGTTATCTCTTCAACGGCCGTATGGCAGCCGACCTCTTTGAGCAGCACGGCACTTCGGTTCGGTCGAAATCACAACCTGTGTGCTATCTTTCTGAGTGGTACGATGGCGACCTGAATTACAAGACTGACTCGTGTTGACCAGTGCCGTTACTTCTTACGGCCCTTTGAACGTAAGCCGAGACCATAAGAGCAGAGTGTCCGGTAAGACTGCAAGTCTAGACCCAAACGTCTCGACGACACCCCTTTCAACCCTTTGCCCGACGACACCATCTTAGACAGGAGCCACAGTGAAATGAAAGGGCCAATCTATGAGGATATGCTCGCTTGTGTCTCGGGCATCAGTGACTCGAGTTGTTTCGAAAGGCGCAAGGCGTGTACTGTATGAGGCGAACGGCATGCATGTCTGTCTACCTTGTCCCCCAGTCCGAGGCAAGCCGATCCAGAGACCATTCCGCCTTCTGTCTGACCTACACATGTACATACATACATACATTCACGCACGCACGCACACACACACAGCCAGACAAACATGCCAAGTAGGATGATCTGCAAGGCATCGACGCAAGACCAACGCCATGACAGCTGCCCAATAGCGCGCGGCGGCGCCCCAGCCGCCCCAGCCGGGAGGCCGTATCGGGAATTGCCATGAGGCCGGTCACACGCCGGGTTAACAGTCCCATATGTGGTGCTACCACGGTTTCTACTGTAGCTACTCCAAACACTTCCTCGACAGCACACAGGCTCTGCCTGAATTCCTCCCAACGCCCGCAGGATGTGTTCCACAGCAGGTCATACCCGGAGGACGTAGTCCAGCACAGAATGAATCCCCCCCAAATTCCTCCTCGCGGCCGTTGGTGGTGGAGGGCAAGGCTGGGCAATTGGCAGGACATCACAAGACTAAGAGAGGAGGGGATTGGAGGGTGGCCCAATACACACCCACGCCCGAAACCCCCCATCCCGCACACCTAAGCTTCAAGCTATCCCTCCCACGGGGACAGGCCGAGGTGTGTGGTTGGTGAGCTGATAGTTAATCATAGGTATCGCCTAATGGCCAATCGCCGCGCAAGTCCGGCACCCAGGCGGCCAGCAAGCCAAAGGGGAACTCCCGCGCGGACCGAAGGAGTTGGAGACCGGTGTGGGAGTGCTTGGGTGGGAGTGATATGCCCATCGCCGAGCCGGTCGGTCCAGTAGATGCAAAGTGCGAGAGTCAGTTTTGCGGAGCAGTTCGGGGCCCCGTTCACTTTCGCACGTAACGAGGCTTTTTGGGCTCGGCCCTTGGGGGTTGATGCTCACTTTCCTCCCACCCCATGTCTCGTTGGCTGTGCCAAGGTAACCCCCCCATCCGTACGGCTGGAAAGCTAGCCAGCACATGCGTGCATACTTTGCATACGGCTTTGCGAGGTGTGGGTGGGTGGCGTGGGTTGGCATGTGTTAGTGTCTGCATATGTCTGTCTGCATATCTGCTGTGTGCGGATGTGTGCGCGCGCGTGAGAAAGAAGCGAGCGAGCCACACAAGATCGTCAAGGCTATCTCCTACTTGCTGGGCCTCCCCATGCTGTGCGACCTCGTGGGATGGTTGATGGTGCCCCCTCACGGCCGGCGTTGCAGTTATCTAATCGAATCCCTCTCGAAGGAGGTCTGGAGAGGGTATTTAAAGGCCTATCTTCTTCGCCTCTGTCCTTCTTGTCCACAAAGGTTCTCATCTCCAGCCCAAAGAATACTACCATCCAAGATACAAGTCAAGTTTTTAAAACACACAAGTCATTCAAGACCCATCTCATCATCAAATCAAGATGTCTCCCTGGTGAGTCGAGCCCTCCCATTAGTAGACCGGTGCCATCTGTTGGACATGTACCACCTTGTCCATCACGCACAGCCCAGTCGACATACACCATCCGTATCTCGTCTGCCGGATCCACTACTAACTCTTGGATCTTTCACCCAGCTCCTGCACCAACTGCTGCTCCAGCTCCTGCGCCGGCGGCTGCTCTTGCGGCTCTTGCAAGGTAAATAAGAATCCAGCCTTCTCTCTCCCTTCTCTTTCCCTTTTCACATTCTCTCTCTTGCCTCCCACGGCCGAGACTGATAGAGATACCGCAGCACTAAGCAACCCTCCATCATGGCATCTTAATTAGTGTTGATATTCGGCTTCGGCATCCATACACTCGTTCTTTGCATCCCGGGTTGCTAGTTTCCTGCTGTTATGTGGCTTGGTACAAGACACATCGAGAGACACATGGGCCGGTCGAGAGGACTTGCAAAGATTGGTGACCCATTCTCTGTTCTTATAAGGGGAATCATTGCCTTCGTCACTGTCGTCAATTCTGTACCTTAGGTAGCAGCAGTCCGCCTCGTTAATAGGTTTCGACAAGAAATTCAATACTCTCATTAGATGATTGTTCTAAAAACACGCTTTTGGGGTATCGCATCGTCTAACTGTGGCATCTTGCATTAGCCCCCACCCTGAGCCTCTAGTCGCACTGCGGACCGGGACCTGGGCCAGACTTACTCTAACAAACTCCAATCACAATAACAAAACGATTTCCACCAACGGACATGCGATTATTGAGGTAAGGAAAAAGTCGGTAGTCGGAAAGGGACTGGGCCAGAAGATTCAAGGTTCCGTATCCTCCCATTACGCCGTTTCCACCACTACCATCATACGAATCTGCCGCTCATGCCCACTTGCCGAGCAGGGCCATCAATCCAGCGCCAAGACACATGCATCCGAAAGCCGAAAGGGTCATGCCGATACTGCTCTTGCGCATCTCGGTGTTGAACATAAACTCGTGGGCCATGAGCTCCACCAATCCGGTATAGATCAGGATACCGGCAGAGATGGAGTCGAAGACGCCATTGACAGTCAAAGTCATCAGGCTACCCGGCTCGAGGGTCTGCCTAACGCCAATGCCGATAGCAATGGCGATCGGGGTCGAAAGAGCATATGCGGTGCCAAGGACATAGGGCATCCACTCCTTGCCTTCCGGCCAATGGGCAACGGCTAGACGGGAGCCGAGACCAAGACCCTCGAAGGACTGGTGGAAGACGAGGACGATGTACAGGACGGTGAATTCTTCGCCAGACACGGCGAGCGTGAGGCCGATGAAGATGCTGTGGAAGATGACGCCGAACTCCAGGATGAACAGGGCCGTCATCTGCGCGGCAAAGGATTCGGGGTCGACGTGTTCGCGCTTGTGGCCAAGGTGGTCCTCGCCTCCGGGTGGGTAGGTGACCTCGCTAGTGAAGCCGGAGTCTTGGTTGCCGGCTGAAGCATTGGTAGTGTTGCCCTGTGCGCTTCCAGTTTCCTCGTCGCCTCCTTTCTTAAGGGACGGTGACATAAACTCCATCGATGGGTCGTGGCTGTGCCCACCCTTGAGGTTCCACTCAAACCTGCTCGCCAGCAACTCGATGAAAAACATCGAAAACACAGTCCTGTGCAACAAGGTCAGCTATGAAGAATTATGGTGGAGAGAAACACAATACATGATTCGTGGGGTACAGATCCTGAGGACATGTCCAAGAAGCCATGAATCGACGGGGGAAAACTTCGCAACAAGTTAAAGGGGATGCGCTCAAAAGCTACTCACATAAGAGCGATGCCCTCAGGCCATGAATAAGCCTTGATGGCAGAGTCGTCTGGGAAACATTCTGAGCCAAGCGCCTCGTTTGCGGGAGCGAGGAGGTGGATGAAGGCCGTGGCTATGATGACGCCAGAGCCAAAGTACTTTGCGATGAAGAAGGCCGTCTTGGGCACTCGCATGCGCTTGGACCTAGCAAGCGCGATGGGGACTACTGCGCCCAGGAGACTGCCGATCAAGATGACAAAGATGGAGCTTATGCGAAGACCTAGGCGGCCATCGTAGTCGTTGCCGAGTTCTACAGGTGCCGAGGGTCAGCACGTTCCAGCCACGTTTGCTCGGTAGGACGACGCAGGAAACCGAAGGTTCATACAACCCAAGACGCGTGGGAAAGAGGGGGGGAGGGGCGACTAACCGCAAGAGACGGTGACACTGCTACCCGTGTCTTCGGCAGACATGGTGAAGTGGACGGGAGCCTTCGAGACTCGAAAGTGAAGTTCGGCTGAGATGGTTGGGCTGATATGGTTGAGGATGAGGAGGAAGTTGAGTTAGGCTCGAGCGGCTGGAGCTGGTTGAGTCAGGTAGACTAAGTGTGATAGAGAGGTAGACGGAGTATCTGAGAGCGAGCTACTGAAAAAAGAGATGGACCAGAGTCTTTATCGATGCGCGGTGGGTGGGAGACGATCAGGCATGTAGGTAGGTGGTGGTGGGGAGGAGGAGGGGTGAGAGTGAAAGTGAGAGTGGGATGTCAAGTTTTGTGTGGACTGGACATTTAGCTCGTGAGCCATGAGCATGGGCATGTCTCTAATGGGTCCGCCGTGGAGCAGCGACGCAGCGCCGCGAGATACAGTACTATCACCGGCGAGCTGTAACCGAGCCAGTTGCACCTCTGACCATCAAGGTGCTCATCTGGGGCTGGGGGGGGGGGGCTGTCGCGCTGATGTGCTGCTAGAGCCGCGAAGAGACCCAACCGCATGCATCAGTTTAGCCTTTGAAACGTGCGTGATTGGCCCCCAGGGAGGGTCCCTTGGGGGTGAGGAACAATGGGATCTGCGGGCATGTGGGCTGCATCGATGGGGGCCTGGCTTTTTTTTGGGCACGGCAGGATTTCCTGGTCTGCCTTGGGCCTTTGCAGGGTTCATGACCGGCCGAGTGAGCGCAAGAAGAAGCAAGAGCGATGACACGCGCGAGGACCTTGATGGACATGGTCTGTGTACATCCTCGACGTACCCATGCAAGCAGCGCACGCCATTGTACCCGCGCCCGCCTTGTGTTCTGCAGACCACCCTGTCCGCCCGCCCCGCTGACCGATGCCATTCTTTCCGCCCACATCAAGTCTCAAAGCCACACATCAGGAGCACACAACTGACACATGGATCCAATATCTCCCCAGTCATCTGTATCCATTCACTTTAGAGGCACAACAAATAAACTCCCGAAGAGGAAATGACTTAATGGACAAAAGACAATGCTCGACACAGGGGTTGACCATGGCAGGTCATCCACCTGTGCTTAATTCTTATCTCGTGCGGCCTGCTCACATCTGACCTGCAATGGACATCCGTGACGAAAGAAGATTGTGAATACAGTGAAAGCCGATCGTAGGAATCAAGGAGCGCACCCAAGATGAGGCAAATACTTGTTCGCTCAGAGCTTATCTATGCGCTGTGAGTTTGCGATCACGGCTTTCGGTCTTGTCCATCCAGCTTGTGGTGTATGCATGGTTAACCATCAACCGTGGCTATATTAATTGGCAGTTCGGAGTTGTCCGCACAATTTTGGAATTTGTGAGGCTATAGACAAAATCAGTCTCGTCTGCTCGGTCTTCTGACCCATAAACAGAATGTCTGTTCGTGCTCAATAAAGTGCGTTCTTTCCTATCGAGGCGTCTCTCGCGACTATGAATTTTAGGTTTGGGGTAGAGCATTTCTCACCAACCCACTAGCGACAGATCGGGCACCGAGACTAAGTCCACCTCAAGCTCCAAAACCAAAACCCATACCGGAGCTAGGCTTGCTGGTATAGGCGACCAAACTACTACAGGTTTTCTTGGAAATGCTTGGTGAGCTTGTTGGCTTCATACCGGGCGAGCAGCTCTGACCGTGACAGTTTCGAGGCAGCCGGCAGAGCGAGTCTTGACTGCGGGAACAGACCCTGATCGTATGACGAGCCAAGCGACAGCACGTCCTGCAGCCAAGGCGGACAGTGGGGTCTTGTTTGTAGGCGAGCAACGAAACAACGGAGAGAGAAAGAGAGGGTGTGTGGCCGAGCAGAAAAGACACAGTGGGCGGTGAAACCCTTGGCTGCCGTTGAGGACTGTGCCAATGGCTTAGCTCAGAGTCAGCAGGCGGCAGTGTCCCTGCAGCAGTGATCAGGTTAAAAGACAAACTGACACCCACTCTGCAAGCATGCCGCCCTCGAGATCTTCGGTCTTGCGGCCATGATTTCATGGTCATGGGGTCCGGTATCTCCTCTGTTATCAGCGAAAAAAATTCCCATCAACTACACCGATCAAGGAAAGAAAGAAAAAAAGGAAACACAAAGTTCAAGACCAGCGGATGAGCGATTTGTCCAGCGCACAGTAGCGGCGCGAAACATGGAGTGGTTTGTGGTTCTCCGTGGTCTAATCTTTCGACGAGAACCCTGATGGACATTGTGGCCCGCTAACATGGGTCAGGGCTTTGTGATGGAGGGGGTCTGGCGCGATTGGAATGCGACCAACGTCAGCCGCAAATAGGTGCGACGCGGCGGCTCAACTGCGAACCTTGAAGGTGGTAGCTTGCACGATGCGACCCGATCCCATGGAGACGGTAAAGAGGCTTGCAACTTCATGCACTTGGCGAACAGCAACACTGAGGAGATCAAACTGATCTTCCCGTCAAGATGGCCGATCCGATGAGTGACAGGTGCAGTCGACATCCATCTGCTTGTCTCGGCGCTGCAGACCCATCAATATCCGAGGGCTTGGAAAGCTTCTTTGGGCAGGTGGAAGTCATCGAGCGACTTTCCGTTCCTAACAGAACGCGGTCGTGTCTCGGACCGTTGAGTCCCAGCGGCCTGGGACAAGAACCTCGAGGAACGAGTGTTGGTACGCCAACCGACTGGTCGGTCGCGGTCCGAGACCCGAGACACAAAGGACTCTCATTCGGTTAGGGACAAACACGCAAACCCGTCAAACGGGTAACCCGTTCCGAATGCCTTCCGCCCGTCGGAGTTCTGGGGGCATCCAGCTCATTGACCAAGATCTGCAAAAACGGATAACGTTGGGCAATTGGTCCGGACAGACCGTGCGGTCTTTGACCATCCAGGGACGTATAACATCCTCCGTCAACTTCAAAGAAAGTAAAAGCCCACCATTCATCGTAATCAATGACGAGAGCGCTCCCCTGCTCGGGAGTCCTCCCACTTTGTGATACTACAGAGTATGCACAGCCCGTGGGTCCTGCCTCATGTATGATTGATGCATGCCACTGGCCCGAAAGAAGTAAAAGTACCGCTGTGAGCCAATGGGTGCTTCGGACAAAAGCGCGGCGCACCACCAAATACAGGGGCGAGAGGATCACAGCTCAAGCGCTTAATAAAACCCTGGTCGGATAAAGTGGATTGTAAGTGAAAAGTGATGGAGGCAGCTGTCGAAGACGACGCTGGATGGTGCTGGCCCCGCCGCTCAGAGACGGCCATTGAGACCCAAGTCATCACGACTTCTGGGAAACGGAAGGCGCATAACAAGGTGAAAATAGGGTAGGCCGCAGCAGTCCGAGAGCTGAATTGACAAGGCAGCCCAAATCTTTAACGACCGATCCGTTCTGACTTGACGATGCCGCGACAATTAAACAGCCCTGACGGACACGAGAGGTGACTCGTCGCAAGATCGGCTTTGGGCAAGAAAAGACTCTCACCGACAACGCCATTGAACAGCATTGACCCGCACAATGCACGCGGTGGAGCTCGTATCCGACTTCAGTTCGTCCGGGCACCCAACATCGCGGGGTTTCCTCCCAGCTGAAATTAACACACGATGCGTGCAGAGATGCGAGGCCGGGGCGTCCCACAGGTATCGGAGCAGAAAACCGCATTCCCCTGCACGTTCAAAATGCTCACGTTCCCAAGGAAGCGGACTTCCCACAAGACACCTTCCCACCGTGACAGCATCGAACCAGCTTGGAGCTCAGCGCTGCAGGCCCGGATGTAGAGAAGTTGGATACGGCCGCCTCCGATGAGAGACTTGGACGAAGTTTTTGTTTCCACTTGGATATGTCTTGGTGCGGACTAGACTGTCAGCGAGATTTTGGAATGTTTGTACACAGGATACTGTTGTTTGAGAAGAAGCCTTGATCAGGAGGATTGTGAGCCCTGAGTCCACAGGGGATGGAACAAATATTTTCTCCTATGCATGGATGCTTGCTCGGATCCAGCGAAATTAAGCCAGGCTCGATCAGTTGCCACTCAGAACCCGGATGGGCACCTAAGGTGTCATTCAGCGACATCCACACTCGTTGTCTCTGGCCTGTCCAGCGAGAGGTTCCAGCCCTGACTGAAATGCTGACACAGTCCACTTTTAAGTTGGACATGTGAGTCCCAGAGCGCCGATATTGGAGACATCGGCTGTCATGGATCGGGGACATGGCTGGACCTCGGCGGTCTAATATGAAGAGCAAATCCACTCAGAACTGAAGGGCTTCATCTAGGCCATTGTCGACCTCGCGGATTGTCCATGCAACTTCCAACACAGCAGCACCTGATGATCTTCTGGGTGCTGCAAAGTTGATGACCGATGGCAGACGACGTATTGCCAGAGCCACGCAACGATTTCAAAGCCATAGTTCTCAACTTCGAGCGAGCCACGGTACTGTCCACCCATCTGGGACAGACCGTGGTCTACCTTACCAATGCGGAAACACGGCAAGTGAGAAAATCAGCAACGCTTTGTGACGATCGAGCCGTCTTCAAAGGAGCCCTGGCGAGAACGGCTTGCCGGCTAGGTTCATCGGTCCACGAAAACCTGCCTGCATGTCATCCAGTAAAGCCTGGGCTGCGAGGAAGGGGAGGCAGCCGTGACTGCAGACAACCAGTCTCATCAGGGAGACTTGAAGGTATGGAAAGGTCAACAAAGGGTTCTGATCCGCTGTTCGCGCCCCTCTCTGGCAGTTTGGCAAACATTGCCGGGCGAAGTGCCTACTTGTGGGTGCAACTGACGAGCAGTTCTGGCCATGGCTGCTGAAACTCGTATGTTCAACGATACTGACGGATCTGGCGAGTCGGTCGATTTGCTGCGAATCACATTTATCGACGATGAAATGTGTGATGCCAGTTCAGGGAATCAGCACCTAGCGCAGCAACAGGAGGAGACGCTGCTAAGGTTGAGTGTGGAAGTGAGGTTCGAGTCAACAGGGTACATAAGAGTGAGGAAGGCGAGGAATATCACCCGCCCACGCTCGGGCCGCACTGGGGCCTCTGCCCGAGTGCAGCCCAAGTGCCCGCTGCAAACAGCGACCCCAGTCGCAACTGCAAGTACAGTAAGCCAGCGGCAGCAGCAGTGACAAGTCAAGGCTGCCCTTTGTGCACACGCTCCAATCACTTAAAGCTTCAGCCTCGTTCTCAATCTGCAGCAGGAAATGTCAACACCCTCCCAGCGACCCAAGGACTCATCTTCAACCTCGCCAGGATTTCGTACGGATCATATAGCCTAGTGGTGGGGCTACTCCAACGGCCATTGGATGGTTTCGCTCGCCCAGGCCGCTCCAAAAGTGCCTGCCCCCAAGTTCCAGTCCAGCACACCTGTTGCCCAGCCGCAGGCGCCCCTAGGGCTGTGAGAGGTGAGAGGTGTGTGTGTGTGTGCATGTGTGTGTGTGAGTGTGAGTGAGAGCGCACCTGCACCTCAGACCTCCGTACATCAGCCTCATGGCACGCGGATGGTTGGTTTGACTTCATGCCTGTTTCCGTCCCTGTTCCTCTTCCTAATTCCACTCCCCATCACCCGATACCCACTTCCACATGGCATACCTCACCGGCGCGGCGGGCGCCTTCATTCCACAGCCCCATGCCGCCGCCGAGCCCTTCTACAGCCAGGCTGTCTTCCGCACATTCGACGATGACCCCTCCAAGAGCGCGACGCCAACAGCCACTGCCTTCAACCCACCTCCGCCTGCGCCTGTGCCTGCGCCTGCACCTGCACCTGCGCCTGCACTCGCGACTCACGGCAGCCAGTCCTCCACACCCCCATGGCCCCGTCCCAATGTCGGCCGCATGTCTCCCATCAACCCTTCCGAGGTCGAGATGGCCGAGGGGCTCATCCAGATGAGATCAGGCCTCGTGCCCATGACTGTAACTCCTCCAGCACACTATGCTCTTACGCCCGCGCCCGCGCCTGCGCATCCACATGAGACACCAATTGTCAATGGCCACAAGCCCCTCCTCCCGACAGGCCAAGAAGCGCATCTGCCCGCAGGTCCGTTGTCGTCATCAGCTGCAGTACCAGCATCAGTACCAGGCCCAGGCCCAGCACCAGCGCCTGCTGACCACCAAACCGTGTCAACGTCCTCAGATGAGCCTGCTGGCCAGCACTCTGATGACTTCTCCCTCGGCGATAATAGTGATACCACCATCACCGACCCCCAAGTAGACCGCCCCGAGGAATTCCTCGCTGTCCCACCACAGGCCGGCCCTGCCTCCATCCCAGGCCCCGCGCCTTCTCATGAGAGGCTATCGACAGCCCCGCCGCAGCCAGCAGTCACGAACGGATCAGATCCACATCGCTTCGATGACGTCCCAAGGGAAGGGACGACTCTGGCCCCTCCAATGTTACAACCACCTCCTCCGCCCTCACTAGCACCCAGGTCGCGCACGCAGTCACCAAGAAGCCGCCCGTATGACCCATCAGCACCCATTTCACCAGCGCCAGAACCAACTGTGCATGGCGAGCGCTGTTGTTGTCGCGCCGTGCCCCAATCATTCTTGTCGACGCTAGACGATGGGAAGCCTACTAACATCGAGGCCCTGGCGAAGCTGTATGGTGCGTGCCGGAACGATTTGTGTCCTTGGCATCTGAATCTATATGCCCAGCTTATCACCAGTGCCCTTGAGGCAGCACATTCAGCAGCCCCTGCGCCTGTCACCCCCCAGCCGACAGCTGATAGGACGCTGCAGATGGACCAGCCCACCTTCAGCTTTGAGGAGACGGGCACAGGCACGAGGTGGACAGCTGTCCCTCGGAGGAGACGCGCAACTTCCATCCCAGGGATTGAGGAGATTGAACTTGACTTGCCGCCCAAAAGGCGACGGCTGAGTCTAGAGCAGCAGCCTATATCAAAGATCGAGGCACAGTCGCCTTCGGAATATCCAGAGTACTGGCACAGACCACAGCAATCATCCAGTGGCTGCCGGCCTCTACCCGATAGGGCGTATAACGAAGAGTTCCGCCGCAGGGTTCTCGTCGAGTTAGCGCGCGAATTTACCGACCTTAAGGAGGATGACTGGTCTCGTGGTGAAACGACAAACAGATATATTCACGCCATACTTTCAAAGTGCGAGCATCCAAACACGGACGTCAGAAAGGGCCCTATTGATGTCGGCTTTCTGAATGCCCAAGAGGCTTCTACGATATTAGAGAAAGGTACAGAACGCTTGCCAATCATCACTACAGAGCAACAACAGTTCAAATGGACTGGCAGCGAACGTCCGATAGCACAACTCTTCAGACGCATGGAAGATTTAAGCAGACAGGTCTCCGTGCAAATACCGTCTCACAACTTTGACCTGCCATCGTATGAGACGAAAAGCCTCAGCGCGATCCGGGAGCGCTTCCTCAGGGGCCAGGTCTCACGAGACCCGTGGAACATACTCGACCTGAGGAGTCCTCTACCGCCCTCGATACTGCCATCTTTTCTGACAGGCGAGAATTGCCAGCTGCTTCCGCGGATCCGAGATGCCTTGTTGGAGGGCCACTGTGCCGAGAGGATCAAAGCGACCAGAGAGGAGTGGAACGAGTGGACGGAGCTGCTTGAGTGGGTGCTCATGTCTGAAGGTGGCCACAACACAGCCCCGCATATGGACAGTCATGGCTGGTCGACTTGGATCACGATTCAAGAGGGCAACTTTGGGTTTGGGTGGCTTGCGCGGCCAACCGATGAAGAACAAGAAGAATGGATGAATGATCCATTAAACTACACGGGAGGCAACTGGAGGTTCGTCATCCTCAAGCCGGGCCAGACAGTCTTCTTCCCATCCGGAACTGTACATTTTGTGTTCAGGCTACAGGCTGAACAAACCCTTGCGCTGGGCGGGCACCTCTTGCAATGGACCGCGCTGGAGCGCTGGGTCCAGATCATCCTCTGGCAGCTCAAGAACCCAAATATCACCAATGAGGACCTCGGGACGGCGCCGCTAAAGTACATCCGCAGTGCGAGGAAGCTGGTAGAGCACCGCATGGCTAACTGGCGTGTCACGACCATGGGCGGCATGTCCGCGGTCACTCGGTTCATGGCCCTTGCAACTGTAAGCAATTGACCCCTTCCGAACCGAGCCTTCCCTCTTTGAAGGGTATTCGTGTGAAAGATGTACTGATCGGACCTGCTACAGGAGGTAGAGAGGTGGTACAGCCAGAAGAAGAAAAAGAAGCGGGCCAGGTGATGCGATGCGAGAAAGAGGCCGCTCGCGCAGCGTTGATGTTCTCTCCAAGCCTCTTGATTTCGGCGTTCCTCGATTCTCCATTGGGAGACGGCGTGTGGAGTCGTTCACCTTTCAAAATCGGAAAACAGGGAGGTGAATACAAAAAGGGCATTGTTGAATTTGCTAGTATGGCGTTCTGGTGGTATGGTCTCGGGGTCACTCTCCTCAGGCTCCCTTGGTTCATCCCGTCCACCCTGTCCCACCATTTCACGGACATGGGCAACGGGAAGAATCGTGGACGGGCGGACTAGCGGTCATCTGTAAGGATAGGGAGGATTCCTCATCATGTTTCGAATCGTGAGGGTTGGAAGGTTCTTATTTTCTCGGTCGTCGTCCGTTTCCCCTTCCAACATACATACATACATTCATAAATTTCACCTGCCGGCCCACCGAGGCGCACTCATCGCCATTGGGTCACTTCTCATTTAAATACCCACACACCCCCACACACATCCATACATACAGCATGAGCATGAGCATTGCCATGTGCTTGGCTAGTTGGCTCTTCATTTCTTCATAGGAACAAGAATTCCCGGATTTGCAAGGCGGTCAAAATCGGTCGAGGTTGGCCAGTGTACTGGGAGAAAGGAACAGAGAGGCACATCATGGAAAGGATGACCATTGGGAAACGTACCTAATGTCTAGCTATCCGCGCTCAATGAAAAAAGAAAAAACATGATCCGCGGCTTTTTTTGCCCCGTCTCCGAACAGGCTTCAGCGTATATAAGAACTCAATGTTGCCGGCCCTTTCGGACCAGCAGCATACACACACCCCGTACACCGTATGTAGTGGTGTATGGGTGGGAAAACACGAATGCTCACGCAGGTTCGCGCAGGTATAGGTTCGTCAGAGGGGCCGAACTCGGAAAAGCCCCCAATGTGATGTTGTGCTCGTAAGTTGGTATGACACCATGTCTATCAAATACACGCCGACCAATGTTGAACGCCTCAGGCCCTCCCCTCAGTGGGGGGATCTTCTTTTTTCTGGGCTGATGCAGCCTTTTAAAAACATCCCATTTATTCCCCGGTCATCGTAAAAAGAGACAAAAACGCCACCTTGATATCCGAACAGAAAAAAGAAAATCAGTTACCGTTGACGCCGTTTCCCTTGCCCGTCTCGGCGACGGCCCTCTCCAAGGCGTTGATGACATCGGCGCGCAGGTCCTCGGCGTCCTCGACACCGCAGCTAAGGCGCACCAGGTCGTCGAAAACCCCGACGGCCTCACGCTGGTCCTTGGGGATGCCGGCGTGGGTCATGCTCGAGGGCACCTCGACCAGACTCTCGACGCCGCCCAGCGACTCGGCCAGGGTGAAGACGCGAGTGAGCTGGCAGAAGCGCTCGGCGGCGGCGTGGCCGCCGCGGATGCGGAAGCTCAGCATGCCGCCGCCCATGCCGTCGCGGTGCTGCTTCTTGGCGATAGCGCGGTGCGGGTGCGAGTCCAGCCCGGGGTAGTTGACGGCGATGACCTGCGGGTGGGCCTCGAGAGCGGTGGCGACGGCGGTGGCGTTTGTGGTGGCCTCGCGCGCGCGCAGGTGCAGCGTCTTCAGGCCTCGGTGGGCCAGCCAGCAGTCGAAGGCCGAGGGCACGGCGCCGATGGCGTTCTGCAGGAAGGACAGGCGCGTGCGCAGGTCTTCGCTGTTGAAGGCGGCCACGCCCATGACGACGTCCGAGTGGCCGTTGATGTACTTTGTCACGCTGTGGACAACGATGTCGGCGCCGTGGTCGAGCGGGTTCTGCACGTAAGGGCTCATGAAGGTGTTGTCGACGACAACCATGATGCCGTGAGCGTGGGCGGCGGTGGCGACCTTGCGGATGTCGACCAAGCGCAGGGTGGGGTTGGAGGGGCTCTCGATCCACACCAGCTTGGTAGCTTCCGTGATGTGCTCGCTGATGTCGACCTCGATGGCAGGAGTGAACGTCACCTTGACGCCGTGGGCCTTTGCGACCTGGGTAAAGTAGCGGTGGGTGCCGCCATAGACATCCGAGACGGAGATGACATGCGAGCCGGCGGCCAGGCTCTGGAGTATGTTGGCGGTGGCAGCGCTGCCGGAAGAGTAGGCGAGTGCATACTTGGCATGCTCGAGGGCGGCAACAGCGTTCTCGAAGTTGGTCCTGTTGGGGTTGCTGCTCCGGCTGTACTCATACTCGCCAACGGGCTTGCCTACAGCATTCTGGGCAAAGGTGGTCGACAGGGAGATGGACTCGATAACGGCTCCAGTGGTGGGGTCATGGGGCGAGCCAGCGTGGACGGCGAGGGTGCCGAAGCCCTGGACGGGCGAGGGCGCGCGAGGAGGGGTCTCGATTGGTTGGTCGTGGGCATCGCCGTTGGCGTGGCCGTTGCCGTTCAGGATAGGGACGGTCATGACTGCGATAGAACTGGACTACTGGACTGTCGAAGTCGGGTGCAGCAGGCTGAGGTGGAGAGCAGGAGGAGGAGGGACGGGTTGATATCGCGGGCAAGGTTCGAGGTCGAGATAAGAGGCAGGAAGGTCCAATGAGTCTGGGTCCAAGTCCAGGGCCAGGCCAAGGGCTCAAGCAAGGCGAGGCGAGGTGAATGGAGATATGTATAGGTGAACAGAAGGACGGTATCGTGTCACCAGCGGCAGAGGGTCACGAAAAAAACGGCGGTGATGACGAGAGAGGATCCGCTAGGGGCGATGGCGCAATCGAAGACAAAAGACCACTGACTAATTGGGAGCAGTCTGGGAATGGTATTCTGGATGTTTCGCCTGCTGACGGAACAGGCGAGTGGTAATCTGGATGAACCCAGGCCATTGCGCCCTTCGAGAATGCGCCTCTCGGCTTACCATGGACGGTGAAATATTTTCACCGTCATCACGAAGCTGGGCGGGTGGAGTTTGGGTGTGAGAGCTTGGAGCTGGGTGGTGGCCGAGGCCGATTGAAGCCGTTCGAGGGTGGATCAAACGCCGGGGTCAATCGATGCAGGTCACCCGCAGAGCCCATGAACATACCCTGAACATACCCCACAGTGACAGGCCCAGCAGGGCCACCATCTGGCATCTGGCCTGTCTGGGCATCTGTGGTCGGTGGAAATCTGGCTGCTGCCACCTGGGACGGCCGCTAGTCAGGGGCACGGGCTCCCACTGAGTACCTAGCACCCTAGCACGCCTAGGTAAGGTGGGCGGGTGGTGCCACTGCTAGTGGGTTGTGGGTGGCAGGTGGTGGTGTTCGAGAAGGTAGCGTCGAGTCTAGTGCACCACCCACCCTCAGAGGGAAGGAGGGAAGGGCTCTGGATCGGAAGTCGGAATATGGCCAAGTGATTGCGCAACAGAACGCCCTTTGACCTTTTGACCGCCGTCAATGAAACAAACTGAGTCAACCAAATCGTACGAGATTGCTCTGCCGCCTTGCCTTGACACACACAAGTCCTCATTTACCTAATCTTTACCTCTGCTCTTTTCGGCCGATGTGACAGCGGGCAGCTTCCTAACGCAAACCCACCAGGCAGACCCACACCCACACACCCTCACACATGGCCTACGGAGTACGGGTTACGGAGTACAGGAATCATCCCGACTCCCGACATCGCCGAGTCGGAAAAAGACATCGATACATCGATACACCCAGACATCCAGACATCCAGACGAGGCATTCTTAACTCCGCCAGCTGCTGGGCTGCGTGCATGGACGGGCAGCACGTAGCAGTCGGCCCCATCTCTGACTCCAAGCAGACGGGACGCGTCGCAACCACACAGCACCCAAGCCATCTCAGATCTCATCGCTCACCACCTTGATGTTTCTGATTTTTACGAACACGATCCTGTTGGCACGCAACGTGAAGTTGGGGCCATTCCGACCTGTGTCTTGCCTGCCCTAAGGGATATGTATGCTGATGCCAAAGCTTACTGAGGGACATTTACACTGGTCCCAATCGTCACTGTGACCTGGCCGGCACCTTTTCCAGTCGCTGACCTCTAATGACATAACAGCCTCTATGATGTACTGTAAAGGGACGAACGTCCATCCTCAGACGCAGAACCATAGCCATACGCACGAGTCAAGCCCTACGAGGCGCTGCACGGAGACTCAGGTCTAGAGACGGCTTCAACTTCAGCTTCAGCTCCAGCTGCACATTCATGCACACGGCCAGAACCACCTTCCGACCGGATGGCATCTCATCCTATAGTGGTGATGATCAATGCCAACAACTCTGCTCATCACAACTGTGGGCCGTAACCACCCACGCGAGTTGCTGCCCCGTCACATGCTGGGCTTGCGAGGCGCCCAGCCCGCCCGCAAGGACCAGCTCTGTTCCATTGTCCTCCAGCTGGGGAGAGCTCTCAGCCACACACCCGTCCGCCATCCCGTCGAGTTGACACTCTAAGCCGTGGAGGCTGACCCGCCTACCCGATTCTGGCGGTTTCGCCTGATCAGACTATCCAAGAGCTTCATGCTACTAGCCTCCCCAGCCCCTTCGTCGAAACTTTATGTGCGATCCATGGAGCGCGCTCACAGAAAAACATGACCGCATCGCAGCTCGCCATGAGGGGATGGGAAAGTATGCTGGATTCGACGGCGGCGGTGATTATATCATACTCTGCTGGAACGCACCACCAAATAAACTACTTCGGACCCATACCACTTCCGTCGATCCGGTGCGAGGCTGCAGGCGTGACGGGGCCAAATCCCGGCCCTAAGAGGACCTAAACTCCCGGATCTGCGCTGGGCAGACCACGCGGAGTACAAATTTAGCTGGCCTACAGCTCAGTAAGCTTTCCAGAAACCCAGATCTGCCTGTCAAGATTGACAAATCAGCCAACCGTCTTGCGCGTAAATTGGCCGACGAAATAAGCCATGCACGTGGCTGTCCCCATCGAAGGTCTGCCCAGGTCTGCCCCGGTCTGGATTGGACAGTTGTAAACGAAACGCATACCTGAAAACTTCCAGAACCAGCGCGCTGGCAAGGATTATTAGACTTCTGACGACTCCTTCATCCCGTTCGTCCACTCAGGATATCTGTGACTTGCTGTCATCAGACGCCTGCATTAGGGGGATTGATACTCTGAGCCGGCTGCGTCTCAGCTGGGTTTCCACCGGGCTAGTATAGTCCCGTTATCTGAAGGCTGTCGAAGATCAACGTTTTGTATACGCGCGCCCGGCAGGCGCAGTGGTGGCAGTGTACATCCAGTAGTGTATTTTGTACCATCATGGCCAGGCCTGGCTTCTTCGGGCTGGGTCACTTCAGAGCACCGTCAACGGGTCCGGGAGCACCGACTGTCTCCCGGATCGACCACAGGCCGAGCGTGAGCCAATCGGGCCCTTCCAGTGACCCGAATCATAACAACCCCCTGATCCCGCATTTCACAATCAAGGTTTCCTGCCATGTCAGTCTCAGCATTCAGTAGGCCAGCATATGTCATCCTAGCAGGGCACGCTCGAACCCCGCCGGTACGCCTTACGACACTGACTGAAAGGACCAAAAGGGACGAGACCCAGATTGAACAGACAGATCTGGTAGATCTATCCCCCTGCCCACGCCTCCACTGCCCCAAATCTTAATACCAACCCTCACCTCGAACTCGAACTCGCGAAGCTCGATACACATCTCCTCTCCGACCTCCTCCCCTCACCGAGACAGAGCTGCTCCGGGCCTGTTGCTCATTGCTCCCACCCAGCTGCGCCGAGATCCTGTAACGGTTACGAGCACGGACTCGACAAACATCGGCCCGCTACCCCGTTTCGCGTCTCGGTCCGGTCACAAGCCACCTAGGCTCGCGATGAGCCTGCTGCCTCGGTTGCAAGGACGGAGATAGCCTTTGGCCAAGGTTTTGCCCACCTACTTTTTTGAAAGAGAATAGACGACGTATACCCCCGATATCCCAATGCCTCCGCGAAGGTCCCACAAAAAGAGTCGAGCCGGGTGCCGCAGGTGCAAGGCGCGAAAGATAAAGGTCCAGCTCCTTGCCCCTTTCTATCTCTGCATCTTCGCCAACTTTTCGTCCTCCCTCGGGCCCTTCTAGGCCTGCTTTGTATGCTACAGGGACTGACATGTTTTCCTCCAGTGCGATGAAGTTCACCCACGATGTGGCAACTGCGTCAAGCACGGCGTGCCTTGCGACTTCGAGAACCCAGATGTTGCTCACGAACTTCACTCCATTCTGGCCGGATCAACAGCATCTCCAGGTTCCAGCGGCCAGGGTACTTCGATAGATGACCTGCTCTCAGAAGCGACGATGCCTCGCCCAGGAGGTTATGTCCCCGCCACGCCGCAATCCGCCGCATTCTCGATACCTCTGTACCGCCAGCCACCACAGCCGCTACCTGGATCACAACCAGTCGGTCGCCTCACCGAGCTCCGCCTGATGCACCAGTACACAAACCACACCTACAAGACACTCGCCATCACCTCGCCTGAGACGGCGGAAATGTGGGGTGTGAGAATCCCGAACCTCGCCTTTACTGGATCTACACACTTGATTGATGCCATTCTCGCCGTGTCGGCACTTCACATGAGGAGCTTATGCCCGAACGACACCGAACTGGTCCGCGCCGGGCACGCATACATGGCATCGTGTCTGAATAATTACAGTAATAGTCTAAAAAGTGGCATCAACGCGGAAAACGCTGCAACACTGTTCCTCACGTCCACACTCATCGCCTTCCAGAGCACTGCCACGCGAATATTCACAAAGGACGAGTCTCCATTCGCCTTGATGAACGCTGTTGGCTTTGAAGGACGGGACATCGGAGCGTCCGGCAGCGTATATCAGCCGCCGCTGACTTGGTTCCACTCCTTTCAGGGCGTCAAGACGGTCGTGGCAGCGTCGTGGGCATGGCTGAAACAGAACGATATCATCCTCACAATAATCGACTCCCAGCCCGTGTTACACTTGAACTTTAGTCGAGCGACAGAGGGATTCTTTGGCCACTTGCTCGATGACCTGGACGAGGAAGTCGCCGCGCTAAGCTCGTCGCCGGTGACCCCGGCACAGGATCCGAACTGCGGTATGCCAGGAAACGAGCCGATGGACCTAGCGACAAGCACTCGCCAGGCCTATCAACACGCAGTGGCGACCTTGAACTGGGCCCACAGCAAGCCGGGCAAAGGAGCCCTTGCATTTCCAGCGACTGTTTCAAAGCGATTTGTTGAGCTGGTTGAGGAGAGGCGGCCGCGGGCTCTCGCCATCCTAGCGTCCTTTTTCGCGCTGTTGAAGGTTCTTGACAACATCTGGTGGTTACAAGGGATGTCCAGGAGGGAAGTTTTGGGAATCGTATCGCTGTTCAACTCCGACTACTTCGGCCCCGATATCGAGCGCAAGTGGTGGCCGCATCTTGAGTGGGCAGTCCGCCTGGCGCTGTACGACACAGGCAGCAGCGGCAACACCCACATACCCGTCGACATGTGGGGTGCTGGCTGGGCTGAAGAGCAGCCGAGCGAGCTCACCTTCACGAGCCATATCGAGATGCTGAGCGAGCTTGTCAACCCAGGCTCGCCCCTCCCTCCGCCACCGAGTGACACGTGAGCTGACATCCTCTCCTCCCTCCCTCTTCGAGTGTTCCTGATTTTGTCGCACATTGAAGAAAGAGGTCAATTGACGCGTGCTCTTGTGTTTCCCAAAGGTCCATGCACGGGGGATGCGAACCGCCTTTGTTCAACTCGAGCTTCCCGCCCCTGCCTACTGATTCACCAATGCATGCTTTTGCAGCTTATGCACGGGGATGATGATGAGGGTGCTAATTCGAGGTATTCTCTTCAAAAGCAGCCCACGAACGCCGCCCAAGGAGCAAGCCCGAAAGCAGAGCGACCGACTCGCCACGCCCCCGGGCCCCGATACTCCGGGAAGGTCCAAGAAGCTTGATGAGGTCTACCGCAGCGGTGGAGCAATATTTGTTGCCAACGAGGGAAGCGATTCTGGGTGAAAAAGGCATCATCTGGCGGCCCATCGCCAAAGGCACCCATAATTCGAGGCGGCTGAGAAAGCCGTTACTTGGTGGAAGAGGTGAGCCGAGGGATTGGCGGGGCCTCGTAGAGATGCACCCGAAACCAAGGCTGGAAAAGCCTTGCGGCCTGAACTCAGGCCGGTGCGGCGTTGGTGGCTACGCCGCGGATGTGAGCGGGCAAGTCCCGTGTGGGTACGGTACCGGATGACGTCTTCTTGTGACGAGTCTGCGACAATGTATCGCATGCGATGCGACGAGGCGTGGCTGAAGATTTACTGCCTGTGGCGAGAAGGGCACTAGAAACGAGTGCGGCACATGTGTTGCCGTAGTCTAAATGATCTCTTAGGGGCCAGGCCGCGGGTTGCTGGTTTAAACAGAACCACCCGGAATGGCCGGCCTCTTGAACGATTCAATGTACATGTATCTCACAAATCCGGCAAACCAGTATCGTGGGTTGGACCTTGGGTATCCGTCAATGAGTCCTAGCCTTGAAGACAAGAAGCAAGTGTATTTTTCCAGCCAAGATGACCTGTGGTCAAGCCATGATTTGAGCCCGTCAACGCCATACACCATCAATGCAAAAATGTCTGAGCGCAAAAGCGACAGGTCTGTCAGTTGTAGCCCTCACTTCCTCCGCTTGCTGGACACGTCTTCCTCCCCGCCCGTACTGTCGTCCTCGTCCTCCTCGGCACCCCGACCCCTCTTCAGGCCCTTCATCTTCCTCGTCTGCAGACCGCTCAGGTCCACCTTGCCCATGTGGACGCGGCCCAGCTTGTCACCCATCGAGTCCATGGTGACGTTCTTCTTGGTCTTTTCCTCGCCCACCTTGGTCCTCTTCATGGCCTCCTTGTTCATAGCCTCGTCGGGCTCCCGCATGCGGCCCACGCGGAAGTCCATCCGGGGACCCATCTCCTCGACCTGTGTGGGGGATCAGTTTGTCAGTGTTGTTGCTTAAAGAAGAATAGCACTGTCTTTACTCGAGGAGATAAAGTAGACTCACCTCGACTCGCGGTAACCGCTGCCCGCTCCGCTTCGTCTGGATCAGATACGTCCGCAGGTGGATCGCGGGCTTGGCGGCACTCCCGTCGCCCAAACCGGTGCTGGTGGCGGCCTCCTCCTCGGCGGTGATGACAACGACGTACTGCAGGCCCTCGACGTCGATCTTGTCGCTGCCGCGCTCGCCGGCGAAGAAGTCGGTGAGCATGCTCCTGGCCATGGTGAACTCGTTGGCGACGGTGCTCTCGAAGGCGGAGCCGGCAAAGACGAGCATGGGCCGCAGCCCCACGGCGGGCTTCTTGCCGCGGAACTGGGCGAGGCGGCGGAAGGAGTCACCGTCGAGCCCCAGCTCGAGCATGTCGAGGACGCGGTGGCCGAAGGTGCGCACGAGGGTCAGGCAGTGGGGCCGCTTCTTGTTGGAGCTGCCGAAGACGAGCAGCGAGGCGTCGTTCTTCTCGGAGAAGAACTCGAGCGAGCTGGCGTCCTCGAACGGGTGCACCGCGTTCTTCTTGGTGAACTTCTTGGCCAGCGGCTGCCGCAGCGAATACAGGTCCGCCAGCGCGTCCTGTGTCACCTGCGAGCACGTCGTCCCCCGCAGGAACAGGCACGTCTTGGGGTTCTCCTTCTCCTTGGGGGCGCGCTTCTCGAGGGCCCGCTTGGAGCGGGCGTTGCGGGGTTTTCTGTGGGGGGGAGTTGCTTGTTAGAAGAGATTGAAAGTGTCAGGGGTTGATTGGCGGCGCTCACATTTGTCGCAGCATGTTTGCGATTGACCGTGTTGCTGTCGGTTGTTGATGGTGTTGCTAACTGGCAGTGAGAGCTGAGCTGAGCGCATGGTAGATCAGAGCCGATGTCTCTCAAATTTTTGGCGGGACTGGGCTTATCGATTAGATTAGATTGGACGCTTGGGGCCGCAGTTCGTTCATTTATCTGGAGTGCAGGACTCGTGTCGCACAATGTGAGTGGGTCCTGTCTGGCATTACTAGTCGAGTTTGACAAGACGGCACTCTGATATTGAATTTCCTGCAATCCACTCGCTGACTACTGTATCTGAAATTTCGAACTGCAGCAATGCAGCAATGACTGCAGCAATGACATATATTGATGCGTAACCTGGCCTTCCCTCAGGTCATCTCCATTTGCCTCCACGACTTGGCGGTGCGACTGTCGCAAACAGGACGGCAGTGGTACATCGCCTGTTACACATCATTCGATATCGATAGAATAAGTGTCTGGAACCAGCCGTCCACGCAAGATCGACCGTTTCGCTTTGTGCGAGTCATAATAAACGCCGTGAGAATTTCGGCATCACGGCAAGGTGATGGCCTAACGGAGATACTCCTCGATGGGATATCATGTCCCGTCAGTCGAGGAAATTATCCGTATGGGCAGCATAAATAAGCTTCCAGGGCCTGAAAAGCCAGTCCTGCTGCCCTCAGCCCCATCATGCCCGTCATGCCCGTCATGGGACGGAAACACCGTTGCAGCCGCGAGAGTCATCTCCGACTCGTAGGAGAATATTGAAAGTATTTTTGTTTCCATAAAGGAGAGCTCCCTAGGGCAGGGCAGGGCAGGGCAGGGCTCATTCCACCGACCAGGGCAGCCAAGGGCATGTCGCATCTGAGGCCAATGGCATGTTAGCGAAAAAGTGCCGAAGAGATCCACAGGTTAAGCGCGGGGCAGGGGAGGTTCGGGAAGTCCAGACGGTCGGGGATTGAAGATTGACCCACGAGCACCCAGGACTGGCTGTGTGTGTGTTAAGAGACAAGAATCCTCCAATCTCAACCGTCAGGGCACATGGTCTCAGGCTCACTCTGTGGACCTGGCGATACCAAGGAATATGTAATACTTGGCCCCGACAGGTCTGCCGTGCCTTACCGACGAGAGAAGAGGCAGGCCGGTCGCGGGTTCGGCGTGGAGAAAGGAGCAATCTTGGTCCTGATCAGGGGGCCCCTGAAGGTGCATAATTGGGTGCAACGTCAAATCAACCAAAGCATTGAGCAACCGGCCAGACGCCAATGAAAATCACCAGTGTGAGTGTGCCCCCTATTTCCCAAATGCAAATACCATCACAGTGGGCACACCTGTGATACTGTACGGGTAGCGTTGGCGAGCAGCGACGGGCAGGACGGCAGCACACCACCAACACTGCTTACCGACACGAAAGCACGTCAACCCGCCAACCTTGGGGAGGCTCTGCGCTCCATTCCGGCAAGGTTCTGTAGCATCCTCGAAGGGGAAATGCCACGCTCTTTGACCGCAGCCTGAATGGCACAGACGGCCTGGACCACAAAAACAACCTGGCAGATCTTGATGGCGTCTGAATCCTCATTGCACGACCGTCAAGGGCCGAGATCTCGGGCTACATCGACCTCTTCCGGTCTTGGTCGGCAGCTAGGATAAGGCAGTATGTCCATAGGCAAGAGGAGTAGAGCTTCTGCATCGCGTGGCCTAGGCCAGGCGAGTCGTGTACTAGCTACCTAGGCACCTGGGCACCTGGGCGTGCTGGGCACCTAGGCATAGGCACCTAGGCATGTACTGGGCCTCCCTCCTTCACATGCTCCCACCCACCTTCACCAGCCAGCTGGAAGACTAGAGCCGAGCTCAGAGACAGAAGGCGTGGGTGTGGGCAAGACACGGGGCGATGGACTGCCGCATCGGGAAGACAATCTCTTTGTCTGGCACTCCGGGCCAGCTGAAGACATTGCCATAAGGAGCGAATGTCAGGGCAGAGCGAGATTGATGATGTATTTAGGCTGTCTTGTGCCATGCTATGCTCACGATATCCACGATATACAGTATGTTATGCCATGCCATGCTGCTGCGCAAATACTGTGTAGACATATGTACTGTAGTCATCAATGCATCCCATCCCATCCCATCGCCCAGCCCTTCGGTACGTCGACGCCACTGCCCACTTCTCACATCAACCAAGTACCGTAGGACAGACAAACATGTACCCACCGTCGATACTTGAATCTTGGCCCGGATCGGGAGATGCTTCTGGTCAAGTGCTGTGCAGTCGCTTGTTATAGCCCAAACTCCACTGGCAGTCGCTTGTCCTGGTCCTGGTCCCGGTCCTGGTCCCTGGTCCGTCCTGGGTCCCGGCTCTGGGCTGCAGTTGCACCTGCAGGGCCAATTTGCCGTGTGCGTACCTCTTTGCTCCTCTCGCAACTCAATCCCAGCTCGCTTGCTCACTCTCAACCAGACTTTCGTATCTCCCTCACTCTCTCTCTCTCTGTGTCGCTGCGCTACGCTACGCTGCGTCTGCCCTTTCCCTCCCACCCTCTCCCAGTGGTGCAAGCACTTGCACACGTCCACTCGCTTTCCACCAATTGGCACAGGCTCGGATCTGACCGCGACACCAAAACAAAACTCGGGACAAACCCATCTATCTCATCCAAACTACTTCGAGCCAGGATCGACACTCGAGCTACTTGCTCACATCCCGGCCGTCCAACTCCTTCTTTCTCTTTGTGTTTTGGGAGCATCGGGGAGCACACCTCGGGTTACTTGGGCACCGTCGAGTCTACTTCTTTCAACTGTAACCCAAGAAATTGCCCCATCACTCGCTCCCACGCACCCACGCGCTCGACCGGCGCTGCACACGTCCCTCCCCGTGCCCTCTTGGATGCCACTGCGACGTGCAACCGCATTCTCACCCTCGACCTCACGCACGACTTTGACTCTGCTAAGCTTACTCGTACACGTACACACGGGACTGGGTATCGCTGCCACCAACATTCTTCAATAGACCAAACTCTCACTCTCATATCGCCCTAAATTCCCCGTCTTACACGCCCATGTCATAGACACGACCAGCTTCGGCCGGGCAACTGCAGAAAGCCTTCCGAGGCAGGGCCTGCCCGTCGTGGCCTCGACCCTCCTCGACCTCGCCCCGCCGTTTGCATGCAACCGTGGTTCTGGGGAAGCGCTCAATCGCTCTGACCAGCGCCGAAATGGCCACAACCATGGGATCACGACCCGGGTCGACAGGCTCTGCGCCTGCTCATCACCCATCACTGCCCGCATCCCCGACGCTTACAAACCCAGACATGATCCTGCCCGACTACCCTGACTACGATCGGTCCCCTTCGCCTGTCCGCCTCGACTCGAACCGCCCTCAGTCGCCGCTGACCATGTGGAGGAACGCCCAGGCCGCCGGTGGATCAAACGACAACAACATCAACAACATGCTGTACAACCAGGCGAGCCAGCAGTTCACCGGCTTTGCTTCTGCCGCGCCCGCCACGCCCATCATCTATGGAAACGGGACAATGCTCTCAGACATCGGCGAGGTCACCGAGGTCGAGAGCACGCTCGGCAGGCCATCACCTCCACGGCACATCCCTGTCCGGGTCTCACCCTACGGGACTAAGGACAGAGACAGCGAAAGTGATGCCGCGCTGCGATCTTCTCCGACCATGGGCCAGGGTGGGAGTCTCTCTGCTATCAAGAAGAAGGCAAGAGAACAGCGAGATCGGCGTTCTTCGACCGGCAGCGACAGCACAGTCACCGACCATCATGACCAAGCCAACCTATTCGCAGACTTTAGTGACGCTGTCAGTGTGGGAGGTGACAGTGTCTTTCAGGGCGACGATGAGGAGAGCATGGCTAGTTCGTACGTTGAGGAGTCTGACATTACTGGCGCATCAGACGGGCAGAGCAGTGTACCTGTGAGCCTCTCTTATGAGAGCAGACAGAAGTATTCCACAGCCCAATTGAGCCGGAGGGCTGAGCACATTCTTGCTAACGCGAAAAGGAGATTGACGGTGAGTTGAGCGGAAATGCCCTGAACAAGCAATGCAACAGCTCTAACTATCTATGAAGACTATGGAGGACAACCTCACTAGGGCTAGAAGCTCGTTAGCCATCGCCACCTATTCGTCCGGTTCTAATGCTTCCACTCCGTCTCCGCCAATAGCACGGGCAACATCTGCACTTTTCGTGTCGACATCGTCTCCTTCGTCACCCGCTCTCTCCGGCCACAGCAGAAAGGGCAGTGATCAGGCCCTACGGATCGGCTTACCCATCAAGGTCTATCCGCAGAGGTCATCTAGTGTCACTGGGCACACCAATTCCAGGCAGCACCCGCTGACCGTTTCTAAGAGCGCGGATCAGTTGAACGGTCAGTACAAGCGGGCGTCATACATTGTGCGCGAAGCACAGGTCGCACTCGAGCCACTCAGCGAAGATGAGGCATCACAAGTATCGAGCCAGGCCCACCTCAACACACCGTACAGGCACTCCACCATCACGAGTCCAACATTTGGGACTGGGTCCGAGCGAGGCCTTGCCCGGTCGGCATCAGTGAATCAGATGAGAGACATCAAGGACCAGGTGAACGACCTCAAGGGCAAGATCTCCAGCTTGCGGGAGCAAGCGCGAGCAGACAGTCTCAAGAGGAGGAGCATACAAAGCTTACGGACACCGAGCCCATTCACTTACTCTCGGGTCGGGCAGTGGTCTGGTGCATCGGACTCGACAGTGGACTCTGAGACGAAGTCGGACAAGCTGGGCCATTCAAGCGACGAAACGGCGAGCATTGGCAAGGACAGTGCCGTGAATGTCGGTGAAATAGGTGACTACGAGGCAGCAAGCGTGTACAGCGTCGAAAATGTGGAACACCCGGGACATGGCCAAGCTGATCAATTCGATCGCGACAGCACAGCCGCGCTCCGAGCAGAGGGATTCGTGCAAGTTGAGGACGACGACGATCTGTTCACCGAGAATGGCGATGTTGATGAAGACGCACTGGAAGAGGAGCTGGAAGAAGTGTTCGACACAGTGAGCGAGGGCGGCGACTCCCTCTATCATGAGGCCGTGCAGCACCAAGTCTCGCACGAAGATCGAGAGGATGCTTTTGACTACGAGCATTTCTTTCTCCACAGTGCCATGGGGACAATCAGCCAACGAATGGCCATGGCCCGTCGAGGGAGCGACGCCACCTATACCTCAGAGTCGTCAATGGAGACAACAAGGGGCCCGATTACTGAGAAGGACCAGAAAAGGCCGCATCATTCCAGAAGGGGCAGCGAGGCATCGGTATCGAGTTTCGAGTCTTTTGCAACTGCCGAAGAAGCCTTGTCGAGCCGCCAGAGCATGGATAGCAGCAGGGGCCCCGAAAACTTGGACGACTTGCCGGAGGATGGTAGTGCTCCCAGCACACCTTCCACTGAGACTATGGAAAGTTCGCAAACTTCAAAGCGCACGACAGTCTCTGGGATCGGCTCACCTTTATATGGGATTTCCGGCCGACCGAGTCCGGAAGGGCAAGCAAAACGAGAAGTCATGTACTCGACAATACGTCGGCCGATGAGCTCGAACGCAGCAATGAAAGGCCATCGACCGTCTGTGTCGTCGTTCGACTCGACGGGCACAACACGGAGCTTCCCGCTGGTCAACAGAACCAGCAAGACATCAAGCACAGGAATGATCACCCCGGAGGGCGGGTCCCCAGATCCTGCAGTGCGGTCGATCACAAACTCGCTTATGAGCGACACGACAGTCGCCTGCCAGGAGATGCAGAATGGCGAAACGGCCAAAAACGATCATTCCGCCCATGGCGGGCACAAGCACAACATTAGCATCAGCAGCACCGCGAGCCTCATGCAGGAGAACGGCACGACGGCCGTAATAGAAACTCTGCCCCGAGACGACCAATTCCTGGTCGAGAGGACGGTGGCGAGCCTGGGCCGGTGCGTCCTTGGCCTAACGGAGAGCGGCCGGGCGAGCGCAGAGGGACGGATGTACAGGAGAAGGATCGATGCTGCGAGGAGGATCCTCGAGGGGCTGGATCACTCTTGATTCGGTCCGCCTCAGGTGGCACAAACGAAATTGCTCTATTGCTCTGTTGCTCATTCCCGTCGCTACTTCCCACGTGTCTCGTCGACCCAAAAATGGCCACAACACAATATGGCGCCAGGCTTGTGACCAGACGTGGTTGCTGTCATTCCCTTCAGCCTGGCTTTTTCTTTCTGGAAGAATTCCAAGACTTTACACTTTCTTTTTCTTCTTTTCCTTGATCAGCGGTGCCTCTTTTCTTTCTCCACAAACTTCGTTCTCGGGCTAGGAGGATGGGATGGCGAAGATGGGCTCAGGAGTGGTTTCCAAAGGCGGGAGGGGAGGCGGGATAAGGACAAAAAGCAAAGCGGCCCCTGGGTTGGGTTCCCCAAGGCTTACACCTGTCAATGGCCGTATAGGCTTGTACAGGATTTGATACCCCTCTTTTCTATCTGTCTTCTTTTCTTCTTGTTCCATTTATTCTTTGAAACATACCGGCTGAGGTGGACTCTTGTACCAGACTATCGAATCGATCGATGGGATTGTTTCACGACGGCTAGGCAGCGATTGTACATGTTTCTAGAGAGGGGACGATAAAAAGTAATGTCTTATGATATGAACTATCTCAGAACGATATACATATACCCTCTTCGGACGGACGCGGCAGTCCCTAGAACTTGCGTGGGATACATAATGGGAACACTGACGCCCTGGGGATGCCTTGATACGGATATTGATCTTGCTGAGTTGCGCTCACCGACCCGCCGATGCTTTGAACCTTGTCCAGGGGGTATGGTTATATGAGCCAGTTCTAGGCTCTGAGTCTGCCGGCAGAGGTGTAAGCCATGGAACAAGCACATGGCATGCTTGAGGAGTGCGTCGTTCCTTTCTGGTTCACGGTCCAGCCAAAGCAATAGCCTGTTCAAATGGACCGGACGCATGGTGAAAGACAGCCAGCCATAGCTGCTTCAGGGAGTGTATACTTTGTCTAGTACACGTGCTACAGAGTGACCTTCTCGCAATTCCAGTGCCAGAAGGGAATACGTCTATTTGCCATAGGTCTAGACGCGCAATAAGCGAGGGATGCAAGTGAGAGTATCTCCTCGGGGGGTGGACAGAGCCCGGTCCAAGAAGCCTTTTACTTTCTTCAGTCCAGATTGGACAAAAGGCGTTACGTTGCGGAAGGAATCATGGACAAAGTGAGACCCGATGCATACGGCACCCGTATCTATCGAGAGACTGCTCTCATGCTTTCGGTAGGGATCAGCAAAGAGAAGGCTGCGCGGTACAATGAGATCCTCGGCCTGTGATAGTGCTGGCCCGTGCGTGCCCCAGGCCGAGCGCGAACCCCTGCTGTTGCGGGAGCTTCCAGTGGACAATTGAACATTTGGACCCCGTGAGTCGTCGCGCCCCGTAACCACACGCCCCGTACCCAACAACAACTCATCACACATTCGCAGCCCACTTGCTTGAGCACAACATCTCCGGTACATCTTACCTTTGCAGTATCGAGCTTGGCTGACGCTCTTACTCTGTGTGCCCTTGGCCTGCATCGCACCCCGTCCAACCCAATCTGCGTCGGAAAGAAATAAGCAGAGATCAGTCGACCAACCGACCGACCGACCAAGCGACACGGTGGACAATCCCCCAGCGATGGACGGCGGAGACAATATTGTAGACACATTCTGGCAAAACCTCAATTTTGCCCGCGAAGGTATGCGATGCTCCCATCCTGAATGATTATCCTGCCCGGAAAATCCCCCCAGCAAAACCCCCAGTACCCTCTATCAACACCCAGCACCACCTGCCAGACCAAACAGGCCACATTACCGCCCGCGCACACCCGCACACACACACACACACCCACATAACCTGGCTTCCTGACAACCAAGCCAACCCGCTGACCACCGACTCCGCAGCGCTCTTCTCCCAGCAGACCCTCGCCCTCGTGAACCAGCACGTGCTCAGCCCCTCGTCGCCGCTGCACACGCTGCGGCGGCAGTTCCTGGACCTGCTGTCGACGCTGTACAACGACATCATGTCCCCCGTGCTGCAGCCGGTGCTGGACCGCGCGATGCAGGCGTTCATGAACTCGCCCGACGTGGTGGTGCTGGCCGTGGTGGTGGTGCTGTTGCTCGTCGCGGTGCAGGTGCTGCTGTGGGTGCGCCGCGTCGTCGCCTGGTTCACGGCGCTGGTGCTCCGCCTCGTCTTCTGGTCCTTCGTCGCCGGCCTCGCCGCCGTCGTGTGGCAGCGCGGGCTCGACCAGGCCGTCAGGGACCTGGTGGCCTTTGTCGGGGCGGTCATGGGCTATGCGGAGCTGATCTACCGGTATACGAGCGAGGTCTGGCTCAGAGAGTACGAGCGGTACGAGGCGCAGCAGAACCTGGTGAAAAATAGGGCTGGGTAGGGGTATCATGCAGGCCGGGGCGGGCGCGTGGTAGGCTGTGAGTGCCTACGCTGGTGATGAGGGCGGTGATCTATCTATCTACACACATGGTTTGGTGTTAAGGCGTGGAGCACGCACCATTTTGACATGACTGTACCAATGATTGCACGACAGAACGAGCTGCATGACGGGTTACAGGCACTAGGCGCGATTCGAGGGTTCACCTTTGGCGTACTTTTGGGGCAGCGTTGTGTATTTGGATCTGGAATAGCATTTATGATGATTTGAGATACCACAACTCCGGCGCTATGCAAGCAATGAAATCTGAGAATGACCATACAAGACACTCGCCTCGCAACACAAACACACTTTTGATGCCCAACAATAAAGAAGCCCAGGATGTTTACCCAGAATACTAATCCTCGGGCTCATCCTCGAACTCCTCGTCCTTGAGCTCCTTTGGCTCCTGTGCCTCGTGGTATTGTATGCAGTCGTCGATGAAGCTGAGGATGGCGCCGACGCTGTCCTCGTCCGACGAGTCAAGCTTGAGGTAGTTGACCATGCTGAAGCTGTCGATCAGGTTCGCGACGGCCCGGTTCAGCCTCTTGAAGCTCGCGCCGCGCATGACGGCGCCCCTCTCGGCCGGGTCGGCACTTTCGTCCTCCGCCTCGTCGGCATTCCCTTCCCCCTGAGCGTCGGCGAGGGTGTTCCGGCGCACCTGCTCGGCCGGATCGTCGTCCAGGAGCGTCGCGTCCGGGGTGAGGAACCTCTTGATGTCCCGCTTGCGCACCTGCCCCTTGACCAGGTCCATCTTGGACAGGATGTTGAGGTGGGGGATCTCAAGCAGGATCATGGCGCTCATAGCGCTCAGGGTGCCGGAGAAGAACTTGGCGCGGTCGACGACGAAGGTGGCCTCGAGAAGGTAGGCGGCGCAGAGGCGGATGTCGAGAGCACCGGGCTGGCTGAGGAAGCGGACGAGGGCGGGCAGGATGGGGATGTGGGTGTACAGCTCGATCTGGCCGGGCATGTCGATGATTATGAGGTAGTCCTCGGTCAGCCCTTCGAGGGCCTCGGTCAGGAAGTCTAAGTTGTCCATCAGGAACTCGAAGCAGTAGACGAGCCCGCCATTTGGGCCGAGGCCCATCTCCTCCATGACATCCTCGAGCGAGATCAGGTCCTTGATGTCCAGGTCGGGCTGGTGGTCAAAGGACTCGGCGGCTGGGTCGAGGTTCACGTAGAAGCAGGAGCGGCGATTGAGTTGCAGGTGGGTTATGAGGGCCGAGCAGAAGGTGGACTGCGGCGCTCTCGTCAGAAATCGTGCATCACTGGCGATATGTTGAATGTTGGAAGGGATGCATGTCGCGAGGCTCGACGCACCTTGCCCGCGCCTGCTGGGCCCATGACCATGACACCGAATTTACTCATCTTGGTTTTGAGCGGGCGTGGCCCTAGAGAGCGACTGGTGTTATGTGTTGAAAAGAAGGCGGTCGACGTAGGTCAGGTTGCGTGTGAAGTACACGCAATGCTCTGTATCCCAGATTTTTTGCCGTCTTTTCGGTCTGACGGGGATGCTCCCCCCCACTACGAGGGGCAGCTTCAAACTGGGGTGGTGTATGTACTTGCTTATCTTATCACTTCCCGGGGTGGGAGTGCAGATCCTTACTGTACGCTTCTCTGACTTTTGCCTATGACTCTGCTTCTGACTCTGCTTCTCCTCCAGGTACGAGTCGCTCATGAGAGCACTCCACAGCCATCTGGCAGCCCTGAGCACGCAATGGAGGTTAATACGCGTCAATGGTTGGCATGCCGACTTTATGTAGCTTCTAGGAAAGGATGATAGCATCCAAATAGCCATCCGAATACAAGACTGGGGATATCAGCCAGCAGCTCGAGACGAACAGGAACAGGCACAGGCGTGGGAGCTCGCTCGGAGTTTCTGGAGTCAGGGACTTGGCTACTCGGTGTCAGGATACAAGTGCGGCTGGAGGCGATGTCAGCACATGGGCATGATGACAGCTTATCATTGGCAAGGGGTCGGGGTCGCCTCCGCCCACCGTCAGGAACTGTATGTGTGTGTCCTCTGCGAACTCCCCGAGTCGTGGACGGGCGGCCACCGGAGCCTGGGGCATGGGAACAAGAGTGAAGAGTGGGTTCGGGTATTGGAGCGGGCGCGGGCGCGGGTGCGTGTGCGGGCGCGGGTGTGTTGCAGGTGCGACTGCGACTGCCAGAGCCTAAGAATCGCGCAATCGCTGGGCTGGTTGAGCTCGTTGAGCCGTGGGTAGACGGTACTGGATAACTCGGCAGAAGAGACGATCCTCAACAGGTAGCCAGGACCTTTCTGTTACAGTAGCGTTGGGCGGGGAATAGTAGGCACGCCCTGGCTCTCTCCCCTCTCCCCCCTCCTCGGACGGTTGATGTAAGGTCCTCGACGTTGCAAGGGTCCTTCTATTTTCTGCCGCACCCAGTCACCAGTCCAGTGTATCTTGTTCCCCCCCCTCCAGCCCTCCCAAAAAGTTTCGGGCCCCGACTGTCGGCTCCTTCTTCTGACGAGCAACGAGCAACCAGGTCCGCCGTTACCTAACACACCGACTCAATAAAGTCTCCTCTCATCCCCGGGCCTCAATCCCTCCCTCTCCTCCTCCTCCTCCCCAGACTTCTTCTCCCGTAGACGTTTCGTTTTGTTCCCTCTCGTCGGTTTCCCTGTCTCCTAGTCCTTCGTCTCTCCATACGCCCGTCCAGATTGTCTACAGGTAAGCCATTTACTGCCTCCAGCACGCAATCTTTAGCTTCAGCTTTGCCGTCTCAATTCCCGGGACATCCCAATCCATTGACCTCCTCTGGCCTTTTTTTCTACCCCGCCATCTCGGCGCAGGATGAAAACTCCTCCACAGCCCAAAACCCGTCCCCATCACTGCCTTTACCCCGACCTCAAGAAGACTCAGGAACTTTTATCCCGCACCCACTCTTGCGGCAGAAGGTTATTCCAATACATACAAACATACATCCATACTAACTCTTGACCAGTTAGACCCCCTCCTCCTCCCCTTCACTCATCACCAACCCACGTCACAATGGCTGCCAACAACGGTGTCAACGGCCATGTCACCGCCCCTCAGGGCAACTTCCTCTTCACCTCCGAGTCTGTCGGTGAGGGTCACCCCGACAAGATCGCTGATCAGGTCTCGGATGCCATCCTGGACGCCTGTCTGGCCGAGGACCCCCTGTCCAAGGTCGCCTGTGAGACTGCCACCAAGACCGGTATGATCATGGTCTTCGGTGAGATCACCACGAAGGCCAACCTCGACTACCAAAAGGTTGTCCGCAATGCCATCAAGGACATTGGCTACGACGACTCCGCCAAGGGCTTCGACTACAAGACCCTCAACCTGCTGGTCGCCATTGAGCAACAGTCCCCTGATATCGCCCAGGGCCTGCACTACGAGAAGGCCCTCGAGGAGCTCGGTGCCGGTGACCAGGGTATCATGTTCGGCTATGCCACCGATGAGACCCCCGAGCTGCACCCCCTCAGCCACCTGCTCGCCCACAAGCTGAACTCTGCCCTGTCCGCCGCTCGCCGTGATGGCTCTCTGCCATGGCTCCGACCCGACACCAAGACCCAGGTCACAGTTGAGTACCAACACGACAACGGCGCCGTCATCCCCAAGCGGGTCGACACCGTCGTCATCTCCACCCAGCACTCCGAGGACATCACAACCGAGCAGCTCCGCAAGGAGATCACGGAGAAGATCGTCAAGAAGGTCATCCCCGCACACCTTCTTGACGACAAGACCGTCTACCACGTAAGTCCTAGCACATGCCCCGATCCCAATGACCTTGGGCGCTGGCTGACAACCCCATAGATCCAGCCGTCTGGTCTCTTCATCATCGGCGGTCCCCAGGGTGACGCCGGTCTGACCGGCCGTAAGATCATCGTCGACACCTACGGTGGCTGGGGTGCCCACGGTGGTGGTGCCTTCTCCGGCAAGGACTTCTCCAAGGTCGACCGTTCCGCCGCCTACCTGGCCCGTTGGGTTGCCAAGTCCCTGGTCGCCGCCGGCCTGGCCCGCCGCGCCCTGGTCCAGCTGTCCTACGCCATCGGTGTTGCGGAGCCCCTGTCCGTGTTCGTCGACCACTACGGCACCTCGCAGAAGACCTCCGAGGAGCTTGTCGAGATCATCCGCAACAACTTCGACATGCGCCCCGGTGTCATCGTCAAGGAGCTCGACCTGGCACGACCCATCTACCTGCAGACGGCCAAGAACGGTCACTTCGGCACCAACCAGGACTTCAACTGGGAGAAGCCCAAGACTCTCAAGTTCTAGAGCAAGTATCATACAAACTCCTTTATACTAATCACAATCTGGGATCAATAACTGGCGTACGGTTTTCAACAACATAAGGGATATGGGTAGCTAAAAGCGCGTGGGCGGAAGGCGTCTTTCAACACAAGGCATGCAAAGATACCCATTCAACGGGGCATTTAGGTCGGAGTTTTGCTAGATTCGCTCAACGAAGCGCAATTGAATATGATCGAGTTGTGATCACATAAATTATTTGTGCCATGTGAATATCCTCAAATCGTTCATCCCCTAGGTGGTGGTTTTTTGGTGGTTCTTTTTTTGTGAAGTGTTTTGTCTCGACAGAGTCACATGGACATAGCTCTATTCGTGGAACCAGCGGCCAGGCAGGTATTGCCTCGTTCTTGGCCGAAAACTTATATTGCGGTGGGAAGAGCAGACGATCGTCCGTGTCCGTTTCGAAGTCTCAGACGCTGGTCTCCGGTGCCGGTCTCCAATAGCCCTAGGCGGCATGTGCGAACTGCGTCCGTGGACAACGTCGTGCCACAGCACCATCCAGCAGCAGTGAGAACCTTATCGACCACTTGCAACTGACAATTGGTTGTATGCGGCCGGCACGCTGTTGGCTCTTGATCTGTGCCTTCGGTCACGGAGCTCAGGGAACACAAAGAGCAAGGAATTGTAGGTAGGACCATCCCAAACAGGCACTCAATAAGGCTGGTCTAACGTTACGCAACGGCGGCCGGGACCCGCTTCCATCTGGCAACAATAGGAGAAACAATAGCAAGCGACCTTCTTCCTTCCTCACCAACAATCCCAGATTCACTCTATTCACCTCCATTTGCAGCACCGCCCCCAGCAGAACTGTTCTGATTGTCTTGTGAGAAGTCTCACTTGTTATCTTACTTTGCCTGCGATGATTGGTGCTGCCCTCTATGGTGCCAGCCATGCATCCATGCTCTGCCACTTCTCTGGCACATCATCAGGGGAACTACAATATCTCCTGGAGTGACCGTGCTCACCATTGTGCTCGAACTGATCTTTTGGGTGTTCCAAAAAGCATGTAGGACCGGTAGGTATTATCCCTCTTTCTGGCCTGCTCTTACAATAAAAGCCATCAGGCTCCTCCGTTGTCAGGTGTTTTACTGTTCTACTGCCAACTCACTGCTCGCTTTCATCGCATGAAATACTTATACAACATTCACTCCTCGATACAAACAAGCAGTACTGAGCTTGCTGGTGGATTACAAGACATACTCTCTCCTGCTAGATACAGGCCCTTTACACTACATCTGCATCAGGGCATTCAAGCATCGAGAATAAGGAAACTGATTTCGAAGTGGTGTTCATCGCCGTGAATGGTTTCAAAGGAACACATATCAAGGCGAGGCAGCCACTACCAGAAGAATCTCTTGATCACCTCATTTGCCTACTTTCTTGACATCGCGAAGCATGGCTCAACTGCCCAACCAAGCTTCTCTCGACCCGTTGACTGGTCTTCCAAAGGACATCTCACATGGTGTCCCCTCTCCCCCTCCAGCATACTGTCCGCCAGCCCGTCATCTACGACACCAAGCAGCTACCCGACGCGTTGCGGAAGATCCCTCACGCGCCACCAGCGCCGCGCAGTTCTCCCAGCTGTGCAACATGAACAATGCAAATTACGACAACAACCGCGAATACGTCAACCTCGACGTACCCCACGACTACGACGACGAGCGCAGCCCAATCGAGCTGCGCATCTGCACCACGGTGCAGGTCGAGGGCGACAACAACGCCATCCTGATGACGGCCCCCCCGGCGGACCACGCCAAGGCCGTCGTGGACGCCGTCACGGCCACGATACGCCAGGCCGGCAGCATGAACGACGGCGGCATCCCCATGATCGACGAGGAGGGCAGGCCGAGGCCATTTCGGATCACCGTCGAGGCGGGGATGCACATTGAGGGCTCGGGGAACGTCCTGGGAAGCGAAGAGCACATCAAGCAGCTCCTGGGTGGGAAGCGCAAGCGCGACGATGGTGATGGCGGCCGGGTCGTTGTGGCCGCTGATAAGGGAAGCGATGACGATGCTTCTCCCCAACCGAGACGCTTGCGGAGGTCTAGCATTTGATGTTTTAGCCTGAGTCTCGAGACTCGTGAAAAGGGGACCTCCATCATGAGGACAAACTGCGGACCACAAAGAAAATCGAAAGATCAACTCGCTGTTTGGACAGAACCTGCTTGGTCTCAGTGGTTCCGGTCGGATGGTAACAGGTGGCGTATGATCCTTGGATGGAAGGACTTCGCATCCAAAAACCATGCCACTTTACTTTCATCGTATACTACCAAATGGTCAACGAGTACACCTGATGGGAGAGATAGAGCTGAGTGATAGTTTTTGGACGGGGCATATTGGCTGCAAGGTTGAGATGAGCCAGGCACGTAATAGGCGATGAATTGAGACATTGACGTCCCGTGTACTTCTGTCCTCTATCAATTGTGATGTAAAATTGATGAATACGTAGTTCCAGTACTGAGCAAGACGAACCTTGGGAGTGTTCTGTGTTGCTGTTGCAAGCCACTGATTGAATGTTATGAGTGAGCCCCACTGGGCTCGTTCCAGGAAATAAACGCAAGCGAGCCCCTGAAGTCATCCAGAACGTCAGTAAGTCAATTTCGAGGATTGGCTGAACAACAATTGCTTGCGAACCAATGCAATTGTGCAGGAATTCGAAAATTCGCAAAGCGCGTCCATCAAGTTCGGCCAAGGAAAGAAAAGCAGAGGCTGGCATACACGGAGCTTGGCTGCTGAGAACCATGTCATCAGCCCCCTCACCGCAGCAGCGCAGCCATGGTCTCCTTAAAAGTTCATAAACCCTCCGGCCATCGCAGCCGCTCCCGCTCGCCCAACCCCGGACAGGAGGAGATGGCGTCGCTCACCATACGCAACGTCACCATAAACCCGCTCGAGCTCGTGCTCACCGAGCGCTTCGAGAGAGCGCCCCCACCCGGCGGCGGCTTCTCCCGCATCAACAGCACTCTCACGGGGCTCTTCACCAGTTCAACCCCGGCACTATTCGCGCCCGCCGACGGTCAGGAGCCTAGCGAGCGCTGTGATGTCACCGACGTCGTCGTGGGTGCCTTTGAGACCAAGACCACCGACATCCCAGCCGCGGAGCCCGGCAGATCCGTCCTGCGCCTGACGTTCAAGGCGACAGGCAGCCCGGCCCACAGGTATGTCGTGGACTGCCCCAGCCCGGGAGCGCGGTCCGTGGTGATGAGGAAGGTGGGCGGAGACGGCGACGGCGACAACAGCAACGGCAATGACGAGGAACCGCCGCTGGAGTTGACGGCCGTGTACATCCCGGCGGCGCGCCACCTGTCGGTGCTGAGCTCGGCGAGCCTGCCGGCGTGGATGCGCGAGCTGGGCGACGGGTGGCCGCTGTCGGCGCTGTCGATCCCGGGGACGCACAACAGCCCGACGTGCCACGTGGCGCTGCCGTCGGTGCGGTGCCAGGCGGTCGGGGTGCGCGAGCAGCTGGACAACGGGGTGCGGTTCCTCGACGTGCGCCTGTCGGCGTCGCGCGACGACGACGGCCTCGCCCTCGTCCACAGCGTCTTCCCCATCTCCCTCGCCGGCGGCAAGCACCTCGCCGGCCTGCTCGACGAGCTGTACGCCTTCCTCGACGCCAACCCGTCCGAGGCGCTCATCATGAGCCTCAAGCGCGAGGGCACCGGCCGCGGGACCGACCAGCACATGTCGCAGCACTTGTTCAAGCGGTACTGCGGCGGCGGCGGGAAGGACGGCGGGAGGGACGAGGACACGGCGCGGCGCTGGTTCACGGAGCCGCGGATCCCGACGCTGGGCGAGGCGAGGGGCAAGATCGTGCTGGTGCGGCGGTTCAACAACGACGGCGCGCTGCAGGCCGAGCACGGCGGCAAGGGCTGGGGCATCGACGCCTCGGCGTGGCCCGACAACTGCGCCGACGGCACCGTTGACAGCGGGCTCGTCCGCGTGCAGGACTTCTACGAGGTCACCCAGAGCACCAACATCGAGAAGAAGGCCGAGCTGGCCCGGTCGCACCTCGAGAGGGCGTGCCAGCAGGTGTATGCTGCCGCACCAGGACCCGGAGGTGGTGATGGGCCGCCGCCGCCGCCGCTCTTTGTCAACTTCTTGACTGCGAGCAATTTCTTCAACGCCAGCTGCTGGCCAGAGAAGATTGCCGCCAAGGTGAACCCTTCGATCATCGAGTACCTCTGCATCAGGCACGCCGAGAAGGGCAAAGGACCGGCGCAGCTGGACGTCGGAGATGCGGGCACAGGCATTGTTGTTACGGACTGGGTTGGCCACGACGGGGACTGGGACTTGATAAGGTGCATAGTCGCATGGAATGCGAGGCTACAACTGAAGAAGTAGAGACGGGCGGGACGGGAGCATTTCACATAGACGCATCGGCATATCACGGGAGATTTGATACATGACACTTGAGTAATATTGTAATGTTCATTTAAGACTATTAGATAGAAGATAGACTCTCCAGTCTTGGTTTAGAAGCGAGCCTGCTGGAGCCAGGATTGTCAGCGAGGGATTCGAAACACTCATGCGAAAAGAATCGACATGACCATAGCCTGATCAGTTCTCCAAGGTGATAGATAAGGTAAAATATGATTGCGTCGTCACAGAAATTCAGTGGCAAAATAGCAAGGTAATCATCAGAAAGGCGGGTCGAGTCAAACAGAGAAGTGAACTCACAGGATGAGAAGGGCAGCTCGACTCTACGTGAAGCAATTACCTGCCATGGGCAACCCGTCAGCTAAAGGATCACCATGAACGCAAGACTTGCTCGACGAAGGCAAACAGCTGTCAGTCTGCGAGATTGTTAGCTTGCGGGCCCGATACGTGCGGCGAGCAGTCGACATACCTCATTAAATCAGATTTTGTTTAGTGTTCATCTCCGGCCATAGGCACGGATCAAACAGTGTGAATAATGTTCATCATTTTGCTGTACAGGACGCCTGCGGAACAAGTAGGGAAGCTGAATTACCTGTTGTCTTCGGTGTTAGCCAGAAGCTCGACAACAGACATGGCGTGCAGGCGACAGAGCGCGAATCGAGGTAGCAAGATCAGGTGACGAATTCTCAACAAGGTGACCCGCGCGAACCCGCCTCACAAGGTGTACAGCCCTGCTTTTGACGAGACGGGCCGACGAGCTCCGATCTGTCCGCCCGTTCGTTCAAATTTCATCATGTTGCTAGAGGCGCGGAAGAGATGTGGGAAATGTACCTGTTCGGTGACAGTCAGCAAGATGTTGCGGCAAGAAAACAAGGCAGCAGCAAGAAGAATTTCAAGCGTATCCAATCAGACAAGGCTGAAACTTATAAAACATTATGTCCACATTGGTCTTCGGTTCGAGGAATCCCTGAATGTAGTGTATGCATCATGGAAATGGGGGCGGTGGAGGAGGAGGAAATGCTGGAACGAACCTTTTGAGTTTGACAGTTTGAGAGTTTGAGCGAGACCAGCGCGTCTAGAAAGAAGGGCAAAGAAAGAAGGCAAGACACTAATCTGTTGACACGTTAGCGATCGAACGCGCAGAGGCTGGCCGTCGAAAACATTGTGCTGGGTGTGTTTGCTCAGGGTAATTCTAGAGTAAAAAAGAGTCCCCATGGTGCTAGTAAGAATTGGATTGTTCGTTGTTTGTTCGTCACAGCAGATATTTCAAGGGAGAGGGGAGCTGTCGTACCTTGCCTGGAGGCTGAGTTCTGTGGAAGATTGAATGCAAAGAGAAGAGTGTCACAGGTGGTGTTTGAAGCTCTCGAGGAAGCTTTTGTTGCAGAAGATGGAAAGAAAATTTGGGGTGGAGTCGGAAAAATCTCACAGTAGTGGTGGAGCTGATCTGGGTGGCCTGGCGACGGACCAGTCCAAGCGTCTCCGATGTGGCTTTGCAAGTCGGAGAACGAGCTAACAGGTGGGGAGCTGCCACACCCCACAATCTCAGCAGCTCAGACCAGCTGATTAGATTGGATCCCAGATGTGGCGAAGTCGACTTGTAGATCCCGGGGTCAACCGGCAGGGAAGGGAAGGGAGGGAGCTTATAAGCCACCGCGAACCAGCGTTCCGCCCTTTTCCCTCCCACCCATTCCTTAACAACGTCGTCTTTCTGTTCTCGCCCTGAGAACACAAGACACAGGCAACCACCAACATGTCTCCAGCCGGAGGAGTGCTGGCCCCCGTGGTCATGCGCGCCCTCCGCAGCGCGGTTGTCAACACCGCCAAGATGACCAAGGTCCTCCAGCGCAAGCTCGCCGGCGCGACGCAACCACTCAGCAAAGAAGTCCAATATGTCACCGTCCGCTCCACCGGTCGCCAGCCCATCCACCCCACCGCGTTCCTGCGTCAGTCTAAGCGCGGCGCACGATGGTCGTCCTCCACCGCGTACAACCGCTTGAACGCCGGCGTTCGTCGCTTCATCGGAACCGCCGTCAACGAGCTTCGCGCCGGGCCAAGAATCGACCGTTCTGCCTTCAACAAGACAAACATCGGACGCGCATTCTCCCAATTCCCTGGACGAGCTCCCTTTGCCCACACACTGCGACCGAATCTCACCGGCGGCGCGATGCCCCGGACAGCCGGCGGTTACGCGATGCCCGGCTCGGGACGTGTCGGAGGCCAGCGGTACTTCAGCCACGCACCCACGTCCCAGGCGCAGGTCGTCCAGAACGTGTCCCAGGCCATGCGCGCCTTCTGGCTTTCTGGCCAGAGGGCCCACTTCGACGGGCACGGCCCCAACGGCGAGAGGAGATACAAGCCGGTCAGCTCGCTGCAGGACACTGCTTGCAGGAAGATGGCTAGTATGCCTCGCATCGTACCCGGCTCGTTCGTCGACTTCCAGATCAGCCCCACCGTGACTGCCCTGAGCCCCCTCGCTGCCGTTGCCGCCATGGCCACTGGCTTCGACGGCAAGCCCGAGGCCGGTGCGGCCACCCTCAACGCCGATGGCTTCTTTGACGTCCTCTCGACCGACTTTGCGCGACAGCTGAAGGACCTCACGGCCGTCATGAGCGATCTCAGGCGTCTTGCAGCGCTGGGAGACCTTCCCATCACTTTGGAGAAGAACAACACCCTGCGAGTGCGATTCCCGGGCCTCGACGCGGATACGGTGGAACGATTATGTGACGATACTGGCGTCCAGCGAGGTGTCATCAGACAAGATGCAGACTTCGACTCGAGCTACGGCAGCCCGATGGCCCTACGTTTCCCGTATGCGCCTGATGCACATGATGAGGAAACGCTTACCTCCCCGGGTGGCTCAATGAGGTCGCACCTCTCAGAGGTGTCCTCGATCGAAGAAGATGAGGCCCTTTTTGATGAGTACATTGAGGAGAACCCCTGGTTGTCGACCCCCGAGCCTGAAGTTGATGCCGAGGAAGGATATGAGAGCATGTCTGATCACGTCCTGAGTTCTGCCGAGCATGTCTCTGAGGATTTCGAGGGTCTGGAGGGCATCTACCGTTTTCTTGAGGAATGCGATCAGCTCAAGTCCAGAACTCGGTTCTAGGGGCGGATGTTTCTTTTGTTTCAGCGGGGCTAGGGATCTTTCGACGTGTACTCAGATTGTAACGGATTAGCACGATACCACACTCCTTTCCACAGCATATACTGGCTGGCCCCAATGAGCGGTCACAGCATAGCAATCAATTTCTTACTGTTTTAAACTTGCCATGCAAGTTCACTATACGTGACACGTACAGATACGATAGCAATCGAAATTTGTAGACCTCTGCTCTACGAGGTAGCCGGCACACATCCTCACGTCGGCACACGATTCATTCCATTTGAAGAGGCTTACCATGGACAGAGCGGTGCTCGCACTCAGGATCCCTACGTCGCAAGTGTTTGCTAACAGGCATCATTGCGGATTCTCTCCGCATTAGGTTATCCTCCGGTGCAAGCACGTCTGAGCACTTGAGGATCCGTTGCCCTGCTCCTCCTCTCACGTTGTGCATCGTGATTGGTCTTGTCGCAGACCCACCTACCGAATCGGGCACAACACAATACGTGCGCCCTCTGTCTTACATGCATTTGTGGGCCCTTTAAAAGACAAGAAGCCCTCTGCCTTCATCCTCAGAGTTGAAATTCTCAGCGTGAACCCGAAGACGATCTCAGTAAACACACCTACCAGAAGAGATCGTAGGACGATTCCAGCTATAAAAGATGGCCTCCAACAATGAAAACGCGTCCACGACAGTCCCCCACTACTCAGAAAACCCCTCGGCTTTCCCAATGGAGGGAGGTTGTGTGTGCGGTCACTTCAGGTACCGCCTCGAGCAGGCACCAATGGCTTCTCACAACTGTCACTGCACAGCCTGCCAGCGCGAGACAGGATCGGCCTTCTCGCCCAACATCATCATCGAAGCATCAAGCGTGACGCGCCTGGCCCCAGCGGCGCCAACAATACCCGCCCACCGCGGCGCACCAGATACAATCCCAGCGGCCGGGCCTGCGCCGCCTCCACTCGCCGGCGACAACAGCAACGGGCCACCCGACGACCTTCTCCGCGTGGCCATCCCGTCCGAGTCCGGGGAGGGTCAGATGATCGTGCGCTGCCCGAGGTGCTTCTCCGCGGTGTGGAGCGAGTACGTGTTCGGTCCGCCGGTGATGTTCATCAAGAGTGGTACGCTGGACCGCGCGTGGCTGGTCGAGCCCGACCTGCACATCTACGTGCGCAGCAAGCGGCCGTTCGTGGCCATCGGCGACGGGAAGCCGCAGTTCCAGGAGTACTACGACCGCGCCGAGGTCTGGCGGCCCGAGGCGCTCGAGAGGTGGGCCAAGGTCATGGTGGGCGTTCAGAAATACTGGGACAGCTGTAAGGCGGGCAGGTGAGCGCGAAGATGTGGTTGGCAGTGTGTGGTCGCTTTTCGGGCGGCAAAGAAGAAATAGAGTGCATTTCCATACTTTCCATTTCTTGTCCGATTGCTGCGGCTCATGTACAAGAGAGCAGGGAACAAATCTAGAGGACTGCCAAGATCCAATGTCTCATAATAGACAACTTCTGTGTTCATCTCTCTTTCAGCTGGTCTGGCTCTGCCCAGGCGGACTCCTCCTCTGTGACGGGGCGGGGAGCCCCTGGAAATCGGCCCCGAGAGTCGATCAGTGGGCCGTCCCGTGCGAGCCAATGCATCAACGACCTAAGGTTCAGGGGGCACAGGTCAGCAGCTGTCAATGTGATACAAGGGCATTTGGAACAACTGTTGTCTATCAGCTTCATTCATTGCGGCTGAAGCAGCATTCCCTTCATCATCCAACATCCATCATTACTAGATTCATTGCATCCCCATTGACACTGTGGTTCGGCCGGGACGTACGGACTGTGCCTGCACTTATAAACTTCCGCCACGGATCCACCGGCTTCAGTACTATAGCCATACGACTGCTGTTGCTAATTAAACAAAGAGACATTCCAGAGTATTCAGATGCAACATCCTTAAGAACAATATCGTCTTTCAGATACAATCGATCAGAAAGAGTCGAATTTGGCCTTTCATAATGGCACCATCACCTATGTTTGTGGCAACGACGCAGGCCGTTAGCCTGTCTGCGGCATCTAATGTGGTTGCTCAAGTAATCGAGATGTATCAAGCTAAGGCAAGTTTCAATCGAACTTAAGCCCACCATGTACTGAATTTGCTAACCTATGGAATTACAGACACCATGGGCCCTAGATCTGACCCAGCTCGGCCGCTTCGTGCTCCTCAGCGTGTTGACAGCACCGCCCAACTATCAGTGGCAGCTCCTCCTTGAGAAGTGGTTCCCGGCTTATGCGCGGGCTTCTGCAGCATCAGAATACCCGAAAGAGGGACGAGATGTGGAGAAGGGAGAAGTTCGGCACGTAGAGGACGTCAATAGCAAGCCGAAGCTCAACGTGCGCAATACCCTGATCAAATGGTTCGTGGATTGTATGACTTTGGGCGCTCTTATCAACACTGTGGCATTCCTCGTCCTCATGGGGGTCTTGAAGGGGCAGGAGATGGGGATGATAGGACAGAACCTGAGGACTGTAAGTGCCCTTTGAACCTGGTCTACTTGTGACAGGAGGAACACAAGACGTGGTCGAGTAATCTTAACTAATACATTCCTACAGGAGACTATTCCCATCATTGTGGCAGGGTACAAGATCTGGCCGATTGCGTCGATAGTGAGCTTTAGTTTTGTGCCCGTGGAGAAGCGCATAGTCTTTCTCAGCTTCATCGGATTTCTGTGGGGCATATACATGAGTTTGGTAGCTGCGAAGATATGAAGCAGACTTCATGGGACCTAAAGTCAGACCTACGGAATGCCACAGTAGTCATTGAGTGAGCAGTGTGTACTCATATTACTAGGCTTTCAAGTGGCTGGGGAACGAATCATTTGCACATTGATGCGTTCTCTTCCATACAACGAAGACATGTCGAAGTGTGGCAGTCATTGGCCTTGGTCAGGTTGCTCATGGCAACCCAAACTACTCTGGTCGCTTTGTAGGTGTCCAGTCCTTGGGCAGGTTGGTTGGAAAGCACCAACATCCCTCAAACTGCAGCACCCGGTGGGCATGTCGCATTGACCTGGACCGCAAGACCAGTCTCATACACTCGATGCATTGCTCAGAATTTGACCGGCTCATTATCTTCACGAGATAATAATAAACCTGAGAAGTTTACTTGCGAGTGATCCGGTTGAGTGTCGCAAATGTATAATCAGTAAGATGCTGCAAGAGTTAGTCAGTCAGCAAGATAGTTAGGATGCTTGCAGCAGTCCGGCTCCCTTCACTGCTGCTGCCGGTGTCAGGTGACCGTGCACGTGATACCGCCTTCGATTCTGCCGCAGCACAATCAAAATTCTTGCGGAGCTAGCGCCCTGGCCGACTGGCTCCGTTGGTCTGCGCAGACGTCCCACTTCCACCCTTTCTTCAATCACTTTGGAAAGACGACCATCGCGGAAATTTCGCTATTCGATACCAGCACCTATCGGACAGCGAAATCTTGACAATATCGACCAACCGCAATCATGGCTGACGCCGACTACGTACGTCTCCCTCCACGATATTCGATGCTCCAACGAGCTCGCCCATGGGGCAGGATGCGAGAGATTGATGACGGCGTGATGGCTGACCTTGCTCGCGATGCAGGACCCCGAGGCTGCCGCCGAGCTCAAGAAGAAGAGAACCTTCCGCAAGTTCTCTTACCGTGGAATTGACCTCGATCAGTACGTGGCCAACAACCCCCTCGATCGATAGAGACAAATGTCTTCCCGCCGCGATACCCACCACTACACCCGAGAACATGGACACGCAAAGCACCATCTAGCATGGGAAGGAATGGATGGCTAACACGAAACCTCGAACCACAGGCTCCTCGATCTCTCCTCCGACCAGCTCCGCGATGTCGTCCACGCCCGTGCCCGCAGAAGGATCAACCGTGGCCTGAAGCGCAAGCCCATGGGCCTCATCAAGAAGCTCCGCAAGGCGAAGCAGGAGGCCAAGCCCAACGAGAAGCCCGACCTCGTCAAGACTCACCTGCGTGACATGCTGGTCGTCCCCGAGATGATCGGCAGCGTCATCGGCATCTACTCTGGCAAGGAGTTCAACCAGGTCGAGATCAAGCCCGAGATGGTTGGCCACTACCTGGCTGAGTTCTCTATCTCTTAGTACGTTTGGCACCATCTCCCCCGCGCCTCGTCCCGCCACGGGGTTGCTCGAGAACAAGGACAATCTGCTAACAACCCCCGCAGCAAGCCTGTCAAGCACGGTCGTCCCGGTATCGGTGCGACGCACTCTTCTCGTTTCATCCCTCTGAAGTAAAATGGATGCGGTCTTTTGCGGGTTCTTGCATTGTGTCGAAACGGTCTCGGCGAATGGTCATGGTTTTGCTTGGAACGGCAGGGCCACCACTATCTAGCATGATAGTGAAGGAATGAAGCACATGAGAAAAGTGCACTTGACATCAATGTCGTTTCTACAACCCGTGACGATACTTGCTACGGTGAATCGGGCAACACGTGGGATGAGAAACAGCACTCGCGGCTCAGGTCGGAGCGGGCCAGTTCATCAAAATTGAGGCGTTTAATCGCAGAGTTCAGAACTCACTGGGTCTCACAAATCCGAAGTAATTCAACTAGCCGTGCCATGTCCCCAAATACCTTTCGTTCTTCGTAGTCTCCACAAGTCTTCTATGTGCGTGTGATCTATCGCTCGGGTCCGGGTCGGCCATCTCTGGCAGTTTCTGTGCATAGCATACGCTCATCCCGACTCTCGCTGAATGTGACAGTCGACACCACTCCATGGTCACGTCTATTCAGGGATAAGGGTTGCTCTTACTGTATGAACCATGGTGGTGAATGATTCCAGTCCACATAGCACAGCGATCATGTTTGGAATTCAAGTCCCATTTCACTCTACCTGCACGTGTTGACCCATATGATACAAGGCTCGCAGTGCCTTCTGTCCAAGTCCTCACTCCGTCTTTGCTTGCGCCAGTTTCTTTGCTTTCCTCGCCTCCTCATCCAAATGCTGCTTCTGGTAGTGCTGTATCACCTTGTCCAGGTTGACGTAGTGCCCGGCTGGGACATTGTTGGGGCTTCCGGAGTCGATGAGCCTTATTAGAGCAAGTTAGCCGCCTTGCGCCCAACAGAAGATCCAATTTTCTAGAAATGAAAAGGAGAAAGCCAGCTCAGAGCTCAGCGTCAGGTATGCAAACGTACTCTGGCGTCCTCAGCTCGTATCCCTCTTCCTTCTGCCCCGTCAGGAACAGATGCTTATCCCGCGCCGCCTGGTCCTTGATATCGGACCGGAGCGTGTTCCGGTACTCCCATGTCTTCTGGGACTCGGCCCTGAAGCTGTCGATCCACTTGGCCACGCTCGAGTTCTCGTCGCGGGAGATGGAGTAGGCGAACATTGAGAGGCCGGCAGCGCCGAGGACGAAGTACAGGCCGAGCTAGGGACAGGATGTTAGCTACTACCTTCTCTGACGTCTTCATTCTCTCTTCAGAACCCCAATGGAATAGGCAACGTACTCCTGGCGACTCCTCTACCTGGGGGGCGTGGTGGTGGTCGTGGTGGTCGCCGTGGCCATGGTCGGATGCGTACGATCGTCTGGCTTGTCGCGCGGCGATGGCTGCCGGCAGAGCGGTTCGGGCGATGCAAGCCGCTCTTTGTCTAACGGCCAGCATCTTGAGTTTTGGTCGATTTGCGCTGTCAATTGGCTCGTCTTCACCTTCGCTGAGTGCTCTCGAGGTGACGATGCTGGGCAGCCAAAGCTTCCCTCCCGCACGGCTCCCAGGTGCTGAGTCAGCAGATTTCTGGGTGCCTTGGTTGGTCTGTGCTCCACCGGTTCCTGCCACTGGAGCTTGCCAGTTTGGTCAGCCGTGCCCACTTGCCAAGTTGCCTCTTTGAGGGTCTGAATGGGAGGCGATGCGGCATTGGGGATCTGTCCTTTCTAAAGGCTTCCATCTGTTGACTCATTGTTCTAATCTTGAGACGTGGCTGTTCTGATGGTGAATATTTCATGCTTTCATTTCCCAGTTTCACATTCCAACAAGTTTAATTGTCCATTATCTTCGCCGTCGCAATTTGTCCGATATTCAACTTAAAAAAGCATCCATCACACATCAGAGCAAGGCGTCGCTCTTCTTTTAATTCTTGAGATTTCATAAACACTTTTTTGATCACATCAAACAATGAGAAGTCATCAAGCATCGTCACGGCTATCAGCCGGATCAAGTCTCGCCTTATTAGTATTTCTCGTCTTCGCCCTGTTGACGTTCGGCGCATCAGCCAGCACAAATTCTGAGGGCAGCAAAGCACAAGACGGAGCAAAGAGTGATTTGATATGTCACACAGAGAATCCTGCCGAATGCTACCCGAGAGTATTCGAGCCGACGGACGAGTTTCAAACGGTTCATGAGGACCAGGAGATACCGCCAGGGCTTCACGTCAGGCTGGACGTGAACACGGGGAAGAGGGAGGCAAAGATCAACGACCCGAACGAGGATAACCCTGCCCTTGAGGGCCTACCGGTGGGCTCGTCAGTAGTGGTCATCGACCAGCAGGAAGACTCAGAGGCTGGAAGCAAACCACAGATCCCGAAGGGCGCGCCTCAATATGAGTCGGTTGGAAAGATCAAGGAGCCAATAGAGGAGAAGCAGTCTTTCCGTGACTCCTTGACGGTGCTCAAGACTCTTGCCCTGAACGACCGGCCGATCGGCGCAGCTTTGGACATCCTGGACGACATCTCCCACGACATCTATTACGGCCTCAAGATCGCCGAGGACACGGGCGCGGTCAAGGAGCTGCTGTGTATGATGAGCTCCCAGGATGTATTCTCAAAGGGCAGAGAGGATGACGTGGTCAAGCAGGCTGGCCTCGCGGCCTCAATCGTTGGCTCTTCGCTTCAGAACAACCACAAGGCGCTCCAAGAGGTTGAGAACGCATGGGACGACATTAGCAAGACAAAATGTGCCGGGACAGGCCGGGACCTCAGCAAAGCGGTCTTCAACATGCTGACCCCAGATGCCCTTGCCGCTGAGGCCGTTTCTGGAGCCGAGGGCAGTCTTTTGAGCCTCACAAAGGCCAAGACGGCAGCGCTGAGGGGCTTGATCAAGAGCCCCATCATCCGGGACGACTTCCTCGCGAACGGTGGCATGGCGCAGATTCTGGAGGTCCTTTCTATCGAGAGGCCAGAACTAGTTCCCGCAAAGCAGAAGCTCGCAAACCTGGTGCTGGACAACTTCCTGGACGAGAGCATGGGCGCGACTTTGGGTGTCTGGCCCAGGCCTGGAGAGGTGGACCACGACTGGGACTACAAGCTAAAGACGCTCGCGAAGCTCCACAAGGCGGATAAGGATCACTGGAGCGCAGAACTGTGGAAGAGGCTACAGGAACAGAGGAAGGCCGAGCGGGCGCAGGCTGGGAAGGAGCGCAGTGAGTTGTAGGGCGGCCTACCTATAGACGAAGACCGGTTTTCCAGGAAAATGATACCCACGATTTGCATAGCAAGCATCTGGCGAGCGTTCGAGGTCTGGTTCAAGGCTAGTGACCTCGGCGACTTGACTCTCTGGTCCATCACAGTGTGCCTTCAGTGAGAATAATCGCGAGCTTCCCTTCATCAGCCACTGCAACCAGTGCGTCTGCTAGCAGCGACGCCTTCAGCACACGGCTGTCCGAACTGGCTGAAGGCTGAACGTGTCAAGGCTGCCATTCTCTGCCGCCGGATGAAAGTCTCACTTGGACTCAGCTGGCGGGCCAACCAGCTCTCCAACCAACTCTGTTCTGCGGCACGTTGCGGAAGCCGGAAGGTCACGGGATATCCTCGCACGGCGCTCTTGAAGCTCAGCAGCAGTTTCATTTCCCTTGGGCGCTTATTCTCTACGTCCATGCCGTCTCGATCGGGTCACTTGACTCCGAATCGGTGGATCGATCGAGCTCCAAGGCCAGAATCACTTCGTACAGATCAACTCAGCCAGCCTAGCCAGCCACCAAAGATAGACCGGGCCGTATCTGCACGAGCAACCGTGAGTCTCAAAATTCACCATACTCGGCCGTGGCGCGTCCTCCAACGCCTACCCGATCTCATGCAGAGCACCGACTGTGTGATCCCAAGCCGTGGTCAGGGGGCAGCACCGAGAACTTGGCGCCGGAGCGTCTGTGAGGAGGTCACGTCTCCTGGGGAAATGACCTGAGCAGACCAGACATGCATCACGTCCGAGCATACAGCGCAGGCCGCAGTGAACATGGTACAGAATGCGGTTTTTTTTTTCTTTACGTACGAGAGACCTGCTGCCGTGTTCCACGAAGAAGAAGAAAATATCTGCAGGCTGGATGGGGAGTTTGCTGAGACAGGCGGCTGGGCCGAAACATTCGATGCGGCCCTTCTGGCAAGTGAACTGAGCAGATCCGGCGGGTGGAATGAGAGGCAGCTCGTGCTCGTCCACGCGAGAAATTCAATAGATCATTGTTTTTCTTGCTCACGGCGTTGTGCGGTTTCCATTCCGCGGAGCGTAGAAATAAACGGTGCCGCTTGCTTCTTGTCCACTTGGTAGGAATAACTTCCACCCCGTTCATCACCTTGCCCAGCTTCCAGATGGAATGGGCGCCGATCTCCAACCCTGAGACTGGCGGCGCCATGCCGCTACCATTGAAGCCGTAGTCATCGGGGCCGCGCGGTGCGATCCGACGTCAATAGATCTGAACATGCCGACCTGGAGAGCCGGGTAAGGTGATAGTGAGACGGACTCGGCCACGCAGCACTTTGACTGACGGCTCCATCGGCTCGAGCGCTGTGCAAGGTGACATTAGTTCGAACAAACCTTTGGTAACCGGGATTTGACTGAAGCATCGACGTGTTCGATGTCACCCAATAGCTCCGACTAGCCCGTCGCTCCAGCCCTGGACCCTTCAAAAATGTAGAGGTGACGCGGAGATGCCGAGCACTCCCTCCCTTGGCTCGCCATTGTGATGATCGTTTCAGTGGGAGCAAACAAAGCGCACCGACGGAGGAACGGGGGAGCGAGCCATGTGGCTTACCAGTATTAAGGGGAAGCCGTGGCTTGACCGAGCATGTTCCAACACGTTGGCAACAGCCAGCCAGCGTGTGCACGATTCCAACCTCGGACAGGACCGCCATAACCGACCTGTGCCGTTGCAATCACCGAGGAATCAGGGCACGTCAGGGGTATTACGAGTTTGCACTGTTCGTCGACGGGCCGAATACACACGGGAAGTGATGAGCGCTGCGCGCTGCGTGCTGCGAGGAGCGTCACTCCTGTCTGATCATTTCCACGTGGGCGAGATGGGCACGAGATAGCTGATTGGGCTCTCGTAGAACGGAATCTCAAACCGTGCTCATGACTTGGCGAGCTTCGGGGTCTGAACCGTTCATGATGTTGCAGCCGATCTTGGGGGTGTAGACGAATCTGCATGAAAGAGGACCGTTGCTTGAGCGCATGCGGGCGGTCGCGACACCAGATCGATGTAACCATCCCAAGGACTCGCCCTGCCGGTAACTGGCATACTCCGTGGACTTCCCACCCCGCCAGGTTTGGCAATGAAGCGGGTGAGACACAGATGGCGAAGGCCGTATCGGAAAGCTGCCTTTGGCGGGGAGGGGAGAAGCTCTTTCAATCGTACCAGGCGGTTGACTTGACGATCTTTGTGGGACCGTTGGACAGAGCGAGGAAAAGCCTTCCTACGCGACCGCGACGGCTGAGCTCGGCTGTGTGGTTACCATGGGGCGTTCGCTCTTTTGACGGACCTAACAGTTCATCCTCTTCGCTTTGCTGCCTGTGCTTGTGCCCGCACACGGTAGGGCGAGGACGGTCCTCGCGGAGGAAGATGATGGCAGGATTTCAGTGTCACCCACATCTTCCCATTTTCCCCTGATAGTGTATGGATGGGCCTTCGGACGAAGGGTTCCTCGTGCAAGATCATGCTGAGACCACCGATTACTGCTGTGTATCCTCCACAGGGCAAGCTGCATGGTAACCGATCACAAGGTAGGTAGGCATATTGGCCATGGCACGGATTTTTTATTCTGCACAGCAAGCCACTCGCAAAGTCTCCGGAGAGGCTCGAGTGGCCCACCTGTCACACCACCGCCCGGTTAGCAAGAAGGCATCCCTAAGCCAGCCGGACCAGCATCTTGACAGCCCCAGACAAGCGCACTGTCTGAGTGAGAGGCCGGCAGCACCCATCCTAGGGCGGAGGAGGCAAGCTGTGTACTGTGCACAGGAGATGCTCGACCGCAAAAGGAGGGTGGTACCCCGGAAGCGGAAATGATCGCCAAGGTCTCCTCTGCTTCGTCGGCCAAATTTCACACACTCACACACACACCCACACGTACGGCACAAGGGGACGGCTGGCATTGCTGGGCGCCAGGGCGCATGTCTGGATGCCTAGGGGCAGTCCGGACGTCTGGCTGACGGCGGAGGGATCTGGCATGCAGAAGGACGTGCTATGGTGCACGACAGCAAGGGGCCAGGCCTGGTCAGCTACCACAGGAGGTAGCACTCGAGCCTGATGATGGCTTAGGGCCAAAAAAGAAGGGATTTGATGAGCGCAGATGATTGCCCTTGCTTATTATGCAGACCGTGGCAGTACAGGATGCAGGTGGTGGGTGTGGCAGGGTGGTTCTGGCTCGGCGCTCCTGGCGTCAAGCACTTGGCACTCGCTGTCGATGGGCCTAGCGAGGGCGCTATCCCACGTTAGCATTGGACAGATCTCGGGAATAGGTCGACAATGATGTCTATGGTCTGTGGGCGGTGCGCGCTGACGGGGCGGGAAATGCGGGAGGTGGCACACTGCGGAAGGAATTAGCCTAGAGGCCGGTAGGGACATGGGAGCCTGGTGTAAGGGCAGAAAGGTCAAGCCACCAAGCTGCGGAGTTGTTTGCAAAATTAATGAACCGGTACCGCGCACGAGGTCGTTAGGCAGGCAGGCAGGCAGTCAGACTGTCAGACTGTCAGACGGCTAAAAAGGTGTATCAGCCAGCCTCACGTGGATTGGTTCTTTTCTCCGGAAGGAATCCAACGGTGGAGATGATGGTAGTGGTGACTGTGTGGGTGACAACAATGGAGATGGCGATAGTAATGTCCGTGAATTCCAATAAAGCTGCTTTCAGCCACGCCAGAACTCGCTGTGCGCTCACGTTCTCGAAGTTGCCGACAACCGTCGGAAAAGGAAAAAGGCAAGCAGGCCTGGCAGAGGGGAGAGAGACACAAGATCTGTGGGCAGGCCAGGTTAGCCAGGTTAGCCAGGTCAGCCCGGAGGATGGGTAGATGGATACTGTAGTGTACATGCGAGCACACGCATCCATCCCCATCGCTGGGCCGGGCTCGATGTACTGCATCCAGGTATGCACTGCACAGGGCCGCAATCAGCCGGCGCGGCAGGTATAATGAAACACGTGGTAAGGGCAAACTCGCTGCTGTGCAGTAGCCCGTCGATACTCGGTACTTTTAAGCCACCTAGTGGGAGATCCCCTGCATCCCTCGGGCTTTGAAAGATGCTGGGCTTGCTGGGCTGGTGGTACACAGTAAGCTGAGGAGCACAGGAGGAGCGGCTGGGGGGTGGGGGGGCGACTAGGGGACCGACCTGGGCCTGCGTCTTCTCGCACTAGGGTGACAAAGAAAAAGGCCGTGGCCTAAATGTCCATGTATACTTACTGTCTTGTGTATACCACCACCATCACCGTAGCGGGCGTGGTCTGCCTGTTGCCTTGCTTTGCTAGACAATGCAGCAAGCGAGTGACACAGACTGAGACAGAGAGGCCTCGAAGAGCGAGCGAGATGGTGCCATGGCTGCTGCTGCTGTTGCTACTGCTGCCACGGCCACTGCCACTGCCGTTGCATTATACGAGCCTGTGTGTCCCACCTGCGGTCTTTCCTTCTTCCTCTATCTCCGTTTGCTGTCCTCCACCTGCCATTATTATTTGTCGACATGCTGCTGCTGCTGCTGCTGCTGCGACGACGTCCCGAGGTCCGTGGTGAATCCTGGGTAAAGGGTAAATCCTCGGATCAAAGGTCGCAATAGACGGCGCATCGGGGCAAAAGAAAACCTTGAAGGAATGGTGCATCGTGGCTCCTGGGAGCGGCCTGGTTGCACCTTCCAGGACGGGATGTGAGCAGCAAATCATCACATGGGGCAGGCATGGCGGCAGGTGGCAGGTGGCAGGCGCTCTTTGTTGAAGGGGGCAACTCGGGGGGCAGGGGGGGTGTGAGGGGGGTGAGGGGGGGCTCCACTCGAGCGCTGCGGGAGCAACATCAGCATGCGAGAAGGCCTCGTGGCATTTCTGCTCGTACTGTAAAACTCTATGCACGGTCCAGTAATAACAACAGCAAGCGGCAAGCAACCCGGGCTCGCAGGCACGAGAGAGGTGCATGACAGGTACTGCCTGTTAGCCGATTGCGCCAGCCGCGTGCATGACTCTTGATCTCGAAATACCTTGGTACATTACATGAGTACCTGCGGCCTGGCACCTGGCCTGCACATTGCCGCCAACCTTTTTTTTTTTTTTTTACCTACCAACTCCTCATGGGACAGGGGTGTATGTGGTGTGGTGTGTGGGCGTGTGTGGGCGTGTCTTTGATGGCAAGTCCCGCACGAGACGGATCGGAGGTACAACGGTACTTGGTACGGAATACACAGCATCGCACCCCACGACATATGCTCGGAACAGTACCCGTGTAACGCGCAGAACGGGCCAGCAAAGCAGCAGCAAAGCGCAGTAGGGACAGGCAACGGGCAGGATGGTACCTAGGTCCCTACCGGTGTACAGAGATCTCCATTTTCCCTACGAGCGCACCGCAGGCCTGCAGTGCTGCAGGTTTCCCCGGCCCCTGCACAGCACCACACCACACCCACACCCCATTGAACCAGAACCACTTTCGGGTTCGAATGCCACGCTTCCTGCCCTTCCCTGTCTCCACGCCCACCTGCTGCATGCTTTCCTGCCCACGCCCACGCTCACGCCCTGCCCACGCCCCCCTGCCCTTGTCCACGCTCCTCCTGCTGCTAACTGCTACTGCTTGCTACCGTTGCTCGTGCCCTGGCCCTTGCCCCCATGGCCCTTTCCCTCATTGTGCCTTCCCTTCTGGGTCTCGCGCCCCGTTCCCTCATGTCCACTCGATCCATGTCTCCTCTCACAGGAGTGTCTCTCTTTTCCCTCCCCGGTTTTCCCACCTACTGTAGTACAGTAAGTAGGCTTATGTATGTACCTCGCCCACTGCAACCGCAGCTCGTACGTACTCTACGCAGGTCTGACTGACTGACTGACTGATACTGTCTCTGGACGGGGATGGCCTTCTTCTTCTTTCTCCCACCCTCCCTCTTTTTCCACGTCTCTCCATGTACATAGGTGTAATACAATGAATGAACGATGGCATGGATGGATGAACGAATGTAGCGTGCCTTGTTGCCCCGTGCGCGTGTGCCGTGCGAGTGTCAGTGTCAGTGTGTGTGTTCTTGCTTGTCCTCCCGTCGTTCGTCAATTTGGCGGCCAAGTCCAAGTCAAGTCCAAGTCAGGTCGAATCAGGAAGAGCCATCCCGCGTGGCCCCAATCTCCCTATTGGCCTCTACCCCCCCTCTGGCCCCAATATCCTTTCCTGCAGACCATCAAGGCGAACCTAAGTCCCCCCCGGCTTTTCCTTTCCCTTCGATCAAAGGTCCGAGTCTTGTGTTGAATCTCACAGCCTGGGCTTCCCTTCCACCAAAACTCAATTCCCAAGGTGCTGACTGTGCTTACCTGCTGGACATCTATCTTGCCACGCCCTCATTCTCCTCCTGCTCGTCGTCGACGACGCTCTCTTTCTTCTCCTTCTCCTTCTCCTCCTGCTCGCCCTGCCTGCCTGACCCTGTGTACCTATTTGTCCTGGTCCTGTGTCCTGTGCCCTGCCCTAGCCGTCCGCCTATCCACTCACCGGTACGGATCACGGAGCTGGTAACCGCCTTCGGATGTTAGAGTTCGGCAGAAGCTGGTGAGGCTCTCAGTCATAATAAGCCTGCTGCTGCTAGTCCAGGTTCCGTGCGAGACCCATCAACGTTCGTCGCCCAACTAAAAAAACCCACATCCACGACCACCCGCACCCACACCAACACAACCCTTACACTCTTCCGCGCCCGTGCGAATTCGATTTGACCCATCCTCGCCGGTCCTGACCCGTTCCCCGTTCCCCGTCGTCTTGGCCCTGAATCTGAATCGAATCTGAGAGAGGGCAGAACAGACACAGCCTAGCGAGTCCCGCCGAACCCACGCCTGGCTTCGATCGCCGTTGCCCTTCAATCCATCTCGTCTCTTTGTTCATCAACCTCGTCGTTCATTCTAAAGTCGTTCATTTCCTCCCCACCCGGTTGGACACACACTCACGCACGCACACACTCGCACACGCACACGCACTATAGCTGTATGGGACTACCCCCCGCCTTGTTCGTGTAATAGCACGCTGGCCCTTGCCCCCATCGCCAACGCGAATCACCTTCCAAAACTCCCGCGATCTCACAACACCACGAGAGTGAGCTCAACCCATCCCGCTTTCAGCCTTTCACCCCAGGACGTCATCCCTTCCGCCCCGCAATACCGGCCACGCCTTTCCTGGTGCCATTCGCCATTTTATTTTCTTCCGTCGATCTCGTCTTCTTTGAATCAAGACAACGCCGCAGACTCACCGGGATTCAAGCATTCGACTTGGGCCCAAGGAAAACAAATGCGCCATGGCTACTACCGAACAGTCCCGTCCCGCTTCGCAGAAGCTGCCCGCCGGCCTGGCGGGCGTTTTGAATCCCTCCGACGACAATAGGGATTCGGCTTATTACTCGAGCACTGACGCATCTAGCAAACGTGAGTTCTATTTCTACCTGTCGAGGTTGTGGTCAATTGACCCCAGAGCTGACCTTGCAACCCTCCTGCTGGTAGATACCTCTGCCGCCTCATACCATGCCGTCAATGTCTTCAGCCCTACGAATGGCGGCTTCAACTCGCAAAACGACAAGACCCCCTCGCCCACCACCACCAACCTGTTGCCGCAGCCACTGATATCGCCGGTGACTAGCAACATGAGCGTTGCTTCTATTGTGTCCCCGACCAGCCCTGCCGGCCCCGACGCACGATACCTGGATCGCCACCTGTCCATTGACTCCGCCCCCAACAGCGCAACCTTGGCCATCGAGGCGGGCGAGCCCATGTCCAGGCGTGAGAGCGTCGACAGCCGGATGAACCAGGACTTTGGGGGTATGAGGCTTGGCGCATCGCCCTACGCGAGCAACAATCACTCCACCACCTCAATCCAGAACACCCTGCAACAGCAACGAAATCCCAGGACAGGAGGCATGGAGAGCCTGGCCGTCCACCGCATCTCGAATGGCTACCAGCCTAGCACCGAGCGCAATCCGATTGATGGAACGATCAAGGTCGTCCGAACCGCCCCCACCATCACGGGCCCGACCACAGGCACCATCGCGCGCGCAGCAGAGCCCACCAAGGGCCAGGCCTGGGCCTTCCCGGAGGAGGAACTACATCGCATGCCCTCGGGGGCCCAATCGCTGATCGACTCGAGGAGGAGCAGTGTGGCGGAGTCATTTGCCAGCAGCCAGTGGACTGCTGAGTCGAGGTTGCCACCCGGCCAGCGGAGGCTAGACGAAGGTCTGACGCCTCCTGATTACCAGCGCATGTCGAGCAATTCCGGCGAGTTCCCTGCGGTCCACCACCACTCCCTGCAACATAAACAGCTGGGGGATCTGCAGGCCGAGGACGCTGCCGCGGCAGCCGGTGCACAGCCGTACAGCAGGACCCCGGAGCTGCGTGTCAGCCACAAGCTCGCGGAGAGGAAGCGAAGGACGGAGATGAAAGAACTGTTTGAGCAATTGAGAGATCTGATGCCGCAGGAGCGGGGCTCCAAGGCGTCCAAGTGGGAGATCCTCTCCAAAGGTCAGTCCAAGGTCGAGAATCAGTCTTCGGAGACGAGCACCATAACTGACCATATATACAGCCATCACCGAGCACCAACGCCAGAGTGATACCATCAAGTATCTGCAGCAGCAGAATCATACGTTCATGGGTGATGTGGACATGATGAGGCGCGAACTTGCTCAAGCCAGGATGGAAAACTCGCAACTGAGGGGTGAGCTGAGCGCTGTAGCGACAGGCCAGGGCGCTGGTTCCCACAACTCGGCTCCCCCTACCGGCTCATTTGCTCAAAAGGACGCCCAACGCCCAGAGCTGCCTCCCCTGCGGTCACTCAGCGGTGAGGTGCCAACGGCTCCTGAGTCCATGGCAGGTGTCCAGTACGAGCAGCCCAGATTCGCCGGCTACCGTACAACTGAGAACAGATATTAGAGGGCCCGGCCCTTTATGTTTTCATACCTTCAGGATTGATGGCCGTCCCGGAAACTGACAAGAATAATGCTTCGAATCCGAAGGGACTCAACCCTGGTATATGGTGCGCGGCTGGATCTGTTGAGCCTTGACGGCGAACATTGGATGGCGAGGAATCGACTAGCGGCTTTGCTCACCACACAAGCGCTTTGTCTCGATTGCACCGTCCCCCCTCAATTTTTTAGAATGAGGATGATTGGATGACCTATGAAATGACGATACCCTTGCTGGTCATTTCCTCAAGTATCCAGCGGCCTGGACAACACGACACCCTTCTTCTCGGACACAGGCAGGATGCGCTGTTATAAATGACAGCATGTCCTTGCGCCTTGGCTCCTGGTTCCGCGGAACCTTTCTATTGTGGCAGTGTGGGCCCTGACTGTGTCCTGCCCGTTCAAGGCCTGACCCTTTCGGCTGCGGTCACCTCGCAGATACAGCTGGGTCAGGACCATGGATCGCTCTACTGTTCCTCTATTCCGGCACGAACCAACGTGCAGGTTTCCTTTGTCTATTCATCAAGAAAAGAAGAAATGTGGCAGACTCGCGGCTGAACGGGCTGTGCCCATTCAAGGCTTTGATTGATTTGTTATTGGTGGCGCGCGAGAGAGAGAGACGATGGCGAGAAGAGAGAGAGAGACTTGGGCATATCGTACTGCCATTTTTACTTTGTGTGCTCGGTTCTATGTTGATTGCTGGATTGCATATACCCATTGTAACTTCACTCAGGCGTCTGTCTACCCTTGGTAGTGGTGGTATGGGAGCTATGTGTCCAAGAGAGGACGGGCCGTGTCTGTCCTGGGAGGAAAACGAGGGACGGCGGAACGGAACGGACAGACGCTTCTCGTGGGGCTGCTATTACCACCTGGTAGGACAGGCCGGACATTTTGGGAACGCAACAGTAAGTTGCGAGTATATTAGGTGACGGGACTGGAGGATCAAAACTGGGGCTTGGGGAGGGGGCAGAGGTGTTGTTTGATCCTGTGTCCAGGTCTATGATTTATTTGGGCGGAAGGGGCACCCGAGGCGTCAACGGGCCGTGTTTATTAGATGTACTGTGAAGATGTATAACCACGTCTTGTCAGCCTTGGCTGCTTGTCAAACCCCGACCATGGGGGCGACACATGGCCTTATAATCCAAATCAAATATATCTACCTACATACATACATATATATATATGTATCTAAATGCCTGCCTACATGCCTGTCTACCTGCCTCGCAATATAATATTTACCTCGAGACCGTACTTGTTTGCCTGCACTGTAGTGGCAGGGCCTGTGTAAGTGCCAGTGCCGGTGCCAAGTTAGTTCCAGCTGGACCTGGAACCTGGAATCTGGAACCTGGAATCTGGGATCTGGATCTTCCTCGGGATGCCCTAGTGTCGACGGGGCGGTTGTGTTCTGTCAGTTCTCAGACCGTTTTTCCCAGGTGGCCGGGCGTCTTCACATGCCAGAGATGTGATGTGTGTGAGCAGGACAGGACCAGGGGGCGGGGGGTCGAATCCGGGGGACGGCAGCTCAGCTCGAGTCGCTGAGGGCTTAGGGGCGCCGAGAACCTGCGTCATGCTGGTGGCCGCGGGTCGTGGGGAACCCTACCTAGGTACCTAGCTCTCTCTCTCTCTACCTCTCTAGGTGCTAGCCAGACCAGGCCAGCCGACCACATGTGCCCGTAGGCCGACTTTGTGCTTCAACCCGGGAACACCAATTGCCGCTCCTTGACATTGTTGATTCAACTACTTCCTACATACACATATCGATACCCTCCTTGACTTCTTCTGTCACTTCCCCTCCCAACCATCTGTTTGAGGGTAGCCAGGCTTCCACGCGGTCCCGCCTCTCTCTGTCTTTCTCCTTGCTGTTGCGCGCGCCGTCATCCGCATTTGGGGTATCGCTTGTACCGGGGCAATCGCCAAACGTCCACACCGGTGTGCCGAGGTAACGGACTGATCAGCGTGTCCCCCCTTCCACGCCAACGGCCAGCAAGGACACATACTGCTCGATCATGTCGACCTCACTACAGAGCATTCAGGTGAGGGCGCTTCCCATGGCGTTGGAGTGACAAGATTTGGGACTGTGAGATTTGGAAATTGGAATATGAGCCAGGCGCAAAAGAAGCAGACGCTGACGTCCCGCCGCAGGCCGCCATCGAGCGCATCATCCTCGACCCAAAGTACCATGACGTCCTCGCCGTGCTCAAGGGCGCCCGCAACGGTGCCGTGTACGGCACCAAGGTGCGCTTTCCGCACGCCTTGGTCATGATATGCCTGTTCCGTTCCGGCACGTAAGTATACACTGCTGACATCTTTCTTTCTCATGCCTGCCTCACCCACCACACCACCGCCCACTGGGACCCCCTTTTCCCTCTCCCCTCCATCACACCACCACCACCAGTCAGTGACACGGAATCACACTCCCGGCTCACACAAACCCAAACAGCGTCCGCGAGAAGGCCTGGCTCGTCTTCCGCGCCACGCGCACGCACGCGCGCAACCTGGCCAAGTTCGCGACCATCTACAAGCTGACGTGCCTGCTCCTGAAGCACTTTGGGCCGACGCCGGGCAAGGAGGGGCCACACGACACCCTGGTGGCGGGGCTGGTGGGCGGGTACATGGTGTTCGGGCGGCGGTCGCCGCGGTCGGGCAAGATCTCGAGCGTCAACCAGCAGATCGTCATCTACGTGTTCGCGCGCGTGGTGCTGGCGCTGGCGCGCCTGTCGGTCAAGGAGGGCTCGCCCTTCGCGCTGCCCCTCGTCGCGCGCGAGCCCACCGCCTCGGCCGTCAGCTACTACGCGTGGCCCGTCTTCGCCAGCGCCTCCTGGGGCATGGTCATGTGGCTGTTCCGCTGGCACCCCGAGGACCTGCAGCCCAGCCTGCGGTCCAGCATGAGCTACATCTATGCGCAGAGTGACCACTGGGATGGGCTGAGGAATTTCGTGTGGCACAACAAATAGGCCCGGAAGGCAGGTTTTTAGGGGGTCAATGTGAAAGAAAGGACGACATGATATGACTGTGGGAAAGGTCCACTGTATAGCATTTAGGCGTTTGGGGGCTCGCATCTGGCTTTGGGTTGGCTTGGACAGAGGTGGGACGAGAACATGTAGACTACCCGGTCCGATTTTGGGACAGCATATCATAACACATGAATAGAGAGAGGTAGACAACATCACAGAATTTTGGAAGCTCATACCGATGATGTTATTATTCCGAGTGTTTAGATTATAATTATTTGATATCCGCCTTCATAGATGACGCCACCCGTTCATCCACATGATCTGCTTCTCATTGATGAGACAGGAAACACCAGGCTCCCGCCGCGGCTCTCCCTCGGGCGCATCGGCGACCCACTGCCTCAGCCTCTTCGCGACGGTGGCGCCCTCGACATGATGCGACAGGCTGCCCCTCCACCTCAGCCAGCGGTTGGCCCACGCCCCGGTGACCGTCGCCCACGCACCCGGGAACTGCTCGCCGTGCCTGGCGCGGACGGCGTTGTACGCGGGGACGCTGTAGCCGACGCGCACGTTGGGGTTGAGCCAGACGCCCCCGGCGGCCGCGGCGCTGAGCGGGTTGTCGGCGTGGACGAGGCAGCACTCGCTGCCCTCGAGGTGCAGGTCGGCGAGGGCGTCGGGGATGGCGCGGAAGCGCAGCGGCGGGCCGTCGTCGGCGCTGCTGAGGAAGGGCGCCGCGTCGAAGATGACCATGCCGTTCCAGCACGACGCCACGCGGACCGGCTCCGAGCGCAGCGCCGCCGCCCGCGAGGGCCCGCCCTGGAACCACGGCCAGTAGTTGCTGGCCGTCTTGCGGCCCTCGCCGTCGCGCAGCGCGAACGTGTCGTAGTACGCCGGCGGGCGCTTGTAGTCCATGCTGCAGGCCGCCGCGTAGGCGCCGCCGCGCGTGTGCAGCAGCGTCAGAAAGTCCTCCACGTCGAAGATGACGTCGTTCAGCCACAGCACCTTGTCGAACGTGACGCCCTGGCGCTCCTGCAGCTCGCGCATCGGCTCCATGGCGCGGTTGCGCTCGCGCGCCAGGTACGTGATCCGCCGCAGGTCGTACACATTGTCCTCCTGGTTCCAGATCCAGCCCTCCTGGCGTGGGGCGTCCGGGGCCGGGCGCGCCCACATCTCGTCGAGCTGCTGCCAGACCGTCTGTCCGAGAGTGACGGTGTTGGGGACGTGGCGCGCGTCGAGCCGGGCCTTGAGGGCCGTCAGCTTGTCCTTGGTGTCGTCTTGCGAGCCCGACTCGAGGGCCGAGAAGTACACGTTCTCCGGGCCGAGGTGGTCGATGAGGGCGAGCACGGCGGAGCTCCAGGCCGGGAGGATGTCCCCGGTGTTCCGGTGGACCGAGACTATGAAGAAGGTCTCATTGCCGGCGGCGGCGGGCGCGGCCATGTCGCTCCCAAGGCCATGGCGCTCGAGGGATGGGATGGTAACTCGGGAGGTTCGTGGTCGGTGGCGAAGGAGGAGAATGACGTCGATGGTGAAGAGGAAGAGTAGCAGGGAGAGAAGGGGGCGCCTCCTCTGTCGCAGGCGCCGGAGGAGGAGTCGGGAGGAGATGATCATGGCCAATGGGATGGTGTGGTCATGATGGTCTGCAGGGAGGAGGAGGAGGAGAGAGTCTTGCCCACGACAGCTTCCAGAGGCTTCGAGAGGTCTGCTTCATATTTGAAAGAGATCTGGCTGGCTGACTGACCGGCAGGGGAGCCGAGTGGCCTTTTCAAAGGAAGCAAGCGAGAGAGAATTGAGTGAGTGAGTGAGTGAGCGAGAGGTCAGGCTCGGCCTCTGGGGCCAAGGGGCAGTGCACAACAAAGCCAAGGAAGGGGAAACTGAAAGGGAGCACGGAGGTGATTGCTCCTGTCCTCGTCCTCCCTTCCACGCGGTGCACGAGATTGTCGCAGGATCCAGCGCTACCCACCGGATGAGCTCACCGTCCAGCTTTTGCCTAGGGTACACACATGCGGCCAAGGCTTGTCATTGACAAACATATACCCATACAGAGGGGCTCCGAAGCAGATCACCCGAGGAGCAAGATGAGCAAGATGAGCTGCAGTTCAAACGGCTGGCCTGCATGCTGTCTGTCACCTTCAGCCCCTCCTGCCGCATCCATACGTGCTGACGTGGTCTATTGCAAGTGGTAGCTACCAATGCAGGCAGACCCGGGCTCTCTCTATCACCTTCGAGGCTGTGGTCACTCCATTGGTGCAGACCTGCAATCATAGAGGGCCCGAGCAGAGGTCGTCTCGCTTGTTGTTGAACGAGAGTGATCTATATCAAACCCACGTACGCACATCACGAGCACGGCTGTCTGTTCTAAATCGGTCGCAGCCACAGCCATTCCACAGGCAATGTGCTGTGCGATGTGAGACATGGCGATGGGCGCCCACGAGACATACGCAGTGGAGCCGTCTTGCAGCGTTTTACGAGTACGAGGGCTTGCCTCCTGGTGCTATAAGAATGACAAAGTATCTCGCATTGACATTTGCCTCTGCATGCGCCGCCACTCTATCTACTCTACTGCGATGCGTCAAGAAAATGACCAAAAGAACATGAGCCTCACGCCAGCCCCGCCTCAATCTCCGCTAGCTCCTTGAGCGTCTCCTGGATCACCTTCTTCTCGTCGGCCGACGGCTCCAGGTACGGCCTGCGGGGCTTGAACTTGTCCGCCTCGTCGCCCAGGCCGGCGAACTTGGCCGAGTGGATCGAGGCCGCGTACTTGACGGCCGCGATGCCGCTCTTGCACGGCTGCTCGGCCAGCGCGGCCTTGCGGTGCAGCGCCAGCGCCTCGTCCGTCTTGCCCTCCTGCCACAGCCGGTACATGCGCGAGATGGACCGCGGGAACACGTTGGCGAAGCCCGCGATGCACCCCGCCGAGCCGCTGTGCAGCCCGCCCAGCAGGAAGTCGGACTGCCCGCCAAAGGTGGCAAACTCGTCGGGCGGCAGCACGGCCGCCAGGCGCACGATCTTGGCCACCGACCCGCACGTCAGCTTGACGCCCACGATGTTGGCGTGCTTGCGCGCCAGCTTGGTGATGGTGCCCGAGTCCAGGTCGATGCCGTTGCACACGCCCGGGAAGTTGTAGATGACGATGGGCAGCTTGCTCTCGGCCGCCACGTCGTCGAAGAAGCGCTCGATCACCGCCGGCGTCGTCTGCTTGCCGAAGTAGCCCGGCGGCAGGCACAGCACGTAGTTGGCCCCCGCCGCCGCCGCGTCGTCGATGAACTCGAGCACCTGCCGCGTCGAGTGGCCCCCCACACCCGCCATGATGGGGTAGTCTGGCCCGAGGGCTTTCCGCGCCGTGGCGAGCAGCTCTTTGCGCTCCTCCCGCTTCACGGTTGGGACACAGGTATTAGCGGAGTGCTCTCGCTGTCAATATTCTGTCTGGGTACTCACAGTCAGGAGGAATGTCTCCGCATTTGTGCCGAGGATGACCAGCCCGGTCAGCCCTGATTTGGCGAGGTAAGAGTAGTACTTTGCTTGGGACTCAAGTTCCAGGGTGTCAGTATCAGGATTAAACACTGGCATTCACAGAGTCAGCAATCCATGTTGTTGACAGTATAATTCATGAGCTACAGGCTGCCGCGAGTGTGGCAGATCTGTGAGAGACACTCTCAGGCCAGCGATTCCAGTGGGGACGAAGTTGACTTACACGTCACGGCCGGGCACCACACGCCACTAGGGGGGATCTTTGAGGGCGCCATGTTGAGTGTATGCGTTCCAACAGGTAGTATTGAGTCTGAACTATGTCTTTGAAGTGATCAAACTAGGGAAACAGAATGCACCTGGATCGACTGACAGCAGCGACTTGATCAGAGTGAGGGGAGAGTCCCAGTTGAAAGGCAGGGGCGGGTCAATCCATACCGAACGGAGGAGCAACGCCATTGCGGAGGACGTGCCCGAGCAGTTGACCCCCCAGCCGATCACGGAGCCGGCGCGGTTATTAGCGGTACCGGGACGTTGGCACCGGAGACCGGCAAATGGGCAGTGGCTCGTCTTCCGCGGGACTGCTGCATTTGGGACGTCTGGGCGAGAGGAGGCTTCCTTGCTAACTGAATCGATCTCGTGCACACTGACCACTATCTATCTGCCCAAGAGCGTGTCCAGGTACAGAAACGGACCCCGCATGATATCCTCCTTCACCACCATCGTCCATCCCGAAACTAACACTCACCAGAGTCTGCCAGTCTTGAACAGAGCATGGTGATCACATAATTTTCCTCTGCGCTCTTTCTCTCATCGAAACATACTAAGCGCGTGGACTCGAGGCACTTTATCAAAAAGACAGGTGTTGCGCATGACCCAAGAGCATGATCAAGTCCGCGCTGGATTACATTACTCCTATATGCTACGCTACGCCTTCCGCCGTGAAAAACTCCCGTGATATCTTGTAAATTCCGCACACCCGCAAGCCTATATGCATGTAAATGAGCCGCCAGAAAACGCCACCGTCTTGGTGTGACCACCACCTAGAAAGGCCAACTAATGGTCCAATGGCCAAGCTCTTGAACTTGGACTCAACGTCACCTCGCTCCGTAAATCCCATACCTGTCACCGTTGATACGCCGGCAAAGGTTCCGACGAGCTTGCAGGGGCCTGATGCGAGAAATACCTTCCGTACTCTTCCTCTTCCGTGAGGATCGGTGCGGACGGCCCGTCGACCATTGGCGGCGCACTGGGCCCGGCGCTGCTTCCCACCCCAGCGTCATCATCCGCAGGGAACTCGGGCGGTGCGCTTGCTTCTGCCAGTAACCTCCGCCGCTCGAGCTCCTGCTTGTCGTCCGCCGGGCCGCCGTTCGGCCCGGATGGCCCGGCTGCTAGATCGTCAAGCGTTGGCGCTGATGGAGCCGCCTCCGCGGGCGGTAGTGGCGGTGGGGCCGAAGGTGCCGTGGGAGCAGATGGGCCGGCACCGTCGTCGTCGCCATCAAGTGGAGGCGCTGACGGTCCCGCTGTATGTGCTGGCGCATCTGGTTGGCTGGGCAATAGTCTCTGCTCCGCTCTTCGTACCCTTTCCTTTTCCGAGAGACCTCTCTCATCTGGGAAGTCTGGAGGTGGTGGTATATAATGTGGTGCTGGATCGGCTGGCCCGTGAGACCCTCCGTTCCAGTATGGGTATTGAGCTGCGGACTCCCCGGGGTATGGGACGTATTCCTGTGTGTATTCTTCTTCCGGACCGTAGCCGTCGTCTTCCCATCCTGCAGGCCACGCCCCGTTTTCGTTGTACGCCGCGCCATCCTGGATCAAGTTTGAAGGTGACGAGACCGCCTTTCCACGCCGGCTGGTATCCGTGGTCCCCACCACCACCTCGAAAGAATCGTAAATAACACCTTTCTCTCGCTTCAAGGGGTCTGTGTTGACCAAGCTGCCGTCAAATGATGCGAGAACAGCCGCTACCTCCCTGCCCGACGTCAGCACGCCAGCAGCCGGACCAACCCTTGGGTTTTGTTGAATCTGTATCGCGTTCGCAAGCTTGCCGCCGAGATCCACAATCACTTCAAGCCTGTACTTGAAACTGATCATCTCCCCAGGAACTCCCCGTATTGAGGGGAACGAGTTCTCAGGGACCCTGACAGAGGTCGTCACGCTCGCAGTCAGGGTGGCAGGGTCGATAATCAGCGGGCTGAATGCCTGCGAGAGGTCTTTCCGGAACACGCTGCATGTGCCAGCCGATGATAATGACAGCCCGCCCAGGCCAGTCTTTGACTTTGGGTAGTATTCCTCCTTCTCCAGCCTTCGCTGTTCTTCCTTCGATATGTTTTTGAACAGGGCTACCGGTGGTGCTGAGTCCACGCGGCCCTGCCTGTACAGAGTGACAATAACTCCGTACAGGCTTTTTATTCGCTTCGTATGCTGTACATCTACCTTGACAGATATTGTGTCGCCTGGTAAGCACCCGCTCTTCATGAGCTCGATGGTTGTTGTAATCGTCTTGTCTTTTGAGGAGACTGATCTCTTCGCCACGCCAGCCTGAACTGTCCCCAGGCTCCCAGGCTGGTTTGGGTCGGCGCGCTCTCTCGAGCTCAGACCGGTGCTGCCGCTCACAGCACTATCCCCGCTCACTTCACTTCTGAGGTCGCTATTGACAGGGCTCCTCGGATTCTGATGCGCATCCTGATTTGCGTCGTCCGCAACGAGGGATCCTTCTGTTGAGGTCTCTACCGCTCGTGTCGAGTCAAAATCTGAGGACGACTCGCCAGCACCCTCTGCTGCGATCGCTGTTCCCCTCTCAGATACAGTTGAACCGGCTGGTCTTTTCTTTTTTGACTTTTTGGAGATGGGCTGCAGGTAGATGGTCCGTGGACGGGGCGCCGGCAGGACACCAACATCAACCTGCTCCACCAGCTCGATTTTGCGGTCGCAACTTGTTGTCGCATTTATGGAAGTCGGCCTTGTCAGCGTCGCTACAATTGTGTATCCAATGCTCCCTCGCTCGAACTACACCAGGTTAGTAAATCAAGCCCCTGTGAAAAGAGCAGGAATGCGCCCGGGAAGAAAAACACATTTCGGAAATGCGGGCGCTTACATCAATACTGCTGGGCAGGTCCTTCTCGGGAAACAAGAGGTCGAAATTAAATTCGTATCTGCCCGATTCCAGTCTCCCGTCGGCGCATAGGACCTGCTCATCCTGAAATAAAGAGGCGTAGCCATTGCCGAGAAACCTGAACTGAGAGATGCCGTCCGAGTCGAACTCGGGGGGGTTGACGGGCTCGTTGGCGGCATTTGGGTTCTTGTAAACCCGCACGTAGCCACGCAGGGCGACAGTCAGGTGGGTGACGCGGATGGGTTTGACGAGGGTGAGGACGACTGCGCCCTTCACATTGTCGCCGGCGCCGTACTTGCGATGAGGTTCGGCCGGGCGGATGTGGAAGTCGACGACGTTGCGGGTGCTCCTGGAGCGGATGGGCAGGGCGAACCTGGAGAAGAAAGAGCGGCTCGAGGGTTGTTGGTCTTCCAGCGTGGTCGAGGCGTTGCTGGTCCCGGATAGGGCTACCATCTGTGCAAGACTTGGGGATCACGGGGGGGCTCGCGACGGGGTGGCCTCGTCGTCCCCGTGCCGTGCCGTGCGGAAGGTGTCGGTGGGTTCCAGATTGACTGGAGTTGGTGGGTGTCGGACTCGGGTCGGTGTCGTAATGTTGTTATCGTGTCGGTCGGTATCCGTAGGGGCAGTGGATCGCCCTGGGCGACGAGCGAGGGTGGCGATTAGATAGATCAATGACAGACTGACAAACAGCTAGGAAAGGCCGAGTCCATCAAAAGTGCCGGTTGTCCCCTCCAAAAGTCTTGGCCTAGAGCTGAGCCACCAGAGGCGACGAAGACAGCGGCGAAAGGTGAGGAGAATCGGGGAGAGGGGTGAAGACAGAATGCCGCCACACACACACGCACGCACGAGTGCGCACACACACGCTGAGAGGCTCACACACGCACGCACACCACACACACCACACACAGCTGAGGCAGAGCAGTTTGGCGTCGGTCAGCTTGGAGGAGGCTCGCGTGGGCTGCCGAGTGCCGGGAAGAATGATGTATAGAAGAAAGGAAAGGGTTCGTTGAGCGGCATGCCAAGGCAAGACAAGACTTGCCAAGAGGAAAAGAAGTACACTGTCAGGACGGAAAGCCGCGTGTAGGACCTGGACGGGTGGACGGGTCGAGGCGACAGGTTGGTTTTGGGAAATGGGGCAGGCTTGCTGCTGGGTGGGTTTGGTATTGTTTGGGGTTGTGCAGGGGGAGAATGATGGAGAAAGTCCAAGTGTGAAACCTGATACAGCGAGCACTTGAGAAGGGGCCACGGGTGATCATTGACGGGTGACGGAGTGGAGGATGGATCGATGGGAAGGAGAGGGAACAGGGACGGGAGAGTTGGTGAAGAGAGAGGGAGAAACACTTGGGATCAAACAAGCTGCGCGACAGGACGGTCAGTCAACTGTCAATCAACACCACCACCACCACCACCACCACCACCGACCGACCGACCGACCGGTCCGCAGCAGTTGCCAGTACAGTACAGTACAGTCAGTGTGTATCTAGTCCATGCGATCGATGTACATGATTGAGTGATTGATTGATTGATTACATTACACCCAGGGATTACATTACACATTGCGCTTCGCCTGCATCTCTGTCTGTCTGTGTCCATCTATCTGTCTTTTCTGTCGCTCTGCTTTTGTTTCCATCACCATCCCTCCCCCCTCCTCCTGGCCTCCGCCTCCTCCTCTTGCTGCTCCTTCCTCGGACTATTGCTGCTGCTTCTGTCCCTGCTGAGTCTGGTGCTTGCTGCTGCTGCTGCTGCTGCTGCTGCTGCCTCCTCACACGTCACGGCAATTCGGAAACAAGGGAGGCGCCGGATCTGCCCCGTCCTTTCCGCGCGACCTCCTTGTGCTGCTGCACTACCTTGGTACCGTGCTGCGTATGCGTATGCGTACATGTACAGTACGTCGCGCTTGCCTTGTCTGTCCATCGTGTGTTGGGTCCAACAAGCAGGAAGAGTAAGAAGACTAGGTACCTCGTACCTCGTGCCTCGTACCTACCTCGGGAACCTAGCACAATCGCGGGGCAATAGTTGCTTGTACCGCCCCCTGCGAATCCTTCTCCTCCACCTTTCTGCAGTCAGTCAGTCAGTCAATCAGTCAGTCAGACAGTCAGGGCAGCCCGTCAGCCATCCAAGGCAGAGCCCTCGACCGCCCACCGGAGACAATCGCCAAACCAGCATCAGCAAGCAACGAGCAATCTTTGCGAGACACTTCAGAAAAAGCCCAATAGTATTTGATTTGTTAGCCTGCTAGCCTAACTCCCCGTTGGCGACCTCTTCCTCCAAGCAGATGTTCCAGACCTGCCTGGTTCAGCGTCGCAACCACGGACCGCAGTGAGCTTGAGCGAACCTTGCAGCCGCTGGCTAGCCTGCTTCAACCATGGCTGGCTCCTCCTGCTCCTGTGACCTAGCTTCAGCTGGACTTGTGTGGCTAGTGTCCCGACCGTTGACAACCGCAGGTTGGGTTGGGTTGGGCAGGGCAGTGCCGTGCAGTGCAGTGCGACTTGATCCTGCTCAGCTCGTGACCTGACCGCCCACCAAACGAATGAACCATCGTCCCATCTCGGCTCTCACCCTCGCTCTGACTCTTTGGCTTTCTTCGTTGTGCTCTTCGGGACACGCGGCCGTGCCGCAGCGTCAACGTGAAGTCTTTACGTGCTCCGAAACCAATCAAGTCATGTACGCAGTACTCGGGCATTTTCAAGGAGGATGCTGTTAGTAAACCATCCCGCCCACCAACCCAACCCCCCTAGAGCCTCAACGGGGCCCGGCATGGCGACTGCCGGGTTGTCGAGTCAAGGACCCCCGTGTTGAAATGTCCATGTCCGTTTTCGACCCGATCGCCATTACCAAGGCGGGCACTCGAAGATCCAGTGTTACGCGTCACCAAACCTTGAAGTTGCTTGTTTGGCTTTAACAAAATCTCCGCCCCAAGGTCTGGTTGAAGTCTAAAAATTGTCGGGCTGTCGACATGAACCCATACATTGATCGGGCCTCCCCCCCTCCCGCCGAACAACGTCGTCCTCACCACTGAAGCGAGCGCCCCACCGTGAGAAACCTTATTTCCTTGCCCGTTCCACCCGGGCACCGACTCAAGACAGGCACACGCTTCCAATAGCTTCGCGCACTGCCAATGTTAGGGTTCGCCCTGTTGCTCAAAGCCCGCGAACGGAAAACGCCCATGATGCCGCCGTGACGCTCAAATTAATTACGGGGTCAACATGCCTCTGCGTCTGGGCGCCTCTAGAAACATCCGCTCAGACTCGAAACGACCAAGTCCGGGGTCCGAGAGCGTTGTTTCCATCGTCCGGGCCAACAGCAGGCTTACAGTACTGCCTGTCCACTATTGTGTTACTGCGCGCATTCTCGACTCTGCTAATCTTGGAAGCACCGACTTAATGGGCCGATCTGGCTCCAGATCTTGGCTACCTCTAGCTTCTTTGGTCTGCGTGCTTCTCACTTCTCATGCAGTGCGTAGAGATCCACGCCGCGGCACGCACATGGGCGGCATGGCCAAGAAAGTCGCACGACGCTCCCAAGCCTTTTCTCTCCAGCATTTCTGGCCTGTTCCCCAGCGATGGGTCCCCTCCCCCCCTCAAGCTTCGTGGTCTCGCCCGAAAAGCTTCATTTCCGTAGGGCTGGCAGCTCTTGGCCTTTGTTGAACAACAACGCTATTTATAAATCCGATCAATGCCTTGTCCAAAAGCTTGTCGTTTGACGTCTCAGACATTGCCGCTGATCCTCCAATTGTGTGCTTCCAAGACGGGTCTCGATTACCACAGCCAGCTGGCAATGTAATCCTGCTTGTTTGACATACGATAACTGAGGCAATGTTCGGCACAATCGTCCTTGGATTACTGCACAGAGTGCAAAAACAAATAAGTCACTGGTACTTCAGACGGCCGCCCACCTGTAGGCTTTGTGGCAAGCTCCACCGGACTTGCATTGCGGACATCGGCTGGTGTTTGACATTTGTATCAGCACTGCCAATTGGATACGACCCGCGAGCCGAAGATCTTCGCAAGCATGTGCCACCTGCACCACACAGCACACCGGTACGTGATTTCAGTCGGACAACACCACGCTTCTCGCATCACTTGTGCGCGTACACAGCGGCGTATCGGCACATCGGCAGTAGCTATCATTTCAGGCCGTTACCAGTTTCCGTAGTAACCACAAAGATTTGTCAGGCCCGGAAGCACAATCATACTGAGGAGGACTCACTCGTCCAAGTGACTGCCGGCAAGGTACAGTCCAATCTCTCAAACAGCTTGTCTTCTTCCGAGTCTTCGACAGGTGCCACCGTATCCAATGTGTGTTGCCAAGCCACCTTGACAGGTCTGATTCCGCAACGACTCCGTCCGACTCTATTTCAGTCATCTTGATGCAATCTACATGTCACCTTGCACAAACATTGGGAGGTTGTCTAAATAAAGATAATTCCACAATTCCGTCATGACGGCCGCCAAGGACCAGACAGAACTAGATGTCGAATCTATCTCTCACCAACAGTGCCTCGCCCTGGGACGAACCTCGTCTGAAGCAAACAGACACATTGACCACCAGAAACAATTCCTGCCGAGCCTCAGCTAGCCCGTTGGGCCAATCGAAACAGACAGCCCACATGAGCTACCCTGGTTCTGATATTTTCAGAACAAGAAGAACGACAGACGAGCCCTGTCCCTTCTCAAACAAACAGCCGGCCCGCCTGGCCCCATCCATCTGTAGGTACGTTTACACACATCCAACCAGATGTGCTGCTGGGAGTTCAAACCCCGTTACTATTGCAAACACTGCAGCATCCCAATGTACTGGGACCCCGAGCCGGGGCGCATTGAGCTATGCTTCGGTGCCAGGACTCTGGGCGGCGGTAGGCCTGGGCGGTGTGTGATGCAGACTGTAGAGACCCTTGAGGATAGGGCGTTCTTCACGGCCTGCTGCGCCGACTGCGCACGACTGGTCTCTCGAGGCGTGCACCCGCGCCACTGGAGGGATGCCGACAGTGACCAGAGACCCAGCCGGTGGTGGGAGCGTGGCATCGTTGCGCCGAGGTTTCTCGCGCGGGTGAGACGAAGAGCTCGGTCGAGGGGACAACGATCAAGATAGACGTAAGCTTTTGTGTTGAGGTAGGTGTTGGGTTCTAACTGTAGGCACCACCGTCTGCGTTCCGTGGAACCAGCTGGCGACGAGGGTAGTCGGTTCACTCGGTGCGGCTTTGTATTACGCGGCATCACACCTGGATGACATGTTGCTCAACAGCAGCCCCAGGCTGTCTCTGATGGGAAGCACAGCACACCCCGTCACTCGTCGCAACTGCAGTCACTTGATGTGCAAGATAATGCCATTGCTCTATCTACTCCGGATATTCCCATCCCAACCAACAGGTATTTCCAGGTGCACACAAATCCACTGTACTAGAGTATTACAATATGCCATGACAAGCAATAAGCCGACTCCTCATCTAGACGCGATGCGTGACGCGTGATATGTCCAATACACGCTTCTTCATTTTGTTCCTCCGCGGGCAAAAAAAAAGGCAAAAGGCAGACATGACCCTTCCGTTCCCTCACATGACCGCCATGCTTTTTTGGTTTGTGAATTTTGAAAATGCGCAGAACGGACAATGGTGATGGATGAAGATGATGACTCAGAACGCCAGGGCAAGGGATGGGCGCATACGTCCTCCCTTTCCTTATCAGATTCCCCTGCCTCCCTTTCCGACCTTCCCCCTAGTAATTCAACTCAAAATTGGAAGCTCACGCTTCGAGTCTTGGGTTTGACGTCTCCCACAACTATTTTCGCTTCTGCTTCGTGGTGATTGCCGGTCACACCACCGCCTCCAGCCTCAGACATTCCGCCGTGCTCGTGCTCAGAAAGGTCTTCCGGGATCGCCTAGAACCCGAACTTCTTCTTTTGCTTGGCCGGCTTCTGCTGGTTGCTCATGTCCTTGAGGATGTCGTCGAAGGTGCTGCTGAGGTTGTGGCTGTGGCCGTGGCCGCCGACGGGCTTGCGTGCGGGCGACTGGCCGCGGAGGTTATCGACCGACTTGGCGTTCCGGATGGAGCCCGGCGCGGAGTCGCCGGAGCTCTGCGGCCGCTCGGGCCCCAGAGAGTCCTGCCGCTGTGCCACCTGGAAGCTGTACACGCGGCTCGAGCGGCGGTCCACGGGCGCGGCGCCTACAGGCGGCGGCAGTGGCTCGAGGGCGGACAGGCCCGCGAAGCTTGCACGGAAGTTGGAGCCGGCTCCGCGACCCGCGGCTAGGCCACTGCCCGGCGAGATGACGCGCCTCTGTGGGCCTGAGGCTGGTGATGCTGGTGCGGAGCTCATGGGCGAGCCGCCATTGCTGCTGTGGTAGCCACCGGTGCCGCCCAGGCCCATCACGGGATCGTTGTCCTCGAACACAGCGCGCGGGGCTTCCAGCGGTGAATAAGGAAGGGCGGCCGGGGCGTCGGTGATCGCTGGTGGTGGTTGCATCCCGACCAGCCCGGCGGCGGCGCCGTTCACCTTGGCCTCCTCCCACGTCCTGGCGGCCTCCCAGCAGTGTGAGCGCTCGAAGGTGCCTTCGACGGAAAACATAACCACGTCGGCCGAGAGTTCGACCTTGACTTGTGACCCGGGCAGCTGGTACCAGGCTTTGCGGATCTCGCCTGCCTCCTCGAGCCAGGGCGGGTTGCCCATTGGAGGCTGGCAGAGGAAGTACTCCACGCCCTCGGTGAAGCGGAGCTCGGGCGCGTCGATGACGAGCAGCGGCAGCGACTGGATGACCACGTAGAGGAAGAGCCAGTTGCCGAACCGGTTGTCGAAGAGCTCGGCCTGAGACTTGCCCTTGGCCTGGTCGTGGTCGAAATCCTTGAATTGTTGGAGGAAGGGCGATTTCATGGTGTCCGTGTCGAAGTTGTAGGACTTGTGCATGATGAGCTGGAGCTCATGGTCCTTGATGCTGCGGTCGAACTTGAGCTGGTCCTTTTCTTTCATCTCGTCGTATTTGACCTGCACGGTCTTCATGGTCGGCAGCATGGGGACGTCGTAGGGGATGGGAGGCAGGACCGGTGGTGACGACTGGTCAAACTCTGTGAGCAGCTTCCGCAGGGCCTTGATGTGCTCGTTGGACTCCTTGTTGGAGACATCGTCGACGGCTTGGTCAATAACGCGGGGCGTGACCGAGTCGCGGTCCACCAGGAGGTCATACAGTGATGACAGGTCCGCATACAGCGTCTTCAGGACGAGTCTGTTCAGGCCGCTCTCCGAGAAGGGGTTCTTCTTGCTCCTCGCCTTGGGCGGCCAGGCTCCGAACAGGGACTTGTAGTATCCAAGCGTGAAACCCCGCATCCTCGAGAAGGCCGACTTCCAACGGTTCCAGCGCACGTCCTTGAACTCAGAAGAGGCTGCGACGCCAGAGAAAAGGGCCGGGAATTCAAACTCCTCCAACCGAGAGTTGACATTGTGCTGACGGTTCAACAGGTCCAGGTTCGACCGCTCAAGACGACGCCAAACCTCCGGCGATATCTGCTTGGCCAGGGGCGACTTCAGGGAGACGATCGCCTGCCATTTGCCGACTGCGTGTGTGAAAGCCTCGTTGTAGAGCTCCCAGCATTTCATGCGCTCGCCCAGGATTACGGCCTCTAGCGTCTTTTCACGGCTGTGCCGCACGTCAGCAAGAGACAGCTGCGACATGTAAAAGCCGAAGCTCATGTCAACACCCTCCCCCCAGGTTGTGCCATCCATGCTCATAAAATCGAACTCCTTCAGCAACGACGATATCTCGAGGAATGCGGAGAAGATGGTGGGGCGGAACTTGGTCGCCACGAGCGGCTGCCCGGTCAGGAAGGCGAAGAGATTCCGGATCGCAATCAGGCGCTGCAGCTCGGGCTGTGTCTTCGGATCTTGAGATGCAAGCTGATCCGGGAGTGCGGGAGGAAGGTACAGACGGACTTCTCCGTCCAGAGGCTCAAGTTGTTGCTGTGGTGGCAGACGATCCGCGTCCTGAGCCATCAGGTTGTCACGTCCGTTGAAACTCCTCGACCTGTCCCTTGCGGTCCTGCTGCTTTCCAGCTCTCCTTGAATCAACTCGTGGAATACTATCGACGCCTCGATGGCTTGTGATGAGACTTTGAACGACGGCCCTTTGCCGCTAGTCTTGGGGGATAGGTAAACAAGAACATCGCCATGTTCAGTCCAGAGTTCGGGAACCTGTCATTGTCAGCATCTACCTCTGGCCCAGACCTTCCAGGACATTCAAATGCCTACCTTCTCGTTGTTTGTCAGGAACGCAGTATTATAATCGGCCTGGTTATCAGCCGATAGGATCCACGCCTTGCTCGCCGACATCTTCTTAAGATCTTTGGAGGTCGAGCTCGGCCGTCCTGGCAACCAACTCCTTCGCAGTCTGCCTCGACTCTCACCGCCATCATTGGACTGTTTTGACATGGGCCTGGGATATGAGTTTGCATCCGCAGGACTGGTCACGCCTTGAGAGCCATCGCCTTGGATGTCCCTGTGCGTGGACGGTTGCGCAGAGCTGCTTCTCACGCGTGGCGCCGAGTTTGAGGGCGAAGCTCGTCTCGTTGATTGTAGTTTTGAGGGTCCATCTTTCCTGTCGGAAGGCGAGGACTGATGGGCAGAGCTACTCCGTGCGCTCCCCCTGGATTTGGGCGCGACCGGTGAGACGGGCGTCAGTGGGGGTTCTTGTGGCAAGGGGTCCTTCGGCGGTGGTGGGGGCGCATCGTGGGCCGAGACCGCCCTCTGTTGTTTCTGTATGACGTGTGGCATGTCGGCGCCGGGTTGAGCTTCGGCTCCGGTGTCAGCTGTCTCGGGGGACTCGGTACGTTCGACGCCAAAGTCAAAATCGTAATCAGAGACTTGGGTTACTGGGGTCTGTATGCCAAGGCCGCCTGCTCCTGGAGAGTTGTCGATGGTAGAGATCGAGTCGTGGGGGTTCGAGGAGGAGTTTGGGCTGCCTGATGAGGAGGCAGGCCTGTTTGAGAGCTCGACGGTCGAGGCGACGGGTCTTCGTGGGATGGGTTCTGTTCTTAAGTGCGTAGGAGGCAGTGCTTCGTGTGCGGTTTTGGGGCGGAGGCTGGCCGCGGGTTCGGTGGATGTCGAGCCACGCGAGCTGGGGGTCGCAAAGAACGACGTCAGCACATTGAGTCTCGATTTCCTCCTCTGTAGCTTCTTTGCGCCTGACTCGTCATCGCCCACTGTGTCTAGCGAGCCCGCCCTCGCTACCGAGGAGCCTCCAGGAGACTTGGCGTCCCTGTCATGGGAGGCATTCGAGAGCAGGCTGTGTACCGAGGGCAGTGAGAGAAGCGAGGGCCGGCTGCTCTTGGACGAGCGGGACGACTTGCTCAGCGGCATGGTGGGTAGACGGATTTCGGGAGCGATGTCTGTCAAGTCTTGTTCAAGGGCAGAGAAATGGAAGCAAGCAAGCCCATAGAGACGGGCAAAGGCATGAGCAAGAACAGGAACAAGAACAACACTACTAACCAGGTCTCAGGGCTGGAACAAGTTCTTGCGAGCCAGCAAAGGGTATAACAGGCAGAGAGGGCTGGCGAAACGGAGAGCCCACCGGCGAGTATGGACCGTTGGAGGACCGTCTGGTGGACGAGTGTACAGTTTGTCTGGGGCAGGCTGAGGGAGTGTGGGCTCAGTTCGGGATTTCGTCAGAAGCTGTGACGCGTCGAGCGGGCTCGGACGGGCGGGCAGGGTGGAGCATGGACGGTCAGAGGTGTGACGGCGACAAGCAAAGAAGCGAGGTTCCGTTGCGTTGTGATCCTAGTCGGTCAATATAGGACAGGGTTGTCCAGGTGGGGAGATTCGATGGGGAGGGCGGATGAAGGTGTTGCTGTAGTGGATTGGGCAACTTTAACTGGGAGAGATGGGTGGTGACAGAGAATGTACAGGTCAAGTACTGTGGGGATGCAAGTATGGCAGCATGCTTGGTGTTCTTGGGAGGGTCTGGGTGTCCGCAGAAAACAAACAGCAGATCTACGTGTAACGGCCGCCGACTGTGCTAGACAGGGACCAGGACAAGGCTGACAGGAGCAAAAGCAGGCGTCCAAATTGTGACAAGTGACGAGGGATGAAGGGGGAGAGGAAGAGCTAGCCGACCTCGCAGTACGGGACCGTTACTGTACAGGATACGAGAGTGGCCGGCTGTTTTGGGGGGGCGCAGAGGAGCGAAGCGAGACGAGGCGAGAGGCGTTGTTGGGTTTTGTTGGATGTTTATTAGGGGATGGATTTTCAGGACTTTTTCGAGACTGCGGTTTCGAGCTAACAAGTTGACCAGAAAAACCTTGGAAGATGTCATAATTTTCCCCAACAGGACTGGCAGGCCTGCAAGTGCATGCAAGTGCCGTGAACAATAGATGAAATACTGCGTCAGTAGACAACGGGTGGCGTCCTGGCCTTCTGCGGCTTGGTGGCCGTGTCGGGTCTGGTGGTATCCCGTATTGGTTGGTCGCCTGCTCCTCCCGCCGGCTGGCGTGCGCGTAGGGGTGGATGCACTCACTGCATGGCCTCCCGGTAGCCCGCAGCTGACAAGGAGGCACTTGACCTGGCGTCTGTTTGTTACAACGTCCTAATGATTACGAGGTGCGTGTGTGTGTGTCTCTGCTGATTCTGCTGCTGCTGCTGCTGCTGCTATAACTACTAATGTGACCACATGGGTACGATGTAGCAGCCAGGCAGTCAAGAGGCTCACCGTTTTGGATTTGACTCTGGCTTTTTGGCTTTGCACTGCCGGCCCCCTAGTAAAATTGAATATCCAAGGAGACGAAGAAATAGGATTCCCGATTCCGTCATCGTCCCCCAAATCCAAGATCCTGCACGTCTGCACGTCTGCTGAAGAGGGCTACAATTGGCTGGGGCTCTGGCCATGACCTGCATGCTCTGCGTAACAGTAACGGAGCGGATGCAGCTGTGGGGCAAGGCCCTGCAGTCTGTACCTGTTTGGTAGCCTGTGCGACGCTCGCAACTCGCTCGTTCGACTGCCTTTGTCTGTCGTTGGTTTGGTGGTCCAAGCCCGAGGCTGCTTAGTTGGCTGGCTGGTTGGCTGGCTGGCTTGGTCTTGGGCCCTCGTTTTAGCACCCAGCTCCAAAGTGCCGGGATGGTGCCGTTGGCCGTGCTGCACGTACCGTCCCACGGGACTCAACGTCGTACCAATGTAATGCTCTCTCAACGGACTGCCGACCGGTCCGTCTTCTGGAACGCCTCAGAACGCCTGAACGCTGGACACTGAACGCTGGACGTACGGAAAAGGGGGCTTCTCTCTCCCTCAGACTCTGGCTATCCTTACCACCATTCGCTGCTGCTGATGCTGCAACACACATCGTCTACCCCAGTTGCAGCTGCTCAGACTCAGCTAAACGTCACAGGGCCATGCGTCCTGACTCGGCCTTCTCGTCCATTGACAAAGACAAAAATGCACGAGGCCACCAACGCGGTCGGGTCCGGTCTGGACTTGGTTGCCGAAGAACGAACACCAGACACCAAAAAGACAGCCATCTATTTTAGGCACAGTGGTCGGCATAGTGCGCACGTACTCGTACTTGGTCTAACGAGCTCTTGCTGTGCCGCCCTTGCAGTAGGACAAACGTTTTCTTCCGCGTGTCCGTGGGCCCGCCCTTTGCTTGGGCTTTGCCTCTTCTGTCGTTGTCCTGTATGCGCAGTCTCTCTGCGTGTGCCCCCTTTGAAAGGCTTTACCTGCGAAGCCTTCTAGACCTCAGGGTCCATGGCTGCTGCATGGATGGATAATGCACGTTCAAGGGCACTCACCACTTTGGCAATTGGTGGGCTGCTGGCTGCGTGCAGTAGTGGGCACGATTCAGGCTGGTGTTGCCTATAATGAAAGCTGCCCCGGATCGCCTATCGAAAATCCATCAAGCCATCGCAGATCATCCCGCAAGACTCCCGCCCTCCCGCCTACCAGCCCGCTGCCACGATATCACGTCTTGGCAAGCCTTCCTCCCCCTTGGGCTGGCCTGGCTAGCTGGTTAGCTAGCTGGCTGGACTGTGCTCTGCTCTATTCTGCTCTGCGCTGTGGCCTAGAGGCACAGTCGGCACAGCTCGCCTTGTCTGGTCTCATCAGCGACACCTCAGAAATCCCCATCCCTCCCACGGCATCGTCCCGAACTCCTGGGCAGCCAGGCATCGCAACGTAATTAAGCTGCGCCCACTGTGGCGGCCCCCACTCAACTGCTTCTCTGTCGATTGCAAGCTCGCCTGTCTGGGATACCCCATCAGGACCCAGGGGCTGAGAGCCCGATCGGCACACCATCTGCCCTCCGTTTCTGCCGCTACCGTTTTCTCGCCTGCACGACTACAGGGCTGTTACATATAGACCGCGCGAGCAGGATTGTCCACCCACCGTCTATTTGAAGTTGTGAGCAGCGACCTCAAAGGGCAAATGCCCAGGAGAGCCCAGCAAAGATCGTCCCATTACTGTAGATCCTACCTCATAGGGGGTGGCCTTGCAAGAATGGCTGAACCTTCTTTTTCCTTTGGGCGCGCCGTCCCTGGCCAACAACAAACAACAGACAGTCGACAACAGTTTCAACTGCACCCTCCAGACAATCCCGTCCGCTGGATCGGAGCTCCTCTGTCACACAAGACACAAGGGTCGATGAGCACAAGGCTCCCGAGCGTCTTGGTTGGCCCAAAGAATCGCACGTGTTGCACAGAATCCGAAGTGCCAATTCCGCTTCTCTGGTTCTCGAGATGGGACAAGTCGCTAGCGCCCACGACGCAATTCCTCGCGGTTTCGACTTCCTCTAGTCCTTCCGGCGAAGCCGTACGAGGAAGGAAACAGAGGGACCACAACGCTTCAGGATTTTTTGAGTCAGTCCTGACAGTTTGACAGGAGGTTTCGCGGACGATCACCTTGAAGATCCTGCAGGCCACTGCTTCCTGCCGGCCTTGGTGATTGCAGGGCCGTCAACCTCAGGTTGCGGAGGGGCCATCACCCTACCACCATGTCTCGGCATCCTGTAGCATCCACATCCTGCTGGACCCCGTCCCACGAACATCAAAATACGGCAACGAGACGATCGCATTCATTTGGATGACTTTGATTGAGCATGACATTAGTGCTCCGCCGGTTCTCTGTAGCGTCTTGGTCAACTAGATCTCGGGCCGGGCCTCGATTGAGTGCTGCGTGCTCTGTCTAGTCGTTCCTAACCACGCGTTGACTGCCACTATTCTTACTTCAGCTGACCTCCATTCCAACAGCTCCTTTTCTGGGCCATATGTGATGCAAAGTAAGCATTTGAGATGCATACGTCAGGCTCGGACCCGTCGATTCGCGTCTTCGGCACCGAGCTGACGCAGACCGCACAGCGTCTTGACTGAAATAGTGTCCACCTGCCTCGAACGGGTCCTTGTGAAGCCCAATAGCGCCATCGAGTGATAGGAGCCAAGCATCGTCTAGCTTTCGAGGCATGCAGGTGTCAGTATGGATTGCACCCACACCGCAGCATGCTGCAGTCTGCCAATGCAGGCGTCTGCGCGAGTGCGTACACTCAAGAGTAGCCACGTGATTGCCTCATACAATATTCGGTGTGCAGAGCCGCATCGTCTTACAATGGGTTTTGGCGAATCAGAAGAGGCCATTCCATGCTGTATAAGTTCCAAGCGGTATGGCTTACCCTTCGACCCGGCTGCCCTTGCCCTACCTGCGCCACGCATTCAACTTTGTCAGGCATCTTTATTTCAACCTCTCCCGTGCTCCTGATCAACTCGGGAGTCATCTTGCCACGGTCTGCGCCCAGACGGTCATCTTAGGCGTTGGTCAAGTGACTTCGGCCTGTCTATGGTCACGATGGAGCCCCTCTTACCCAACACCGAAGGTCAGGTCGTACCTGATGAGATTCAGACCTTCATCGAGCAGTGGCATAGCGACGAAATCGACCTCTTCCAGCAGTTCTGTCAAATTCCGAACGAAGACCCACCGGCTTATGTCCAACCGTCCGTAGACGGCCGTGACGACACATCGACTTACCTTGGCTCGGAGAGCCATGCGCCACCCCTGACATTCGGACAGACTCTTTCACCCTCGAGCCACAGCAGAGCCTCGCCATCGTCCCCTAGCCGGCCAGACGATGCTGACCCCCAAACCACGTTGAGCGCGGTATGGGCCGGAGAAGACCTTGGAGACCTGAATTCCGCAGACTGCTTGCGCCACATTGGTGAGGGCATTGGTGAAGCCCCCGAGATTCTTATCCAGCGGCCGACATCACCCTCGCCGATACGTCTGCAGGAAGACGATGTGTCTATCCACCTGTCACCCTGGAATCCCGGTCTTCCCGTCACGCCCGTGAGCCCGCCTGCCCAGGCAGTGCCAATGAAACGGGGAAGGAGTAATCCATTGCCTGGGAAGAAACGAGCCAAGGTGTCTAACATGCGCAAGATCGGGGCATGCACCCGCTGTCACATCAGGAAACGAGAAGTAAGACACCGGCGGCGTGGTCTTTTTCCGGCTGGGCTCCTGCTGACACGGCGGTAGTGTAATGAGAGTGTGCCTTGTGACCACTGCAGAAAGGCATTTCCCAGGAATCCAGAAGTGTGCGTTCGGGAGAAACTGTCGGATGTGCGGTTTCCTGATGGTGGTCAAGGTGGTGAGTGGGGCCCATTTCATTTTCGTTCCCCGTGGTCACTAGTACTTAAATTGTGTGTTCTAGCCAGCATTTGGATCCGTGATTCAACTGGAGCTTTGCTGTCGAGACAGAACAGGCAGCTGGTTGCGATCCCAATCCCAGTCGTCGTGACATTCAACCAGGCGAGCGATTCGCCGGGCTTCGCCTTGATGCTTCAGCAGTATGTCGTAAACGAAAGGCCTTTCATGTCGGCTACAAGTTATTTCCCTTCACCAGCACCCGCGGGATTCGCCAGTGCTCCGGTGTCCCACTCAAGTGACCGGCTGGAAACACAGTCATCACCAAACTCGGTACCATGGCTCTGTCTTGCGCCCGGGCACGAGCCCTTGTCTGGCACTCTGCTTACGTGGGCAGAGAGGCAGTTATCGAAAGAGTTGGACGTAAAGAAGGCGCCAGACTTCGAGGCCGCGATACTTTCCTTCCTCCTGGCTTACAGGGACAGCCCCATGGACCTATCTGATGTGTCTTATAATGTTGGGAAGAAGTCGTCCGCTTTCGTTGACGCGAAGAACTTGATTCGCAAGACCTGCGAAATGAGATGCTGGTACAGAATATGGCAGACTTCGGCTCTGTTCTATCAAGCAGATGGAGGAGGGTCTGCTGCCGGTAGCCACAACAACATCCACCAACCGATGCCAGTGGCGGCGCTCTTTGAGCTAAAGAAAATAGCCACCAATGCTCTCATCGCCTGCGAGAAGCATATCCTCTCGGAGCTTGATGAGTGGCCGCCTGGCGTCGATCGTCTCACCGAGCTGCCTCTCTGGGCTTGTCTGTGGCAGATGATTCTGATCTACAAGCAATTGGTCGCCGGATACTCGAATCTTGCCCGTAGTCACCCTGTGAACTCGATCTACGGCGTAAATCCTGGTGAGTGAGAGTCATCTACGTGTTCCGGTGATGAAGATTTCAGCAGTGGGCATTGCTGACTGAATCATCCCAGGCTTCAATGAGGTGTCTGCATTGTCGGTCGTTCAACATCTCTACCGGCTGTTGATCGTCAAATACAATGCCTACTTCGGCTCGACCTCGCCTATATATCCGAGAAAGGGCCAACCGTCGACGTCAGAGTTGCTAGCAGGCGACAAGCACTTGAAGCGAGAGTGGGACAATGTGTTGATGCGCCGGAAAGAGTTTTGTGAGCATAAGAATCCTATGTATCCGGACGAGCACCTCCGCTGAGCAGATCATCACGATGTTCTCGTGTGGGGAATGACTATTGCTAATCCTTGCTCCTCAGATGTGACGATTTCAGGCGGGGTGGCATCTGATGCATCTCTGAGGACTCTTATCGTCGATGCTGAGAATGTGCTCGAGCATCGGTCTCGAAGGAGGGCGAGATGATGGTTATCTGGCTGAGCCGGTGAGATGGCCATTGCGTCCTTCACGCCGACCAGCAACTGCTCTCATCAGCATTTGTCTTTCAACAGCACACTTGCTGTTGGCCGACTTCCGATTGAAGTGTCCATCCGCGCCATTTCACTCGAACCCTTGGGTTCAAGTCACTTGTACGGACGAGAAGCGCGGAGCGAAACACTTCAGTGATATCTTCTTGGCCTGAATCAGAATAAAGAACATCAACGGCGTCTTCTCACAATGCAACTGTACATAGCCAGTCTATTGTACTCTTCCGCGCCGTCGAAAAGTCAGGAATCAAACGCCAACCGAAGTAACGCCCAGCTGACCATCTCCATCCCTCCCACAACGTCATGGCCAGATGCCATAGTACATACTCACCGCCCGGTCCGAGTCTCCGAATAACTTGGAATACCGATCCTGCCACATCATCACCCCCGGTCTATCAGGATTCGTGCTCGGCACGGCCAGGAACCCGCCATACTCGGCACCAACACCATAGCCTCCGCCACCGTACGCGTTGCCCCTCCGCATAGCCAGGTTCCACGCGAAGCTGCTCTCGACGACGCCCAGCACGAACCCAGCGCGCAGCATGATCTCGTAGTCGACCAGCGCCCTCTGGTCCCAGGTCAGGCGGTTGTTGAGCATGGCGACCTCGCCGGGCGCCAGGATGTCCCGCTTGGTGACGACCGTGGCGCCGAGCTCAGCGGCCTGTGCGGTGAAGCGCTTCACGTCGGCATCCTCGACATTCAGGCCTGTCGCGAGGTACACGACCCTTCCCTCCGCCTCCACGGAAGCCAGGTAGTCGAGGTAGTAGCCGGCCTGCACGTCATAGCCGGGGAAGACGGGGCGGCCGGGTGGCACGCCGCTCGAGAGACGCGCCTCGTCCGGCGGCGCAACGTCCTTCTCGGTGCGCAGGTGGGCGCCCACGAAGCGCGGGTTCTTGTCCTGCGCCGGGTTGTGGCCGATGCCGCGGCGCGGGTCGAGCTGCAGGCTGAAGCGGCGGGCCAGGTTCCACAGGCCCGAGGCGGCGAGCAGTCGGACGTCGTCGCGCACGCGCAGCAGGCGGCCGAAGTCGCGGCGGAAGGCCTCACCGTCATAATGGGCCGGCCACGCGAAGATGGTCTCCTGGAGGTCGACGCGCACCGGGTAGTGGCGCTTCTCGTGGGGCAGCTCGCGCTCGTAGAAGTCGTCGAAATAGCGCGTGATGTTCTGCGGCTCCGCGATGACCGACGTGCGCGTGCCGTTGAGCACCGCCACCTCGTCCGTCAGCATGCCCAGGCTCACCGGCAGCGGCTTGAGCAGGCTCGGCTTGTCGTACAGGTCGTCCAGGGAGCGGTGGACCCGCATCTGCGGGCAGTGCGTCTGCAGGGAGGCGAGGAGGTGCTCGGACGAGAACATGTAGTCCAGCGGCTGGCCTTTGGCCTGCTGCTCGCCGTGGAGGTTGGAGATGTCGGCCGCGGAGCGGCGCGTGATTCGGGGGAGGACGAGCTCCGCTGGGGATGGATGTCAGTGGCGACGATGTAGATACATATATATTTAACTAGCTGGCAACCGCCCCTATGAACTTACCTCCTATCTCAATCGCAAACCGTATACAGTGCAGAAGGCCATTCTTGACCTCGCCCACGCCCCCCGGCATGGGCGCGCACGTCAGGACAAGTCCCTTATCCTCCGGGTGCCATTTCCTGCTGGCACAGAGCCGGGCCAGCTCGCCGCCTTCGAATCTGCCGTCGACCTCATTTTCGAGCAGGTCGGACATGAACAGCTTCTTTTCGTCCTTGAAGCTGCGCAGGACCTCGGCATAGCGGTCGCGGACCTCGTTCTCCTTGAGGTCCGAGAGGAAGTAGAAGATCACCAGCGCCGGAATGAGGAACTTGGCGATGCGGACGAGCCGGGACGTGTCCAGCATCTTTGGTCTGATCATGGTCGGCTTGGGAGGCTTTCGACACGTGATACGCCTGGATTTCGAGAAGATCTGGGAGGAGGATTGATGGGATGGACGTTGTTCATTGTGACTTGACACCTCGTCAAAGGACCACACTCGGCTCCCTTGGAGCTTACACGGAAAGGGTTCAGCAAGATGGGCATTGTCTCACATGCGCCGGCCAGAGCTGTCCCCCTTTAGCACGTCGTGGCTTCAGCTCGATGGGGCTCAGATCGCCTCCCGTGCTTGCGCGGCCCTCTCAGGGCTCACCCCTCTCTCCCTGCGCTTTACAAAGCTACCTACCACCGGGAGGGCTTCGCGGGCGGGTGCGTGCGCAAACGTGGGACTGGGCATGATAAGCTCCCGGTGCCGACACCTTGGAGAGTTCAGCCCGGGCTCCGGGGTGAATTCTTGACGGGGGGGAATGCTCGGGTGCTGGGGCAGAGAGTTATGTGTGTGTGCCATTGGGATCTGAGCGCATGCTAGCAACTCTGTTTCTGTACCACTCTGCCCTCCGCAGTCGGCACATGCTGGATCTGTAGTGATTGAAATATTGCCTCTCCAATTGCACCTTGTGCCTGGGTATGCCTAAAATTGCCATATTTCAGGCGGGCCCTATGGCCGAACTTCTGGCCCGGGCTGCTGCTGGGGAGACCAAGACCAGCAGCTCGACCTACCTGCGACCTGCCATTTCCCACATGCCCCTGCGCAAGTCTGTGCGACACTAGCTCTGTGCAACAAGCCAGCAGTATTGGATCCCTTTTTGGCCGTGTGATTCCCATGAGGGGCGAGGAGGGGTTCATCTCGTCTTGTCTACCTACGGCGGCCGGGCCGGGCAGGACGGTGAGAAAGTGTGTGTCAATCGGCGTCTAGTCTAGACTAGATACTGGATTATTCATCCGGCGGCACTGTCCAGCGCCAAGCCGTGACACCCACACTGCCGGCGGTGATGTCGCGGCCGACAAGCCGGGGCCGTCACTAGGTCCTCTGGCTGACAGCCAACAGGCATGGGATGATGAACGCCGCACGGGTGGACCACCGCTGATCGCAGCTGTCGACTCCAGGTGCCGAAGGACCCTGGGCGGGCGCCAGCAAAGCACATTGGTAGGCTGTCCCTTGACGCCTGACATGGTCCTTAAACTTAATCTTGACCGTCACGGTGGGGACGGGCCTGTCTTCTCTTTTCGTATAGGCAAGGAAGCAGCACGCATAGTTATTAGCTGGCTAGTAGTACGCGAGGTTCGTGCCGCGTTCACTCTCTTTGCATTACGCGCCCCGGGGAATTCGGTTTCAGGATTTATAGAAACATTATTTGTTTCGTGCTACTAGCCAAGCAGAGACCCTATATATCAATATCAGAGGCGGTGTATAATCAGACTACAAACCTCGCCCGGATCGACTGGGGCTGGGCTTCATCTCGCATGCACTGACGATGGGCGGGGCGGCATACTTCAGACGACAGCTTGTGGATACACCAGGATGCATATCGAGAGGGTGAGGGGCGGCCCTAGAATCATGCAGAGGTGAGTGTGTTTGTGTCCGGGCGTGGGTGTGGGTAGTTCTACACAGTACCCGGAAGGACATCAGAGATCTCTAACAACCACAGATTTGCACCCTCCCATGCGACGTCTGTTCTCGATCTCGATGGTGAATTTAACTTCCGGGAAGAAAACATGGCACAATCCCTCATAGGTGCGGAGGTATTGTTGGCATGACATGGGCACCGCAGAGTCTTGAATACACCGTGGGTTGTGCTGTATCTGATGTCAAGTCCATCTGGCATACTCCTTTGGCGTTGAAACCTGTGCAATCAGGCGCAGTACTCGGTTCTCGGGTAGTGTAGTGCTGCTGCGATACGTGACATGGCAGCCTGCATTGCATGTCATGTGCGTCTGCACCTGCGGGCTGCGGGGACACCGTTTCTGCTCACCCGAGCTCGTGTAGACTTGCTCTCTGGCTTGAGTGAGTGTAGTGTGAGTGTGAGTGTGAGTGTGAGTGAGTGGAATACCATGGTTGAGGTTGAAGGGGGGTTGGTGTGATATCTCATGCAGCTGGCCGGCGCATCCTGCCTCACGGGAGGGGGCCAGCACACGAGGGGAGACACATGAGCCCATGGCCCAATCGAGCAGCTGGCTTGGCCCGTGAGACCAGAGTCCTGGAACACTAACTTGGAGCAGAGGTGCACGAAGACGACCTGGCCATTCCCCAGGAAGATGTCCGTCGAGCTGACTCCATCCACTGAGGCGGAGGATGGCCTGTTCTAAGATTGAACGGTGATATTGTATTATTAGAGCCTGCGCCGTCGCGTGCTGATACAAGATTAGAACATTGTGTTGGTCCGCCAGATTTAGTAGCCAGACTACCCACAGCCGAGCTGAAGAGGACGATGGAGGATCGAGATAGAAGAGGGTCGTCCGCATGGCAAAAAGCGGGCCAATGGACATGGGTGGTTGTGGGAGTGGGAAAAGTGGGTAAACACTTGAACAGTAAACCAGCCTCGCCACCCCAGGTCGAGACGCGTTTTTACGCGTCTCTCTCGCGTCTCAACCACCTCACATCTGCCCCACCTGATTGGACAAGGACTGGGTGGGCTACGCGTGCCTGACCAGCGGCCGTTTTTCGCTCTTCATTCCGCTCGTACTTGCAGGAGGCTTGCATTTGCCATGTAATTTTTACATCTACACCTTTGACAACTCAAACAGCCCGTTGGTTGGCTTGTCCACTCGTTCGCCGTTCACTTGCTCACTCGTTGTCGTTGCTGCGGCTGCTGCTGCTGGTGGTAAACTCCGTCTGCAGGTCCGGGTCCCAGGTCCAGGCCAGATCCACTCCCAACAGCATCTTTCCTCAGTTTCGCATTGCTCGTGTGCTAAAAGCGCATCTGCCAGAGTAACCCTGGATCCCTGGACATTCAATCCTGCTCCAGCCTCTCTCTTCCCTCTTCCCTCTTCCCAGCCGTCCCAGGCTGCGAGGCCCCACGTCTCTGCCGTCCGAAACAAACCATCGCGAGCGCACGGCCTCAGCCGCCCCCCGGCGCACAGGACAAGGCACTCAGATCTCTGAACCATACAAGAGTACAAGACCACCGAGACTTTCTGTCTCACCCTCGCTAGCCCAAGTCAAGTCAAGTCCCAAGTCCCAAGTCAGGCCCAAATCCTCGCTCCTCTCTTCCAAGGTTGCTCAGTGCTCCCGTACTTGGGGGCCCCTTCACCTCACCTCGACTCCACCTGCCTGCCCGCCGCCCCCCCTCCAATCCACCGGTCCACCAATCCACCCTCACATCCACCCATCATCAATTCAGGCCTGATCCCTCGACTTTCCGCATCCCGTCATCCACCTTGCTGCTAGGCCTGCCAGCACGGTGCACCAAGGGGCAACTGCGCTGCATTTGGGCTGCCCTGCGCGCTGCAACTGCACACACTTGGCTGCACTCCTGCCGCTGTCTGTTCGCCTCACCCTCGCCTCGACTCGCCTCAACCTCGGATCACCTCAGAATCCAATCTTGCCTTTGCACCTGCCTGCCTGGCCCAGCCTGCTGTTGATCTGGTCTTTATCTCGCGTCGATCGGATCTTTTTTACCTTCCTGCAAGACATATCCAACAGCGTTTGCACGGATCAGGGCATCGGCCACCGGCGCACTTTTTGCTGCACCGCACACCCCGTCGACAACTGACAAGCAGCAGCCCAGCCCCAGACCAGCCCCCCAGCCCCAGCCGGCATCAGCTAACTGGTCAACTCTTCATCATCTGTCCGATTGTCTTTCTTTCTTCGGCCCTCACCCACGACGGCTACTACCAGGGGTGTTATTAACACTGCCGCGCCCCCCAAACCTACCGAGCAAGCATCGCATCGCATCGCATTACACCACATCGCACCGCCATCCTTTAATACATTAGACGCGTCTGCCAGGATTCTTGGACACTGCGCCGTCGTGTGCCGTCTGCTCAGTGGCCCTCGCCTCCAGCTGCCTCCTGCTAGCTTTCCCGGAACGCGCATTCGCGCTCTTAACACCGTCTCGCCAGAGTCTTTGGTCCACGAGAACCTGCAGATTGAAGAAGCTGGGCCGTTCCCAGTCGCTTATTGAAAAGCCCGACGCACACGTATCGGGATCTACCTGCTCACCCAGTCCAAGCTTGACCTCAGGGGGTCGGCGCACGTCTGTGCTGGTCTGCAGAGCTCATTTGCTTTAGAGAAGACCTCACTCACTCATCACTGGTTGCCTGTGACCCGTCACGCTGCCCGGGGTCGCATGCAGACTGACGACCAGGGTTTATAAAGGTACGTGGGTACGACCAGATGTGATCGCTGCACGCCTCCACTGCTTTTAGCATCCTCCCGCATCCGCTCCACGCGCCGCAGTGCCTCCATCCTCCTTCGGACCCGCTGCCCTCTCCCCATACCACCCTCCCCCATCCTCTCGCTGTCAACCAGGGAACCCAGAACGTGCGTGCTGTTCCTACATATTCACACATCCCGCTCATTGACCATCCCGTGTTCCCACCACTGCCCACCCCCCCTCTCAATCTACATTCTTCCTTTTTCCCTTAGGTATCTGTCGGATTTCACACAACGTCGACGGGGCTATTTCATCAGCTCTGCCCCATTCGTCAGTGTGTCTCAGCCCGTCTACCTGCTTCACGATCTTGACGACTCGATTTCTCATATTTCCTTTCCTCCTCCTCACGACTTATGTCTTTTTCATGAAACTTTCTTAGATTTCGTTCCTGAATACAATCTAATCAGACGAACTAGCCTTCTCCGCCCCTTGGATACGAACAAAAAAAAACACTTGTGGCGTCTTACAGAAACGGATTTTAACGGACCAGCCACCGAATTCTGGGTGCAACGAGATTCGATACCGGCTTCCCTTTATTAGTACCACATATCTGGTGGAACAACTTACTTGGCGGGACCATTACCCTCTCCCCGAGGACCGAAGACAGGATATTATTCGCGCGCAGGTGACTGGTAGCACTCTTGGGCGCATTCCTCACTTTGATCTTGACTCGGGTCCACGCGTTATCGATTTCATGACCCGCTCCGACGTCTTCGAACTGGACTGTACTGTGAACTGAGACATGATGAGTGGAAACATGGAGTCAGGGGGTTTGCTCCGCCATGGCCGACTTGGCCCGCAGAGGACCCCGGAACCGTTCACAGAGGTCGAAAGCCAGGCACCTTCCACACCAAGGCCGCGCCTCAGGTTAAAGCGGCGCCATGATCCCCAACACCTTGCCGCGCCAACACAACAATTCCTCGCCTCAGTTGCTGCCGCCGACGTCCCAATACCAAGCGTCGAGGAACCTGCAATAGCCACCTACGGCTCCGACGTCATGCCTTCCTGGAGTGACCTCCATCATCCCGAGGAGGGTCAAGACATCGAGGACGGTCTTCATATCCAATATGGCCACAGCCAATCATTCACCTCCCCAAAGACTCCTGCGCCCGGAGCACCTCCGTCCCTAACCCCTTCAAGATACCCGAACTGGGCGATCGACTGGATGAGCAGTTCTGAGTCGAGTCCAGAACCCGAGTCTCGACCGTCAACGGCGCGGTCACGTACGAGCACGTCTTCTTTCAGTCAGCTGTCCTCCTACTTCTCAGATGACGACATACAGTTCAGCCCTGAGCTTGGAGACTCAGAGAGGTTTATGTGTGTCGACACAGAGGCTGTACACGCAGATAGTCTTCAGCCTCCAAGCGGTACGAGGATAGCACGCAAGGCCCCATGGACTCCAGCGATGAGCCAACACCTCTGGGCGACGTACAACCTCTACCTTTCGGATCCACGCGTGACACCTTTTCAGATTGGCAAGAGCGGGATCCCACCAGAAGGGGTGTCCAAGAGGGTCGCTCGCCAAGCCATCCGGAGTTGGAAGGGCTCGAAGACGGTGGCCAAGGCGGCGGGCGCCTCCGAATCAAGGAGCGGTAGCTCGACCCCAACGGCGGCGGAGTCGTCGGGCGTGTTCATGCAGTGGCCACACACAGCTGCGGCCACCCGAGCACACCTGAGGGCTCTCTGCAAGCAGAAGGCCCGTGGGCCTGACGGCGGCAAGATGCGGTTCTCTTACTTCTCGAGGAGTCCGACACCCTTGACCAGCGCCACAGTCCGCTGGGCCCGACGATCAACACCCAATTCCGCAACATCTCCATTTGAGACGCAGGAGATGGTCAAGTCTCTGGCAATGAGCACTTGCGAGACCATGACACCCCAGGGGTCGCTTGCACAGTTGACCACTGCGCCGGACTCACCGGCTCAAACGCTCCCACCCAATTTGGACCACGTGCCGCAGCCGGATGTCGATTTGGAGCCATCTGTGGTTGAGCGTCGGCGTCTGGGCTCACCGGTGAATGCGAAGAGCTACGGGCCAAGTTCCTCGACCTCGTTGTTGGACGTGTTTGGGCTTCCTGCCGACGTTGGCCAACGACAGACCCATACGGTCGGACCACGCCGCAGGCTCCAGTCACCAGTCAGACTCAGTCGATCTTCAACGCAAAAGAGGAAGACGCGGCAGGCGCACGAGTCTCGCAAGCGGCCCAGCCTCTCACTCGATACCTGGCTCGACCCTCGGATCCTTGCTGGCGACTCGAGCAAGGCCGAGGACGCATTCTTCGCCTCTCGGCCACGGGCTCCCCTGTCCTTTGACTCAGCACAGCCAACAGCCCGACCGACTGCGGTTCCTATCGCTACTCCACCACGACTGGGTTCCCCCTTCTCGGCCTCTAGCTCGATGAGCTTCAGTGTCCCCAACAGGTTCAGCCAGCCCACGGACCTCGATCCCGCCATGTTCGCACGGCGCTTCTCGACCGTCCATCAGCCTCGCGGGACGCATCCTAGCGAGCCAGCGAGCATCAACCTGGCTTCGCGGCTTGCATACCTCGACCAGCGCCTCAAGGACTTCAATGGTCCCCGGCAGTCTGAGTCACCTTTTTGATCCACCAGGCTTTCCACTGCTTTCCTCACTATACTTTTCCATTCCACTCTTCTTTGATGATATCATGATTTGACGCAGCCACGGAATCATCCTTCTTACGGCGAAATGGGTCAAATCCACAGGCGAATATGGAAACAGCATCCTGCTCACAGCTTGCTCGGCGTTCATTGGAAACACAATCTACCGTGATTCTCAACTGCACGGACGGACCTTCTGATGATGAAAGCAACAAATGAAATTGACGACCCCACGATACCATGGTGGAAGTACTATTCAACAGAACGGCCCACAGCCCGACTCTCTTTATTTCTTCTTCTGACGATTTTCACTTGTTCTGGTCTTTTTGTTTGTTTTACGGTGTTTTGAGTCCGAGCCACGGAACGGAGTGAGATGGATGCATACGTGATATGAATTGTTCTTCGGGGGATTGGACGGTAGAAATGGAGTTTGGATTTGAGGGGGATTGGAAAATCCCACTTTTATATACGGGTATCTATATATTCGCACGAGCGAATGAGGTACAAGTAGTTGTCACTAAGGACCTACTTATTGAAAATACAATGTCGAAGCTGCTCATTGAGCGGGTCTTGAATCAAAACCATTACATTACTCCCCAAAATTTGACTTGACAAGCTTTGTGCGGGTTGCCTCGGGTGAGGCGTGACTGTAGAGAGTGGGAGTCGCGGCAGTGAACCAACAAACAATTAAGCATCTGAAGTGCCGCTGTCACCTGCACAGACTCTGCAATGGCAAGCGGGAGTGTCATGGGCATCCTATGTTTCCTCGGAAAGATGTCATCTCACAGTCCTCGATCGACGGTCTGGGTTGCGGGAGCTCCACCCGAGACAAGACACAGACAGGCCGACAGGGCTGAGGAGAGTTCAAATGCCTGCCGCAGCCACAGTTCCCAGGGGGGCTCGGAAGCTCCGCGACACGCGAATCCCACTCACCTCAGCGCGCATCACCCTGCTGTCCTCTTCATGCATATCCTCCTTTCCTACCTCCCTCCGTAGCCTTGTGCCAATCCAGCCCTGCCACGGATTAAATGAGGATATCATGACGACCACAGGAGCGGCCAGGATACGGCCTCGGCCGCTCTTCCTCGCCCTAGCCATCTGCTTGCTGCTGTTCTGCAGCGGCGCCCACGCCTCGATTGGTGACCGGCTGCCCGAGTTTCGCCAATGCGTCGAGGTTCGTGACGACCCAACGGGATACAGCGGGAGGACTATGTCCAGTCTCAGATCAACGGCACGGCCATGGAGAAACATAGAAGCTGATGATTTTGTGCGCAGGTCTGCAAGCAGGAGAATTGCGACCCGAACAAGCCGCAGACTCCGATCCGTGAGACATCCCCCTTCTTCACCCTCCCATCCCCGTCTCCGGCTCGATCACCTCTCAGACAAGCAGGCCGACTAACAGTTCAACGCGCCTACAGCTCTCCTCCACCGCCTCCTCCTCTGGGACTGCCCGCAGGAGTGCGACCACGCCTGCCAGCACATAACCACGGCGGCGCGCGTGTCGGCCGGCGAGCCCATCGTCCAGTTCTACGGCAAGTGGCCCTTCCGCCGGCTGTTGGGCATGCAGGAGCCGCTGTCGGTGCTCTTCAGCATGGGGAACCTGTGGGCGCACGCCGACGGGCTGCGCAACGTCCGGGCGGCGATCCCCCCCTCATACACACTGCGGCCGTTCTACGTGGTGCTCGCGCACGTGGGCATCGCCAGCTGGACGCTCAGCTCCATCTTCCACACGCGCGACTTCGCGGCGACCGAGCAGCTCGACTACTTCGGGGCCGGCGCCAACGTCCTCTACGGCCTGTACTACGCGGTGGTGCACCACTTCCGGCTGGACCGCCGCGCGCCGCGCCGCCGCAGCCTGCTGCGCGCCTGGACGCTGCTGTGCGGCGCCATGTACGCCGCCCACGTCGCCTACCTCAAGCTGTGGCGCTGGGACTACGGCTACAACATGGCCGCCAACATCGCCTGCGGCCTCGTCTCGAACGGCCTGTGGTCCTGGTACTCGTGGGTCAAGTACGAGCGCACCGGCCGCAGCTGGGCCGCCTGGCCCGGCTTCGCCGTCGCCTGGATCATGCTCGCCATGAGCCTCGAGCTGTTCGACTTTGCGCCGCTGTGGGGCAGCGTCGACGCGCACTGCCTGTGGCACCTGGGGACCATTGGGCCTACAATCGTGTGGTACAAGTGAGTCACAGTGTTTTGTTCTGTTGCTGTCGTATTGATGCTGACGGTTGCTTGCCGCAGATTTCTGATCAAGGACGCCCAAGATGATATGGCAACCGAGAGGCTGAAGGCTTAGACGGCACGCATGTTGCGAGTGTAGATAGGAGTGTGATGTCGCCTTGCGAGGAGACGGGCGGAAGACAGGGAACAGAGGAGCAAGGACTGCTGTGCCTGGTAGAATTACTGAATGAGGTAGAAAATAAGACCAGCATTTGACTGTGTCTATGTATGGCTCATTGCTTATGCTGATCCAGTCCCCAATGTCGATTCCAGTCTGTGTGCAATCTTTGGTCTAGACGAGAGAGAAGATTGTCCCTTCTCTAAACATCGCCACAACTCGCTCTTACTCCAGCTGTCGTTGCTATCATCGTCCTACTTGTCCTCATCGCTCTGATATCGCCTTGAACAAATCTAGGATATTGAGCACAAGGAGAAACTGCTCGCAGACATTATTCCCGCATTCTACGATTTATAGGCCACGACCAATACAGGATTTTTGGTGTCTCTTGCTCGTAGGAGGGTGTTTGTACAATTTGCGATCCTATTCTTGTCTCGTGAGTGCGGCCTTCCGCTCGCTATTATTTTAGGTCCTGGCTCAGAACCTGAGGCCATTCCTCATCACAGGTTGCTGTGCATAAACGCCTGGGCATCGGCTGCTTATTCGTGTTGTGGACCAGTAGTCGGTGTAGATTTCCCACAAATTTGACCGGTTGAACCTGACGTCTTCGCCGTATAGGCACTCCGTGAGCCGCATCGCCCTCGTAAAGGGCGATGCGCCTGCTTCTCTGCTTGGTGTTGTAGTCCATATCACCATGGTCCTTGTCGAAGATACTGTCTGTTGCCTTGAGCAGCCATAACTTCTTCTCTTGCTTGCTCTCGGCGGTCATCTGCTCCTGCATTGCCTACTCCATCTCACGGTCTGCACACTCATCCTCGTCCCCGACGATGGTTGACTCTCGGACTGTAGTGCTGCTTCGTTGCCGCCACATGCTGTCGCCCACCTGACCGGCGAGCACGCGAGCCCTTTGCTCAATCTCCTGACCCAGCTTCACATCAAAGAACAAGCCTTGGTCGAGTGTGATGCTCCAATGATGCAGAATAGAGTACATCTGAAGCAATGGCATGCGTGGACTCCTCGCCATCTTTCGGAACCAGAGTCCAACGTATAGCCACTCGGAATCGTACCGTGTACATATACGGATTGGGGTCAGGCACAGCGCCATGATTTGCTTGATTGCCGAGCCCTGGGCCCCAAAGAAGAGGCGGCTCTTGTTGGCTGGGATGCAGAGCTCGAATGGGTACTTGGTGTTGGGCCGAATCCCTTGTCTGCCGAAATACTCCTCCCAGAGCTCCCACATCCTGTTTATGTCCGCTTCGTCATCGTCGATGGAGAATTTGCACTCAGTGTCAGTCTGACCGTTGAACCATTCCCTGTAGTAGACTGGCTTCTTGTCGGTCGCCTCGTCTGTAGTGTGCTCTCGCACTTGTCCGCCTCGATTGTCCATGGCTTCGACATGTCCCAGCACGCAGTTGCCATGTTCATCCTCCCTTGAGGGCTGGACACTCTCGCTGTCCGCGCCCTCGGGCTGGCTCGGCGGCGGCGGAACTACCAGCGGAGTCTGCTCAATCCTGGTCTCTGGGTCCAAAACCTTCTTCTGGGCCTCGTGTTCCTCTATCCTCTTGACATGCTCAGGTGCTGGGGGGCTTCCGTACATGTGTGCTTTGGTCAGAGCAACGGCTACCGGCAGAGGTGCTCTCTCGTTATTGGGGATGCGACAAAGTTCACCTGCGTGCAGCTTTAGCAGAAAGATACAAGACAGAGACATAGCAAGGATTGGCAGGCTGAGATTTCACACTTACAACATCCGCGCCACATCTGCTCCATCATCTGCTCCATGTAGTACTCGGCAGATACCGCCTTTGGTCTGCCGAGCCAGTCCACCCCGTGGTCCATCTGGAAGAGTCTCTTCATGATTTTGTTGTGTGCCGACCTGATGCACAATTTGATCTTGCCTTCGGGGTCCTCAAACCCTTGTTTCTGGAACATCTCCTTCATATGGTTGCACACCGTTACAAAATTCTCACGCGTCTGTGCCGACGCGAGGCTATGGGAATTACTCGCCATGTTGTGGGTTTTGTTTTCTTGTCTTCAAATTGAGGTTTGAGACGTGAAATGTCCCTCTCAGCTCAGAACTGAGTTCTTTTATGTGTGATTCGGAGTGCACGATTGACTGTCGTCCACGTTGTAGTTGTCCTTTGGGCTCGTCGAAGGAAAGAAGGTTCAAAGCAGTCGCGGCCGAGATGGAAGTTTAGGCATGCTAAGTAGGGTGAAGTCTTTGGACCCACTTTTGTTGGTCCTTTCTCTCCTGTAACTTCACTTTTCCCTTGAAAACGAATTTCGATTTCAAGGACAGACAAAGTTGGAAATTTTTGCAGCTAGCAGTGACAATGTCGGCTGGATTAGAGGCTTTGCAATACCAAAGTCGTGGCTTACTGCTCTCTCATGTTGGACGTTGCTGTACGACAACTGCCGCTGAGAATCGTGTAAGACCATTGGCCGATTGTTCTCAGCAGCCCATCCCCTTAGCATGAAAGGCGTACAGCAAGGAATACGCAAGATCCCTGACGCACCAGAACGTGTCCTCACTCACAGAAAATTCACATCGTTTGGGAACAACAAAATTTGGTATTTCTGGTATCCTGCTAATCTCCTCAATGAGTCAGCCTACCGGCACCGTTCCTGTCTCGTCCCTTCCTGCCAGGTCATAGGCTCATTGTGTGTGCCAGGTTGGAACCTCTGGATGTGTTAGGAACTGGTCTGCCTCACATCTTGCTCAATAGATCTTGCAGCCCATGGCAGTCTTTGCTCCCCCCCCCCCAAAAAAAAAGAAGCTGAGCAAACCCTCGAGTATCAAACAAAAGAGATGCTTTCCAACTGCACATTCATCGGTTGGTAGTGTGACGGGCATGTCGGCAACCAGGAGTGCAGACTCGGGCGAAGTAGGAATATAGACCAGGAGCAGCCCATGGAGGCGAATCAATTGGCCTTGTGGTGGGAAGATAGCGCCTGTTCTCGCCAGCACCAACCCATGACAAAAGCAGTTCCAGGTCCGGTCACCGCAGACACAAGTGGAAGAAGGGAAGATACAACCAGCGACTCAAGCCCAACCAGCCCAGCGGCGTAAAGATCAAAAAACATGTAAATCAGCCACAGAAAAGAGCTCCCGAAAGAATACACCTCGTCGCACTGCAAGGCCTTTCGGGTATGTCCAATAAAGTCCAAGTAGACTGCAGGGTCAGGGATGAACATGTCTGACAGGGAATAAGGCGAAGAGTACAGCGTGTATGCCCAGGTCGAGCTAGAGATTGCACACATCACGGCAAGAAGTGGGCGTGGCGATGCGAGGGTGCTGCTCTTCAAAGCCGGCACGGCAGCAGTCAAGCCGCCCAGCAGCGAGTTAGCAATGCCGATCCAGAGGGGCGACATCTGCCACGCCCAGACCCAGTACTGGCGAGTCTCCGGCTCAGGGGCCGTGTAAGCACGCAAGACCTCGAAGGTGTGAAGGCTGAGGAAGAGCGGGAGTAGGTACAATGCCTGCTCTGACTGGAGCTGTCGGTCCTTCGCCGAACGCTTCAGGGTCGCCGCGGACGGGGCGAAAGTCAGGTGCAGGAAGTAGTACAGCGGCGCGACATTCCCGACCCCCAGAAGCTGGGCGATGAATGTGAAGACCGTAACACTGAGATTACAGTTGTTAGCACCTTGTTTTTGATGTATTTGCCCTTGTTCAGAACGTGATGCTTACGTATAGACCGGCGTCCAGGCATTCCCGACACGACACGACTCCAAGAGCCAGACACTGTACAATGGGCCCAGGTCGTTGAGAAAGGAGAATAGCTGCCACCAGCCAATGGCATCCAAGGGGATGTAGGAAGCCGAGAAAGTGACCGTGATGCCACGCCAGATATCGTCGATGAAAGGGACTTTGTAGAAGCGATCAAAAATGGGCATTGATCCACCGTCCCAGGCGATGCGTCCCGCTTCGAGAAACGGCTGCTGTTGAGCAATGAGTTTGTTGGTGTCCATAGCACCGAGGCAAAAGATGGCTAGGCCAATAAAGGGTGTTGCCAGAACAGCCCGGAGGACTCGAGACTCTGACTGGGCCATGGTAGGTGATGTTGACGATGACAATGACAATATAGATTATCCTAGTGGTGTGTGAGAACTTGGCAGGAAAAGCAGCATCGATTGGGGAGTCAAAATCGAAGAGGATACCCGAGGGTGGCTTGGAGAAATATATTGCTGTTGGTCGCAAGCGTCGAGGCATTGCGGGTCGTTCCACTTCTCTGCATTGCAGGATTGGGGCTGAAAGCAGGCAAAGTGCTGAAATGTGACTTGACAGTTCAGATTAGACAGTAGAGATGGACTGAACAGCTGTATACCAGTCCAGTCAGAGCTAGCACCCTTGACACTAGAATACTCTTGTCGGCGAAGACTTACAGTATGAAATCGCCTGGGATCTCTTCTGGATTACGCTGACACAGCTTCCCCTCGGTGAGAGAGGCTGACTGTGCAGCGAGTCGAAAGAGGACGAGATTGACAACTTGAAGGATTCACGACCCATCAAAACGGGACTGATAATCCACAGAATTGCAGCGATACAGCGAGGCCGTTGAGTACATCGCGCAAAATGTGCGGAGTCCTCCCGGTGACGCAGCCAAGGACCCATATGGGATTGCTGCCACTCAATGTTATGAAACCTCCGAATTGTGCCCACAGATGACGATGTGAACCATTTCCTTGTTCTTCCCGCCTAGAAATCTGAGTTTATATGGAAGCTCGCCTCTCAGTGGTCGAGCTACAACGCCGACTCGAGTGAACCCCAGAGCCGAGCGAGATCTTGACCCTGGGGGTCGATCCGGGTTCGATACTCATCGAGATTACCATGTGGATTATTAGCTCTATGCAAATACTCAGGATGCACGTCTTGGGTCGTACATGGCCTAACGGTATGCTGCGTTTCAACCACAAGTCAGCAAACCACGTCCTCGCAGCTCCTCTAGACGTAAGACCACCTTCTGGTTAACGCTGAAAAGACTTGCGTATGAACGCTAGTACAGCCTTGAGGAGGGTCGACACAAATTTGAGATCCATACATTGACTGCCGCGCACCTCAAAGAGATCGAGGAACTCAAGGCTCAAACACTTCTCGAGATCAAGAAACTTAAGGGCTCGCTCCAGCAACGTCAAGCTGGCGAGAAAACGAAGTCTCGCGAAGACAAGCACACACACAATTAGTGAGTCCGTCGGAAAGGCAAATCTAGGTGTCCGAAGGCGGGCAGTGCCCGAGTGTGAAAAGGAGTCACCAATAATTACAGATGACGAGGCAAAGCTGTACAGCAGAGTCATCGTAAACCATTTCGGGGTTCTCAATTCTTTTCTTTCCATAATTTGAGTTTAAATGTACCCAAGTGCTCCGAGACCACCTTTGATCATCTTGAAGGGATCATAGGTCCCGAGGCGTATCAATTGAACCAATACGGGCTGAAACGTTGGGTTAGTAGAATGCTGTCAGGCCCTACTGAGCAGATCGTAGGTAGTGAAAAGGAGTTTGCAGCTAAGATCTGCCAGCTGCCACATGTCTGGTCCACACCTGGATAGACATAAGGCAAACAGACCGTTTGACGGCCTAGACAAACAAGCAGAAGCTCAGTGAGCCAGGCGGTCATCCGATCTCTGCTGATTTGGTGGCCCACAACAACTTCCAGCAAGCAGTGCCAAAAGCTTTCAACGGATCGCCAGCGCCTGTGTGCCTTTCTCTCCTGCTCAACACACGCGACAACGTACAATCACTGTAAGACACAACCAACCCTCAAATTTTGCACAAAATATCACTCTTTCTCACAAATCGTATCGAGGAGATCAATCCTAATTGTTAACTTCGTGATTTCAAGGATCTGGAACTGCGGATACCGGAAATATCTTCCAACATGACCTCACAGAACGAAGCTCGCCCCGAGGGCAGAGCCAAACAGGCAGGACGGTCGCAGATCGGAATCGGCTCGACAACATCCCATGAGACAAACACCCACGATTGGTCTGAATTTGAAGGCGAGCCCTCTCGCCAGAACCAACAAGCTGGAGCGAATATCGGCGCTTCCGTTTGGAGCCCCTCCAACATCGAGGGATACCACAGCGACCGTCACCGCCACCAGAACGAGAATCATGTTGTTGGCACAAAGCGTCAGGCAGCTGAGATGTCTCCAGATGACACTCGCATCCCAAAGGCTATGAAGCACGACCCCACGACAGTTGACGTTGACATGACCGGCAACAGCATGCCACCATGGGCGGTCCCCAGGAACAACATCTGGCAGGGTACAAAGGTCGTGGTACCATCGCCTTTCCCCAGAGAAAACATCTGGGAGGGTACAAACGTCGTGATACCATCGCCTGACGGAACTGGCTACATCAGCTACTCGGATCCTTCGACGGCCGGAGGAAAGAAGCTCTCTCAAATCGTTGCTGAACAAATGGCTAAGCTGAGCCACACGGGCGAGGTCATTATGTACACGGGCCCCGTCATTGACAAGAACCTACCAAAATTCGAGAGCGGCGACATCCTTGGTTTGAGTTCCAGCAAATTGAGACGTGCGATACAGGAAGCCAATCTCAGGATGTCTGGTCACTCAGGCCAGCTGCAAGACAACACTGTTTCGGTGCTATCGGCCAAGCTGAGCGATGCGAACAAGATCATGACGTACACGGCCCCCGTTATTGACAAGGACCGAGCAACATTCGAGAGGTCCGACGTCGTTAAGTTGACCTTCAATGACATGAAGAGCGCGATACAGGAAGCAAATCTCAGGATGTTTTGTGACTTAGGCCAAGCAGCAAGACAGCGCTGCTCCGGAGGCATCGGCCGGGCGGAGCAAAACGAATGAGGAGCCCTCTGGTTAGGCGGCCACCCAGCCGCAACTAGATTCTAATGCGGGTGCGAGCAAGTCGGAGGTTGAAACGTCTGCTCAGCTGAGCATTAGAGAGACTCAGCGTTGAAGAGACTGGACAGCCGAGAAGTGTCCGTGACGAGGCGTGAACGGTCACAAGAACGAAGACGCCCTAGCCGGCGCAGATCACTGCTCATGTCCTCAAGGTCAAGAGCAGTCCCTACAGATTCGCAAATGACGAGGCAAGATCGGCAAATTTGATTTCAGATTGATGTGATTACCAAAGGGGATTCACAATTTCACTTCGGGGAGGATTTTTCAGCGTCACTTCAAGCCTAATACTATAATCAACGATTATCATATTGTAAACACACCTTTCGGAACCTGTGGTTCGGTCATACTCGACTGACTTCAGCGGAATGGTTCTCCATTGGCAGTTCTAAGGCATGGCAAGGTTCTCTCCATCAGCTCTTTGATTTCTACATACATATGTTGTTCTTCCGTCAAGGGTAGTGAAAGAGGGAGAGCGCAATCCTAGTAAGTGGTTTCAGCTGAGCAGACCCCAAGGCTCTCCAGGCTGTCACATTTAGGACATCCTTTGTTCTGTCATTGTTTCTTGTGAAACACCTTCTTCTATCACTCTTGAGCGGTTCGGATCGTTTTGATAGGTAACTTGATGTCAGCGACGCTGAACCGTGCGAGAAAAGCAGACAACAGCTGCCCCTGTCTCTTCCACTCCTTTCGTGTTGGATCAACATTTATGATTCACCATGAAGCAACCATATCTAGTATTTTCGCCGCATGACTGATATATGCATATATATATGTGTGTGTGTGTGTGTGTGTGTGTGTGCGCGCGCGCTCTGTCTCTCCTTCTACCTCGACCGCAATCTCGCAACTACGAACACACACTTGAAAGCGTACCACATCCATGTTCCTTCTTCCAAGCCCGAAATAAGCTCCAAATCATCAAAATCCTCAGCTCGATTTAGCATGGTCTCCCCAGTGACCGATAAACCTCTACCTCGCACAAGACCAGCACGGGAGAGGATGACGGAAATGATGCAAAGGCCTGGACAGACAGGATGGCCACCTAGAGTTAGAAAGGTCGAAATTACTACGCCGAACCCTGTTTCTATGGATACGATGACAAGAAAGATGTCAAAGCTCGTTATCGTCAAGAAAAAGTGGCAAAGATCTTCCAGAAGCGATGCGAAGGTCCTGCTCCCCGTAAAACATATGGTAAGTCGTCCCCGTCAAAATTGCACAAGTGAAGCAAACTTCGACTGCGCAGCAAAGCACTGTGAATGATTTTCCAGGAAGAGATGGCTGACTGCTTTGGTGATTGGACAGAGGTTGTTGCTCAGGGCCATCTTGGGGAATATTGATGCCAGGGTGAAGAATAGGCGCTACCTGAGGAAGCAGGCCGAGCGGGTACTCAGATACCTCAGTCTAAGGAATAGCTGGTTAAATCGCATACCTTGTGGGACCTCCTGAAGGGGTTTTCTGTCTTCTTTTGGGTCTCAGGCCGCGCAGTTGACCGTTCCGAGGAACCACTCGTGGCTGGAACAAAGAGGAGGGGTTTCTGTAGAGCATCAGATATCGCCGAAACATGGGGTGCAGATTTTCTTCTAGTCATAGGCATCGAGAACAGGAAATACAATCGGAGTTAAGATTGAAACCGAAATCTCATATCCATTTTTGTCTAAAATCCATCCAAGGCATCTGAGGTATTGCCACACACAAGTAATTTAAAGGAGAACACCACGTTTCACGGCCGTGGTTGACGACAGCGATTTTCTCGTACAAGTACTCAAACACGCCTTTTTTCTTCTTTCAGAAGTTCGAAATCTACTAGCAAGAGCCTGAATGGGAACAGAAGCGAGGGATCAGACTTCTGACGGCGAGCTGTGCCTCGTTCTCAGATACACGCCCCGAAAGAAAATCGATTCAGCACGAGCTTAGGAGCAACCCATGGAGCGATCTTCGGTAGACCACATGAACTCATCAAAGAACTATTGTTGTAACTGTTGCTGCAGAAGCTGTTGAATCTGCTGCAACACCTCAACGCTGAGTGTCACGTTCTTGGACACGATGTCCTCAATGCCGTTGGTAGTTGCAACATCCGGATTGGGATAATACCAAGAAGCGATGGCAACAACAACATAGACGACCTGGATGTGATCAGCTCCCTTCCATGAACAGCGAAACCCTGATGTAAGCAAGAACTTACCACGAGAAGTGCCCCTTCTAGCCAGTTGCTCTCGCCATCGCGTAGGAAGTTGCCAACCGCCAGTATCGACAACACGAGCAAGGCGATCATGAAGATCTCGAAATTGAGGTCCATGGGCTTGCCAAGGGCCCATCCGATGAGGACTACCAAAGGACCGTTGAAGAGGGCGGTCTGGATGGAGGGCCCCAGACAATGGTAGAGAGCAACGTTGATGACGCCATCTAGCTGCTGGTCAGTATGACAGGTCTCAGCTATCCTCCAGGGGTGACTTTTGTCAACTTACCCCATGCCTCGTCGACGGCCGTAAGATGCTCTGCAGCCTTCTCAACAAGCGGCAGCAGGATCAGACCCAGGAACTGGTCGGGCACGCCACTCTCCACGACATGCTCAATGTTGTCGACTAGGAATATCAGCAGCAGAGTCACGACAACAATGGAGGTAGCCAGCGCAATGACAGTCTCCGTCATGGTAAACTTGGGCTTGGCCTCATCAGCCTCTCGGTCCGCATCGTTGTGCTCATCCATCTCAATCACCTCATCGAAGATGCTGTGCTGGCTGCTCGCACAGTACCAGATGTACAGGAAGAAGGCAATAATGAGCACGATGGACGTTGTCTGGCTGATGCGGAGGACGTCATCCTGTAGCTTTCCCTCCGTAAACCTCTCATGCAGCGCACCGAGCACATCCGGCACGGTCTCGGACTTGAGGGCCGAGTAGAAGGCACTGGGGATGAGCAGGGCAAAGGCGGCGACTAGCAGCAGCCCTGATCCCACTTCGGACACAATGGGGTGGAACTTCTGCGTAGTCCACCGCACGCCGCCGAAGAAGAAGCAGAGGCCCAGGCAGAGCAGCAGGTTGGTCAAGATGGAGCCTAGGATGGCCGCCTGGATGATCGGAATAAGGTTTCCCTCATCGCCATTGCCCTCCTCGACATCGTGCTTCACGATTAGGACGACAAACAAGATGATCTCCACAATGGAGCCGAAAGTCGTCTCGATGAGGATTCCAGCCACCTTGGGCATCTTCCTCGCAAACTCCTGCCCAGCGAAGCCTAGCAGATTGGCCGCAGGTATCATCGCGATATAGCTCGCGGCAAAAGCCCAGAGGTGGGCGCGCGTGAGGAGGTGCATCACAAAGGCGGCGGGCACGAACGGCCACAGGACGTTGACCCATTTCGATATGGTGCACGAGCTCAGCCATAGGACGTGGAAGAAGTGCCGCGGGTGGAAGCCGCTACGGCCGCTCTCGCCTTCGTGCGCGATCGTCACCCGGTGCCGCAGCGTTGCTGGCAATAGTGTCGTGTACTCGCTGGCACGGCTGTGATCATTGTTGTGGTGGTCCCCCGGCATGTTTGCTGCTCGTCAGATACCGTTGTCAATCTTCGATGATGTAGCCGATATCCTTTTTGCTCGCTTGCATCGCCGTGCTGACGTGAACAGGTTCAAGCCGAGATGAGTGAGGCTGGTGAAGCGGGGGACGATTGTGCCAAGTCCCTGGGCCGCTAGACGAGACGTCAAAGCTTGGGGCAACGGAGCAGCTGCCGAGCTGGGGAGATATCTGAGGCTGTCGTCCCTGCTGAGCTTGACGGATTTGCAGTGGATTACAGTCCGTGTGCCACTCCGTGAACGCTGGCAGGAGGAGTCGTGATCCTCCGTCAGCAAGACTGTCCATTGGATGGCCTCAGCTCGGACGAGGGATTTTTCGCAAAGATGAGAACACTGCTGTGGTGCAACATCTCTTCCATCAATGTAGAAATATGCCAAACCCAAAATGTTGCAATTCACTCTCGTAGAATTTCATGGCATTGCTTGTTGTTGCATACCGAGAACGATCTCGAACAGAACCGGCCAGTTGGAGGTCACCGCAAAGTGCTCTCACCGTACGTCAACTCCTACTTCTCACTGCCTTAGACGACCATCCCCAAATTCATCCATCTGAGAGAATACACAAGTCTGAGTCTGGCAACGTGATGCTAAGGAATCGCATCTGAAGGCTTGACGATTTCTCCTGGACACTCACGATCACCATGACCGTGGCACAATTGGGCGCAGGAGACACCTTCCTCACAATGTAAGGGGCTTAGTGTTGATTTCCTGGGCATATGCATCGGAAGACTATGATCGTCTGCCGGTCGCTCCGTTGGTCTTTTTCTCATGTCGGTACCTGTATCTGGAGCCGGTTGTGGGACAACAGCCCACCTTGCTGCCCTCCCGTCCATGAACCCTCCTTTTGCCCTCCTTGACCCCTGCTCCCATCTCTATCCCATTGTCACTTGGTGTATGTGCCCGCATTGTTTTTTTGTCATAAACAATCTCTTCTTTATGCAGACAAGCTTTGTGGCTGCGAGAAATCAAATAGACTCACTCCCTGGAAGATGAAGGGATCTGCAAATGTAAAGCGATACCGAGACCATGCCGAGCCCTCCGAGGGCAGTTGTTGTAGCGGAAGTCAAGTCCGTCACGATCTGCACGTTGCCAATTGATATGCATCTGTGAGGGAAAAAGAGGGCACGTGTCAAGGATCATCGTCGCCAACAAAGACCCCGCTCTGTTGAGAGAAATTGCACCGCATCCCGATTGCAGATGATGGATTGCGGAACATCACCGTAAGGATGGGCACATCTCAACCCCCGCAAGATATACTTGTGCGTGCCTGAGATGCCTTGGGCGCCGTCAGACAACACTTGGTTGAAGTATCTCCACCATCGTGCAACCCGGTCTGGAGGAGGGAGTGTGGCCCTGCATACCAGAGCCCTCAAGTCCACCACTCCAGAATCATGGTCATCTCGATTGGATCACCACACCACTGACAACACAACCACGATAACTAGCCACCCCTTGGCCTTGGGAGTGCTGTGGGAGGACAGGGCCGTAGAACGGTAAGATCAGGCTTGTTCGCCGTCAGTCAGCACGTCCGCTCGAAGAACGGTGGATGATGGGTCGGGCACCGCGGCCGCTGGCCGTTTTGAAACTGCCGTGGGCGCGGCCGCTGGTGGTGCTGCCACTTCGCGGAAGCATGCTGACGGCAGCGCTGGCATGTCACGGCGAGGCTGCTTCTTCACTGTGCGTACATGAACATGGGCTGGCGTGCGTCCGCGATATGTTGTTGGTTGTTTGTTTCCCTCCCAGGGTCAAGAGGATTATGCTTTGGCTAGTAAGCAGGAAACCTGGCGGGATCAGCCGCAGAAACAGGAGACGGAGGAGCGGGATCAGACCACCGTGCTGGCTGGGTTGACCATGTCGGAGCAGGCTCTGGCCCCAACGGGAGCATCGGCGATGAGATATGATAGCTGAACTCATGCCCGGGGCGAGTGAGCCTCACGATATCTGACAGGTAGAATCGGGAAGGTTATAAGAAAGCATTCCCGTTACCGGGAAGCCTACCCGGGGCTCATCGCGCGCGTGCATCCAGGCTTGCGGCATGACCCAAAGGGGGCCCGGTAGTAGCGATCGTATCCCGATGTGTTACCGGCTGTGGTGTTGGATTGCCAATGCCACCTGCATGCGTCTTCCATTGTGACCTGATCTGGACAAAATTCAGCCCCGTTGATCTTCCCGGGGGCCTGGACCACAGCTGTCGCTGCTCATAAGGGAAAGTGAGCTACACAAGAGTGGGCTCGGAGGGGAGCAGGACATGCCATCCATCGTACAGCAGACCAGCAGACCGGTAGATCGATAGACCAACAGACCAGCAGACCAGCAGAGATCCTTTTTTCCCCCCCCCCAGTGCTGATGCGCAAGACCTGCCCGACTGGATGAGACGGGTATTGGCGGCGCGACCTACGTACTCCGCAGTGTGGCCCCCCCCCCCCCCCAGCAACGGCGGCTGGCATATTATTTATCTGATGTCAGTGGTGCCGGGATGAAGGGATGGATAGATGAATAGATGGGCACACAGATAGATCGATACTGCGGTAGCAGAGAGATAGACTCAAAGATTGATAGCAACTCGTGCGTGGTGTTTGCTGCGGCTCCCGGCTCGTCGCTCGAGAATGGGCTGATTTTTCCCTTTAGGAACACCATACCGCATACACCAAATGCATCTGACAGGCCGCTAGAGGTTGTAGACAAATGCTTGGGTTTGGGTCCTAGCTGCAGTGGCTGCAAGTGCCTGCAGTACTTAGACTAGTACACGGTACATGGGAATAAAAGGGCCCACCGGTTTTGGGGGTGGAGAGGAGGGGGGTGGGGGGGGGGTGATCTACTGCCTCGGCCCCCTTGTCTCTTGTCTCTAGTCTCTGTGTGTCCCTCGCTCGCTCTCTCTTATTTTTTTTTTGATGCCCGCGTCTCAAACAACGTGGCAACGGACCAATCATGGCGGGGTAGTTCCATGCCATTGGTGTGTCACAGGCGGGCAGTGGATCCGGAGTCTGCCAGAAATCAGACCACCGCCCTCGACATCGTGCCATTTCGAGCGACTTTCGACTCAAAGGTCTTGCAGAGTCAGGCCAACAGGAACAGACAGGAACAGGGCACCTGCAGACACCAGATCTGCCTCTGCCTCTGGGCTCAGCTCTGGTCGGCTCTGATACATGGCTTTGCCTCTGCCTCCAGCACACTAATCATGCCGCCTTCTCTGCAGTTATCTGCGCGAGGCTGCAGCTTGTTTGAGTGTCAACGTCCTCAAACCACATCCCCTCAACCACCCACCCTCCCATCCGTACATCTGCAGCTAATCCAATCCATCTGCTGCCTCTCCAGCAAATCACTGCCCGCTCTCGACTCTTGACAACTTGACACCCGCCTCCTTCTCCGGCCTGCTGTGTTCGTCTATACATCCGTCTACACCTCCGGCTTCGTTGGTTTCAGTGCAACCACCCCGTTGCCCCTGCCGGCTCCTCTTCTATACAGCTCCAGGGCCCAATATACCACCCCCCCTACCTGTCTGTCCGTCTGACTGGATCGTCGTCCCCAGATTCCAACACCTTGGGTCCCCCCAACATATACCTTCCTGTCCCCTTCCGATCCCGCTGGGTCGACATAACCCTCCCATCACAATTCCCGTCCCATACTCTGGGGACCTCTTTGTGAACCGGTCTCACACCTATCTGCCCTATCCTGCCTCCCGCGCCTGTCATCCGGCAGTCGGGGCCCAGTCCGGTCCAGTCCTTACTCGTACCCAGACGACGACGACGGCGACGTTCTGAGCATTCTGGCTTGAACCACTCCTCGCCACACCGTCTGTTCGGGAACATCCAGTCTGTCTCTCAACTTGACTGGAGTTGACAGGAGTTGACAGCTAACGAGGGCTTGAGCAAGCATCGGAAGCGCTATCTTCAGTTGTCGAGTTGTCTCATTAAGTCGGCTCTCACACAGTGATATCTTCCTTTACGTCCTCGTCAAACCAGTCGAGACCGCGGGTTCCTCTCTGGAACACAATCTTGAGTCGACTATCCCTCTCCCTCCGCGAAGTCGCCTCTGTAAAACTCCGAATAAGAACCGCAAATCCATCCAAAAGCCTCTAGTGTGGCGTGCGACCATGGCGCCCGGAATCTTAGAAACGAGCTCCGATAATACGCGGAGCCACGATGGCAACGTCGAGACAACCGAAGGCGTCATTGGCGCGAACTGCGTCGACCGCATAACCCTCCTCAAGAGCATGCCCGAGGTCCCATCACAAACCCAGGTCTGCATTGTGGGTGCGGGTCCCGCCGGGTTGATGCTCGGCGCAAACCTCTCGAGGTTCGGTATCAAGGCCCAGGTTATAGACGATCGTGCAGACCCAACACCTGTGGGAAGGTACATACTCCCCCAGGAGCCCATAGTTGTAGCAGCTGGCCTTGACTTGAACTGACCGGGTTGCACAGGGCCGATGGCTTGCAACCAAAAACGATCGAGACCTTCAGGCAGATGCGCCTGGTTGACCCGTTGCTGCAAAGAGGCGTGCGCGTCTACGACATCTCCTTTTGGCGCTCAACAGCCGACGAACCCCTCCGCCGGCTAGGCCGCGAAGTTCACTACCCGCCAGTCATCGATGTTCTGGACCCTTACATCCTGCTTGTGCACCAGGGAATGGTGGAAAGCTTGTTCATCGAGGATATGAAGAAGCGCGGGGTCGAAGTTAAGAGGAACTGTGCCTTTGAATCGTACAGCGCGTGCGATGCTCTGATGTTTAAGAAGGTCGGCGCAGCGCTTCAGATCAACACCAGAGTGAATGTGACCCAGGATAAGAGAACCATATTAGCACAGTACCTTGTTGGATGTGAGTTTGGACTATGTGCAACAGACCGCTGCAGGAGAATCCCGAGCTGACCATATTCAGGTGACGGTGCACACTCAAAAGTACGGAAGAGCATCCCGGAAGCACGACCTGTTGGCATGTCGCAACCCGTTGTTTGGGGTGTGTTGGACGGGGAACTCGATACCGACTTCCCGGATATCTGGTCCAAGACGCTTGTCTTCTCGCAGGAATTCGGCTCCATTCTCATCATCCCCAGGGAGCGCAACATGACGAGGTTCTACATCGAGCTCAAAAGCGGGATGAAGGAGGACAAGAAGATCCTGGGCCAGGAGTTCATCATGGCGCGCGCAAAACAGATCATGGCACCCTTCAAGGTAAACTGGAAGTATATCGAATGGTTTGGGCGTTACCAGATCGGCCAGAGGGTGGCCAGTCGATTCTGCGACTCTCACCACCGGGCATTCCTGGCAGGTGATGCCAGTCACACCCACTCGCCCAAGGCTGCGCAAGGCATGAACACCTCGATGCACGACTCCTGGAACCTGGCATGGAAGCTGAACCTCTCTGTTCGGGGACTGGCAAAGCCTACGCTCTTGGAGAGCTATGAGGAAGAGAGGAGAAAGATTGCGCTGGACCTGGTCAACTTCGACTACGAGCATGCTAACCAGATCGCCGCTGGTGATGCTGTGACGCTAGCTGAGAACTTCAAGACGAATGTCCGCTTCATTTCTGGTATTGGCGCCGAATACGGCGAGAACTCCATCAACATGCTGGAGAGTCAAACGTGGCTGCTGGGTGAGGCCAAGCCGGGATGCTTGCTCCCTCCTGCCAAGGTGACCCGTTACCTTGACTCCAATCCGGTGGACATCCAGCTCGACATTCCCATGCTGGGACAGTTCAGGATATACCTACTTATGTGGGATGTGCACCAGGCCAAGATGTTCCTCGAGAACTTCTGCGATGCACTGGCGGCGGACAACTCTCTCATCCGCCAGCTTTCGGTTGCTGCCAGCCTGTCATATGCAGCACAGCCAAGAATGCCGGCCCCAGAGGATATCTATGTCCGACCAGAGAGGTACACGGCCGTCAGCCACCTTTTCACTTTTGGTCTCATCAGTGAGTACTCCCTTCTCAGCTTTATGACAGCTCAGACAGAATGCTAACCAACACCACTAGCCACCATGCCTAAATCTGACATAGAGATTTCTGATCTGCCGCCCCTCCTGCAGGACAGCCGCTGGACATTCTATCTGGATGACATCCCAGAGCAAGACACCCGCGGTTCCCTATGCACAAACAAGTGGCTGGGTAGCCTGGGCCCAGGGGAGGTCGCCATCGTCACAGTGCGCCCTGACGGCTACGTCGGCAGCCTGGGCAGGTGGGACACCAGCGTTGATGATGCAGGAGAGGAGGCGGCCAAGTGGCTGGATACGTACTTCGACAGGTTCCTGCAGATCCCCGAGGTGCTCAGGAGTCCTTCCCCGAACGCTTCCGGATCTGCCACCAGCGCTGCCAACGGCGCGAAGCGAGTGAAACTGGAGGAGATGGAGGGTGTGAACGGGTCTGATTGAAGATGACCGCTTGAGGGAAGCCTGTACTCGAGGAAAGGAGGAGGAAATTAATGATGGAATTCTTTGACATTCAAGGGGTTGCGGCGTAAGGTTTCAATGGGTTTGGCACATCATCCGCCTCTCTTTTTCCTTCATTGCGACCGGGATGGTGCATTTGACGGGCAAGAGAAAAAATTGCTCGCTCTTTTGGATTGGGATACTTCTTCAGCTCTCCCAAACTTGACGGCTACGACAGAGCGTAGTGAAACAGCGCATCGGGGCGAAACGTTCTTGGGATAGACATTGCATTCTACGATGAACAGGCACGTGGCGAAGGCCATCGAGAGAGAACATTTGTACATAAATGGTGTCAGTCGCACTCTGCTCAGGGCATTGAGGAAGGGGCAATATCACGACCGTAACGTTTGTTAGATTCAGCTCCCAAAAATGGTGTAATAATTCAAGTACTAGTCTTGCCGCCATGCTCGCTTGTTTGATGCTGAATACAACTGCCTGCCTACAACTCGTCCCGTAACCGCTCAGGGGCCTCCTGAGCTATTCCATCACCAGCAGAGACCGGCTCGAAGGCTTCTGCCTCTGCCTCCGCAGCCGGTTGCTCCCCTAGACCGTCCATGCCACCAACCTGCTCCTCGATTCTGTCGATGACCCTGCCAACCTTGTCCACCATTGAATCGGGATCATCTGCAGCCTTATTGCCTTGGCCAACCTGTGCAGTAGGCACGGCACCCTCCTCCCCAACCCCAACAACCTTGGCACTCTGGCCGCCCTCGCTCCCGACCCCAACTTCCATGGTCGCCCCGGGCTTCCCGCCGACGAGACCCACGGCCGTCGAGCCGGTGCGGAAGACGAGGCGCACGGGGAGCCACACCAGCCACCACAGCGGGCCGTACATGAAGCGGCGGAAGACGAGCCACGACAGCGTCGCGGCCAGCATGTAGAAGGTGGTCTGCAGGTACCAGGTGTCGGTCTTTGTGCTCTTGAGCAGCACGCCGACGAGGTCGCGGCTCGACCGCAGCATGTCGTCCATGCGCGAGTAGTTGGCCCCCAGCGACTTCATCTTGAGCGTCGAGTCCTGCAGCGCCTCGTGCACTGCGATGCTGCGCGACAGCTCCTCCGTCACCGCCTGGTGCGCCCGCCGCAGCGACACCGTCAGGTCCGACGACGCTGCCACCGTCGGGTCGCCGTGGCCCGCCGCTGCCTTTTGTGTGTGGCGCCGCCGCGGTGGCGCCGCGGTGGGGTTTGCTGATGGCGCTGGCGAGTTGGCGCCCGACCGGCTCGGCGTCGAGGCCGCCCGCGTGTACGACTGCAATAGCAGCTCGCGCTCGAGCCGTTGTGCCGCCTCGAGAGAGCGCCTGGCCGTGAGCTGGGCCCTGTGGAAAGACACGCGGCAACTGCACGGGAGGTCGGTCAGCAGCTGACGCACAGGATGTGGCGATGGTGGTATCCAGCACGTAGGAGAGCGACTCACCTCTTGATCTCCCCTTCCAACCTGGCCGCTCCCTCCTTCAGCCTCTCCTTTTGTCGCGCGGCGTCGCTGCCGTCCTTGCCACCGCGCAGGTCGGTGATCTCCTCCTCCAGCAGCTCCAGGTCCTCCTCCTCCTCGCGCAGGGTGTTGTTGATCTCGCTGCTCAGCTCCGTCGCGACGTTCTCATCGTCCTCGCCGTAGCCGTCCCCGTTGGGCAGGGGGACAGAGCCGGGCTGGAACTTGAGGTTTGCGAGCCGGTCGATGAGCTCCTGCACCTGCGCTGTCGTTTCCTGCAGCGCTGTCAGGCGCTCTTGCAGCGAGTCGAACGACATTTTGGGTCTTCTCCCAGATTTTTTTTTTGTCGTACAATGCCGAGTTCGAGCTGTGCCTTGTTGTATTATTCCCGTGTGGAATTGTGTAGATGCTAAAGTAGAGCTGGCTTGCTTTGGAGTTCAGGACAGCTTCCTGACCTGCCTGCCAGGCTGCACGTCATTTAGGGGTAGCACGGCCCAAGCGCCACAGCCCAGGTGGCCCGGGGCAGGCGACCACGCGCTCGCTGCCGCGAATTTTCCCGCAGCGGGCAAGCAGAGAGCTCCTGATGGGGTGCGACTGTGCTACCTTCTTGACGAATTTACGATACCCACGCCAGCCAGCCAGCCAGCCTCCCAATTGACAGCTCCAAGAGCTTCTGTATACGTGTCGCCATTCTCGGAGCCTCCAGTGCCTCTCCTCGGAATAAGTCGAAACCAGACACACCAGCAACCCACACCCACCCCACCACACAGACACATTCAAGATGATCACACGCTTCATCACTGAGGTCAACACCAAGTTCAACCCCTTCTCCACAAAGTCGAGGTCGGCCCGGCTGTTCCTCTCGTTTCTGCCCCCAACGGCGCGCAGCCAGGGAATGGCCATCCAGACGAAGCTGCTGCCGCGGACATCAGCCGACAAGGCGTCTCTGCAGGTGAAATTCAGTACGGCCACCCCCCCCCTCAAACACGCTGAGCTACGAGTGTATATATATTTATGTGTGCATGCATGTGTATGTCTTCACAGAGAACTAACCATTGTGGCTCGAACAGAGGACGGCAAGCTACTGGACCTCGACTGCGAGAACTTGGGGATCAAGGGCCTTGTGGAGGAGTGTGACCGACACTCGCGAGCACTACAGAAGCAGGCTGACCTGGCGGATGCGTAGTGACATGTTTGAGAGCAGTGTGGGCTAGAGAAGGAGGCAGGGGGAAAATACCCATGAGTGTTTGCATGGAAGGCGTTCGGAAGGAAAAGGTGGCATTCTATTGTGAAATATCTACGGCATGTATCCAGGCTCGGCCAGGGCCGATAATGCCAGTCACACGCGCACACACGAAGCGAGGCAATCAAGACTCAAAAAGTCACGTCTATCTCAAGCAGCCCGAACGTTTTGTATTTCTCTTGGCGGTTTTTTATTTACTTGGAGATTCAGATGCGACCACGAGCTAACGCAAACCCCGGGAAGCCAGTCGCTTCAGCCTTTTGAGAACCCGGCGGGCTCATAGATGCTCCCTTGGGTCCATCTATCTACGCGGAGGCACCGCTGATGAAGAACCACTTGTCTATCGAAGCGTCGATCTTCTCGGGGGGCAGCTCCTGGTTGGCAGGGATGGGAGGCAGCTGGTCGGGGGCGACACGGCTGGGGGAGTGGGCGACGGTCAGGTTGGTGCTAGAAGGTTGGATGTTAGTAGGGTTGTTATGATACTATGAGAGATATAGGGCCAAACACATACGTAGACACACCACCAGCTGGGGTCTTGCCAGTGATCAGCCTCTCCCAGGCCTCAGCACACTCGTGGACGACGTCCATGGCGTACTTCTTGTTCTTGCACTCGCCGGTGAAGGCGAACTGGTTCTCGGGCTTTCCGTCGGGGATCTTGTAGATACGGAACCACTCGTTGGTGGCGCGCAGGAGGCCGGGCAGGTGGCGCTCGACGTCCTCGACGTCGTTGAGCTTGGAGGCCAGGGGGTCGTTGACGTCGATAACAATCACCTTCCAGTCAGTCTCCTCCTCGTCCAGCAGGGCCATGACACCCAGGACCTTGACCTGCTTGACCTGGCCGGTGTAGCCAACCAGCTCACCGATCTCGCAGACGTCGAGCGGGTCGTTGTCACCCTTGGCCTTGGTCTCGGGGTGGACGACGTTGGGGTCCTCCCAGGTCTGAAGGCGTAGAGTGTTAGAACATCGTGGTGTTATTTGGCAGACTTAAGCTGGGCTGATCATGCGTCATTCATACCTGAGGGAAGGCACCGTAGTTCCACAGGTAACCCTTGTGGGGGAAGCAGTTGCGGACGTATCGAAGCTTGCCCTTCTTGATGTCCTGCTTGATGGGGTTGAGGAGCTCCTCCTTGGAGATCTATGCAATTGAGACATTGAGGTTAGCCAACAGCTCGAACGAGTAGAGTCAGGTCACCACGAAGGGATCGTGATCGATTCAGGGCAACAGTGTCAACAGAAAGACAACAACAACAACATGCGGTAGCTCACCTCAAGCTTGGCATTGGTCCAGCGAGGGATCTCAACAACCATGTTCAGGATGGTCTTCTCCTGGTTGGCAAACAGGGGGATGTCGTGGAAGGGCGACACGGGCACGCCATCCTTCTCGATGTAGACGCGGTGCTCGAGGGTGTAGGGAGCGGCGACCTTGCGGGTGGTGTAGGAAGACATTTTGCCGTCTTTTGATGTTCCTTCTTCAGCTTGAACGGGGGAGTTGTGTGAAGCCGAGAGATGGCGGGCAATCTGGGCTGTGCGGAGGGACGAAATCTTGAATGATTGGGGGCTGGCCCTGGAAGAGCTTGTGAGGGTGAGGGTGAGGGTGGGATACGGTCGAAGGGGGGGGCCAGAAGTTGACAGCAGTCCACTTGCTGGTGCTGTTGAATATTGTGGAGGGGTCGGGAGTGGAGGGGCTGCGGACGACAGCGGGGCTGCGAGATTTGGATTTGGATTTGCCCTGGGACCTAGCCTTGGTCTTGGTCTTGGACGAGCGGAAGAGGTGTAGCTGCAGCTCCCACTGAGGTTGCGTGGCGGCAGACCCAGCTGGTCCAGCCCCGATCTTTTCCCCGCGGCCAATGGGCAGCAACTGCCACCTCCTCGTGCGCGGCCGGCTTGAAGTTGCGGTAAGGCGAGGCGAAGAGCTCTCTGGGGCTGCATCAAGTCAAGGGGCGTAGAACCTCCTACGCCGATCTGATCGTAGTAACAAAGAGGTAGTCTTGCTGTAGAAAGAAGGGATGCCTGTTGCCCTTAGCCCGGATTTTGCTTGCGCGCGCAGCTGAATTGGAAGAGTTGTTTCTCGATCACCCTGATTCCGGCAGCACAATCGGTCTATGTCTCGCTGAATCGTCAAGGGTCGGGGAAAGTAGGAAGCGTGCTCAACGTGTCCCTGTTCTCGCGTGGACCGTAGCTCGTGTACACACTGAGACCTGTTCTGTGTTGTGAGAGTTAAGGACGGTAATCTTCCAAGCCGCCGAGGTGTATAGAGCAGGGCAATCAGGAGGAAGAGAGGGAGGGAAGGTAAAAAACTTCTCCAGGCTGATCAACAAATCCTCTCGTGATCCAGACCCCCTGAAGCGACCGAACGACTGGCCACTTCTTCACACTTTCACATTCTTACGTGCACACGCGAAGACGAAGAGATGTTCACGGTGATTCATGGTTTCCATTCAAACTGTTACTAAACATCACAAGCAATCGCCGCGTCTCTCCTCGTCAGGGTATCTGCTGCTAGACTAAAGAAAGCATATTCCCACTTCACCAGTGCCATTGAGCTCCGTCTCATAACCTGTGCTGCCATCTTGACGATATGCAAGCACGCCTCGCTTCGTTCCCCAAGATTCAGAACGGGCAGGAAGGGAAAGAATGAAGAAGCCAAAGATAGAAGATCCGGGGGGGGGGGGGGGGGGGGGGGGGGGGGGGGGGGGGGGGGGGGGGGGGGGGGGGGGGGGGGGGGGGGGGGGGGGG